GGGGAAAGTGTATCTACATTTTTTAGTTTTCTAGCTTTCTGTTTATTTCTGTACTCCTGACATCTTGTGGCATTCACCTTGGACTTTGCTGATAGACTGAAAATGCAGACATATTTATCACATTGATCACATTTGTGCTGCAAAAGTTCATTCACAATGATGTCCTTACTTTTATGCCGAGATATATGTGTCAGGTAATGAGACTGAGAGACTTGCAATAGCTGTTCCTTTGATAATTTAGTCACCAATACTGTGATGGGAATATCTGCAATAAGGATATGGTCATTGTTCTCAGTGTTTTGAAACATGCACTTTGGTATATATTTCTTGAATATATATTTGTTGCTCATATTGATAGGCTGGGTTTGACAGTGTACAAACTGTTGCAGCTCCTCATATATCCATATATTAGCCGACCTGCCCTTGTGTATTGCTGCACCTCCTCTCAGAATGGGTGTAGTAATATTTATAGGTGCACCAGGTATATGTAAGCTGTCACCCTTTGAGTAGGTCAAAACATCAAAGCCCAAATATTTGTGATAGAAAACAGAGAAATCATGACGGTAAAAACAGTTACGCTGACAGAGACATTTTACTCGCTTAATGTGGATATTGACAGATTTTAACCATAGTTCATGACAGATTATAATGTATTTATAGAAGTGGATTGAATTCAGAGGCCTTGACATGTGGGTGGCACCTGAAACCCTATGTGCATACAGGTGACTTGTTATGCAGGTGTCCCTAGAACCCATGTGTGCATAAAGGTGACTTGTTATTGCACAGGTGTCCCTTAAACCCTTGTGTGCGTGCAGGGACCTTGTCACGAAGGTGGTCCCTGAAACCTCACTGCAGGGCAGCTGATATGAGGGACTTGTCATGGAGGTGTCCCTCAAAACCTCACCGCTGTACAGCAGCAACCCTATATAGGGTGATGTGGTAATGACCCTGTCCAGGGGATTACCAAAAGGTGCCCCTGGATGATTATAGGTATGTTAGATCAATAAAAGTGTGACCAAGATTTGAACACACCTTGAAGGCCAGTGACCGCCAGATTGCCAATATTGCTGCTCACAGCAATGGTAGGAGAGGTAGCACTGTGATATAGCAGCCACTGACATGGTGCCAGAAGGCTAGCAAGTATAGAATGTGCTGGGTATGCATAGTGCAAGATGGTGAGAGGAAGAAGTGAGAGAGGGAGGTGTGCGCGCATCAGAGTTCGAAGTTGAACATGCTTATGTAATCTCATCACCTGATCAGGTTGCCATATATGGTCCAATGGTGCACATTAGCTGTAACACTGCATTCATGATAATCTGAGCCTTTGTTAGGATCATTAAATAATCATATAGACAGTACCATTGGATAGAGATTGAAATTCTGAACCTGGCAGTATATAACACTTGGGGGAAGGCAATGATGTCGAGCCGTCTACATTTTGTTTTGCAAAACACGTGGGGTAATAGCCCAAGGGCGGTTTGCAAAACACTGGGTTATCAATGTGGCTGTGTTATAAGCGCCCGTTTAAAGGCGTCAAAAGGGAGCAAAATTCACGTCTCGAGGAAAAGTGGCAAACAACGGATTCGAACCTGGAGTTCCAATAGATACATCACTTTCTCTGCAATAAATACCACTACGGCAAAGGAACATGAGAATTGCTTCAAGCCCAGAGACTATATAGTGCAATCCAACACCCTTCTACTCGTGCACAATACCTTAAGTTTGCTTTCCTGGACTACACAATGCTACGGTCTACTGGAAGCTATATAATATTGATTCCTGGACCATTTGAATGCCTAAATTGCAGGATAACATGTGCTGAAGGCTCAGCAGGGGACCTATTGGTATGAACTAGGCGCCTGCTTAAGTGGGCGGTTGCGAACTTAGAACATTGATGTCTTCAGGAGGGTGGTTGAAACGGGGATGTATTGGTATGCACATGTGTTCTTGTAAGTCTTCTATGGTGTAGTGGTTGAAGCCGCTGCTTGGGCTCTTCGTAAATGGGTGAGCATTGAGGTTCAATCCCTCCTAAGGGGTTTTTTTCCTTCGTCACATTTACTATTTGGTGGGCCGGTCAGCGTTGTAACCCTTTGTAAATACCTTACGTAGCATTTGATGTACATTCAATACATTTTGGGGGTGTGTTTGCAGGTGAGCAGGTAGTTAGTGCTACCCCAATGTTTTGCAAAACTCAGGTGGGTTAATAGCCCAACAGTTTTGCAAAACAGAGTGTGGACTCTACTGATATCATCAGGTCATGTGCCATGGGCGCTTTTTCCAATTGTGGCACTAATAGGATCTTGTCTTGTGTATAGTGGCAGTTGCATTGGTCACATTGAAATTATGTTTGGATATATGGACTCTGCTCATTCATAGCTTTCTGTTGATATATATTTCATGACACATGGTCCAGTGGGGGCCTCAATATAAAACCATGATTGTACCACCATTAGATGCACATTGAAACACCCTTTCCAATAGTATATAAATGTCCTATGTTGTGGTGAGGAATGAGCCAACAGGGGGCAAAATGAGTTGCAGCTATGGCTGAGAACAAACAAGACCATACTTGGTGGCAGGGGAAAATGTAGCATTTGCCTACACAGTGGTGCAAAATGTACCAAATCGTGTTTTATGCCATACTGTGCTTACCAATAAATGGTGATATATATATCATTTGAAAGTGCTTGCTGAGCTCTACACAATGGTGCTGGTTTTGGAGGGTTATATGTTGTCAATGGTCCATAAATTGATAATGAATGTGATTTAAAGAAGGCTTCATAGGGCTTGAGTGTGTGGGAAAATAAGCGCCCTAAATGCAATTTGGTGAATTCCGATGGGCGCTAGTAGATCGCGCTGGGTCAGCGCGATCTACTAGCGCCCGTGGTACTTGGAAACATTTTTTGAAAAGCAGCCGCTTTTTGGCGGTATTTCCCCCATTGTTTCACCAGTTTTTATCTATATAGCACATCTTATATATTCTCAGAAAGCCTTTCACAAGCTCTACAATATTTTACTGTTTTGGTTTTTATTGTCTCAAAATTGGGCAACAGAAAAAGGAAATACTTCGATTTTAGTCTGTTAAACAAAGACAGAGTGTCACAGATTCCCGGGTCACAGGCGCTTATTTTCGCGCCTAGCATCCGTATTATCTCATCTCTATATTTCTTTATTAATTGTAGGGTTAGGGCTACACTTTTGGGATATGTTCTAGATTATGCTGGAAGGGCCTACATATAGAATATTCTAGAGTATGGTTGGTAAAGTACCTTACATGACTGGCTACTCATTTTCCAGACCTAAGGCCCTGGGCATGCCTAGCCTGGAGGATGACTAACATTATTGCATCGTCACTCACTCGCTCGCTTACTTGTAGCTTATTCAGAGGAGTATCAGGGGACATGTCCTGGGTCCCAGGGGGGCCTCTCCCCATGTATATAAGGGAGCCTCCTGAGGGCCACCCCTCTCAGACTTATCCACTTATTGCTTACACCCCTCTACTCTCATCTAACCACTCCTCAAACCTCCCTTTATTAAGTGAGTGTTTATTCCGGGTTTTTCCTTAATACAGAGTAGATAAACTGCAGTTTCAATCACTCTAGTAACTGCCATAGATAAAAGCAATGCAAGCACATATATCACAGCACTATAGCATGTTGTATGTGTACACATAACCTCTATGCAGTTGAGGCAAAGGGCAGAGGCCGCCTTATTGTGCAGAGAAACGTGACCTAAATTGTCCAGGGAACTGTACATGGTAGCATGTGCTAAGTCAGAACGAATGAACTGGGCGACAGCCCCGCCCACCATGCGGGCGAGCGCAAGTCCGGCGCGCGAAGCGCACATCTCTGCGACCTGAGGGGGGCGTGTCAGTGAGCCGAGAATACCCAAACTTTAGGAGCGCCTCTGCAACACTTGACGTGCTCGCGTGGCACCCCCAACTTTAGATGCAGAGAGGGTGCAGACGTACTGTTTCTAGCGCACCGGTGGCAATTGAATAGTCAACTGCAAAAAACGCTCCAGCAGCTTGTCTTTGTCTTGCAGGTATGGCGCGAGGATCTGGGCATGCTTGCAAAGATAGAGTGTGAATGCATTGCTTTTCCAGAGCCCTATGGCCTTGACTGTCTCGAAGGAGAGACCCCGGAGCAGGTATTCAAGTGTGCCGCCAATCCGAAAGCTGTGGCCCGCGATTTTTGCGACACTTGGTTCGAGCTTTGGAGCGATGGCTCGGAGGCGTCTCAGCATTGCATTGCGAGTCAGGGGAACAATTGTGTTTGACGGTTGCTTCCTATAAGCGAAAAGGTGCGACGAGTCCTTCAAGTTGTTGACGGCAAAGTGGTTGTCAAGTGCCTCCCAGGGGTCGACCCTGCCTGACGATTGCTTTGCAAATGAGATGTCTTTGCCTTTCGGAGATGTCTTGGTTATGGGGAGGTGTATGGAGTGCACAATGCTCCCGTCCCTATGCTTCACGATGTGAACGGACTGCCGTGAGGGGTGCTCGGAAGCCTTGTAGGACTTCTGGGTTTTTACTGTCAGCTCCCCAAGCTGGGCTAAGGAGAAGAAAGCAACGCAAGCGCACACCCAGATTGTGGCATCCTCGGTTTGCGAGATGTTGAGAAGCACCTCAATTTGCATCAGTAGGTTGATTGTGATGGGATCGTGCTTGGGCCTTGTCGACGAAGGAGGTGCGAGCTGTCCTGCGCCAGTGAGTGCAGCTTCATAGCAGAGCTCGTCCATCGTCCAAGGCAGACCATGAATAATATGCCACACTCAAATGCCGGCAACATAATTGTTGATGGTGCTCGAGCTGTATGAGCCTGCAAGTGCTGAGATGAATGTGAGTATGAGCAGCTCGGATGCGGGCGCACGCTGAGTGTCCGGCACATCTTGCATGTCGCAGAAGACATGGTATATGAGCAGACCAGTTCCGTACGTTTCCCGTGTGGATGTCGCCCATGCCTGGCAGGTTACGGTCGATATCTGCTCAAGTTCCAACTCAGAGATGCTGACAAACTGTCCGTGCTCATTCCTTGGACAGTGCGACTCTGTGGGAACCCACTTGAGGATACGATCAGCTACCCAGGAGTGCGGACGGTGTGCTGAAGCCAACGGGGCTAGGCCGCTCTTGTACAGCGGGGGCTTGCGACGCCGCCCAACACCTGTGCTGACAATGGGTGCGTTAAAACGTGTCTTGCTCATCTTCCCAGTATGCACGTTGCCAGTCGAGCTTGCAGGCTTTGAAGCTTTCATTGTTGATCTGACGACGGCTCCGTTCTTGTCAGGAGAGGGCAGCTTTGGTGACGGGGATTGTGGACGTGTTCGGTGCTTGCCACTCTGCTTCACGCTCAGATAGCAGGGCGTCAAAGTCGACCATGAAATCTTGGAGGGCTGGATGAATAGGTACGGGGGGAAGGAGGAGATTGCGTGCGAGGTAGTGTCCTCTCGATGGGCCGTCAGCGGGATTGTTGGCGCTTTGGACATAGCGAGTGTGGGCTCGGCAACCGTGTTGCTCCAAGACGCTCGCAATCCGCTTGAAGACTTCGTTGGTGGCACAGTTTTGACTCCGTCCTCGCCACCAGCCTTCGACCACTCCGCGATTGTTGCTGAAGACTTTGAAGTCCGGAAATTTGGCTGAGAGATTGACAATGATTGATATGAGGAATTCAAAGCCGACAGCTTCGGCCCACCCGATGTCTCGCCCCTGTGTTTTCCATCCCGGGAGGAGTCGCCATGCTTGCCACCTGCCTTGGATGACTACTGCGATCCCCACACCTGAGCTGACATTGGAAAAGGCGGCAGGGTTCCATACGAGGTGCGGGCCTGGGATGGGGCGCTCAATGGTGGCTTGGCTGAAGGCATCCCGCCACCACTGAATGTCGGCAGGTGTTTGGGAAGGGGGAGTGCGAAGAAGGAACGGACGATCGTTGTAGATGCCCAGCATGGCCTTGATGTTGATGAGATAAGCACGGCCTTGGGGCACGACCAGGGATGCGTGCCAAAGCTTGCCGTGCAGCTGCTGGACTTCTCGGAGCGAGTGCAGATGCTTCGATGACCACTCATTGATTGCCTGAATGTACTTATTTGCCTTTGTCCTCGGTATGGCCACTGTGCGGGGTCCATCCAGGTTCCATACGAAGCCGGTGAATGGGAAGGATGCTGCGAATGGGTGGTCCTTCTCCACCTGCCAAGGTATGCCCAGACACTCTGAGACCCAGTCGCTGTCTTGCATGGCGTAGGTGAAGGCGGTGTCTGCTGTCGACCGAGGAGATCGAGCGGATAGGTCTTGTACGGGGAACTCCATGCTCTTGACAAACTCGTTGACTCGCCCGTCTTGTAGGACATTGTCGCCATACCAAATGTGTCCCCCGCTCCGCTGTTCTCCTCCGTTTCTGACAATCTACTGTTGCCACTTGCGTCTGCGGGAGTTATAATCGGGTAAGTGCTTGCACAAGATTCGCAAGAAGACGTTGTCGTCAACCCACTTGGCCAACGGCCCGATGCCCTTTGCACGCATGATGTTGGCACCGGCATCCACCAAGTTGCCGTACACTCCGGCATGAGATCTGACTCCAAAGGATGCACTCACGTCGACTGCAAAAGCGCCCACATCCAGCCGGACGACCACGCCAGCCCATTGCGAAGGCGCAAGCGGGATGGTGCTGTACGCCTCTGCCATGTCATGAACTGCGCCTTGTGAGCCCGGTAGAAGTCGCCAGCACAGTAGACAAAAGGCGTTGAACGTGCCCCAAGTGCATGGGAAGTCGGAGGAATTAATGTGAGAATTAATGGATGATATGGTAGGTGAAGGAGTGTGAGGGAAAGAGAAATTTTGAACAAGTCGCAAAATGTTGGGCTTGTGAGGCTTGTGAACGAGAGATAAAGGAGAAGTTTGAAAGGGGCCGAGAAGGTGCTTGAGCTTGTCCTGTGAGAAAGGACCAACGTATCTCCCCGAGTCGAATTCGTGTCGCATGATTCACTCGAATTCTCTGGGAGGAAACAATAAAGACAGGTGGTTCGGGGGAATGTACGTATGTGCAATGAATGGGATGCCTGAGACAAAGCCATGAGCGATAGAGGCGACAAGACGGGTGTACCGATGCTCCAGTCCCACGGCATGTAGGAGCTCTCGCCATCCCTCCGCTCGTAGCGGCATGAGAGGCTCAATTCTCCTGCGCGAGAGGACAAGAGCTGGCACCATGTTCTGTTCCTCCGCAACCCGAACAGATGTGTTGTTTGGGATGGTCGTCCGAGGAGCAGCTGGAAGGGCGCTGCCAGCTGATGCAGAGTGGGGCGTTGTTGGACGTCTGGATCTGGTTGCCGATGCGAGACGTGGAGGCTGGGCGACTGTTCCATAGTCTGGATTTGTTGCACTTGGACACTTCTGAGAGTGGGTGTCACCCGAGGCAGATGGTGCAGATGATGGGGGTGTTGGTCCCTGCGCCTCTCCGAAAAGACCGTTCACCACTGTCCGGATCGTGATAGTCCTTCTTGTCCACCCGAAAGCGGGACCCCAATGGAGCGCCTCTGGACCTCTTTGATGGTGACTCAAAGTCGGTTGGGCTGGACGCGCGGTGCTTTATTGCGGCTCTCAGCTGATCTTTTTTGATTTCAAGCTACAAGGCGGGTGTGGATGTGGGAGAGATGGCCAAAAGGAAAATGTGTTGGCACGGACAGGCGCGGGGCAAGGGGGGGAACACGGGGACGCGGGGATGCGGGGGAAAGATGCAAGGGGGAAACACGAGGGGAAAATGCAAGGGGGAAAACGCGAAGGAGAAAACGCGCAAGAAGCGCGAGGGGAACACGAGGGAATGCGGGGAACACGCGGGATCACGGGGGAACACGAGGGAATGCAAGGGAACGTGAGGGAACACAAGGGAACACAAGGGAACATGGGGGAATACGAGGGAATGTGAGGGAAATGCACGAGAGAGTGCAAGGAGATGCAAAGGAACACTGTTGTTAGTGTGATGAACATTGGGGCAAGCTGCTTCGACTCACTGAGTGTAGAGCTCGCACCGTGTGTTCTGTCAGCAAGTTGCCACATATCTTCGCAAGCGCCACCTTGTCAATTTCGGCAATGTCGAAGGGCTCCCCTTTCAGGATGGCACAATGCCATTGCTTCCTGTAGGTAGCTTGGTACCTCAACACTACGTTGTTGCCCTTTGGCTCGCTGCAAATGGGGTGGGCATCTAGCTTGATGAAGAACAACAACAGCCTTTCGAGCATTAGTTCTTCCCATTGCTCATTTCGGGCGTGCATTAGGAGAATTGTCCAGGCTTTTGAGACTTGATCCCAGGTTAAGCTCTCGTTGGACTTGACTCCCTTCAGTGGGCAAGACACTGTCGAAATAACGATCGACAACTCCACTTGAGTGAGGGTGAGCAAGTCGTTGCTGCCTGGGGGCTCGCCCATTGCAAGACGCATTCTGTCCTCCGTGAAGTAGAAGAGCTCGACATATTTGAGGTCATGCAGTCGGGTCAGTGCAAATTCCGCGACTGGACAAAGGAATTCACTGGGAGGGGGCTTTCTAATCGGGATGACAGTTTTGGCCTTGGCCTTCTCCTTGCCTGGTCTTGACGCTGCTGCAGCTGGGGGGGATACCGAGGGGGAATCCTGGGGATTCGGTCGGGGAGATCTGGTCGATTGGCGGCGGCGGGAGGGAGGCTCACCGGGGGCTTTCCGCTGCCGCTCTTCACGACTGCCGTTCCTGCCACCCTGCTTCTCCATCCAGGTCGCGAACAGCTTGTCAGCTGCTTCCTGGTGGTCTGCAGCCACTCCGCAACTGATGAGTGCCTCTCTGGCTATCTTGTCGTCCGGGCCCATGAAGTCCGGCTGCCTCTCACTGCTCTGAGTGCTCTCCTCCTCCTCACCTCCCTCCGGCTCCTCTTCCTCTTCCTCTTCCTCTTCCTACTCCTCTTCTCCTCCCTTTGCTGCCTTCCGGTTTCTTGCAGTGCCTTTGCACTGGTATCGTGGACAAAGATGGGGAAGTGCGGGCAACAAGCTCTGATGTTGAGCGTCGACCTCCTGCGCCGTGTCTCTGGCTGGTGGGTCTGCTTCGGGTTCTTCTTGCTCATTGCCGACTTCTTCAATCTCTTCCTGATCATCATTCTCATTTAAGTCGACCATAGATTCAAGTAAACTAAGCCAGAAATTAAAGCTAAAGCCTAGGGGACAAGTAGGGAGTGTGGAGCCCAGCCGAGGACGAGGACAACGGGCGGATGAGAAAAGCACGAGGCTTCAGCGCCTGTCGTGCCTTGTTGCATAGACTTCGCTCTGTTGCGCGCTCGTTCCTCGCGCGCTTCAGAGCATGCAACCCCTCAAATATGTGATCAGTGTTCTCTCTTAGCAGGAATACTCATAGACCCTTCACCACTACTAGCATAATTGCTAGTAATTTAAACTATATAGATATACCCTTATGCTGTGATGCACATTGTGTCTTGAGGCCTGCATTTGAGTGCACATGAAGCCACAGGTGTGTAGTGCCACCTAGGGTTACATAGACACCCACTGGGAAGCATTAGAGCCTCATTAGCAGATGGTCAAAGTGGCTGTGTGCAGTGATCTAGTGTCTAACCCTAAGATTTCTACTGGAGGAGAACCCTAACCCTGGGTTTGTAAGTGGAGGATGTATGTGGCACCTATCTCAACACTAATGGCTGATTAGCAGAGTTTCAAAATATTTTTCCACAGGCATCAATTGAGGTGTTGTGAGTTGGCAGGAAGCTCACCCCATAAGAAATGATTTCTTTGTTCCTCATCAATTGTAATAGAAGCTTTAAGGGTATATTTAGCACAGAGAATATATACTGCCCTTCTACCAATATGCAATACCTTGAATTTGCTTTCCAGAGCTCCACAATGCTAATAAAAACTATGTAAAATCGATTTTAGTGCCAGTTTAAATGCCTAAAACATAGGTAAATATGTGCTCAAGGAAAAGCAAGAGGCTTATGAATATGAATGTGGGCACCTGCTTGAGTGGCCAGTTGCAAAGTTAGGACTTTAATGTCATCAGGAGGGCATGCTAAATAGGAGTCTATCACTATACACATGCAGCCTCATATGTCTGCTATGGTGTAGTGGTTGAAGCTGTTGCTTATGCTCTCATTAAATAGATGTGCATTGAAGTTTAATCCCAGTGAGAACTGGACATAGTTAGAGCTAGCCAGATCTAGCCAAGGATAGCAGCTTGTAGCCAAATATATATTTGAGCTAGCCAGATGTATTCAAAACAATATTGCATGCATTTTGTGACAGGTTCTGACACCAATCAAGTTTCTGTGGCCATTTTGACAGATTTGCTGAACCATTTTGCATGCTTATGGCTTCTCCTCTTGTTCATCCATGCCAAAATTGGATGTGTCTACAAACAAGCTTGTATTCTGCCTCTATGGTCCCACTCAATGATGCCATATAAGGCCCCCTCCACTGTGGCAACTTTTTTCATCAACTCTCCTGCTCTCTGCCACCACTGTTTCCATGTGCATCTCTTAAGGCATCTGGGTGCTGCCCGCATCTGAGTCCGTGATGAGCTGTGGCGTGAACCAGAGGTGGTGCGGGATGTTTCGGACATCCTGCTGGCTGGTCCCACAGGCATGTATGTTTACATGTAGCCCAATCTAGCCCAATATATTTGTATAGACCCTGCTAGCATACATTGTAGCTGTGGGCGGGATATCTAGCTAATTCTAGCGGCACATAGCACCATATAGCATATATCTCCCACTATGTCTTGCTAGCTCTGGCTATGTGTGATTCTCACTGGGGTTTAATCCCTCAATGATGGCTTTTTCCTCCCCAGAATCTTCCATTTGAAGGGTCAGCCAGAGTTGGAAATCTTTGTAAATACACTACCTCACATTTAATATATATGTTTAACACACTTTGTGGGTGTGTTAGCATGTGAGCAGGTAAATAGTGCTACTCCAATGTTCTGCAGAACTTAGGTGGGCTGGTAGCCTGAGAGTTTTTCAAAACAGATTGTGGACTCATGTGAGTGAGGCACTAATGATACTCTGTGTTACATCCCGTGCAACAGCTACTCCAATTTTTGGGACTTCATTCCAACTTCCGGGACTTGCACCCTTTTCCGGGACATATCTCATTTCCGGGACTTGGTACTGTACTTCCGAACTCCCAAAACTCCGCCCGTACCTCCGGTCCTTCAACTCCTGAACTCCCAAACCTCCATCTGTATTTCACATGTCTCAGATTGCGCCATTTCCTTTTTGTTAGCACCATAACAATAGGTTTATTGTCTTCTGCTCCGGAACTCCATTTCCGTACTTTCTTATTGTCTCGGCTAGACAATAGGCTTACATACTACTTATACCGAGCTGGAATGCCGTAGCTACTCAGTTCGAATATCTTGTTTACCATATTCTCTTCCATCTTGTTTGTTACCTTCCATACCTCTCCTTCACTACCTTCAATCCAACTACCTGTCAACCTCCAAACCTCCAAACCTCCAAACCTCTAAACCTCTGAAATTAAGGACAAACGGAACAAGTCCCAGGGTGTTGCTAATAGCCTTGCCGAAGTCCTCCCACTGAGTTGTCGTTTGTTAACCTCTGAACCTACGTACCCCCGGAATTTGTACTACCGCGTTTTCAGGTTTTCGAACCTCCGCATTTTTGGACCTTTGGACTTCTGCTCAGCACACTCCTAACACTCTGAGTCATTGTTTGATTATGCTGCTACTACTCTATCCTATTATTAATCAGACCTACCAGCCATGGCCCTCTCCACCCAAGTCAGCTATTTTAGTCTATTAGAGGGTGTACCTAAGTCAACACAGTGTGAATGAATAGCTTTCTCTTAGTCATCCATTGCCAGCACTACCTCTGAAAAGGCTTCATTCAATGTGTTAATCTTACTGATTAGTGACAATAATGAGTGATGTGATGATGTATAGAGTTCAACAGGGTATAGGTCTCAGAAATTGAGTACCTGGAGACCATGAGGTACAGGCATTTAAGCACCTCCAAATGTTGGACAATCACTTCATCTTAGCATTTCTTTCCAACCCCTTTTTTCACTTTCCTGGGTCTTCAGTTCTCCTATAAGTAGTTGTGGCTGAATTACTTCCCAAGTCTGGTTGACAAAGTTGAAGAGAGGCAGACTCCTCACCTTATGGTAATTGCTGTGTAGGTGGGGTGCAGACTTAAGTTCACCCTCAGACTGGTTGTTTGGAGAAACTTCACTCCTCTTTGTGTATTCTCAACATATCTTATGCCCTTCCCTGCCCTTCCCTGCCTGTAAGTCTAAGCAAGCCCTACATACCTCTGAGGTACAAGCAGTGAACTGCAGGCACCAATGCACCACTGGGCTTATGCACCCATTGGGAATCCTATAACAATAGAGCGGTTTTGCAATGTGTTTATCCTGCCTCACGTTGAGCTCATTTGACCTTCCTCCACTCTTGATTGGTACCACCCCATGAGAGATCGTGTGTTGTGAAATATTTCTGAGGCCGGACCCACATTATTCAGGTACATCCCCAAGCCGACTTCGACCCATCTTCCTTCCGCTTCTCCATCTGCCCCTCGACACCATCACCTTGATATCGACCCAATATATCCCAGACGGCCTGTGCATCCGCAAGCTCCTCGGAGCTCATCATGAGGGACACCGTGCCAAAGCGCGGAACCCGAGGCATATTGACCATGTATGCACGCACAACTTTGAGCCGCTCCGCATCTCCAGGTGAGCCCGAGAGCGCTACACGGAGGCTGTGGAGGATCGCTGCTAGAGTGGATGCGTCAAGGGAGGTCTTGAACAGCACGGGTAGACGCGCCGCAGGGATTTGCTACACAATCATGTTAGCGGAAGTGTGTGGTGCCGATACGGCGCACCCACCCGTAAAACGTCCCAACGCTCTTCTTCCGTGGTCAAGGAATTCCACAGACTCTTGAAAGCGACGAGCGTCTGAGGGGGTTCTCGCTTGGGAGCACTGGCATTGCTATTCTGCTCTGCTTGTGTTGGCGACTTGAAGAGTGTTTGCGTGCCGTCTGCCTTGAAGATGCCACCGCGGTACCGTGTATCCTCCCTGGCAGCCCGAGCTTCACGGAATGTTTGAGGAGGAGGCGGCCGTGGAGGGGCCGACGTAGATGGTGATGAAGAGTCGGCTGGTGCTGGGACTGGCGGCGTCTGCGAGGGCGACGGTGAGAGAACGCGTGAGGAAACCGGGGTGAGGAGCGTATCATCGGCAGGTTTGCTGGAGGACGCGGTGGGACTTGACTTCGCCGCGGACGAGTCGGGCTCTATGATTTGGATGGGGATCCGTCGGCGTTTTGGAGGCGGCGTAGCAGGAAGCGTCTGCGGCTGGCTCAGCGCCGAGATATCAATGGGTGTTCTCTAAACAGCAAGACCTCAGGTGATCTGCGCGCAGAGTCTTATGCAGCCAACATACCTGTTTCGGATTAAGCGGGATTGCCTTGAGGGCGTCTTGAATCTTCTTCAACTCTTGCCTTGCAGCCTGATTTGCCGGGTCGAATTTGAGCGCCGCGGAGAAGTCTTGAGGCGCATGAGAGAAGGACGCGTAAGAGGACGCTTCGACATACCAGTCTCTGCCTCATGAAGCTTCTGCAACGCCACGCGGGCCTGCCCTCTCCGGAAGTGCCCCTTCACGTTTTTGCTATCAAGACGAAGGACGACATCGCAGTCTCTTTCCGCGTCTTCATTCCTAGAGTAAACGATCAGAAGGTGGGCGGAGATCGGGAAAGCAAATGCGACACGCACTTACTTGCCTAGCTTGAGATATGCAGCGGCGCGATTGAGGGGGAATGTGAGATTGGAGGGGTCCGCGATGAATGCCGCGGTATAATGACCAATAGCCTTCGGGAAGTCTCCCGCCTTGAACGCCTCATTACCCTGCCGCAGCCAGGTAAGTCGAGCAACACAGCAGTAACAACGTGTGTACACACCTTGTCCTTTTCTACCTGAGCCTTGTTGGACATGTTCTCGCAGTCGATGGTGGCAGAAGGAGAGGACGAGCGGACGGTGGCGCTGAGCGCGAGGAGAAGCGAGCACGTGCCCACAGTCGAAAATTCAGGCGCGCCGCGCGGAGTTCTGCGCCTCCTCCCTCTCGTCGTGCTCCCTCCCGCCTTCGGCCTCGGTGCATCCTTTAGCGATGTCTGGACCCTCCAGCATCTCGTCTGCGTCGTTCAACGACTATAACGCTCAGCTGCAGGGCAGCGCGCTCAAAGCGACCCGCGCCGCTCTCGGTCTGCCCGCCGACATCCCCTTCCACCGTTCGGTACACCCCGACTTTGCCAAGGAGCTCGACCAATGCTCAGCGCGTGTCCTCTCAATCACGAACAAACTCCTCAGTCTTGCTTCCACGTCGAACAGCTCTGCGAGCGCACGCGGGAAGGGTAAGGCCCGTCTCGAATCCCAGGATGATGTCGCCGACCACTTCCACTCGTTCGTGGTCGACGTTATGGACCAGCTTTTAGAGCGCGCGGTGAGTACTTTTACTGTCTTGGTATACGTCGCTGCTTATTCCTCACCACAGGACATCGGTTTGGATGAGTTCCTCGGACATTCGAAAGCGCCCGCGATCGCAGTAAACGCTGCGCCTACCGCTGCTCAGAAGGTACGTGAACTTACAATTCCTTCATCTCGCAAATCTCACGCGCACTCAGCCAAAGAAGAATAACGTACCTCCGGGGCGCCTCGATCCAGCATTGCAACATGCGTCGCACCTCCCGAAGCCTCAACTATCCTTCAAACGAAAGGTAGACAACACCAATGGTGTGCCATGGCACCCCACGCTTCGGCACAAGTACAACGCAAAAGTCCCGCTTGGGTACAACCTCCAGGAAGATAGTGAGGGGGTAGAGGAAGGGCCTTCGAGCTCGTGAGCCTTTAATGCCTCGTATCCTACGCATACACTAACCATGATCAGCCTCCACCCCTACCGCCACGAGATCAAGCACATCTCCTACCCCACCCGCATGTTCACGCCCGCCCCGCCCATCGTGCCACGCTCCTTCGAAGACACGCCCTTCACCTGGGTCTCGACGTCCGCCGAGTTCGCCGTCATGCTCGAGCAGATGCGCGGTGCGCGCGAGATTGCGGTCGACCTCGAGTACCACAGCTACCGCACCTTCGCGGGCTTCGTGTGCCTCATGCAGATCAGCACGCGCGAGGCCGACTTCGTTGTGGACACGATCGCACTGCGCGACGAGATGGAGGAGCTAAACGAGGTTTTCACGGATCCAGACGTCGTAAAGGTCTTCCACGGTGCAGAGAGCGACATCGTCTGGCTCCAGCAGGACTTCAATCTCTACGTTGTGAATTTATTCGACACCTACCATGCATCGAAGGTGCTAGGTGCGTCACACCGTTTTCTTGACAACTTTTACTTGACTGTGTACGGTAGATTTCCCCAGGCACGGACTCGCAACGTTGCTCGAGATGTACTGCGACTTCACCGCTGACAAGCGGTACCAGCTAGCCGATTGGCGCATACGGTATGAACACACGCGTCCTGCCGCATATAGGCTGCTTACCAGATCCCGCAGGCCATTACCCGAAGAGATGCTGCAGTACGCGCGCTCCGACACCCACTTCCTGCTGTTCATCTACGACAACCTCCGGAACGCCCTGCTCGACCGTGCACAGTCGAGGGCTCAGTCGCGTGCCCAAAGCCCCAGCTCATCCGCCGCAACACCTACCCCCGAATCCTCGTATCCACCCGCACACGCGCTTGTGCGCGAAGTTCTCTCCCGCTCGGAAGAGACTGCCCTCCGTGAGTACGAGAAGGAGCTATATGACACCGACACCGGTGCTGGTCCGGGCGGCTGGGACACGCTCGCGCGCAAATGGAACAAAGCTTCACTCATGGCGGTATCCAGCGACCGCGAAGGCGCTACGGCGGTCAATGTGCAACGTGCAGTGTACCGCACCGTCCACGGCTGGCGCGACCGCATCGCTCGGGAAGAAGATGAGAGCACACGGTGAGTGATACCCCTGCGCATCCACAACCACATCCTGACGGGGGTCGCCCAGATACGTGCTCCCCAATCACTACCTGTTCAGCCTCGCGGAGCGCACCCCAGCAGACATGGCGGCGCTCTTGTCGGTCTTCCACCCGGTCCCGCCAGTCATCCGCCGCCGCGCCAAGGAACTGCTTGATGCGATCCGTGACACAGTGAAGGGCGCTCTCGGCCCGACCGCAGAAACGCCTCGCGCGCCTGCGGGGCCGAGTGCGGCTCAGGAGGTGGCGATGCTAATTGATGAAGAGGCGTCTGCCGCGGAGATGCCGAAAGCGTCGACGCTATCGAGCGCGTTGTGGGCCAACGGTGAGTGACCGTGCATCTGTGTTATTCGGCCGGGTGGCGGTCTTGGCGGGGAATATCGCTCACACGACGGTCAGCGGCCTCTATCAAAGCGACGTCATCGCACCTGTTCGGACCCTCGTTCTCGGAGGTTCCCACCGCGCCGCGGATAGTGGCATCGCGAAGCGCACTTCTTGGCGGACCTAGTGCAAAGGTGAGTTGTTCGCCGTGATAGAGTGCGAGGGTTGCGGATGTGCTAACTGCTACGATAGGGTCGGAATTCATCAGATGCAGCGACAGGCCGACGAGCGAAGTTTGCTGAGGCTGCGGCTCGTATCCACCGCACGCTGGTCATCGTGCCCGCAGTCCCGCCAGTCATGCAACCGAAGGCAGAGGAAGAAGAGGCGGCGATGACGGCTGCAGACGACGGGGAAGTTCTCAAGACTGATGCGGTGGAGGAGATGCCGTTCGTGCCGGCTGGGCAGCGAGGGAGGATGCCGGAGCCCGTGGACGATACCATAGTGGTGGTGGGACAGCGCAAACCTAAAAAGCGGAAACGGACCGGCGAGAAAGCAGAGGGTGCCGGCACCGCGGTGGCAGGTGAGGGGAGCACGAGCACCGAGGTGGAGGCTGAGGTGTTCGACTACGGGACGGTGTCGAACATCCTGGATGAGGGGTCAGATCACGAGCGGAAAGATGCGCGCGGTGGGAGGAAGAAGCGGAAGCAAGGGCAAGGTGAGCACTGCTGGGTTCACCGGTGTATATGAAGATGTACTGAACGTTCGCAGGGGCAGGAGGGTCGACGTCGTTCTACGGGAACTTTGGGGCGCCGCCGAAGGCGCACAGCGAGGTGAAGCAGGGGAACCAGTCGCGGACGTTCCGATGAGGGGGAGGGGGCGGCGGGCGGAAAAGTATCCGGGCTTTATCCAGGTTGAATAATACATCGTCTTGGCCGAGATGAGAGTTTGCGTTTGGATGATAGAGTGGGGGCCAAGGGGAACGGCACACGACCGCGAATGGCTGCCGAGTTGCCGGCCTCGTCTTGTCTGCATCGGGCGCCTGCTCGCGCTACCGCCCACTCCCCCGGCGCTGCTTGGCATCCCCGCCCCATTCCCTGTCCCCGTCCATGCCTCGCCCCACACCGCGCACCCACCCGAGATAGACGTGCTCTGCAGCGAGCACGACCCGACACACGCCGGCCGACGGAGCGCGTGCGCAGCGTAGTTCGGCCGTTCGCGACGGAAGCGTGACTGGCGACTGCGGCGGCTTGAATGGTGGGCATGGGGGCCTGCGGACGGCAAGGATGAGTTGTGTTCTGCTGTGTGATGGGAGGCCGCCCTGATCTTAGTCCAGATCGCGAGCGCCTGCCGGTCGTGTTAAAGTATAGAGCTCTCCGCATTTCCGCGCTCACACGACCGTTCCTCTCCCCCATGCGCCCCATCTGCGCGGGCCATGTCCTCCGCCACATACATCCCCCTCACCCAGATCTCTCCGCAAGAGTTTGCCTGGCCGCCCTCTCGCCGGCCTAGCCCCGCCTCTCTGCGCGCGCACCTGACTAGGAGGCGTGCTATTTATGTCCTCATCGCCACCACCTCCGTCCTCACCTTCCTGCTTTTCCTCAAACTCACCCCGCATCACGACGACCTCGACGATGACTTTGAGTACTCCGAGGACATAGGCACACACAACGCGTACATTGCTATCCCTGTGCCTGCCGCGCTTCCCCCCGCAACATATCCCAGACTCAGGCCAGTTCGGGACCTCCCTGCACACTGTCTCGACGCGTACTATGCCTCTGGACAGCTATGTCACGACTCCTACGGCCCAATCCCGATGGACGTCCTCTGGACCTGGGTTAACGGCTCAGACCCTCTCTTTGCCGACGCGAGAGAACGCGCAATAAAGAGCTTCAAGCCGGATGATCCCTACCGGCCACTCAAGAAGAACAACCCCTCCCGCATGTTCCGGTGAGCACCTTATTACTCGTGCCTGCATCCGCCCAACCGACACCGCGTCTTATCAGTGACCACGACGAGCTACGACACTCAATCCGCTCCGTCCTCGCCAACTTCCGCCCCTATACCAAGCGCTTCCGCATCCTCACCTCGGACTTCTTCTACCCGGAGAAAGGTACCACCACACAGTCCTTCCCCGATCCCGGTGCCGGATACTGGCGACTCGGCCTGCAGCCCCAATGGCTCGAGACCGCCGATCATGCAACGCAATGGCAAGACGGGAACATCCAGCTCTCCCTCACCCACCACGCCCATTTCTTCGACCCGTACAACGATACCATATTCAACAGGTACGCCGAGGCACCGCGGGCGTAGCGACGCCGTTCTGACCGCCGTCCGCAGTTATGCCATAGAAACCCAGTTTAGTCATCTCCAGGACGTATCCGAATCATTGTAAGTCCGGCTTCTTACCCTGCCTCACCGTGACCGTCGCTCACCTCCGGTGCGCAGCATCTACATGGTCAGCGCATTTGCGTCCGCGCCGCGTCTGTTTGCCCTGACCATGAACTTAATTATAGAACGACGATTTCTACATGATGGCATCACTTACTCCGGTCAGCTTTTACACCTCCCGTGAGTATCGCCCGCATTTGCATATTCTAATTCCAATACGCTGCCTGATTTGACATTCGTTTTCGATTGACATGCATACTAATTTGACCTCACTTCGCAGCCTACGGCATCGTCATGCGCCTACAAGAAGGCCTGCAAGTCGGTCCCGACCGGCCCGGCCGCGGCGTCGAGGGCGAATGGCGCAGCATGGGTGAATCGAACTGGCTACTCAGTACGTTCCGCAGCCCCTCCGCGGTCCGCCCGCTGTCATACTCACCCGCCCGTTATCTTCGTATCTCCTTTAATCTAATCAGGCAACCGCTTCGGAGCGCGCTCCCGACCTTACGTGGTGCACGAAGCCAAAGCGACGTCGTTTGCGATCCTGCAGGAGATCGCGCTCGTGTGGCCGGACGCGCTAGCCAAAAGCGCGACGCACGCGTTCCGCGAGACTGAGGCTGGGGACGGTGACTTTTATCAGATGTTCGTCCACGCGCACTACATCGTCGAGCGCGCGCGCGAGGCGCTCCTGTGGACGTGGGTCGTCGGGCGTTTGGGCGGACTGGACGATAGCTGGGGCGACGAGGAGTCGGCGCGGGCGTGGCATGAGCTGGGCGGCCAGGAGGATAAGGAGATGCGTGTGGAGGCGTATCCGCGCGAGACGCTTGACGCGGAGCGCGTCACCGCCAACCTGAAGGAGGCGGGATATGACACGAATGTTCGGACCGAGTACATTTTCTGTCAGTCCCTCTTCTCCAGCCCCTTGTTTTTCTTGTTTTCTAACGCACATATCACATGCAGCATCACTGGACGGATATGCGTACGGCCACTACGACAGGAAGGGCCGGAGCGGATTCCCCTCGTACACGCTCGATAACGCGCGACCACAGTGCACTATCAAGCGGGAGGAATGCTTTATCGACGTGAAGGGCGCCGACGGTGGCGCGCCCCGTGCGAGCGACGTGTTCAAGCACATCGCGTTCGAGCGGCCTGAATGCGGCGACTGTGGTACGTTTGGCTCCCGTAAGCCACGTCTACAATCGCTAACTCGCCTCCAGCTATGCTTGCACTTGTCAAGGCCAGTGGTCCTCTCGGCCTCGGAGCCTTCCTCCCGCCGGAAGACCGTCGCGTGCACATCGAGGAGCCCACACCCACTCCTGACGGCTTCATCCCTCACCTTCCCTTGGTGGACGACTGGCACGACGGCAAGTTTGCGCTGCGGGATGTCTTGAAAGAGGCGCACACGACAAACATCCGCGACTGGTCGCTCATGCTCCTCCAGCGATACCGCTACGTTATCGGTATGTCTTGCCATAGCATACTTTACCCCCGTCGTAATGCTGACGTCCGGCCCCGCAGGCGAAACACCGTCCTCCTTCGAGCGATTGCTCAGCTACCCGCAGGTGCGCAACACGCTCGCGGCGATCGACAAAAAGAAGGATCTCGCGCTGCTCTGCGTGAACGACGACGTCGGCAAGGACGACGCGCGCGTCGCGACGCTCTTCTACGACTGGCAGGAGAAGAAATGGCCGCGGCCCGCGGCCTGGGAGTCGGACGTGTCATGATGCGCAGTGCGCGCGCCGTGAACACTCTTCTTGCATACCCTTCGCCCGCCCCCCATCGACGCTTTCGCGCGCATTCTGTATCGTTATTGTCCGCCATGCTTTGAGTACCTACGTTCTGCGTGTGACACTGACGGCACCCTCACCCCCTGCCCCGCACACTTAGTCATCCTCGTACTACATATTACCCTCACCACCACCACCCCACTACCTACTGACCACCCCTGCTGTCGCATCTAACCATCTAACTGGGAGCACGCTACCGTGCACTGTGTAATAATTGTATATTGTCGCTCATGGAACAACCTCGATGCTCGCCTGCTACCCCGCGTGCCAAGCCTTCAGTACATAGACGCCTACAACCGATCCCTACAACTTCGCTCGCCCCTCCGCAGGGACAGCCACCGATGTGCGGGAAGCCCTCGCCGCGGCGCCTGCCGCCCTCCCCTGGATCGGCGACACAATCTGGCTGGCAGAGATGAGCAGCCGTCCGTCGCCGCCGTCGAACACCTGCTTCCCCGCGGGGCCGCGTTTCGCCAAGCCAAGCCGGGGGACAGGCCGAGGGGGTCGGGGGTGGGGACGCATGTGCGTGCATGGGTGTCGGTGGACGCGGTGAGTGGCTGTGGCAGACGGACGAGTGCGCGGAGATGGGGGCGTACATACCTCGCAGCGCGCGGCAGCCATGCGCGGTTTCAGCGCAAGCGATGTGTTCACCAGCCGGAGCCGCGTCCCCCTGTGCGCGCGAAAGGGAGCGAAGGCGCCAAATGGGGATGCGGGGTGGTGGGGTGCGGGATGATGGACTCAGTCAGTAGGTGATAGCTCGAGGCAGGCGGGCCGACGCTCGCGCGGGGACGCACCGGACCGCCACGGCGTGCCAGACGATGTTCATGGATGTGGAGAGGCCGGTGGCGTCGATGTCTGCCGCGATACCCAGCGCGAAGAGAGGCGAAAACAGCCCTCTGTGGCAGAACGTCGCGAAAAGCACATCGAGGTCATCAGCATAGCAGATCCAACACGGGACCGCGCGGGTGGCCTGAACTTACATGTCGATGAGGAGTGTCGCGCAGGCCCCCGAGAGTGCGCCATGGACGTTGAGCATGTCTTCGGACGCAAAGAGACGCGTGAGTGGACGCTCCGTTCCCGCGCGGCCTGTATAGGAACCGACCGACCTTCTTCGACCACGATCTCGCACACCGTGACGGCCTCGAGCTCGTCCCCTTTCGGGCGCGCCTTCTGCGTTCCTGGAGCCTGACGGGAACTGTCTGAGTCTCGCTGAGGTGCGTCGCGGACTTCTTGGCGGGGTCGCACATATGCTTCGGTGAGCCTGAGGCGATTCGCGTGGCTGTTGCCGAAGACGGAGCTGCCTGGATGGTGCGCGACATGGTACGCGAGGATGTTCTGGAGCAGCTCCACGTCCTGATGTGGCAGATTGCTCTTCACCGTCGCCGCATCGTCGTTCGGCGCCGGGGCTCTGGGAAGGGTGCGGAGCCGCTGCAGGCTGTCTCCGGAGGGCATGGTGATATCGCTGCTGGGACAGGCTGCTAGGAGCAGTGGTAGCAGGACTGCCGTTGTCGGCGATTATGCGGCAATACACGTACTGCGACGGGCTTTTTCCTGGACTGGCACTGCGGTCAGCTGCGTGAGTAGCGTGCATATACGGCCGGCCCCGTCGGCATGAACGCTTTGCCGGGTACATACCGGCACAGCGCGATGGGTTTCTACCTGGGCAGCGCGCAGGGCGGGCTAGGGATGTGCAGTGGACTGGGAGCACGAGGCAGAGCGAGATACGTGGCAGAAAGGAGAAAGGGAAAGAAGAGGACATGTATGGACAGGCCGCCTGGTCATCTTCCCGCCATCCTGAGCTTGATTGAACGGCTCGTGAGAGTGCGCCCGTGTCCCGTCAGATTCGGACGTGGCACTCAGTGGCGCTACTCAAGCTTATGTTACGCATCGCAGTGCTCGGCATATCTCCAAAGAAATCGAGCAAGGTAACGACGAGTGGTACAGACAGGACATGGGAACGGAGGCAGATGGAGGCTGAGAGAGACGGAGCGTGCTCCTCCCAATCCGAGCACCGTTCCACGTGGTGGCAGTGCCGTGCCTCATCCCCCTCATGCAGTATTGGTCAGTCTAGGTCAATCTACAACTTCGTCCAGCACGACGACAACGCTCTTCTCGGGTCTGAGGACCTCCTCGTTGCTGTATACGACGAGCTCGAGGACCTGTATTGTTTCATCAGCGTCTACTGCGCTGTGCGCACACGCCGGTCTCCTACAACAACAGCGGCAGAGCGTCTCTGATACTGGACTCTTTTGTTATCAAATCGCCTCTCGGCAATCCAGCTACCTATACAATAGCCAGCCGACGACGACGGATCGGATGCCATTACTGTTTGTCTTGCCGCACTCCTTGTCTGGTCACCTCCTGCGCTACCAGGCAACATACACTTTTGCCTCCACGGAGTGGTCCATAGCGACAGCAGCCAACGCGGACGATTTACTATTATTTCTTTGTATCTAGGATCACCATGGCCTTGCTATATAAAGCGGCACGCTGGCCCACAGTCACTAATCTCAACGCTACCAATTACCCTGAACGCCTCCGCTATCTGGGGGATAACTGCTCGCTCGTGTGTCTGTCTGTCTCATGTGGCGTCTTCTTCTTCGCTGACCATATCCTGCTAAAGGATTCACAGCTCATAACATGCCAGGTGATAACGAGCTCAGCGAAGTGCCTCCGACACTTGCCGCCGCGCTTCTGAACGGCCGCACGCAACTTCAGGCGGGAATGCCATTTCTCAGGTACGCTCCTTTACGCATTCTCCTGGCCGTAATGATGCAGCGTAACCTGATGAGCTTCCTATGACTGTCACGTAGCGCGGACGCTGTCAGTATTCCATAACTTCATTTCTCGTCGAAGACTAGCTTATCTCTCTGCAGATCGCACAGATTGACAGTTACATGAGGAACCTCCAAGACATCACTCGGACCGAGCTCAACCAGCGTCGAGCGATATCGCGCGACCTCCCTCCCGAACTCTTATGCATGATATTCGAACACGCGTTATCCGTGGATCGGCTAGTAATCGCCCCTGACGAGATGATTTGGCGAGGTTTCATTCCTTTAAGTAAAGCCTTACCCACTCTGCTGCAAGTCTGCAAACTTTGGCGTCACCTCCTCCAAAACTTCGCGTTTCCGTGGACTTTCGTCAGCGACTTCGAACCCGAATTTGCTATACAACACTCGAAGCAACTTCCCGTATCGGTTCTCATCACTGAACAAGACTCGCAGATCGCCCCCCATCTCCCTGATCTCGGACCTCGCCTGCGCGAACTCTTCTGGGGTCCACAGTACACCAAAGCACGCAAGGCGGATGTTCTTGCCTTCCCAGCGCCGCAGCTAGAAGTGCTCTATCTGCGCAACTTCGACGCGCATACGGGAGCGATCGACCAGCCGTCGCTTATGCTCTTCTTAGGAGAAGCACCGAAACTGTGCAGACTCCACCTCGACGGCTACGCTTATCTGCCCGGAAACCAATTCACGGTGCTAACGCACCTTTGTCTGGAAGATATCGACCTTCAGCTGAAGTTCCCCGCAATAATTCGCCTATTGCGGCAGTGTCCTCAACTGAAGCACCTCGCATTCATTGGTCAAATGCCGCTGCACCCCGACGACCCTCACCCGCATCCCCAACACCCCTCGGGTGGCGCCGAGATACTCCCGCGTCTCCAACGACTGTCCTTTGAGCGTGTATCCTCTCGCTTCATCAACAACATCACCCACGCCCTTCGTCCACGCCGACCAGACTTCTACTTCCAAGCGTTTCAGGTCCCCACCATCCCCGGCTCCACCATCCTTTGCATGTGCGCTTTCCCCTTCCTAGCCACGAACCTGCTCACCCACCTCGGGTACTTCCGCAAGAGCTGGCATTCAACCGTGGGCCTCGTCGCCGTTAGCAGGCGCACCTCGATACGTATATTCACCGAGCGCACGGACCTGGACGATGACGATTGGGACGCGGACCGCGACACGTCCTGGGTGCTCACGCAGCTCAGCTACCTCCCGCTCATCGCTGTCGAGGAGTTTCACTTCCACTTCCTGCGCATCCGGCATAACCAACCACCCGTCGGCGCGCGTGAGGTGTTCGCGCGCGTCCGCCTCCTGCCGCGCCTGCGCGGGCTCAGCGTCGACACGAACAACCTCGCCGCGTTCCTCAGCATGCTGTACGGCAACCGCCTCGTCCCACTGGGTTTCGGCGCGATGCGGTGGCATCTCCACACCCTGCGCATCGCCGTGACGGGCTACGACTCCGAGCAGGAGCCGGTGGTGCGAGACACGTTCGACGAGATGGACCCGCACATCAAGGAGGCGCTTGCGATAGACAGGGTGCTTATCCAAAGCGACATCGACCGCTCTCTGTTTTCGAAAACGCTGGACACGCTGAGCGCACTAAGTCCGTCTGTGGCATTTGGGCCCACAGCGATCTCGGATGCGATGGCCACGGTGCACGCCCCCGAGGCCCACCGGGACTGCGTTGATCCTGTAGCTCATCCGGCCTGGGAAGGTGCTCATTATGAGGGAGCCTTTTTATAGTTGTATTGTATACTACTCATGATGTTCCTCCATTCTCTCAGCGCCCTTACGTATGACAATGTTCTGTTGCACACATTATGCTAATATATTGCTTCTCTTGCATGCGACTGTAGCATTCGCACATCGTTCCGGTGAGAAGGCAGCGGCGCTACACGCCGTAAGCTTCCTGCCACCTCCGGAGTTTGCTCTCGAGATCGTGCAGATAACATGGGCACTAAAGTAGCCCGAGAACGGGTCATACATCCAGGGCTGTTGATTTCTGTAGTCCCAGGAAGGGAGGTCCTGGCAGAGAAAAGACAGTGAAGGAATATGCAGACAGCAATACACATAGCAAGCGCAGAGCAGAAGTAGCACGGAGCAGTCATTCAGAGAGAACTTGGAAACACACGAGAGGGGGGATACGGTACAAGGGAATACCGACCGAGCAAGTACAAATATTGACAGAGGACCGAAAGCCGGAATACCAGATACACCAAATGAACTAATAGAATCAAAGACAGCAATGAGCACAGGATGCAATGAGTGATGGACAGGTGAGGAAGTGAGAGCAAGACCAGTAGGGCGTCAAGCTTGCATGCAGTTGGGAGGGTGAGTGTGGGTTATCGCAACCGACGCTGGCCATGGCCACATGCGTGATGATTGCCACGCTCTGCTTGTGAGCAGGGCTTCGGCTTTGGCCTGTCATATAGACACCGCCATCGGCACATCGACAGATGTGGTCGCGCGCTGTGCGTGGAGCTTTCCTCCGCATGATGCACCTCCGGTCTTGGGCTGGACCCCCGGGGAATAGGCTGCGCGTGTCCGAGGCGACGTCCTGAGGGCTATACGCCCGACCATCTTCTTCTCTCACATAAGCAACGCGGCCACTTACGCATACCCTTCTCTGCCTGAGACGCCAGCATGAAAGTATACCCGCCTGCTTGCGCCAAACACCTTGCGCATGTCGTCCGCAGTCACTTCCGGCTTCTTGAACGCAATGACGAGCTCGCCGGTCTCATGTCCCGACTCAAACGTGGCCTTCCCTAGCATGTATGTCCATCTAGGCTCAACACTAGCGTCAATGCGAGAACCAACTATTAGCACCGGCAGAGGCTTACCAATCCAAGAGGAGTGCAACTCGTGCCCTGGAACAACTCGTGTGCATTCCCGCCGCCCGTGCGCACGAGCTCGTAGTAGATGCGCGCGCATTCGCGCCCCGGCCTGCGAGCAAGAATCAGTAGATCCCCACCCTAAAATCGTATGCGGCGTGTCAGCGACACGTCAATGGGTGGGTCAAGGCAGTGGCATGCGTGCACCTTCATCCACCATCCGCGGGTACTTGTCCACGCTCTTGTGCAGCTTCTCGTAGATAAGCTTACAAAGGGCCACTCCGAGCGTTTGCGGCTTGGTCGCTCAGGGAAGATAAACGAATAACACCTTGACGCCTAGCCTGCGAAAGCACGCGTGACACGGATTATAAATCGACGAGGAGCGCCGCCCAGGCCCCAGGGAGGGGGTTATGAAGGTTGAGCATGTCTTCTGGTGGGGTGCCTGAGAATCGTGTGAGCGGTTGCGCTGTCTCCGCGCAGTAGCTGTTAGCAGTACTGATTCGGCCCGATCGCGGATACAATAGCAGCCTCAAGCTCATCTGCTTCCGGATGCGTCTTCTGCGTTCTGGGCGGGTAGCAGGGACCATCTGTCTACGGTTCGTCGCGGGCGTCGTCGAGGTCGTGCACGTACGCTCCGACAAATTTAAGACGGTTCGTGGCATATTTTGTTAACAAGACTATTCTGAAATGACAGAATGTCGCTGCAACATCCTTCGGAGCGGGCGGCCTGAGTATGACGCAAAGCGGTTACAGGTGCTCACCGGATGGCATCGTGATACGGGCCTTAGGACGAGCTGCTTGGAGCGTAGATGACGCAAAGATGCAGCTCTTTAAGGAGCTTATTCTTGCAGTTATACTACGAGTAATTCGTACAGAAAGTCGGCCCCGTCAGCATGTGATCTATCAGGTCGCCAGAGACATACCAGTGCAACGCGCTGCATTCGAGCTAGATGGTGGTGGAGACGCGTTCTGGAAATTTTGCCGATAGTAAACTCATAGTGCAAGATTTGTGTGTACGGGAGGAGGAAGATGACATGGGCGGGTAGGCGTCTTAATCGCCAAATTCATCCCGCAACCCCAGCGAGCGAGAGCACACTTGCGCCAGGACGACAAAAAAGCAAACGAGGAGGGAGAACAAGTCATTCAAGTTGGAGTTGAACGTTGAGATCTGAGATCTGAAATCCGAGAGATTGCCACTTAGCGACTCCCATCAAATTCCCAATTGGGCGACTCACCACGTGGTAGCTGTACCGTACCTTGCTCCCGCCGCACACCCTCGAGACTCGAGTTCACATGAGTCTATGATAGGCACACCGCCAGAAATCCTCCCCTCATACACCTCACTATCGTACACAGCAAACATTTCTATGTGCTATATTGCCTCAAGACCCACGGGAGCCGCGCATGCATGCAGGACTCTTGACGACAACAGTGAAAGAGTGTCTCCCATGCCAGGCTCTTTTGTTACGCCAGATACGGCGAATCCTGGTAACATAGGTACATACGCGATTGTCCCTCACAGAGATAACCCCACCATCGCTACCTGGTTCACCGCTGCTCACCATAAATTCTGCCGTGCAACGTACACCTCCGAAGCGATCCATAGCGACAGCAACCGGCATACGCGACTTATTATCATCTTTGTTCGTCTTTGTAGGCCCTGTCGCAGCACGGCCAGTCATAAAAGGGTGTCAATACCCCGAGGTCGCTCATCTCAACACCACTGCCCCTCAACGCCTTCATAGTTCCCGTAGCGAGTACCAGCTTGTGCGTCTGCCATTATTTTTCTCATCTGATTTCCTCCTCGCTGATCACAGTCCATGAACAACCTTGCAGCAAACCATGCAGGCTGAGAACTCGCTGGGCGACGGGCCACAGACGCTCATTGCTGCACTCCAGAACGGCCGCGCGGAATTTCGAAAAATCTTGCAGCTTGCTCAGTGCGTTCTTCTGGAACACTATCACATTCAGGCTCGCTGATTACGCTGTGAATTTCCAGCATCGACGCTGTCAGCACTCCATATACCTGTTACTAACTGACCGCTAAATTAGTTCTAATAGATCGAACAACTCGATAGCTACGTGAAGGATATCCAAGCCCTCACCCGGGCGGAGCTCGATGGTCGTCGAGCGACATCGCACCTCCTGCCTCCCGAGATCCTGGGGATCATATTTGAATATGCGCTCTCCGCAGAGGAGGCCGTAAACGCACCTAACGATACCGTCTGGCAAGGTCGCGTTCCTATGAGCACCGCCTTGGTCAATTTGCGACAGGTTTGCACACACTGGCGCGACGCCCTCCAAAGCTTCGCCTTCCCGTGGACTTCGATCGATGACCGCGGCGGATCCGAACTCTTCATCCAGAACTCGAAGCAGCTTCCCGTGTCGGTTCACGTTAAGGAAGACCATTCCCAGCTTATTCCCCATCTTCCCGGTCTCGGCCCCCGCCTACGCGAGCTCTTCTGGGGTCCGGTGTACTCTGAAGCGCACAAGGCGGATGTGCTTATCTTCCCGGCGCCGCAACTCGAGCTGCTATATTTGAAGTGCTACAACGAACATACGGCGTCGATCAACGAGCTGTCGCCCATGCTCTTCTCGGGACATGCCCCAAGACTTCGCAAACTCCACCTTACCGGCCACACTGGTCTACCATGCAATCAATTTACAGTTCTAACGCACTTGTGCTTGCAGGATGTTTGCGATGCCCTCGATATTACTGCGATCGCCAGCTTGTTACTACAGTGTCCTCGACTGGAGCATCTCGCGTTCATCGGGCATATGCCTCTACACCCCGACGACCCTGACCCGCATCCCCTGCGTCCTGCGCATACTCCTCAAATGCTCCCTCACCTCCGCCGACTCTCGTTCGATCGTGTATCTTCCTGCTTCATCCTTGATATCACCCACATCATCTACCCCCGCCGACCAGACTTCGCCCTCCAAGTGCTCCAGTTGCCGATCAACCGCCTCGACACCGTCAAGCTCTGCATGTGCGCGTTCCCGTTCCTCACCTCCCACCCGCTCACGTACCTCGCGTACGTCCGCAAAAGTTGGCACTCGAGCATCGGTCTTGTTGGGTTCAGCGCGCACGGCGCGCTCCGGATCTTCACCGCGTACGAGGACCTCGACAGCGACAACTTCGAACCGGGTCGCGACACGTCGTGGGCGCTCGCACACCTCGACCGCCTCGATTCAACCACCGTCGAGGAGTTCTCGTTTGACTTCCTGCGCATCCGACGGCAGGCCCTGCCACCCGTGCCGGTGGGCACGCGGGAGGTGTTCGCGCGCGTCCGCGCGATGCCGCGCCTGCGCGTGCTCAACGTCGCCACGAATGACCTCAGCATGTTCCTTAGCATGCTGTACCGCGGCTACCTCGCCGATCTTTTCGTGGGCGCGGACTGGCACCTGGAGGTGCTGCGCATATTCGTGCGGGACCACGTTCCTGGGCAGGCGCCGGTGGTACGCAATCCGTTCAATAGAGTGGACGAGGGGGCCGCGAAGGCGCTCGTGATCGACAGGGTGGTCATCCACTGTGATTTGGACCCTGCGTTGTTCACGGTCACCTTGGCCACACTGAGGGCGATGGGTCCGACTATAGAGTTTGGGCGCACGGAGGACTTGGGGGAGGCCGCCAGGACGCAGGTTCCGGCGGGCTTTGCGAGCAGCATGGATCCGGTCGCCCATCCTGCCTGGGAAGGTGGACGGTGGCTCAAACCCATCGACGATAATTAGTTGCACATTACTCATGTTACTTACCGCGAACCAATTTCCTCGACGACCATGCCCGCCAGAGGTAGACTGGAGCTACCCAGTTCTAGCGCCCGCGAGGGTATCGTGATGACCGCGAACGTGCCCATTGAGCATGGGTACATCATCAAGTCAGACCGAAGTGAGCATCCGCTGACTGAACGTGCCGACCACATGCTGTATTGAGGCGGACGAAAGCCTATGCATATTTCTATCCTGGGATAATGTACACGGGAGGCGGAAAGCGACAGCATTTCCAGTCAAAGGGAGCCAAGTCAGAGAGTAAGGGATCGGGGGGCGGAGAGCGACGACCATGGGACGGCATGCAGAGGGGCCAACGTGAGTGCTACATATGAAGAGAGACAACGATGCGACAACAGCAAAAGACGCAGGTAATGAGAGGGGATGGGGCGACAGAGAACAAGCGGGTGTTAGTGCGGTGCGAAAGGGTGCGAGGAGATTGTCCGTATATGCGAGGGGGTTCGGGGCGTTTTGTACAAAGGTGACATGATGGTCTTAGGGCACGAGCTCGTCGGCAGTCGAGACGCCCTGGTGACGCGGTCAGCTTTTCGCATATTCAAATGGACGATCTTTGCACATACCTTTGTCCGACACGCTGGACAATTATTCCGTCCCACCTGCATCCACTTGTCGACACACTCCTGGTGGAACGCGTGCCGACAGTGCATCAGGCGCACATCGTCTTCGGGTTGGTAATCGTCCAGACATATCAAGCACTGCAAAATTGGCAGTTAGCTTAGAGCGATATGAAGCCATCGTGCAAGATGACTTACGCGTTCGACGCAATTTGACGAAACCCTGCCCTCGCGCTCGTACTGCTCGAGCTCGCTATACTTCACAATCTGCAGGTCAGATTTATCGATATCTTCCCTGGTGGCGACCTGCGGCTTGACTTGGCCAAGCAGCTCGGCAAGCTCCCTACAACCCCAAAAGGCTGGTCAGAAACAAGCCCGTCACCCACACCCATCCTACTCACCATAGCGCCTCATACGAATCGAGGTTGTCCGGGCCCGTGACCATATGATGGTTCGGGGGATAGTAACCTGCAACGAACACAAAGCACGTCAGAACAACGTCACCCCTCACAGCCCGCCCACGAAACGCACCTCCAATGACGTAGATCAGGAACGTCCGCGACCCAGTCCCCTCCGCCGCCTGCTGCCCACCCTGCGCCGTCCTCCTCCCCGGCCTCAGATTGCGCAACGCCGTCGCCGCGCGCGACTGCCAGCTCCGCCCGCGCGGCGTCGCGTCGCCCCCCGTCTCCCCTGTTCCCGCGCCCTGCTGCATCCATTCGTCCGCCTCGGGCCCCAGCGAGCCCTCGTGCTCCTGCGCGTGCGTGTGTGCGTGTGGGTGTTGTTGGCGGCCGTGGCCGGAGCCAGGGGCGGGATGCGCATGTCCGTGTACTTGTCCCATTTCGACAGATTGCAGCCCGACGACGATCACGGGCACTACCATGTTAGCGTTCGGGTCGGTCGCGGGGGGCGCGGACGACGACAGGTCCGCACCGTCTCTCGAGGGCCCTAGCGATGGGGGCGATGGCGAGGATGCCGCCGATGCAGATGCTGCCAGAGGAGGCGACGGCCCCTCCGCATGCACGGAGGGGGACGAGGCTGTGGGCTGTGGGAACCCAGGTGCAGTAGGAGGAGTCGTGGATGCGGCGTGCCCCGCAATTTGCGTCGCATGGATCGGGCGGAAGCGGTACAGCCGCCACAAATGGATGCCTGGGGGCCTGCGCTCCGCTTCCCCGCGCGCGTCCGCTGGCATTTGCGCGTCCGCACGCCCGTTCGAAGCAGGGGACGCCTGATCGCTGCGATTGGGCAGATCGCGGCTGCGGCTCGCCGGGGGCATGGGCGTCGCGATGCGCGTCGACGACGTGTGCTCGTCGTCGACGTCGTAGTCCTCGACCTCCGAGTCGGACACGTCGTCGAGCGGCGGCAGCTCGTCGTCGTCGTTATCGGCGCCATCATCGACCGTCGCGGCAGACGGAGATTGCGGGCGAGCTTCGTCGTGCGAAAGCTCTGGGCTATCCGAAGCAGCCTCAGTCGCGGGTGCTTCGTCGTTGCCGGCATTCACGTCTTGTCCTTCAGTCGCCGGAGCAGCAGCAGCATCCCCCGTGCCACTCTGTGAAAGAGCAATACGGAGATCGGCCTGAAGGTCCAGCAAGAACCGCTCGAAGCTGTCCTCTGGCGGCGGCGGTCTCACAGTAGGAACGGCCTCCGCTGGCGGAGCACCATCGGCCTGGGTAGCCTCAGCAGGCTCTGCGGGCGGCTCAGTAGCAGTCGCGCCCGCACTCGAGCCGTCTCCGGTAAGGCCCAGGCCGACATTGAGCGCCCTCGCCATTTCCGCGAGCATGATCTCGCCTGGCCGCATATTGCTGGGTTCCTCCGTATTCGTGGAACCGCCGCCGCCTGCTTGGGTCGCAGTGCCGCGATTCAGTCCTAGACGTTCCCGGAAGCTCTCCCAGACGTTGCGTATCCGCTCCCGGCCTTCGCGCTGCTGAGGTGCAGCGGAGAACGTCGGGGGAGGAGGGGCAGAGGAGTCAGCACCGATGTCCAGCCCGAACGCCGGGCCGCCGCCAAGGCCTGCGGTGGGGGTGGGCGACATGGGGCGAGGGATGGCAGATCCAGGTTGGGCGGGAGCATTGGGGTCTGAGTTCGCCTGGAAACCAAGACTCGGGGAGAACAGAGAAGCGGCAGTTGCAGCAGCCGCAACACTGGAAAGTTGTTAGCTATTAGACGTGCCATACCGAAAATAGGATCACCACAAACCTCAAGAGGGTTCCCAGGACATCGATGCTGCCAGGCGACAGCGGCCGCGAGCGGGGGTCGCCGTTATCCTCCCCAGCTCCCGGCTCTACAGCCGCGGACGCCAGCGGCTCAGACGCATCCGTCAAATAATCATCCGACGCCGAGCTTCCGAGCGCAGAGCTCGAGACGTCCGAGGTCGACTGCGAGTGCAGCGGCGCCCCCACACTGGGATCTGACGTGGACGATCGCCGCCGGCGCATGCTCGCGGTTCTAGGCAGGAAGGCAGACAGCCTGCTCCGCGCCGTCTGGCGTTCCTCCGGCTGCCCACTCGCTCGGGGCACGGACGACGATCGTCGTGCCGGCACGGCCGGGGGCGGCGCCGGATTCACCGCAGAGGCCGGCCTGGACGAACGCGAGGGCTGGGACGGTTGCGTGCTCGCAGGGTTGTCGCTCGTGTTCACAACGCCTTGCACAACTACGAGCGTCCCTGGGGGCGGGAAGTGGCGTGGGGCCTGCGCCACGGCGGCGTCGGGTGCGCCCTCCGTCTCGGGGAGAGCAGATGAGGCGTATGCAGGAGACGGTTCGGGGGCCTCCGATATCTGACCGTCCTGCGAGCTGCCCTCGACAAAGAGGCTATCTTGCCGGGGACGCTCGAGCAGGAAGTCGTTGATCTCGCGCTCGATCTCCTGGGCGCGCTCGGGGTGTTCCTGGAACTGAGGCGAGGCGTCGTGCTTGTTGGTGGAGAGCGTGGACCGCGATGGTTGCTCGGCGACGGTCCGAGTAACGTGCTCCTGGATGACACCGTGCTCGTCTACGGACGCAGACTCGGCGTGCGATTCCGAAGGTGGCACGAAGTACGACCGCGACGGGAGTGATACCGCAGGGCGGGATGTTACGGGCAGAACGGATGGGAAGGGCGTACTGGACGATGGCTCAATCTGGACTGGCTGTTCCTCTACAGCCAGGAGCTGGGCGTCGACTGCGGGGGCAGCAGGAGGCCTGTCGGAATCATGGAGCGCCTCCGAGAGGTTAGGCAAGGAAGCTTGTGCTTTGGAGAATCGCCGGGACGAGCGCCATCGCTTGCGGAAGGAGGGGATCTGGTGGGAGGAGGATGGGGAAGTACTGTCAGACTGGGTACGTGGGCGGAGGAAGCTGCGGACGCCTCGCCGAAGCGAAGAGTGGTCTATTGTCTTCGTGGATGGTGATGCCGAGGGCGTTGTGCATCCTGCGCTATCTCTCGGGGTAGCTTGACTAGAGTCGTAGTCGGAAGAGGAGGTGGGTGTTGCGGGGTGGGGAAGCGATACAGACGGAGGGGCGCCGGTCCTGCGAGAGTTGGCCTGGCCCATGCGAGTAGATAGAGAGAATAAGGAGTGGTAGAGCAAGGATATATACGTGCAAGGTCGAGAAGGGAGGCGTTGACGCTGTCGGAGACGGTGAGTAGGGGACGAGAGTTGGCCGAAGACGATGGGGAGAGCGCAAGACGAGCGGGGGAATAGACGCCCATTCAAGCATAGCGTAATCGGCTTCGCGTCTCCCGTCCTCTCACCAGCCTTTCTCCTACCGCAGCCGACGCATATCACCAACAAGTCTCCCGTATGGAAACATCCCATCTTAAAACAAGTTATTGGCCTAAGATACAAAGATACAGTGTGTGTCCAACTACTAGTATTGCTTCCCGTCCTTTATCCCTCCGAAAGAACCCGAGTCCTGACAGATTGCCCCTCCCTCAGACAACTGTAGGCGCCTCCGTTGTCTTGCCCGCCGCAACAGTTGGGTCTGCTGTCGTCGCTGCACTGTGCACGCTCGGGTCGATCGGCGGTGCGGCGGATCCCACCCCGGTCGAGGCCGTGGCGGGGGCGCTCCCGGCCGCTGCGCCGGCCTTCTGCGTCTCGGCGATGCGGCGCGCCTCTTCATGGATGTCGAGCACCTGCTTCGACGTCGACGTGTAGAACGCCTTCACCTTCTGCCCGAACGGCGAAGATAGCGCGCGGGTGTAGTACTGCATCCACAAACAGTGTTAGCGACCACGGCAACGCGATGGGATTGACAGCACACGTACGTCGCCGGCGGTCTTGGTGATGCCCTTCTGCTCGTCCACAGCCTTGGCCTGCTGCGTCGCACTGGCCAGCGTCTCCTGCACCTTGCCCGAAATAGTCTTCTCTGGGCCGAGGGTCTTTGCACCTGCAGGCGACCGCCATGTTAGATTGAGTTCACCCCGAGCTGATAGGGTCACCGGTCACGTACCGATTGTGGTGTCGAGGCCCTGGATGTAGGACAGGAAGCGAGTCGAGATGCCGCGCTGCTGGTCGAGCTCGATCGCGCGCTGGAGAATCTGGTCAGAGAGGGTGTATCCCTTGGCGAGATATTCTGCCGCAACTGCAAGACCCGGTCAGTGCGTGGATTAACACGTGGATGGGGCGAGTACTTACTGCCTGCGCGGGGCTTGTCGGTCTGGTCGATGTGATCTGCGTGCGCACTGTCGTCCTTGTCCTGGTGCTCGATGTCGCTGGTGATGGTGAGGTGTGCGCCGTCGAGGGTGCCACCATTGAGCATGAGGGCGGTCTTGGCCGCGGAAGGCTTCTCGAAGTTGAGGGTGGCTGTATGTGCCGAGGGGTCGAACTGGACGGAGGTGATCTTGCCGCAGAACCTGGCGTAGCAGCGCGCGTAAGCTCAAGTGAATTTGATTGTGGAGATGCGAGACGACATACGTAAAGAAGTCGGTGAGGTGTTGCTCAGTCGTCGCTTCCGCGATGCCGGTAACCTGTATGCGCGCGCAATCCTGGTGAGTATCGCGCGTTGCCTGCGCGATGAGAGGAACGTACGTGGATGGTGTAGACAGACATGTTCGTCGGTGAAAGTAGAGGTGGTGGTGGATGGCAGAGGGGGATCGATGGGTGCTCTTTCTGTCCGCTGCCCGCACTTTAAACCAATCCCGAAACACAGGTCTCGCCACTCTGACGTCGCATACAATGACATCACCTCCCATTAGACGCTGGTATAATCTACTTACTTCCCGGCCCGCTACCCGCTCTTCGCATATCCGTCTTTCCCGGACACTGCCCCGTACGCGCCCCCACCGCGCCCAAACATCGTCCGCAAATCGCCCACCAACGCCTCGGGCTGCTCGTGCGCCGCGAAGTGCCCGCCCTTCCCGTGCTCGCCCACAAACACGACCGCGCCCAGCGTACACGCCCACCTGCGCACCGCAGTCAATAACACATGCACCTCGCAAAAGGCCGCGACGTACCACTTAGGCACATGGAACAGCTCCCGCGGAAAGTACGAGAGTCCGACGGGCACAGGCCCCGCCACCTTCCCCATCCGCGCCAACGCCTCCTCGCTCTTCCCGTGGCCCCCTGTCATCTCGTAGTATATTCGGACCGACGCCGCAGGCCCTGCGCGCGAGAACCAGTAGATCGACACCCACTCCAGCACTGCCACACACGCAACATCAGTTTCCGCCCTTCGGATGGCACAGCGCACATCGCGGATAATCCTCACAAATGCTTCCCCCATTCCCCGGACGAAAGCGCTTGTGGCAAGGCCGGTATGCCTGCCACATTCCGCAGTGCGTGGAGGATGTTTTCGGGAAGGCATTTGTGGGGATAATCCACGGCCTTTGCACCGGTGAGCGCAGTCGCAGACGCACCTTCATCGTCCGTCCACGGGTACCCGTCCGTCCACGCCACGAGCTTCTCGTAGATCCACGCGAGCAGCCCGACCGGCGAGTCCGCGAGGCTGTACCCGATCGTCTGCGGCTTCGTCGCCTGCTCGATCATGTACCCGCTCCCCTGCGCGTTGTGCCGTGCCGTCACCTGCAGTCGTGTGCGTGTTTCGTTGTCATAAGGTAGTAGGTTCCGGAGGTATGCGAGAGGGTGCGAGAGGAAGCTCGGTGGCCCGGAGCTGCTCGGCGCGAAGTTGTCATTTATGAAGCGTGGTCGGCAGGTAGAGGTGCGTACATGGGTATATTTGTGTGCCACGCCTTGAGGTGGGTGTGCCCGTACTCAGCGGCCGTACACGCCCCCAGCTGCGTAAAAATATCTGATGAGCACTTGATGTCCACGCTGCGTCGGGGTGCACTAACCATGTGTCCCCAATCGCCCCCTTGATAAACTGGACACGGAAGGTCTCGTCAACTGAGACTCGATTCCGCGTACAATCGAACTTACCGTACTCTTCGTATCCCAGCGACAGCATCAGCTTATTCAGAAGCTTTCAAACTGGTCAGCCCGCGCTCATTTCAACCAAGTTAACACGTCCTACTTCAGCATACTGACGCCCTCCAAACCCAGGTTTCCTTGGCGCCTCCGAGAACCCAAACCCAGGCAAGCTCGGCGCAACGACGTGGAAACTCGGGCTCCCCTCAGGGCCCGCCGCCAACAACGGCAGCAGCTTCCGCACTTCCAGGAAGTGCCCCGGCCCTGTAAAAGAAAACACGGATATGCCACTGTCAGCGCAGGCACCTTCAGTCCGCACAAAGGAGGTGCTTACACCCATGCACGAACAGCAGCGGGATCGCGCCCCGCACCGCGCTCGTCCGATGTATATAATGCACATTCAGCGTCCCATGCCCCGCCACCTCCACATCGCGCGTATACATCGGGATCGCGTTGATCGCGCCCTCCGCCGCGCGCCAGTCGAACGCGCTGCCCCAGCGCGCCGCGAGCCGCCGCACGTCTGCGAGCGGCGCGCCGTACGTCCACCCCGCGCCATCGAGCTCGTCCGGCAGCCGCGTGAGCGCGAGCTTCGCGCGCAGCAGGTCGATGTCCGCCTGCGGGACCGCGACCGTGAACGGGCGCTCCGTGCTGCCAGACGACGAGGATGCAATGGGGGAGGCCATGGGGGGCGAGTGGGGACAAAGGGTAGATAGCGAGCGAGCGCGGCTAGGGAGTGGTATAAGAGCTGTCAAAGGCGTCTCGCTCCCCCTGAAACGGACACAGATATTCGCACATATACGCCGCGGGAACACTCGAATTGGCCGGAGCCGCGGGACCGTAAAACGTCCGCGCCCGTCTCGCCCGCTACGTATTCCCAGCCGGCGCTCAACATTCACGCGTGCACGCTCAAACGCCTGCGCGGTGATACAGCGCGATCGGTAGTCGCGACGCGCATTTTTGCGTGGAGTGGGATGGAGCGAGGGCCGAGACTGCACGCCCGCTGCGCCAGTGAGGGCAGTCGTGCGTCGCTACGCCGATCGTGCTTGCCCGAACGGGACGGGGAGGAGGCGCGAGCTTGCAGCTCGGAGGCCCTGGCGCGCCGTTGGCGCCCGCGACGGATGAACCTCTGTGGGCACTAGGTGATGGCGGTGACGGAGCCCGGCCTTCACAACGCTCGATACTCCAGGTTTATGCGCTCACCGATACTACCCGCGGCGCACGCCACGAGAGATAAACGTTTAAAGGTTGTCCCTGGCCCTGCCAAAAGCACCCGGCACATGGCAGCAGGAAATCTGTGCTGTGATCGTGCCCTGGTTGTCGAGTACCCAATTTGACGGTAGACCCGCCACGGCGGGTAGTTCCTTCAGAGCAGGAGGTAGTGATTATGTGCGTATTAATGTGGCGTACCATAGTGAAAACAATCACTCCAATCCAGTATACCCGGCATATCCACTCGCGACGCGCCACTGCCTGAGCCACGAAAAGTCGAGCTCCTGCCGCTGCAATGCCTTCTCGACCTTCTTCAACGTCCACGCGAGCCAGCGCTTCTCCTTGTCCGCGGGCAGCCCGTGGTCTGCCGCCTGGAGCGCCATCGCGGCGGGCTCGGTCGTCGCGAGCAGCTGCTGGAAGGAGGACACGAGCGCGCGCGCAACAGCGAGCGACTCCTCCGACGCGTGCTTGAAGCATGCGGTGAGGAGTAGCGCGCTGCATACCAGGTCGGAGGACACGGGCGGGAGCTTGTAGACGCTGAAGAGCGCGGTGAGCGTGATCGTGTCCTGGAGCGGGTGGTGCAAGTGCAGGCCGTGCAACAGCGGCCGTGCGGCCTCGAGGGTGAGGTCGAGGCCGTATTTGGAGTGGTTCCCGAAGACCTTGAGCGCAAGCTGCGGGCAGTGGAGCTCTTCGCAGCGTCCTACAGAGAGCGCGGTCAGGGACAGGCGAAGGCCGACTCGGCAGCGTACTCACGAGCGAACTGCACCGGGGTAGCTGGGCGGAACGACCGCCGCGCGTCTCGCCACTTGGGGAACAGCTCTGCGACGCGTTCCAGTTCCTCGGGCGTGCCGGCGAGCGAGAAGAGGTGGTGCCAGGCCGAGGTGCGCATTTGGCGTGCGGGCTCGGACTTGTCTGCTATGCAGCTGGCTGCGAACTGGTAGAGCTCCTCGAACCGCGCCTTCTTGTCATCGGCGGCAAGGACCCGGACATTGACTCCGAGTGGTGGCGACCTGTCGTAGTTGCGGGGGGCAGGGACGGAGGGGTTGTGCGGGGGAAAGTCCGTACGCTTCACAGCATCGACGTGTGTGGGCTGGACGGTGGAAGGCTTGGTACTTCCAAAGAGGTCGTCTCCAAACAGTGAGTCGTCCTCTTCTTCTCCAAATAGGTCGTCCGCCTCGGTAGAAGACGCGCCTTGCTTTTTCTTCGGCGCTGCCGGGGCTGGTGTCAGGGTAAGCACAGGGTACTGTCTTGTGAGGAGGGCCGAGCTTACCGACTGGAGACGCGTGAAGACCACGGACTCGAAGGGCGGAGTGGCACGAGCGGGAAAGGCTGGCCCCTGCCAGAGATGGGCGCAGTGAGCGGTGAACGGAGGCGAGGACGTTGGCCATCGTGGAGGACAGCGAGCAAGCGTCTATGGTCGACGAGCGCGACAGGAATTTCCGCGTTCGCACTCATCTGCCACCCGGAACAAACAAGGCCAAGCACGCTCTCGGGCATGCTCTGTGCGCTTCTGCCCGGCAACCTCGTCCGCCCTCGGCCACCTATCCTTGCACAATCCGACTCCACGCCGAGGCCTCTACGACTTTCAACGAAGGAAGCTCTACATTGCGCATCACGACATGTCCGTTTTCCGTGTACCGTGTGCTGCTGAGTACTGTGAGTCCTAGGCACGGTTGAGTGGGTATGTCCCGGATGCAATATCTGAGTCTCTCAGTCTACAATCGCGCACGGATATCGTTCTGCCAAATCTTGCCAGTGCCCCGTCCGGCTGGTACGGCGTGGTAATTGCCAGCGATCCCAGAGCCCTTCGTCAGCTAGCCGCGCTTTCACATGCGCTGATCAGTTGCTGCGAACACAGCTGTTTGATATCCTCGGCCTCCTTACCTCCGGACTCAGTTCGACTGCACCTTTTCTTCCTCACCGCGACTGCCACTTCGTTCACTCCTCAGCTTGCTTTCACCACACACTCCCTTCAAAATGACGAGCTGGGCCAAGCCGTTCACCCTCGACGTTCCCGAGGCCGACCTCGAGCTCTTGCACAAGAAGCTCGAGCTCGCCAGGCTCCCTGACGAGCTCGACGGCGCCGGTTGGGATTACGGCGCCTCGCTGGCAGATATCAAGCGGCTCTCGGAGTACTGGAAGACCTCCTTCGACTGGCGCAAGGCCGAGCGCAAAATCAACGAGCTGCCCCAATTCACTACGGACATCGAGGTCGACGGCTTCGGCTCGCTCAACATCCACTTCGTCCACCAAAAGAGCGAAGTCGCGAACGCGGTCCCTCTGCTCTTCGTTCATGGCTGTGAGTGATCTGTGTGCACACGATGAAATTGCATCCCGTACCTACTCTCTCGGTTGCAAATTCCAGGGCCCGGCCACTTCCTTGAAGTCCGGAAGATGCTCCCGTTCCTGACCCCCGGCTCGCCCGACCATCCTGCTTTCCACGTCGTTGCGCCAAGCCTTCCTGGTTTCGGCTTCTCTGAGGCGCCCGGAAAGCCCGGCTTTGCCGGACCTCAGTACGCTGAGGTATGCGTGCTACATCTCGTGTCAAATCCCGGATAGCACAGCTGACACCTACGCAGGTCTTTAATAAACTGATGATCTCTCTCGGTTACGACGAGTATGGTGAGCGGTCGCGAGCGTTGTATCCCTGACCAAGCTCATCGTCGTTCACACCCTTCAGTGTATCAAGCCGGCGACTTGGGTCATGTTGTAAGTTTATTGTACGGTATAACGAGTGACGTCTCTCATACATCTCGGTTAGGTCGGCGTCTACATCGCCAACCTCTACGGACACAAGCACCTCAAGGGATGGCTCTCGAACATGCCAATGTGTCTAGCCTTCTACTCTCTGCGTCTGTCCTACCCTGACCATCTATGTCCTCTCTAGTTACCGCGTCCCGACGTTCTTCTCCAACCCCCTTCTCTTCCTCGAGATGCTCACTGCGCCATTCAACGCGACCCTCAAAGCCCAGTTCGAGACCGCACAGCGCTTCCGCACCCGTGGCATGGGCTACTTCATCCTCCAAGCAACCAAGCCACAAACGCTCGGGTACGGCCTTGCGGACTCCCCGCTCGCTGTCCTCGGCTGGATCTACGAGAAGCTGCACAAGGGCGTGGACAACTACCCGTGGACGGAGGACGAAGGTGCGCGTGCTCCGACGTTGACGTGCCCACCGGCATCATACTAACGTCTCTGCGAAGTCCTGGAATGGATCTCGATCTACTGGTTCTCGCGCGCGGGCCCGGGCGCGAACGCACGTATCTACTACGAGCTCACCGGTGGAAACGCACACGGCCTATTCGAGGGCACGAGCTGGACGTCTGTCCCGCTCGGGCTCGCGTGGTTCCATCGCGAGCCCGTCAACCTCCCCCGATCGTGCGTGGCCTATTTTACATATTCTCTCCTGACGCCGACGCTGATGCTCGGGCCAGCTGGGCGCATATGCTGGGCAAGGTCGTGTTCGAGTCGGAGCACGAGTCTGGCGGGCACTTCGCCGCGTTCGAGAAGCCGGAGGCGATTGCAAGCGACTTGCGCAAGATGTTTGGCAAGGGCGGGCCCGCGTACGGCGTGGTTCCGGGCAAGGATGGGTATGCTTGAATGTTGATCGCGTCGCTGCTTCTATGTATTCCGTGAAGGGTAGTCAGCGCTTGACGTGCTTCTTGATTCGATGGAATTACAAGATATCGAAAAAAGATGGTACGGAAGATCATATATCGAAACACAGATGGGCCAGCACCGCGAAATGGCTCCCCGGGCCCCAAGGGGTGCTCTATATTCGAAGGCGCGTGGCGTGTTCCCCGAAAGAACACGGGGCTGTATCGGCGCTCCCACCAACGAGGTCGTGCATCAGGCAAGAGAAGCACATAAGATAGTGAACCATACGTGGATGAGTGACGAAGGTGTGCACGCGCGGGCCCTACGATGACCGTGTCTGTTGGCGCATCGCTGACATGCCTGCAGCAGTCCTAGAGTGTACCCCCTCGCGCGCGGACCCGAGCGGACGCACTTACTGCATGCGACCTTACGGGCAACACACGGTCTTCTCGTCGCAGCCGGGCTAATAGCGTTGCGCCGTCCCCAGCAAGCACCGTCATATGTAGGTGGTAAAATCTAGTTTCCACGTGCTGCTCGGGCATCTCGGGGTATTCTAAAGCCTTCTCACCGAAAGGGGAGCTTGGATCGCCTTAGGATGTGACTGTGCGTCCGTAGTGCTAGGATGAGGTAGACGCCATCCGCCATCATCATCTTCTGCGACCTCAGTTTCAGGTTCCTTGGGAAATCTGAAAGCAGCATGTAGCAGTATCCCCCTACTACTTATTATTCGAGCAACGTGTCCATCATGGGGACTCATGCGCATCTACCCCTCTCCCTCGCTCACTTTGATTTCGTTTTCCAAAATGTACGTTCCTCTCGTGGTTTACCCCCCGTTCCTTGCCGCTATAGCCGCTGTGAGCTTACTACATTACCTTGTCTTCTCCAGCAGCCGTCCACTCCCACTTAGACATGCGTTTACTCTCATCCTCGGGTCCCTATATCAAGTTCGAGTCGTTCAACAACGACAGGGTCGCCGCAGGTGGATACACCATACTCTCCCACGTCTGGCAAGATGTCGAGCAATCCCACAAGGACGTCCTCCGACTGGAACGCGAGGCTGCCGTGCCCGAGGACCCCCGTCTGAGCGTCAAAGTCCGGGAGTGCCACCGTCTCGCGCGTTCTTACGGCTTCGGCTGGTTCTGGGTCGACGCCCCCTGCATTGACCAGAGGAACAGCGCGGAGCTTTCTGAAGCGATCGCATCCATGTACCACTGGTACGCGAGCGCGTCAATCTGCTTCGCCCATCTCCCCGACGTCCCCTCCCGCGATCCCATCCGCGATTCCGCCTCGGCGTTCCGGCAGAGCATCTACTTCAGGAGAGGATGGACGCTTCAAGAGCTCATCGCTCCTCGCCGTGTTGTCTTTCTTTCCTCCGACTGGACTTTCTTAGGGGAGAAGGATGAACTCGCGGATTTGCTCGAGGAGATCACCGGGATCGACCAGGACGTCCTCACGTTCCGCCGGCGCGTCGCAGACGTCAGCGTCGCCCGCCGTCTCTCCTGGGCTTCGCAACGGGAGACGCGCCGTGTAGAAGACCAGGCTTATTGCCTCATGGGCCTCTTCGACATCTGTATGCCTGTCTTGTATGGGGAAGGCGACAAGGCCTTTCTACGCCTACAGCAAACGATCCTTGCGCAAAGCTGTGACCACACCCTTTTTGCATGGGGAGCGGTGACGGACATGTTGCCGACTTTAGATCTGGCAGACGTCGCTGAGGCATCCCTTCCGTACTCCACGACTCCACTCTTTGCATCGTCTCCTGCGGCGTTCGCGAGGGCTCGCTCGATGCACCCAGTTCAGATCGCGGAGTTCATTTCCTGCACGGAAGTGCTTGCAGGCGCCGATACCGGGAGTGCCAAAGTTAGTACACGTATGAATTATCCAGCCATCGTTTCTTACCGAAGCGTATCTAGCGACTACCTCGCTTTTCACTGGACCACTATGGCCTGAAGAGTCGTCTCCCTATACTATGCCGAGGATCCACTCCGCTTGCCGCCATCCTCGCATGTCAAGATCAAGCCCATTCGTACATTGCGTTGACCCTTCAGCCCAGAGGTCCCCAAGCCGTACTGTTTGATGTCCGGAACCTCGAGTGCACGGAGCAGTCGTCAGTCACTGTTGACGCCGGAGACACTATCAAAGCACTGAGGCTTGTCCGCGTTCCCATTGGAAGCTCAACTGTATCTGCTTCCACCCCAACGCGCTCTTCAGCTGCAGAATCGGGGTTCACGGTCCGGGTCATGAGTATTCACATCGCTACGCGCCGCGACTCCTTTTCCACCCCTCCGACCATCTCTTCAACCTCGCCGTATATGCCTATCTCTGCCCGTGTACTCAGGCCCTCGTGTTCCCTCAACTCCCCGTCTTCTTGCGGTCCAGCACAGCCGGAGATGACCGAAACTCACTCTCCCGACCGGACGGAAGGTTGACGACGCTCTATCGGTATCGTCCTCACTTCCTTGTCCATGCTCTGCCCACTCTAACATATGTTGGCATCTGGTCCAGATTATACTATTCCGGCTCTCGTTCCTCTGTCGACTCGGGTCATTACATCATTTAGCTTGTATAGCAATTGCCCTCTCGCATATTTTCGATCTCACTTTGGCTGACGGCTCCGCTGCCTTTGCTCTGTACCTGCTCTATTCCGCTTTGCATGTCACTGTATAGATTTACCTCAATCGTCATCCTTTTCTCGTGGCCGCCTTTCCCAACTGGGAGCCCCCGGCGGGCATACAGTGGCCCTTTCTCGAGGTTGCGTTGAGGCGTAGCATGGTTTTCGTGCAACTTGTCCTGAAGAGCAACGAATCGAGAGTTGGCCTGAACAAGGTTCCGCTGCTTGAGGTAGAAGAAGCTGTGATGCCGAAGTAAAATTGTTCGTCCACACTACGATTGCCTGGACAGAAATATGCACGGTTTCCTTCCGCCTTAATACAACACGAGGTCGGTACGTTCAGTCCGTGTATGATCATTTCAGTGCGACTGCGATATACCCATGCTCAACGGGTAAGCATTCGCAGTCGCTACAATATCCCCCGCGGGCACCAGAGCTGAGTAGCTCGAGCCGACTTCTGATATGCCGGGCATGATCATTGAGGATATTGGTTTGCGCGGAACGTAACAGGAGTGATGTGCAGCTAGTTAAAGTCGATGGGTTTGTACCACCGTGAACCTTCCCAGGCAGAGTGGGCGACCGGATCCATGCCGCTCGCAAAGCCCTCGGGAACCTGCGTCCTGGCGGCGTCCCCCAAATCCGCCGTGCGCCCAAACGCTACAGACGGAACCATCGCCCTCAGCGTGTCCAAGGTGACCGTGAACAACCCAGGGTCCAAATCACAGTGGATGACCACGCTGTCGATCGCGAGCGCCTGCGCGGCACCCAAATCCACGATATTGAACGGATTCCACACCACCAGCCCCTGCCCAGGAACGTTGTCCCCTACGAATATGCGCAGCACCTCGAGGTGCCACCGCACCCCGCCCACGAGCAACGGGGCAAAGAAGCCGCCGTACAGCATGACGAGGAACATGCTGAGGTCGTTCGTGGCGACGTTGAGCGCGCGCAGGCACGACATCGCGCGGACGCGCGCGAACACCTCGCGCGTACCCACGGGCACGGGCGGCTGGGCCTGCCGGATGCGCAGGAAGTCGAACGAGAACTCCTCGACGGCGGCGGGGACGAGGCGGTCGAGCTGCGCGAGCGCCCACGACGTGTCGCGGTCTGGGTTGAAGTTGTCGCTGTCGATGTGCTCGTGCGCGGAGAAGATGCGGAGCGCGCCGCGCGCGCTGAAGCCGATGAGGCCGATGCTCGAGTGCCAGCTCTGGCGGACGTACGCGAGGTACGTGAGCGGGTTAGGAGCGAGGAACGGTACCGCGCACAGGCAGAACATGACGGTGTTGAGACGGTTGATCGGCAGCTCGAGCACTTGGATGGCGAAGTCGGGTCGGCGGGGGTAGATGATGTGGGTGATGTTGGCGATGAAGCGGGAGGATACACTGTCGAAGGAGAGTCGGCGGAGGTGTGGGAGCATCTGGGGAGTGTCCGCAGGAGGCAGCGGATGCGGGGCAGGGTCGTCGGGGTGTATGGGCATATGTCCCATGAACGCGAGATGCTCCAATCGAGGACACCGTTGTAACAGGCCGACGATCGCAGTGATTTTGAGGGCAGGGCAAATATTCTGCAAGCACAGGTGCGTTAGGACTGTAAATTGATTGCCTGGCAGACAAGTGTGGCCGGCAAGGTGGAGTCTGCGAAGTCTTGGGGCATGTCCTGAGAAGAGCATGGGCGATGGCTGGTTGATGGGCGCCGTATGTTCGTTGTAGCAATTTAGGTATAGTAGCTCGAGTTGCGGCGCTGGGAAAGTAAGCACATCTGTCTTGCGCGCCTCGGAGTACAACCGGCCCCAGAAGAGTTCGCGTAGGCGGGGGCCGAGACCTGGAAGACGGGGAACGAGCTGGGAGTGATGATGTTCAACGTGTACTGATACGGGAAGCTGCTTCGAGTTTTGGATGAACAGTTCGGATTCGTGGTCGTCGATCACAGTCCACGGGAAGGCGAAGCTTTGAAGGATGTCGCGCCAGTGTTTGCAAATTTGTAGCAATTTTAACAAGGCGGTGCTCATAGGCACGCAGCCTTGCCAGACGGTGTCGTTAGGTGCGTTTACGACCTCCTCTGCGGAGAGCGCGTATTCGAATATGATACCCAAGACTTCGGCAGGCAGGGCGCGCAAAGTCGCTCGACGACTATTGAGCTCCGTCCGAGTGAGGACTTGGATATCTCTCACGTAGCTATCAAGCTGATCAATCTACAGAACTGGATTAGTCGTCATTTAAGAACATAGATATGGCATACTGACAGCATCAGTTCTGGAATATCGTAGCGTAATCAGCGGGCCTGGGTGGGTTGAGGTGTAGAGGAACGTACTGAGAAAGCTGCAAGGCTCTTCGAACTTCAGTGCGGCCGTTCCGGAGCGCAGAAATGAGCGTCGGAGGCGCCTCACTAAGTATATTTTCAGCTTGCATGGTTTATTGGGAGGCCGTCTATGCCCTATGATCAGCGAAGAGGAATTCAGATGAGATAGGTAACAGACGCACGAGCGGATAGTTATCACGGGGGGTGTGAAGGCGTTGAGAGGCTGGTTGCGTTGAGATGAGCGAAGTAGGGATATTAAACACCTTTTATGGCCAGCGGTACTGCTCCAGGACCTACAAAGACGAACAAAGAGGATAATAAGTCGAGCATGCCGGTCTCTGTCGCTATGGTTCGCCTCGGAGGGGTATGTCGTGCGGAAGCACTAGATGCGAGAAGTGGCAGTGAAGATAGCTACGGCATGCGAGTTGTCCCGTTGAAGAGCAACCGCGTACGTACCTGAACTACCAAGTTCGCAGTGTCACAACAAAAGAGTGTGGCATGAGAGACGTTCTCTCACTATTGTTGTAAGAGTCCTGCATGCATGCGTGGCTCCGGGGGGTATTTGTGCGAATAGTTCCATAGCAATGCTTGCTGTGCGCCATCATAAGGTGTATGAGGAGGGGGTTGTTGGCGGCGTGCTCGTCGTTTGAGATGTGCCACCCTCGCAAGCGGACTCAAGTGGCGAGGTACGGTACAGCCACCACGTGGTAAGTCACCCAAAACGGGAATTCCATGGGGGTGGCAGATCGGAGATCTCGGCTCCCATTACTTGTCCACGCTCCTCCGCATCCCCTCTCTTTGTTTCTTTGCTTATTGTCTTGATCATGTCTACTGTCGCATTGTGTGTCATGAGTACAAGAAGCAGCTGTTGAAACAGCTGGAATCTGAGCGCACTCTCATTCAAGATGGCGGGAGAACTCTGGTGAGTCAGACGCCTATCCGCACATGCCATCTTTCTCCTTCTCCCATCTGCCACATGTCTTGCGCTGCGAATCATGCTATCGGTGCAATTTCTAGCCAGAGCTGTTTTTCTATCTTATTCGACCAAATCCAGCGGCCGCTAGCCCCTGGGTGCCCCTGCGGCTTCCCTAGGCCGCCAGTGTCGAAAGTTATTGCAGCAACATTCGAACACATTCTGCAATAAGTAACAGAATAGTCGGACGAAAAACCTATGCAACGAACCTTCTTCGATTTGCCGGAGCATATGTGCACGACCTCTGGGACGCCCACGACGAATCTCAGACAGATGGTCCTTGCCACCCTCCCAGAGTGCAGAAGACGCAGCCGGAAGCAGACGAGCTTGCCAGTGAGGCTGCTGTTGTATCCGTGATCGGTCCCCGTAAGTACAGCTAACAGCTACCGCACGGAGACAGCGCAGCCGCTCATACAATACTCAGGCACCCCACCAGAAGACATGCCCGGCCTTCATAACCCCTTCTTCTTGGCCTGGGCGGCGCTACTTATTGATATATAATCTGTGTCATGCGTGCTTGCCATGAAGGCGCCAAGGTGTTTCTCCGTTCATCCTCCGAGCGACCAACCCGCAAACGCTCGGACACGGTCCGGTGGAGGAGTCCTCGCTTGTGACCCCGATCCACGGTCCCTCACTCCAGTGTTCCGCCCCCTGCTTCTATCAGTCCCTCGCTGAGCATTGGCTCTCATTCAATACTTGAGCAGCACCGGGAGAGTCCCGTCGAGTAGATAGATGACTTAGCGAATGTGTTTCTGTGTAGTAGTTGAGCTACAGTTGATTGCACGAGTTCTTATATCTGTCTTGTGCACGTATTCTACCTGATACACTTGTCATGAGCGCTTAGTGTCAGGAAATATGTGCGCGCGAGAGAGAACGAGTGCGCGACTACCACAGCGCACAGGTTTCGCGCTACGATGACTCGGACGCCGGCCTGGCCGTCCTGTCGTGAGGATGTCGGCCGTCAACTTGGGCAACTGTCCGCATAGTCCGGCGGGCGGACTGGCCAACCTTGCGGACAGTCCGCCGGGCGGACCCCGCGTCGGCGAACCTTGCGTACGATCAAGCGGGCGGACTGGCCAACCTTCATGCGGACAGTCCGTGCCGTGCCAACACTGACTGTATCCGAGCCACAACAGACGCTGGCTATGCCAGTGCACATATCGGTGATGAGTGCAACGCCCCGCTCATTGCGCGGCGTTGGCCTGCCATATAGACACCGCCATCGGCACGTCAAGACACTATGATGCCATTGAAGGCGGTCGTGGGTGAAACCATGAAGCACCGTCAATCCTCGGCTCGGTCTCCTGGGAACAAGCCGCGCAATGTCCCGAGGGCTATACACCCAACTATCTTCTGCTCTCATGTCTGCCATTGCATCAGCGCGAGCATCAACGACGCAGCAACTTACGCGTGCCCATCTTTGCGGGAGGCACCACCATGCATATACACTTACCTGCCTGCGCCAAACATCTTCCGCATGGCGTCCCTTCCGGCTTCCGGCACATCCGACGGCAGGCCGCCCTGCCGCTCGTCCCAGGGGGCACGCAGGAGGTATCGAGTCGCGTGCGTCCGCGCGATGCCGTGCCTGCGCGCGCTCGACGTCACCACGGACGACCTCAGCATGTTCTTCAGCATGCTGTAACGCGGCTTCCATGCCATGTTGTTCCTGGGCGGGCGGGAAGTGGCACCTCAAGGTGCTGTGCATATTCGTGCGGGACTACTGCGTCCCTGCAGCTGGGGAGGTGCCCGTGGTGCGGAATCCGGTCGGCGGTGCCCGGGCGGCGTACCGCCGCGCGAGAACGTCCTGGGGGCTGCGGGGGGGACATGTTTCGGAACATCTTCTGCGTTCCGAGTGAGAATGTGTGACAAAAGTGTAACCAGGCCGTAACAAGCGCTTGCACAAGGGCAGGCGGGAGCGGCTCTATAACGTCTGGTGACGAGACTACAAAAAGAGGGCGCTGAGCAAGGCGGAGAGCCCAGAGACATGCGGGTAGTATGTCACAGCCATAGTACGACACTAGGAGTAGGATGAATAGGCGCTGAAGATGCGGCCGCGATCAGGCGCTTACCGGTCACCACCTAGGCCGTTCTCCGTTCCCCTCAGCCAATCGCCCCAGGCCGCTCGGTCCCAACTTGTATCTGCAGTAGGTAGGTAGGCCGCAGCCTGGCGCGTACCACTAGCGATCCTAGGCCTATTTACATCTCCTTCCTGATTGGCGCTCGGGCGCCCCTCCGCTCTCCTGAGAGCTTGCTCATCAGTATGTCTGTCTGCCGCCGCCTAGGGGAGATCTACTAGCATACTGCTACTACTACTTGAACCTGAGCATGTCCGTGTGCGTAGCCTCTGACTCCCTCTCATCTCCCCTTGCTTCACTCTGTGCAGCTTCCTCTATGGTCGTTTGGGCCACTGAGCGCTCACACCTACCTACTTAGCATTGTTTTCGCCTGCACTAGCACTCGCCCAGGCCGTGTCCGACATGCTGCATTTGCTCTCTTCCTCCTGCCCCTCCATCAAGTTCAAGTCCTTCAAAAATGACAGTGCAGTTACCGATGGATATATCATCCTCTCCCACGTCTGGCAAGACATCGAGCAGCCGCACGAGGCCATCCTCCACTTGGAACGCGAGGCCGCCGCGGCCGATGACCCCCGTTTGTCCATCAAAGCACGGGAGTGCTACCGTCTCGCGCGTGCCTACGGCTACGGCTGGTTCTGGGTCGACGCCCCCTGCATCGACAACAGGAACAGCACAGAACTCTCGGAAGCCATCCGTTCCATGTACAGGACAACAGGAACAGCACAGAACTCTCGGAAGCCATCCGTTCCATGTACAGCTGGTACGCGAGCGCGTCAATCTGCTTCGCACATCTCCCCGACGTTCCCTCCCACGATCACATCCATCATCCCGACTCGGCCTTCCGGAGGAGCGTCTACTTCAGACGAGGATGGACACTTCAAGAGCTCATCGCTCCTCGCCGTGTCATTTTCCTTTCCTCCGACTGGATTGTCCTAGGGGAAAAGGATCAGCTCGCGGACTTGCTCGAGGAGATCACCGGGATCGACCAGGACGTCCTCACGTTCCGCCGGCGCGTCGCAGACGTCAGCGTCGCCCGCCGTCTCTCCTGGGCCTCGCAGCGGGAGACGCGTTATGTGGAGGATCAGGCGTATTGCCTCATGGGCCTCTTCGGAATTCACATGAACATCAAGTATGGCGAGGGCGACAACGCGTTCCTACGCCTACAGCAGAAAATCCTAAAGAAAATCTGCGACCACACCCTGTTCGCGTGGGGAGCGGTGACGGACATGTCCCTGACTCACGGTCTAGCAGACGTCGCTGGGGGATGCCTTCCATACTCCACGACTCCGCTATTTGCACCGTCTCCCGTGGCCTTCTCGAAGTCTCGCTCGATGCACCCGGTCGATATCGAGACGTTCATGGCGTCTACGGAAGCGCTCACGGATGATACTGCTGGCTATACGAAGGTTTGTGGCCGCAAATATAATTCGAGTACAACCTATCTCATTGACATGCATACAGCAACTGCCACAATTTTCGCTGGATCACTACGGCCTGAAATGCCGCCTCCCTATCGTGTTTCGGGAGTCCATCCCCGTCGCTGCGCTCCTTGCCTGCCAAGATCAAGACCATTCGTACATCGCACTTGCATTACACCCGCGGGGTCCTCGAAATGCAGTATACGGTGTTCAGAGCCTCGGGTCTGCGGAGCGACTGTCGGCACACCCGTCGGGCTCGGGACACGCCTCTAGCGCTTCGCGGCTGGTCCGCATCCCGACCACATACATCAGACTAGGTGCTGTCCCTATCGGTTTATCGTCATCTGCTACTGCAGGATTGACCGTTCGATTCATGACCATCCACATCGCCATGCGTTGCGACTCCCTTTCTCTGCTTACGTCCGTCGCTCCTGCCCCGCCATGCCACCTGCTCGATTTTACTCGTTTACCCAGGCCCTTGTGTCTCGCGATGTCCGATACTGACTTTACGGAACGGACCGAAAATTGATGTCCCATCGTTCAGTCTTCTCTCTTGGCGATTTCCTCCCCCTACCCTACCGCTGTCAATGCTGCCTGCTGCTCTCTACCTAGTACTCTGTCCCGCTCTGTCTCGCTCTTTGGTGTTGTTGTGATGTTGTGACTATTTCCCTCCTTAGATCCGCTCTTCCTACGGGCGTACGTATACCCCATTATACCAGCCGTGCCATGGCGACATTGCGCCGCCGCGACGCCTTCAAGCTTCAAGTGTAGAAAGATGACGATGGCCATCCAACGCATGTGCATACATATTCAAAAGCGATGAAGAAGCAACCACGGGGTGCATCCTCACGATGGCTATACATCATGTAGACGACCGGTTGATCCCAGTGTGCGCTTGCCAAAGCTGGGTGGGCGACAGGAGCGACGCAAGTCACATAGCATAGGGGGCGGGGGCCGAGCTGCATTGCAGCCGCGGGGGTCACTTCCGCCGTGACCATATGCCGATCATATTCCACAGACGGGCCTATCGCCCCCAACCGTGTCCACCATATGCTCGAACACCGCCGGGGAGTCGGGATCACAACAATCTCCACCTCGTCGACCACAAGCCCCTCCGCGGTACTAGGGTCCAATGAGCACGCCCCTCACCTCGGCGCGTACCCCGGGCCATGTCCCTGCACCGGTATACGCAGCACCGAGGCGTGCCACCGCATCGCCCCCGTGTCCAACAGGACTAGGTGGCTGCCGTACCGCAGAACAAGGAACACGCCGCAACGAAAACTCGGCGGCGGTCGTTCGCGCGGGCTCAGCATGTTTCCGATGCGCGCAAGCACCTCCCGCCCGAGTCCCGCGCGCCCACCGGCACAGGCGGCTGCGCCTGCTGGATGCGCAGGAAGTCATAGGTGAACTCCCCGACCGCGCCAACTTGAAGTGACGCGGCTGGCATTGATATTCCAGTCGTTGTCGTCGACGCACATGCATATGATACACCAGGTACATACTTGCGTAAACGTTGTTCGTGCGACAACTCTTATCAACATTACCCATCCTTCAGTTGGGGAAGTCCCACGCAGCCCCTGTCCAATCCGCGTTCGCGGCGGGCTCGTAGCAGACCTCCGGGAAAGGTATCCGCGGCCCCCTGCTCCCTTGATAGTACTCCACAAGCGGACCTAGCTGCCTCAGCGCCTTCAAGGGGCCGTCAAAGATCGTCGCGTCGAACGGGGAGTGGATGCGGACTGTCTCGATGAAGAGTTCCCAGTACGCGTCCGGGTCTGCGCCGTCGAACGGCTCGAAGAAGTCGCCCCGCCGGGCGGCCGTTATGTCCGGCACCACGACGATGTCGAGCTGCCTCACACTCCATTCGGTTCTCTGCGGACCCCACGCAAGCGCGTTGCCGTTGTATAGCCCGTCAAGGGCCCGGCTGAGGTCATCCGTGTAAACAACGAGCTGGTCCAGCGCCGGGAGGTTCATGATGAAATCAGTGATCAGAGGGCCGGGCTGATGACCGTCGTAGAAGCCGAAGTAGAAGACCTGGATATGCGCGGCCAGCGAAAGCTGGTGGAGCTGCTCGAACGCCCACACGTACGGCTTCTCCCGTGACCACATTTTGTCGTCGATGTGCACGGAGTCGGTATCGAAGCGGAGTGCAGAGTACGGACCGGATGCGGCAATATTGATGTGCGAGTGCCAGTGGGTGCGTATGTAGGCGAGGTGTGTGAGCGAAGCGGTGAAGGCGGTGGCATGCTCGGAGATCTTCACGGCCGTGAGGCCGATACTGTCCTCGCGCGGGATATGACGCACTTGGAGGGCAAATTTCGGATGGCGCGGAGCGAGAAAGCGGAGATAGTCGTTGACCACCTCTGTGGCTGTGTGGTCGAACGAAATGCGACGGAGGTTGGGGAGCAGCGGGGGATCCCAGGTCTTCGGAGGTTCCAGAGGGGGGTTCTGGTTGTCGTGTTCGGAGGACACGGCGATGGCGATGAACACGAGGTGTTCGAGCCGTGGGCAGCGCGACAGAAAGCCGATCATGTCCGAGAACTTGACGGGGTGAAAGATGTAGTTTAGGCACAAGTGCGTGAGCGACTCGAAACGGTTGCCCGGGAGCCATCCGACAGCTTCTAAGTGGAACCTGCGAAGGCTCGGTACGTAGCCCTTGAATAGTATAGGTTTATCGCAACCAGTATCACCGTCGTTGTCCATGTCGTCATAGTCATGGGAGATATAGAGGACTTCCAACAACGGGGCTCGAAACTCGAGGTCTTCGACCTTTGAGGCCAACGGGCGGTTCGTGGTCCAGTACAGCTCCCTCAGTCGCCCACGGAGCTCGCAGAGATGCAAGCCGAGTTCGGGGAAGCCTTGCTCGATTCCAGACCTTCCAAGGTGCACGGATATGAGGCGGTCCCGTGATCGTTCAACGTATGCCAGAAAGGCGTCCGGGTGGTAGTCGCGGATGACAGTCCACACGGAAGGCAGACCGAGGATCAAATGACGCCATACTCTGCTGACCCGCGAGAGCGTCCGTAAGACAGGACTAGTGCGGAACGTGCTTTCCCAGACACAACCTTCCGCCACGGCCGATATCGAGACGGTGTCGAGGACATATTGGAACGAGATGATGAGGATCTCGGCCGGGAGTAGGCGGTCTGAGCTTCGGCGAGTATTAAGCGTGCTTCGGGTGTTTACTTGGAAGTTGCTCAGTAGACGGTCGAGCTGTTCAATCTGGAGAGTAAAACTGTGAGAGAGCGTTGCGCGGGGCGTACACGGCGGACACCCACGGTAGCAGTGCTGCACACGTACTTCATGTCAGTGATGCGTTTCAACTTGCGAGTTATGTGGCTCTGCATACCTTGTACGCGCAACGTTGGAATGTAAAACCTCCTGGCAATTCTCCAGGGCGGCAGTCAGAACCGCAGAAAGGGTCTTGTCGAGACGATCTTCTGGCATGCCCACGGTGGGCTCCTGCATGCAAAATTGGATTGAGCATACAGAGTTCTACGCTCGCCTGCGTTAGATGCCAAGGCAGGCGTACCGATGCTGCGTCAATGTTTGCTGGAGTGTCGAGAGATGTCGCCGGGCTATCGATCGGTGGTCCTTTATACCACACTCCTTATTGCGTCCGAGGTTTGCACTGTCCCCGTAGAGAATAGTGTGCCTCGTTGCGAGCAGCTGTTGGCGCTGCACGTGAGAAAGGGACTGCAATGTCGCGATCAATGTCAATGTCGGTGGTGACGGCATGGGGCGGCGAAACAACAAGCTTCGCCGATGGGATCGCAACGGCTCAAATGTAAATCTGCTTCGCACACGAATCCTATTGTGTGTGCACTGAGTTGCTGGGAGTGGCAAGGGCTTGATAGGTCAACGTCGCTCGCTCGTAGATCGCAAACAAAAGGGAATGATAACGACCGACTGCGGCACGTCGTCACCGCGCGATGCCAGGCCGTATGACTATTGCCACGTTCCGTCCACTCCCGCTAGCCTGGTCGAACATGTTCACGAGCTCAACATCCAGGCCCGTACCCTGATAGCATATCACAGGCCCATCGTCATTGTGCGACGCATAAGGGGATCAATGGTTGCGACTTACCTGCAACGCCTCCCGCGCCCACAGCGTCCGATCTAACAGGAGTAGGCTCTCTATCACCGGGCCCACGATGCATCGTAACACATGGAAGACCGCGATCCGCCTCTCTAGAGCACGATCCGCGCGCACAAGGCGTCCGTCTGGTAGCCCCCGTTTCGTCTGCACGCGCTGCGCGAATGTCGCCCAATCGGCGTACGCGGCGTCGTTCAGCCGCCCCAGACGCTTCTTCGTCGGGCGACCATCTGTGGTCTCTTCGAGCGCAATATTTTTCTTCTCGCCATCGAGGACATCCTGAATGAGGGCCCGCCAGACGATCTTGCGGAGCGCGAGGCGCGCATCCCGCAGCGTGTCCTCAGTGCGCGTCCATTGCGAGGGTACCTGCGCGGCAAGCTGCAGGTGACTCGGGGAGAGCGCGGCCGTTGCACCCGACAGCGATCTCAGTTCCGATGAGAGGGGGAAGTCTGCACCATCGCTGTCAGTACACGGCTGCATGACTGAAGGCGAACTTGTCAGAACGGCCGAAAAACACATACCTTCCGGACGCAGCATGTTGTAACAGCATCCCACGATGACAGCTGCGCGCGGTGTCCAGGCAGCTGCACCAGTCTTTCCGCTCCGTGCCTCGGAGGCGAAAGCCCGGAGGATGTTGGGGGTAAGCGAACCGCACGCATGCAGCGCGACGAAAAGGACGGGCGCAGGGCCTTGTTCCACGCGATCTTGCGTACTGATAGGTTTTTCTGTCACGGAGCCCATAACAACTTCGCGTTCCATCCAGTTGTGGGTGGACGAGCGCAGGGTGTCCGCGTCGATCGCCGTCGTGACGTATGTGAGGGATCCATGCCGCGGTTCGTGGATCTTGGGCTCGCTATGCATCTGCTCAGCCGTGGCATGTCCAGCACCAGAAGAGTCTGCCGGATCGTTCAGCGCAGCCTTGCGTTTTGGCTTCACGGCGTCCCTCTTCGCGGCGCCTTGTGTCTGCACGTCGCTAAAGTCTAGAGCGAGTACATGCAACCCAATGGAGTCCCGAAGTGTTCTAGAGAGGTATGCCTGTTTATGGAGACGTCAGCACCCTATTGATGATCGGAAAAATATACTAGTTGTATAGCACACCAGCGCTGTGGGATGGTGTAAATGAATCACACACCTGCCCTGCACCTACGTCTACCACATGCTCGATTGAAGAGAGGGAGGGATCAGAATGCAGCATGATGCCGATGAAGTCTGACATTTGTGTGACTTCATGGGCCTTCTTGGGTGATATCCCAACCACAGGTGTGCTACTGCCACCAGAGGCCGACGGTCGTAGCATGGCGACAGCTTCCTGAGGCGAAGAGCGAGATTCTGTTCCTGAGCACGGAGAAACCACGGTCCCAAGCTCTCGAAGAAGCGCTAAGCGACTAGCATTTTCTATAAGGGTTCGCAGGGTGCGAGGTATTGTCGCCGCGACATCAGGTGGCTGTTCGTCCATGCCGCTCTCAGGAGTGATACGACACCAGTCATAGTACTGCAGAAGGGAGTACCACGAGTCGGCTCGAATATCACCGTCGTGCCCGTGAGTCTGATCCGCGCCCGCCCAATCCCACCAGTCGGACCAATCCAAGGGCGGAAGAAAAGACGAGGTGCCAGCGTCATTTGGATGATATTGGAACAGGCTAGACACCAGCGAGCCAGAGAGAAAGCTGAATAGGCCCGCAAGACGATCCGAGTCGCTGGATGGATGAAGAGGCTGCGGCATGTGGTGGTGGTGGTGGTAGTGAAGGTGGTGGCGGTTTCCCGGAGAGGAAGGGCAAGAACGTGCGGCGCCGTCACATTCTCGCAACGTCACGCTTGCTTCCTCCCACCATCTTCTCGACGTCCGCCTCCTCAACCTCGTCCTCTCACTCATATTTGAACCTGAATGAAGAGAGCTGTTGCGTTGGTGGACTATGCCAGCTCAGACGACGAGGAAACCGATGCCCGCAATCCGCCAGGCGAAGCGTCTCAGCCAGCGCCGCCGATGAAAAAGTTGAAGTACAACTCCCACTCCCGTTCGCTTGGCCAAGATTGATAACTAAAGGATTCTTTTCACACTTAGGAAACTTCCTTCTCTCCCAATATATCTCGCGCCCGAAGCTCCAATAGATAACCCAGCTCTTCACCAAGGTCGAGTCCGCACAACGCCGCACGTCGAAGGGCAATTCGCAGCATATGTCTACATCCCGCTCGTTGTAGAAAGGAATTCGAAACTTCACAAACTGCTTCTGCGCATCTTTGCTGCTGCGAAACTGGCTGTTCCCTCCCTCCACCCTATCGGTTTCTCTCAGTCGACTCTGAACACGGCTGACGAAACGGAACGAGATGGGAATGCGCCCGAAGACGGCGCGATGGAGCTACACATCTCCTTGAGCCGCCCTGTATATCTACGAGCTCATCAGCGTGCTGATTTTAAGCGCGCCGTAAAAGCTGCTGCTAAGTCGAAACGAAGGTCAGTCTCGCCCACTCGCTACTACTTCCTCTTCTTATGCATCGGACATAATTAGTTTTTCCGCGTCCTTCGCGACACTATCCGAGCTTACAAATGACGAACGCACTCGGACGTTCCTAACCTTGGAAATCGGTGCGGGGCATGACGACGTGGGTGCATTATAGTCTGTATATAGGACGCGCACTGATCAAAGCACAATGCAGTTCAGAGCACTGTCCGATGAGCTCACACCGACGCTGAAGTCCTTGCGACAAAAGGAATTCTATCAAGACCCCCGTTTCCACGCGTCGGTAGCATGGGCACTCCTCGATAGCGCTAAATCACCACCACAGGAATTGCGAGAGGCTGAACCTGCGCCAACACTGCCAACCTCAGATCTGTCAGAGAAAACGGATACGCCTCAAACCGACATTGTGGAGATACAAACATCGACAGCGGAGTCCTTTTCCTCGATACCATGTTTCCCGTCATCACTGGTGCCGGAGCTCACAGAAACGTTCGCACAAGAACTCGTGCGTACCGGAGTAGGGACATTCGAAGCAGAGGAGGTGCATGTGCGAATAGGCAAGGAAGTGAGCAGATGGAAGCTACAGGGATGAGTCTGTGCAGGAATGTCTCTACGCAGTGGAATTCCTCATCGTATCTCGCTGGTATAGAGAACGTTCGGACAGTATCGCACGCGTTACTTGTGCACGCAGCCTTCGCGGTTCAACCCGGCATCTCCCAGCTCGAGTACCCTTAAACTGACGCTGCATTAGCGACCGAAACCTCAAGCTCAACGAGACCGCGTGTTGCCTGACACTGACAGGGGATGCATCAGATTCCACGGAACAGGATCGCTCGTTTTGCTGAGTAAGTCACGGCGTCCGCAGTGGGGTATGCCACTCTCGTCCTATATAACCTCATCCCCTCCGTACTCATCCGCCCCTCCAAGGCTTCCCTAAAAATTACTGATTGCGAATCATCTAACAGTGATGACCGCTGCCACGGAGGCGCCATTCACCCTTGCGGTGCCGGACGCAGAGCTGGCCCTCCTTCACAAGAAGCTCGAGCTCGTTCGTCTCCCAGACGAACTAGATGGTGCCGGCTGGGGCTATGGTGTCCCCCTCGCCGACATAAAGCGGCTTGTCGCTCGTTGGCAAGATGGCTTCGACTGGCGCAAGGCAGAAGCAGGGATAAACAAGCTGCCCATGTTCACCCGCGACATCGAGGTCGACGGATTTGGAACGCTTAATATCCACTATGTCCATCAGAAGAGCGAGGTCAAAAACTCTATCCCGCTCCTCTTCGTCCATGGATGTATGTATTACGCGACCTCTCTCGATGGACACATAGGCTGACCGTATGCAACATCGGAAACTACCCAGGGCCGGGCGATTTCCTGGAAGTCAGGAAGATCTTACCTCTCTTGACGGCGAACACCGGGGATCATCCCAGCTTCCACGTCGTCGCCCCCAGCCTGCCTGGCTTCGGGTTCTCAGAGGGAGCGAAGAACCCCGGCTTCGCTGGCCGCCAGTATGCAGAAGTGCGCAGACTTCCAAATTATACATACCAGAGGCTGATACGACGCACAGGTTGTTCATAAACTCATGCTATCGCTGGGGTACGATGAATATGGTAGGCCTTTTGCATTCCTCAAATCATAAAAGATATACTCATGTTTCTGCCTTTAGTCTACCAAGGTGGGGACTGGGGGTACCCCGTAGGTCTTCCACGTCCCTGCGCGTGTTCTCATCCGACTGACCAGAGCTCTCATGCAGATCGGAATGCATGCTGTGACACACTACGGGCACAAGCACATAAAAGCGTGGCATACCAACATGCCAGAGTACGTGCCACTCCCTTCAATCAGCTATACTTATTAATCTGACGGAATGCGTATATCAGCGCTCCAGACCCGACATTCCTCTCGAATCCCCTTCTCTTCCTTAGCAAGCACACCATCCTCCGTTTCGACAGAGAGGCGCAGGCGGGCTTCCAGAAGATGGCTTTGCATCGCCAGAAGGGGAGGGGCTACGCCATCGAGCAGTGCACGAAGCCCCAAACACTAGGTTACGGCCTGGCGGACTCGCCCGTTGCTCTCCTGGCTTGGATATATGAGAAGCTCGTCAGCTGGACGGACAACTATCCCTGGACCGACGACGAAGGTAGCTTCTCCCGAGGGCTTTGACAATGCGACAAACAATGCTGACGACACGTCCCTGGTACAGTGCTTGAATGGGTGTCGGTCTACTGGTTCTCGCGCGAGGGCCCCGCGGCCTCTCTCAGGATTTACTATGAGATGACTGGCGGGCGCGCATACGACGAGTACGAGGGCACGAGACGAACTTCAGTCCCGTTCGGCACATCCTACTTCCCCGCCGAGATCTTCTGGCTCCCTAAATCGTATGTCAAGTTTCACTACTAGTAGCACTGCAGACGACATTTCTGATGTCGTGTCATTTACTCTGGCAGGTGGGTACGCACGATCGGCAAAGTGGTGTTCGAAGCCGTGCACGACAAAGGCGGACACTTCGCGGCGTTCGAGCAACCCGAGGCACTCGTTGGCGACCTGCGGAAGATGTACGGTGGAGGCGGGCCCGCGTACGGCGCGGTTCCAGAGAAGAGCGGGTATGATTGATGCGGAATCCAGTAATAGTACAAATCCTCCTCATGAGAGGTTTAATCTCAAGCGCGGAGCTGGTCCTCCACGGTCTTCCACTTCCACAACTTCTGGCCCGGGTTGATGAGTTCGTTGTCGTTGTCGCTGTGGTCCAGCCAGCCCTTGCCGATAGACAGACTGACGTGCATGGTCAGTCTCGCATGTCCCTTCGTTCGAGTCTCGGTCGGGGCGCTTACCGGAGGTAGTCCAAGATGCCGCCCTTGCCCTTCTGGTCGCGCAAGCTCTGCTCGAGCTTGTCGAGGTCGAGAACCTCAATCTCGCCCTTCGGCACGCCTTTGACGCTCGACACGATATCGCGCACCTCCTCGTAGCTCACGGTCGATCCTGCGATGCGCGCCTCATCCGGGACAGCGGCGGCGGTAGAAGGGTCGAGCGCGAGCAGGGCAAGGCTGCCTACAGCGCGCCCGATGTCGTTTTTCGCGGTGGTGGAGAACTTCTTCGATGCTGACCCGTACGGATGGTAGACGTTCTTCTCCAGGTCGAAGCCCACTGTAACAAACAGACTGTGAGACTCTGAACGCCGTATGTGACGGGGAGAAACATACGGTACGGGCTCAGGAGGATGTCGAGGAAGACGCTGGTGTATAGAGAGATGACCTTGGTCCCCGTGCCCTTAGCCTGAGCGCGGACATGCGCCCCGAGCCGCTTCTTGCCTTCCCACTCCGGCTGCTCATACCCGCTAAAGTTGACCAGCCTATGATCACTAGAAGGGTACACGAGGTCAGCATCTCACATTGTAGCAAACCGGAAAGCCCGGGACGAAGGCTTACAGTCCAAACTCGCTCAGGAAGTACACTTTCGCCCCGCTGTTCACCGCAGCGTCGTTGACCTTCTTCCGGACGTCCTCGGGCAGCACGGTGGGGAGAATGTTTGCGATGACGTCGACACCGGCGAGTGCGGCCCCTAGATTGTCGATGTCGAGTGCGACGATTTCAGCCCCCTTCTTGGCGAGCCCCTGGGCCGTAGCAGATGATGGGTCGCGAGTGAAGACCCGGACGGTGGTGAATTGCTCCCGGAACTCGGTGAGCAGTGCGACGGAGATCGGCTCGCCTGTAGGAAGTAACACTCGATGTTAGTTTCTGGTGCTCTGGCATGAAATGGGTAGGCCGCACCAAGTGTGCCCGTACCGCCAATGACGGCGAAGGTAGCTTTGATGCTGCTGCTGGAAGACATGTCTGAGGTGCTTGGCGTGTGTCTGTGGTTGGGTGCTGCGTCTGCCACGGACGACGGGGTATTTATCCCTTCGCCATGCGAGGCTCGGCACCGTCTATGACTCTGACTGCATGAGTAGTGTTCGAGCTACATCGTTGCGTTTGATGACGATCTCGTGCGCATCATGGTTGCGCGATGGTTGCGCGGGCCTTCGCAAGGGCTTCTGCAATCTCGTGCTAAGGGCACTACTTTTCAATCATAGATTCGTAGAACTGCGGGTGGGCGCCCATACTCCTGTGCCACTGCGCGGTCATGCAAACTGTAAAGTTGCACAGATAGATTTTGTCAAGTTCCGCCTAAGCGACTGGCATGCATGTTGTCGTACACAGCCGTACGCGTATGCGAGCCACTTCTAAACTCGAAGCGACGTCCGTGCTTAGTGACTCAAGTGAGACTGGGTCTCTCTCTGCCCCTGACTTCGGACTTCTGGTCATATCGAGCGCGTAAGCCGGGAAATGATCAGTATCCTTGTGCAACTGCCGGCCCACAGGTGCATTCCGGTGTCGACCTTGCTAAGCTCACTCACAATGGAAACCCTGGGTGCAACGTACCGTGGATGGCCTTGAAAATTACACCAGTACTCGCCCCAACGGGTGCTTCAGTATCGCTGCGTGTGTGTCGAGTACTTGTCGTTGTAGATTTCAGCGAGGAGTCGAGGACGACCGGGGGAAACGGGTGGACGCCTGTTGACGCCCACTACTCAGGTACTTAGCGCCCGTTTTCCTGTTTGCGCCTATTTGTACGCCAACCTACATAAGGCACAGGGCAAATTTCGAAGAGCGTCGCGTCTCTTCGTCGGACCTCTTCCCTCTTGCGTGCTGTGGCCTGCCTCAAACCCCCAGTATGGCGTAACCGGTACTATGTGAGTATGCCATTCTTTTCGTTCGAAGTGATGAGCTTTTTGCTGTGCACCAGTCGGATCCGATTGACGACAACCTACCCAGGTCCTCTTTTTACGCTTGAGGACCCTGATTTTTCTTCTTCGTTGACTGCATATGTCTCGACCCGATGCTAATTGCGCTCTTCCCTTCTAGATGCCTTCGTCAAGTCTTGTTCTTTCTACTCGGTAACCACAGCGACGTCATAAAACATGTCTTATTACTGTGTGCACTGCGCAATACATATACTATGTTATCCACTTCCATCTTACATGCTACATCGTCTCTCCTCAAAGGCAGCTATTTTCGATCATACCAGATGCATCATGCGTCGCGATCGACGGAGGGTGGTACGGGAGAAGGCGACGGCGTGCTCGCGACGTTCGCAAGGAATCGCTCCACGACGCGCTTGCCTCGGCGCAGGTTCGACAGCGATATGCGCTCGTCTGGCAGATGTGCTTGGTCCTACACATACCAAACAATGTCAGCATACCCATTGCGGAGCTTCGAAGCAACGCAGTCGTGCGTACCGTGCTCTGGCCCAGCGGCAGGTGGAGTGCATGGCAGGAGAACTCCTTCTCCAAGTACGGGACCGACGGGATGGACTGCACGACGCTAGGTGAGCACCACGAAACGAGCTCGGCCAACAGGAAGCACACGCACCCCTCCCTCCCGGATCCGTAGGGGGTCCACGCCCCACTCGTCCTTTACCGCGCTCTCCAGCGCGTGGAACCACGGGTCGTCCAGGCTCCCCAGCCACCAGTCCGCCGTCTGGTCAATCGTGACCTGTCGAAAGCACACACCTCAAAGTCAGCGACGACCCAAAGGCGATGGGACCCGGACACGTACATTCAACGTGTTCGGCGAGCGCATGCGCCCGAACTCATTCCTCAGGTGCTCCTGCACGGCCGCCGCGATCTCCTCCAGCGCCTGGTCGGGCACGATCCGCACCGAAATATGCGCGCGCACCTTCGATGGGATGACCGTCGAGTCTGCAGCACCACACCATCAGTGTCAATCGCGACGAGACGAGACAAGACGATAGGGACGCACTGCGCGGCCCGGACACCTCGACGTTGTGGATCGTGAGCGAGGGCTCGCGCCAGCGCGCGGCGAGCAGCGACGCCGGGGTCTGCGTCACGCTCGAGAGCACCTTATACAGCTGCCGCTCGTCCTCCGTGAGCGCGCGCACGCGGTCGTCTGCGAAGAAGGGCTCTCAGTGCAGGAACATTGATAGCAGATGGAAACACGCGACATACAGAAGTCAGGGATCGCGACGCGGTTGCTCGAGTCTGTGAGTGTGCCGAGCAGCTTAACCCTGGAGTGGATGAGCGACGAGTGCGCGGGGGGAGATAACGCCACGTCAGGCGCGACTTACATGTCCAACATAGGTTCTCGCGCAGAGCCGCCGTCGACGCCTGAATGGAGGTCTGGCCCGTCGTTTGCGATCTAAGACGGGTTAGACAAAGCTGATAACGCTTAAGGCGATCTGTCATACCTCGACGTTACAATGCACCACCCCGCGCAAGCCATACGTGATGCACGGCGTGTCCTCGGCGATCCATGTCGAATTGCTAAGACATGCCGCCGTCAGCACACAATTCAAATGCCTCCGCAAAGAACACGGCCTACCTGACCAGAATCGAGTCGATCGGCCCAATCGCGTCCTATAATCCGCAGTCAGTACCCGCCCACAACCCATTCTGCCCCACGCACCTTATGCCTCTTCACCGCCTCCGCAAAACCCCCACTCCCCGCTTCTTCTTCGCCCTCCACCAGCAGCACCAAATCGACCCCGAGCGCCCTCCGCGCCAACAAATCCGCCGCCGCACACGCCACCGCCATGATCGGGCCCTTGTTATCCGTCGCGCCGCGCCCGTACAGATACCCGTTGCGGCCCGTGAGCGTGAATGGGTCGGATGTCCAGCCGGTGGGGCGCGCGGAGATCACGTCGTAGTGTCCGTAGAAGAGGACGCGGGGGCGATTTGCGGACGTGCGTGTGCCGTGGAAGGTCGCGAGCACGAGCGGGTTCGTCGTCTCGCCTGTGGGTAGCTATATGCGTAGGTTAGCTTAGCGCGATTAGGAGAGAAAATGGACGGAAGGGACGTACGAGTGACGCTTCGGCACCGAGCTGCGTGAAGCACTTCCGAAGCCAGATCGCGGCCTGCCGGCAGTCCTCTTTGTGCACGGGCGAGTTGCTCACGCTCGGAATGCCAACAAACTTCGTGAGCGCATACACCAAGATATCTGCCCAGAGCGTGAACGACGACGCTCGTGCCACGCACCGCAGCCACAGACCAGACCTACGTACCGTTGATGCTTTTCGAGATGTCCGTCGTATTCCCAAAGCGGCTCAGCTCCGACAGCGCGTGCCTGTCCGACCTCGGCGGCGCGACCTCCCACACCTGCACATCGGGCGTCAACACTGCTCAGACACCCGACACTCGACGTGGATCGCTGCTCACTTTGATCATATCATCGTTTCCGCCCGTCACCAGAGCGAACCGCTCCGATTCGTCCTGCGCCTGCACCGTGACCGTGTCCTCGGCCGGGAAGCGCGTGATGATCGACGACAGGATGATGCCGTCGTGTGCGCGCCACGAGCCGACCAGGTCAAACGACGCAGACCATCGCTACGAACAAGCGCACCAGCATCAGCCGTCAGCCATCCGAAATAAACATGGCGTCTGTAGTACCTGTATGTCCCCATTCGCCGAGCACACGTACAAGTCGGAGTGCAACATCGACATCGACAGAATGTCAACATTCTAATGATATCTGCGTCAGTCCGCGCACCAACCAAGAGCGACAGATTGGCAGAGGCGACGACGCACCTCGACAACGAGAAGCGTGCGGACCAGGGTACGCGTCTCGAGATCCCAGACTTTGACCAGCCCGTCCTGGCAGCCCGCATACACCGTGTCCCCGCGCACCGCGAGCGCAAGCACCGCGCCCGCGCCGCAGTCAAACGTATGCAGCAGCTGCGGCGCCGCGTCCTGCGTCCGCCCGTGCGGGAGCTGCCACAGCTACCGCACCCGAAAATGTCAGCATTGGCAGCAGCAATCGATTCAGACGCCCCACTGCCTACCTTGACGGTCGAGTCGCCGCTGCCTGTCACGAGCTGCAGGCTGCCGTCGTGCGTGTCCTCGTAGAACGCGTCGTCCGAGCCTTCCCGGTTGCTCGGCAGCAGCGCCATGCAGTACACATACCCGTAGTGCGCTGAGAACACTACGTTTTCCGGGAGCACATGCAGCGTCGCCAAGGGTGCCTTTACATGATCGTCCTGCACGCACCCATCCTGTGGGGGCGTCGAAGGCCCCGAAGATGGTGACGACGACGACACTGAGGTCGCTAGTGTGTTCGAAACGGAAGTTGGCAGGCAAGACGCGCAGGTCGGGTTGCGCGCGTTGAGGTCCGCGGGCCGACGTGTGTACTGCGGGTAACTGTCAAAGAACTTGTGCGCCTTGCGCGAGATCGACGTTGGGGTGGACGTCCCGCTGTGGATCGAGCCGTCAGACGGGAGCGAGATGCCGAACGATGCGTGCTCTAGGGTCGGGATCGAGAAGGAGAACGACTGCAAAGACGTGTTCTGGCAGCCGAAGTAGATCGTCTGCAACTGTGGGCACCAGACGAGCGAGAAGAGATCGCCAGAGTCGGTCTCCAGATGTGGGTGCACGAGATAGAGCGGGGCGTGGTTCCGCGTGTTCCAGACCTAATGAATTATTCAGCGGTGAGGCGCGGTCGGGACCGAGCAATTCAGCGACCTACGCGAATTGTGCTATCGCCTGTGGTTCTTCGCGTCAGCTTGCATGTATGTTCCAGGAAGAAGGTGCGTACCGGAAGCGCTGAAGAGCCAGTGTTTTTCGGGGGCATATTCGAGAGCCAAAACGCTGCCGTTATGGCCCTTCAAGACCGCCCTAAGCTTGAAGGTAGTTTTGTCCCAGACCTAATAAATCGCGCTAGGTTAGACCAAATGCATCCCCATCACGCGATACCTACCGAAATCTGGCCGTCCTGGCTGCCAGTGTATATACTCTCATCATCGGCCGCGAGGCTCAGGACGGAGTTGTGTTCCTGTTGGAGCGAATGAAAAAGCTTCGGCTGGCGGTCGATGGACAGCACCGGTCTGCTGAGCGACGCTACAAGATTCGCGACCGGGGCGGGTTGGCCAGAGAAGAATGAGTAAGGAGGCATGGGGCGCACGAGACAAAGGCGCGCGTACGATCAGGGATGGCGGGGGAGGTCGGTTGGGAGGCCATCGCCTCGTGTTTATATTTGCGCGCGTGGCAGGATCGTGTGCGCGCCGCGTGCTAATGGGCTGTTCGCGAGAGGCAGTCGATATACGAGGCCGAGTATTGGGGCAACCGACTGCACTGCTGGGAAGGGAGAGCGAGATGACAGTCCTCGCCACACCCACTTGCCAGCGCTCTTGGGCCCCTAAGCGCTCGTCACCATCCCGGCTGTGACTCGCGCGACCTGAGATCACCGCCTCTTTGACGCCCTCTTCCGTGCATCCTTCCGATATTTCGCCCCCGAGCCTGCCAATCCCCCTCGCGACGTCACTGCACGATCGAGAGCCCGCATGGATCCTGTTCGCGACGGTCGAGAGGCGTTGCCTCCCTTGTGGCGTACGGTAAGCGTGACGGTCTGTCACACCGAACTAGAATCGCTCCCGCGAGCGCGATGCCCTCTCCACCCCCGCAGCTTGACGTTTCGACAGCGTGATGCTTCTTGCCCGGAAACCTGTCCTGCTGCTCGTAAATAACACATACGTATTGGTCGAACATGACCGCTTGGAGGCGCTCATGAGTTATGCAGTCCCCCGCCTGACCTCCGCGCAACGAGTATCCTGTCGAATACAGGCCATTCGTCAAGCGTTATCTGACAGTCGCCTGCACGATGCTGAGGCTGGGCAGGCCCCGGGACGACCCAGGTTGCCCCCTTTCTCACTTCTCTGGCTCAGCCACACATCTCACGCCAGATATAACCGACTCTCTCCTCGTGGCAAGAGGAAGGAATTAGAGCGGGTTACAGAACCATGCATGCAACGCTAACGTGGCAGTTTCTTCCGCGAAGCCGTCGAGATGTTGCCGTCCCGTCTCGAGCTCTAGCGGCCGCTAAAATGTCTCAGGGCCCAGGTCCCCAGCCCCTAAGCGAGAGGCAAGATCCGGATAGAAAACCGATGATGTCACGACGGCCGGCACAGATTCGAGAGGCTGAGAAAGCGGAAAGCATGATGGGATAGCCAAGTCTGCGACGACAAGCGGAAGAGTACTGCAAAGAGAGGCGTGTGCGCCCAACTAATACTTAGATGCCGAGAAGGGGTAAACCGCACTCGAGACGCCACGCCACGAAATAACATACACCACGACGACTACACGATGTCTTCTTCGTCCGCCGCCCGAATCCGTCCCGTCTCCAATGCGCGTCCCGAGGAGGAAGCAGTGCGTGCGTGCCCGTGTCTGTGCCTGCTGGAAACGTGCGCGCGCCCCCGCTGCAGTCCGCCGCCGCCAGTGTCCCACGCGCCGCGCGCGCACCAGCACCAGGCGGGTAGACCTGCGCGGGGAGCCGCGGCGGCGTCAACGTCAACATCCACCCCGCTCTCCCCAGTCAGCGCGGCTCAGGCTCACTGCACGACGACGACCGCCCCCGGGAGCGGCGGGCTCAGACCTCGGGCACGACGTGCTCCTTGTACCAGTTCTGTAGCCACCGCTCGGCGACGGCATACTCGCGCTTCACCCGCTTCAACAGCGGCCCGATCTTCGCGAGCGCGTCGGCCTCTGTGAGGTCCTTGCCGTTCTGTTCGTCACGGAGGGCGCCGTAGTGTTGGATGTCTTCGCAGGAGGCCTGGACGGCGGAGACGCCCAGAGCGGCGGACGAGCCCTTGAGGAAATGCCCGAGCGAGGAGAGCTTCGCGAGATCCTTGCTTTCACTGTCGGCGTAAATGCGGGTTATTATACACGAATCAAAGGTGACGGAGGGCGGGACGTACAAAGCGTTATCCATATCCACGAACGTAGTACTGGCTTGGGCAAAGTACGCCTCGGCCATGCCGAGGGAGAAGTCATGCGTGTCATCTTCATCGAGATCAAGGATTTGGGTGAACGTTTCGAAGTCTATAACATTCTTCTCGTCAACCTGGATAGGAACGATACGCCGTAAGCGCATACGATCGCGGATGGAGATGATGGACGGAGACGGGAGCGGACCTCATCATCTGATTGCGACTCTGCGGGTGCGGGCGTGGCACGAGAGGATACGGGTGTCTTTTCAGGCGCAGGGGTCGCGCGAGAGGAGGAATTTGGCTGAGGGGAGGCGAGACGGGCGGCGATGGACTTGGGGGACGGAGGCGCGAGAGAGGCGGCACGCGAATCGGGGGCTTGGGGCGAGGGCGAGCGGGCCTTGGCGGCGCCGAGCTCGCGCTCGGGAGACTTGTAGTGTCCTGCGACGGCCGTCTTGGTTTGCGACATCGAGCTGAAGAGGTGGAGGCGTTGGGAGGGCGTCGAGCGAGAACAGAGGAGGGAGACGGAGTGAGGGAGAGAGTCAAGCAGGAGCGGACGACCGGAATTATCTTAACCAATCTGGCTGCTCTATAGTTCGTGCTCGATGATGTTATAATACTCGTAACCGGATTCCACTTAGACGTCAGATTAGATAAGTAATTAATCGATCCTTCCTGCCGGGCCTGCTTACCGATCGCCGCGACGGATCTCCCGCCCACGGCCCTCTCCCGCATCCCACCAGCACGCCCATTCATACGCCCGTAGGGACCCGTACAACCCCCGCGTATTCGTTTGGAATATGTCAGTGTTCTCGCTCTCCTCGGATGCCCAGGCCCAGCCGTTCAAAGGCGAGAAGATCGAGCCCGACGTCACATCGGGCCACCTCCACCATCTTACCCCAGACCAGCAGGCCGCGTTTACCACCTTCAAGGAAATCATCGCCAAGGGCCAACTTTACTCCCCAGACAAACCGCACCCGACGCACGATGACCCGTCTCTGTTGTGCGTACCCTATTCTACTCGCCGGCACCCTAATTTGACGTCGCCCTCAAGGCGGTTTCTGCGTGCTCGCCGCTTCGACGCCCAGAAGGCCATGAAGCAGTTTGCCGACTCCGAGACCTGGCGCAAGAAGCACAATGTCGACGCCCTATATGCCACGTTCCCGGTAGACGAGTTCGAGGGCGCCCGCCGCTTCTACCCGCGCTGGACGGGGCGCAGAGACAAGGTGAGGTAACTCCACAAAACTGCCGCTTACAAAACATAGGAACGGCCACGATTCCACGCAGCTTCCGTGCTTACAGTAAGCAACGAAACGATGGTTTACAAACGTTCACCTTCCTACCAAATCTCAAGCTGCCCTTCACGGCCTTGAGCCCGTTAGGTACTTATTGGGCTTAAGTTATCCGCTGCTCACTTGGTACGTCGAGAAGCCTGCTGAAGAGCTCGGTGTATCAATTGAGCAGCGACATATACGAGTTGGTTACATGGTTCAGTCACATCAGCAAGGCCTTGCTACCGTGCACAAGTGCGGGGACAGATTCGACATGGAGATCTCGCGATCAAGCAACCTCCACCCGTTCCGTGTCCGCTGAACATCTGCGCTAGAAGGCCTGACTTTCCGGAGCCCTGCGCCCTAGACCTGCATTTGGGGCATGCCGACATGTGCCGCATTTTTGTTATGCTCGCATGTATAACTCCCCCAAGACGAGGGATATGAAAACGGCCTTCCGATTTCTGAGCAGTTGTATCCTCGTATCCATTACTCGACTTCGGCTTACGTTTGACACGCTAGAACGGCCTGCCCGTATATGTCTACCGCATCGCCTCCCTCGCCGGGCCCCTGCAGAAAGAACTCAACGCCGTCGCGCCGGAGCGTCGCTACCAGCGAATGTGAGGCGTGCTCGTGCTTCCGCCCCACTCCATCAGCGGCACTGACCCGCCGCCGTGCACGGCACCCTCTTCTCTCCTCCAGCGTGGCGCTTTACGAGACCATGACCCGTTTCGCGCTACGCCTATGCACTCACCTGCCGCACCGCACCGCGCCGACGCCCATCACCTCCGTCACGACAATCATCGATTTGGAGCAAGTCACCCTGCCCGCGCTGTGGTCGCTCCGCTCGCACCTCCAGGAGGCGTCTGCGCTCGCGACCGCGAACTACCCCGAGACGCTAAGCACGATTGCGGTCGTGAACTCGCCCTCGTTCTTTCCGACTGTCTGGAGTTGGATTAAGGTACGTCGCCTGCCCGTCTGACGCGTCGCATATGCAGTCCTACTCAACGTGTACAGCCCTGGTTCGACGAGGGCACGCGCCGCAAGGTTCACGTCCTCGGGAAGGACCCAGGACCGACGCTGCGCACCCTGATCGACCCGAAGGATCTGCCCAAGCCCTACGGCGGCGAGCTCGAGTGGACGTTTGCGGATGAGCCCGTGCTAGACGACGAAGCGAAGGCCCTCATAGGTGAGATGCCGAAGGGGCCAGCCCTCTTCGAGGACGGCGAGGTCCGCCGACCGACGCCTCCGAGCCCTGAAACCACGGACGCCGCTCCGAGCAAGTCCTGACAATCGATTAGACACACGGACAGTTGTAACGAGTTCGCACTTGGTCTTTTGTGTATTACCGCATTCTACATAGAATATTGCTAGATAGCTACAAGTGACTGACATGACAGCAAGGTCCGAGAGAGAGGGAGAGCAAAGCACATACAGCGACCACAATGATACCAGAAATTATAAGTCAGCAGACGTATTACGCCAGGACCATGTCGTCCTCGGGCTCGGCCGCGACGCCGTCTTCGCTCCAGATCTCCAGGAACTGGTGCGGGGGTGATCAACGGAGGCCCGCAACATACGGCAGGGAGCGACTTACCCTGGTCGACTGAGCCGCGGCGTCTTCACTAGTCACCATGGGAGCAGTGGCGAACGGGAGCCTGTCCCACGACAGCGGCCGCTCGTGTTTCCGCGTGGCGGGCCTGTCTCCCACAGCGCTCTTCTTCCCGATAACGAACTTTGAGCATTTCCTATGTTTTCTGTCAGCTAGGCGCAGAACATGAGCGGGCGGTCCGACTTACTCCTCGGAGATGCTATAGAGAGCCTTGAGGTGGGCTTTGAGAAGCATGATCATAGCCACCATGATTGAGCTCCGCATCAAGCCAAGATCCTGGATGCCGACCGAGGTCACGACCGGAGCCGCGGTCTGGGGTTGAGAGGAGGGCTCGGCCATCCCAGAAGCGTCAGCCATCGGCACGTCCTGCATCGCTGACTGGGGAGCGGTCGGAGCATGCAGCTGTGTGAGCAGGTGCGACGGCGACAGCGTCTCGACCAGCTGCATCCCTGCCGTTGATAGGACAGCCGTCAGGGACTTGATGACCGTCAGCGGCTCCTCCTGGGTCTTATACTCGAACGAAGCAAAGTTCTCCGCCATGTAGCGTGTAAACTCCACATCGTCCTATGGAGACCCATGTCAACATCGCCATGACGCCGTAGCCCACTGCACATACCTGCGAAGATTTGCCAAGCTCGACGTCGAATACCTTCACGAGAGCGCGGAGGAAGTCTTGCCGCGTCGCGCGCTTCTCGCGAGCCAGCCCATACCACCGCTGCAGCAACGCCGACGGGCACGGGGTCATGCGGTAACCCTTGATTGCGCCCGGGACAACACGCTTCTGGTAGTCGAACGAGGCCCGGGCACTGTTCACGAACCGGGCGTTCAAAAGCGACGTGTGTTTGGAATGCAAGATCGCGTGCAAAGCGCTCGCACGCGAGCTCAGCGCAGGGAGAGCGCTCGTCTCGAGGGCAACGATAACGGGGAACGACTGTGAGACGCGATGCGTTAGTACCGCACATCCTGAGTTGAAGCTAGAACGCACCTGTAAAGGATGTGCGAGGCCCTGCTTGATAGTGAACGTGAGGATGTCGACAGCGGCGGCCTGGATCTGCGCATTCTGGGATAACGCCGCGTCCAGGATCTGGTCTAAGTAGCGCTGCACGATCGCCGAGCTCACACTGCCGCAACGCGATGAGAGAGGTATCAAGGCCGGAGATGAACGAAACGTACCCTGAGTCGGCAAAGCCCTCGGTGTTGCCGATGAGCTCTTCCATGTTGACCTTCCCGGCAGCCGATTTGCCCTTCGGCCCCGCTACAGCTAAAACGAATCGATTTCAACAATGTATGACAGTCGGTGTGCCGAGCTGACACACCTTTCTCGCTCGCGGCGTGCTTCGCCGCCTCCGACATCAAGAAGTCTTGCAAGATCTTGAGCAGGCGTCCTCGAGCCTCTTCAGACGACGAGTTGAAGATCGCATCCATGATCTTGGCGGACGGCTCTACTGTCATCAGAGCGGGCTGAGCGCGGAACAGGAAGCCTTCGTGGGCGTATGAGCAACATAAGCTGATTTGACTTCTTGCCGAGCATACCTAGACATTGCAAAATTCGTCCTCGGAGCCCGTTGTCTTCGTATTTCTCGTACAACTTGAGTAGACATTCATAGACGTGCTTGGTCACGGAATCCTAGACGAAAGAGGTGAGCGAGCAAAATGAGATGCATGTCGGAGACTATATACCGTGGTGATCTTATCGATGTCCGCCTTTAGCTCTACCAGTGAGGTCAGTACTGCTGCGACAAGGCAGTAATGCAATACGGTACGCACCGGCATGCTCAACTCGTAGGCGATCAAAGTTGCAATGTTCACAGAGCAGCGAGGTAATGAATAGCAGGATAGAAAGCGCCCGCTGCTCGGCGGCGGTAAGAGCTTGAGTCGTAGGTTTTTTGATCGCTTGCTGCAGACGAACTGGTGTGCGCGCGTTCAGCGATGAAGTCTCCGCTGAGCTGCAGCCAACCTACCATTGCACGAGCGCAAGAGTCCGATAATGCGATCGAAGCTGTGAGTGATGTGTTGCACGGTAGCACACATGCATGCGACGGTTTCTTGCAATCCCTATCATGCAGATTTGTTGAATGAGGACGCTTGCATATATGAGTTGAACTACAGACCTGTACGCCGGCAGCGGTGGACGGCCTGAGAATCATCGGCTGAAGAGCTAGCTGCAGTTCCTGCCCGAACTTGGCTGCAGTCTTGGGCATATGCGGGATTGAGGCGCGGAAGATCTTCAACAGCTGCTCTGAGGTAGTCTGCTCTTCGGGCTTTGAGGACGATCCCGTTAGACACGTAAACACAGTTGTATACCGAACAGCTCACTGTGGTAGCGTTCTTCAGGTAAGGGAGTAGTGTTGCGGCATTTGAGCCAGACAGTACCGCAGGATAGGCCGATGTGAACAGATAGATTGTTTGCACACAGTTCAGCACAGTCTATAGCATTGTCAGCATCGGGCAGCCCACACCGGCGATGTCACTTACGAATCCAGGCAGGTCGGATGCGTCGACCAGTCCGTCAATCAAGGTTTCGCAAACCTCAACATATCGTTGGTGCAGCGACGTCCGATCATTCTCCTCCTTATCCGCCATGACCCTATGAAGAAGGTCCTCCAAGGGAGACTGTCCACCCCTGAACTTTGCGGCGACGCCCATGATGATCGCCACCTTCGTGAGAAGGTCCGACTTATCCTGCGAGGCACCATTCGCGCGTGTCGTAGTCGCCGGCGTCACGAACCACAGTTCCTCGATGGTCTTGATCGCTAGGTCCTTGACGGTGTCATCTTCGTCATGCATGCGGAGAGCGATGCGCGTGCAGACGTCGATGCGAGTGTCTCTGTCCTCCGTGACGTTGTAGTATGCCTTCAGCAGCTTGATCACCCGCTTACGGACGCCTAGACCTGTGTCTGCAATGCGGTCGGCGATCTTCTGGTAGTAGTCCGCGGCGAACTTGGGGGAGTCGACTATGTACTTGCCGATGAGCTCGACAGCGGCGTCCCGTACAGCTGGAGAACTGTCGAGAAGATGGGTTTCGATGCCTCGCTTCACATTAGGCTATCGGTCGTCCGTTAGCACCATCCGCGAGTCCATTAGAGCGCTGTTACTAACCGCGGAGAGAATACTAGGGTCGCTAGTAACAATCTGACCAAGAGCCTTCAGCGCTTTGGTACGCATGAACACCGGTGGCGCATCCAGAGCTTGCAGGACGACCGTCAGGATAGGATTGAAGGAGTTGCGCAAGCTCTGGCAGGTTCCGATCTCTTCTGAGAGCCTGTCGATTCTGGACACCTCCTCGTGCGTAGTCCTAAATGTGCCTCAGCAAGCAGTCCCAACGCTAACTAATTGCAAAAATCGTACCCGATGTCGAAGACATCACCAGACGCATCGTCCCATATGCCGCGCATGGCGCCCTTGAGCTTGGAAGCCACCGACTTGATACTCTTGCGTTCGGTCTTCGGGTTCATCTCCTCGTCCCCCGACAGCATTTTGTCACAGTCTTGTAAGACGAGCGCGAGTTCGTGACCCCAAATGACGGCAGTGAGCTCCCGGGCGCTCTGTAAACCAGTTAGCTATAGCCTACGCAGACAGACTCAACTACTTACATCGAAGGCTTGGTCCTCTGACGATCGCCTACAGAGATCGCTCTGCAGGTCCTGATGGGCAGCTACCAGTTGCTGGAGTCTAGTGGTGTCGAAGGAATTCATGATCTAATCACAAATCATGATAAGTGGCAAAGTGTTGAGTTGCGCGTCAATCACATACCTCGTCTAGAGGGGACAACGCTAATTCCTCAGACTCGCGCTTGAACTTCAAAGTGCTAGTTCGGATGTGCGCCGCAATGACACCGAGATGTTCTAGGGCCAAAGTCTTCACAGCATTGTTGTCCTGCGCAGTCGACTTCACATCGTCGAGCGAAGACACCTACCGCCCCGAACATGTCAATAAAACGTCGTAAGAAACCATGTGCGAAAACGTACCATGAACTTGCAGATGATGCCCAGTATCAGACTGGCGGCAGGCCACTCGGGCCAGAACAAGACGGCAAGCAGATCCGAGATGAGGTTGTCGAAGATCGCACGGTACTCTGCTTCGTTCGAATTTTTCGTCGTCTTCGTCTTACCCGACCTGTTCAATATCAGTCTCCACGTACAAAAGAAATCATGCGCGCGTGTTCGTACCTTTGCGTCAAGAAGATAACGATAGTCTTCGCCGCCTTGGTGGCCGAGTCGAGCCCAGACGCATACAAGCGGATCTCCTCCATGTCGTGCTCGTCGAGCCAGGGTTCCTTCGTCTTCTCGTTGTAGCTGTCCTGCCTGCGCATAGCGAGAGCCTGCTCCCGCGCCTTGCGGATACCCTTCGCCTCGACGTGCACATCGTGTGCAGACGTCTGGACCAGCTGCATGAGCAACGCAGACACGGTGCGGATGGACCGTCCGTCCCGCAATCTAGCCGGGCTTGAATGACCAGGTTTACGCTTGAATGACAAGGGCACCCACCTGAACTGCCCTGCCCTTTGCTTCGTGTCCGAGAGCTTGATCAGAGACGACAGGATCTCCTCGATGATCCAAGGCCGCTGGTCCTCGTGGTTCGCGAAGATCTGCGGAGCCTAAGTGAGCACCTTGCCCCTGAGACGAGTGAAGGGTCTTACGCTTCTAATAAGGGAGAGTGCGTCCAAACGCAAGCCTCTCATGGCACTGCCACCCAGAACCGCGATGACCCCACTATTACTACTTGACTTCTTGCCCTTGCTCTCGCCTTCTGCCTCTACAACAAAGAACGGTCCGATAGCGATATATACCGCTTGGATTATGATGCTCTCGCTCATCGCCATTGAATCTGCACCAATCAAGTCGTTTATCCTAGGCAACACTGACGAGATCGCTTGGAAGACTTCGCTGGCGAGTCGACGCTGCACACTGTCAGAAGAAGCCAGTTGAATGAACTGCCGAAGAATGCCGGATGTCTGCGCGTCGTTGGGAGACGCTTCAACAAACGGATAGAGGATCCTTGTGAGCTGGTTCTTGACGGTGGCGAGGCATGCGGTGATGAGCTCTTCCGAGTACAGCTGGGCAGAAGAGTCAGCTGGCTGCATACAACTACGTTATAGACCTTGGGAAGTGTCCCTACCTGCTTGGGCAAACGATCACTCCCTAACAATGCAACACAGCAGTCTGCGGCCAAGACACTATCCCTCGCGATCTCGAGCGTCCGAGTCAACGTCTCAATGTCCTGCTCTGTGACCGACTGCTCTGCTGGAGACTCGTCCACCTCCATGCTCTCGCCTTCGCCCTGCTCGCCAGGTGACTGAGACTTGGATCGCCTACTCTCCGCCTGCGCCTTCTTCCCGTTCGCGGCTTTCTTGCCCTTCCCGCTCTTCGAAGAGGGTGCACCCGAGGGACCGGAGGATTTGAAAGGCTCCAAGTCCTCTCCCGCACGGACGCTTCGCTCAAGCATCTTCAAGATGCGAGAAAGGATGGCGGTGTCGACGTCGGCCATACGGCAGCGGTACCGTGGTGTTTTAGAGGCCGTACCGTTCGCGTCACGGGAATTGATCCGTTGCCGTTTGCTCGGCCGCGCGACTTTGGTGATCTGCGTCATGAGCTTGCGGATAATCGTGGGGTGCAGATGTGGCTGGGTCCCCGGGATGGTAAGAGGGGAGAACCATTCCACAGGCAAGTCGTAAGGCTCGACCTCCGGAGGCAAACAGTCCTCTGCCTCGAAGATGTCCTCGAGGAAGGTGATAAGCTTCTCGATAGGTGCTGCGACGACCTCATCAGATAAAGCCCTGACTATATGCGCTGCAAACCCACCTCTGTCGTCCCTTTCTCCAGTAGCCTTTCGCCCCGATGACTTCCCGCTCGCCATGACACCACGTCTCGGGCTACTGTCCATCTCTGATCCGAAGCCTCCCAGGTCGTCGTACTCGTCAGCCGTCTTTGTCCTCGCCTTCCCCATAGTGGTGGTCGTGATCACGACCTCAGGCCTCTGCTTCCTGTGCGACACGGGGGTATGATACGCTCTTGGGAGAGAGGGCACCTCCACATATGCGGCAGATTTCTTGTGTTGAGCAGTCAGCACAGGGGTCTTTCGATGCTTCGGGGGCGTGGTTATGACTACCTCAACGAGTTGCTTGGGCCGTGGCGGAGTCTGCGTCGCCCGCGCGTTGGGGATCGGCCGGTTCGGGTCTGCGATCTGTACGCGTTTGACGGTGGGCGAATCGAGGTAGTTGTCGTGCTTGCGCTTGCGAGGAGTCATCTTCACATCAGGACTAGGCTGCGAAGCGGCCAGAGGATCCGGGCTGCCTATGTCAGGTAAAGGCTGAGGCTGGCGGGGGGTGAACGCCTCTTGCGATGGGCGTTTCGCATGCTGTGACGTTTGCGGGGTGGGTCGCTGTTCAGTATGTGGCGGCGGGAGGACTTGCGCCGATTGACGAGTTGCCTGAGATGGCGGCCTCGGCGGCAAGGGTTGTGGCACCTGCGGAGGCGACCTTACCGACGGCAATGTGTAAGAGATGTACTCTGGAGGTTCTCTCGCCTGTGGTTGACTGCGAGAAGCTGGCTGACTATACACCCTGGCTACTTTCTGGGGGCTCAGAGCTGGTTGGCTGTACACCCTCGACGGGTGCGCTTCCCGAAAGGTCTGCTGAGGAGCCAGCCTCTGCGTGGGCGAGCTATATTGCCCGGGCGAGCTATGTTGTCCTGGCGAACTATGATGTACTGACGAGCTGTGTTGGTAATACTGCTGCGCCGGTGGCCTCGCCGGCATCATGCTCTGGGAACTTTGTTGCTGAGAAGGTCTCCCAGGCTGGGATACCGGATACATATATTGCGGCGGGGGCTTCGCAGGCAGGAGAGCCGCACGCGGGGGCTGAGCGGGCGTCTGTGCGAGGAAGTTGTTGAAGAATGCAGGAGAGTCCTGAGGCTGGTAGGTCTGCCTAGGCGGTTTGGGAGGCGGGGGACCGAGCGCTCCTGCAAGAGAGGACGAGGAGGACGAAATACCTGGGGGTGGCGGTGTCGGGTAGGACGTGGAGGGCGTGGTGTGATTAATTACAGACTGGGCGAAAGTATTGGTCGGATAGGCAGAATGACGGGATTGAGAAGGGGGCCATTGGGGAGGTGCTTGATAGTCAACATATACACTGTTAGATGTGAGCGGCTTGTAATATTTGTAGACAAAAAGGAAAGTACGAACGGTCCCTGACCGGCTAAGTGGTGAACTGCTTGATTCCGCGTGTTCTCCCAGTACGCTGCACCGTGGCCAGATGGCTCGGGGTTCAATATATGCGCGAATTCTCTTGCATATTCTGTGTATTGAGGATACCGCGGCTGATGGTAAGATGCATTGGTGGGCGCGGGGGCGTATGACTGAGTGTAAGACGGCGGTGCAGCGGAAATCGAGAGATTGCTAAGATGACGAGCGACTACAGTGCACATTCGTTAGCATATAGTCGATGATCTAGCGTAATAACTGACCATGAGTAGCCGGGGTTGCAGAGCCGTAAGGATATGCGGCCAAGAGCTGGTGTGCGTCTTGCACAGAGTCGCTCGCCGCGGCAGTGGGCGGAATCGCTTCCGCAGCATCGTACGGCCCAGGTTGCGTAGGCTGGTAGTGATTATGATGGTGACCGTTCATGATAGAGAAAGCGGCAGCTCTAGGAGGAAGCGAGCAGGATGAGGGGAGGCCGCGGACGTCGCCGCAAGACGCGACCAGGCTGCTGCCTCTAGGCGCCCATTTTCGCCTTGACGCGGTGTCGCGTAGCCGTCACGCGTGACAAAGCCTTTCTTAGCCACCACCCCACCAGTGGCCTGGGGCAGCGAGCTTGCTCGCCCTCCATGAGGTCCTCTGAATGTTGAGCAGCATTAACGAGGGTTGCGTTCCTGGCTTGAGTGAAAGGTATACTCGTCGAATTCGGAACATAACAAGTGGCGCATATATCGAGCCGATAAATCGATGAATCGAAAGCACTATGGCGAGCTCGAAAATCCGAGGCGCAAAAACATAACCACTAGGAATAAGTCAGCAGCAAACAGTACAGGAGAGGCTACAAGCACAAGTCGTAACAAGGTCGTAAATCATTAGAGGTCGTATCAAGTCATTAGAGCTACCGCTTCGAACCAGAGCCAGAGTCGTCTCGCATCTCTCCACCTATATCCTGCCGATGATGAAAGCCATGGCCAGCCTTCGTCTTCACTTCATGCCAGAATGAGTCCCAATGACGCCCCTGCGCATGCCCTTGAGGTGGTGTCGGACCAGCGCTGGCCAGTGGTGAGGGCATGGGAAGCCCGTCCGTCGAGCGGGCAGCCTGGCTGGCGAACGCCTCCTGCTGGGCGGCGTTCACGCGTTCGACAGCCTTTATCAACGATGGTGTCGCTGGAAGAGGCACGAACGTAGCAGGCGCGAGTGTAGCCGATGAGCCTGTTCCGTTGCTAGAGGCCGCCTGCGAGAAACCCGCCGTCGACTGCTTGTGACCAAGCTGCCGTTGACTATGCCGCCGGATGAAGTCGGGGGACCAATTCTTTCCGTTATGAGCAACCGTCCGCTCGTGTGCCACACCTGATGTCACGTCTTCCTCGTCGTCTGAAAGCGTGTCGAGCCTGACTCGGCGCGCTCCCTCTTGACCCTTGACAGGTACAGGCCCGTCGTTCGTGAAAGTCGCCATAGAGTCGGTCCTAGTCGGGGAGCGTACAAACGCGGGTACCGCTTTCTTGAGGTCATCGTCGTCGTCCGAGTCTGACAGCGTATACGGGTCAAGAGGATCAAACTTGACGAGTTCCCGCGTTCGGCCTCTCGCCAGCACCGGCTTGCGATCCTTCCGCAAAAGTTCTTGAGGCGGTGTGAACCGTCGCGGCGACTGAGTCGGTGAATGGGGGCGTGCAAACGAGGTCTTCTTGTACAGCTTCAGGGGAGAGTCGGGGATGGGACGCTTGAGGTCGACGTCCGCGGGGAAAATGATATCCTTGTGGATAGGATCCGTGCCGCCGTGGCCGAAGTGACGCGCCCAGAAGGATTGGAGCGGTTGGAACGTGCCGGCGCGGTCAGATGCGTTGGGTAGGGTCGATGCGTATTCGGCGAGGTAGCTGTCCCATTTCTGCCAATCACCGTCAGTAACAGCGTGGGTCGAAGTGGTATGGATCGCATACCTCGTCGGGATTCTCTCCAAGCTTGACTTTAAGGAACCAGTCACTCGCAGTGCCGACTACCAAGAACAGGCAGAAAGCCGCGCTGAGGCCCTTCTCCTTTGCCGTGCCCCATTCGCTGCCGTCGTGAATCCACAACCTCCCCCAGACGTCAGACCAGGCGGAAAGGTGCGCTAGAAGCGCGATAGCCAGGATGGTGCCGAAAGAACCCGCCGACGCCATACCGACGCGCACGAAGACGTGTTGGGTACGGGCAATCGGCAGAAGGCACATGAGAAGTCCAATGGGCATGAATACGGCGACGAGGACATGGCGCGTAAGGAGCGATGGATGCACAATGACAGCGAGTGCTAGCGCGAGGGTGGAACTAGTACACCGTGGCGTGAGTATATGCCTTCATTAGCACTCTTCGAGAGGACTCACTATCCAGACAGGCCGGCGAAGCCAAGCGCCGCGTGTTTCCACCGAGCGGCAACAATGGCGCAGATGATACCAGAAAGCATCCATACGGCAACAAACGCCCCAGGGGTCAGCGGGGAGTCGGAGGTGACGTTCGGAATGAGGAGGGACAGGAAAGTAGTGAAGTGCACTACATTGATATCAGTAAACCTGGCAAGCCTCGCAGAGCTGAGGACCATTACCTCCGAAGACGTAGCCCACTGCAATGCCTCCGATACCACCTTCCAGCCTGAATATACGCTTCACGACCGCCTCCGCGTGTTGGACCTTGGTCGTCTCCGGCGAGTGGAGCGCGTCATAACGCGGGGCAAAGGCGCGCGTACGATCAAGCGTGAGGAAAGCACCAGCGAACGTGAGCAGGAGCGACAAGAACAGCAAAGGTAGGGCATAAGCAAGGAGATATGGCGACGAGGATAGAAGTGAAGAGAGAGTGGTCTCTGTGGAAGTCGACATGTCGATAGCTAATGGAGATATGGGGCGTCAATGCAGGGTCGTGAGCGTTATGTGAGATCGTGAGAGTGGTCCGAAAGCCTGAAATTGGGCGTATTCCTCGTCCCAGCCAGGTAGCTACGAGGCGCAAGCTTCTTGAGCAGACGGGACGGGCCTGAGGCACGGATGGAGAGGAGGGACAGGGAGGGACCTGAAGGGACGAAGGCAAGATGCGTGAGACGCTGGTGGTCCGATCATGACGGGCGCCTATCGGCCAATATTACCGAATTTTTTGGCCTTCGATGAAGTCGTTCACCTTCTCGCAGCCTAGCGCAGCTTGCAGGAAACTTCCCACTCGCTCATGCACTCGACCGTTACTTCTGCTTACTTCTACGCCCGGACGAACCACAACAGAGCCTACCGCTGAGATTTCGAAAAAAGATGGCTAAGATTGCAGCCCTCAAGGGCATCTCGAACTCGCCTCACCATCGCCGAAGGCATTCTTCGCATGGCACACCACAACACAGCCGGTCGCTGAAGCGTGAGCATGCCTGGCAGGATGTCTCCGACGACGACATGGAGGTCAAACGCTCCAAGAAGCATATATCCACTCCGAGCAAGTCTGGTCGGCACTCAGACCAACCACGCAAGAAACCACGCCTTTCCGCCCCTGCCGGTAACTCCCATGCATCGTCCTCCAAGGACCCGTCGTTACAGAAACAGCGGAAGGAGCTTCCCATCTACACCGGTATGTGTTCCCGCCTTTTGCTTTACCGCAAATAATTTACTGGATGTGCATACCACAGGCAAGGAGGCAATCGTGGATATCATCCGCCAGAACGACGTAACTGTGTTGATCGGAGAGACTGGCTCTGGAAAGACTACTCGTACGTCTCACAAATCATCTACAAGCCCCTCCATGTCTCAGCATAACATGCAGAGGTCCCGCAATACCTCCTCGAAGCTGGCTTCGCAGGGCCCGGCATGATCGCCGTCACCCAACCGCGCAAAGTCGCAGCCACTTCCCTTGCATCGCGCGTCGCGGCAGAGCAGGGCACCTCTGTCGGCGCAGTCGTCGGGTACTCCGTCCGTTTCGACGAAGCGTCGTCCCCGGACACGCGGATTAAATATGTCACAGACGGTATGCTCGTGCGCGAGCTCCTTGGGGACCCGCTTCTTTCACGGTACAGCGTGGTCGTCGTGGACGAGGCACACGAGCGGACACTCCGCACCGACCTCCTCATCGCGAACCTAAAGACCATCCAAAAGATTCGCAACGTGCCCACAGATGCTAAGGGTAAAGGGTCCGCGGCCAAGCTGACGCCATTGAAGGTGGTCATCATGAGTGCCACGCTCGAGGCCGAGAAATTCAGCAAGTTCTACAACAAGTGCGTCGATACCTCGAACCAACGGTGGATGTGCCTGGGGCTGACATGGCTGGGTGCTATAGGGCGAAGATCGTGTATGTGAAGGGCAGGCAGCATCCGGTGACCATCTACCACACATCGACCGGTCAGCCAGATTACGTAGACGCAGCCTTGCGGACGTTCTTCCAAATTCACACCGACAAGCCGCAGGGCGACGTGCTGATATTCCTGCCTGGACAGGAGGACATCGAGAGCCTCGATAAATCCATCCAGCTCTACGCCAATCAGCTGCCGAAGGATGCGGCTGGAGTAAGTCCGTAAATCTGCAGAGTCACCGGGAAAGCTGACACAGCCCAGGTACTCATCTGCCCCATGTATGCGGCCCTTCCCCCGAGCCAACAGGCGAAGATATTTTCGCCTGCGCCGCCCGGTATGCGCAAGTGCATCCTCGCCACCAATATCGCTGAGACGTCGATCACCATCCCCGGCATAAAATACGTCATCGATACCGGCAAGTGCAAGGAGAAGCGATACGTAGCACGACAAGCCGGGACCGGTGAGTGGGCCCACTACCGACCATCGGAGGACATTTGCTCAACGCGGGACCGCATACAGGCTTCGATACCCTATTGACTCGAGATATCACGCAGTCCTCCGCTGTGCAGCGTGCGGGTCGTGCCGGCCGTGAAGTACGTCGTCGTGTTCATATTCGATTGCGCAGCATCCCTCAACGTATCTGTCCCAGGGCTCAGGCTTCTGCTTCCGCCTGTACACCGAGGATGCCTTCAAAAATATGCCGCTCACTGCGGAACCGGAGATCCGCCGGTGTACGCTCACGTCGAGCCTGCTCCAGCTGAAATGTCTCGGCCAGGACCTGGAAGAGCTCGACTTCATGGACAAGCCGGACGAGGAGACCGTGATCTCCGCGCTCAAGACGCTCTTCCTCCTCGGCGCGCTCGACAATCGCAAGGCGCTCACCCCGCTCGGCCGGCAGATGGCCGCCTTCCCGCTCGAGCCCCCGCTCGCACGCGCACTCATCGCCTCCACGGAGCTCGGATGCACATCCGACGTACTCACCATTCTCTCCGTGCTCTCGGCGTCTTCGCATCTGTTTGTGGACACGCACGACGCGCGCGATGCCGCCGCGGACGCCCGCCGCAAGTTCCGACACCCCGCCGGGGACCACCTCACCGTGCTGAACGTCGTGCGCGCGTACGAGGACGTCGCGGCGGGCGAGAGCAAGGCCGGGCGCCGCGAGTGGTGCCGGCGCATGTTCCTAAACGAGCGCTGTCTCAGCGAAGCTGCGAACATCCGCGCGCAACTCCGCGACGTGTGTGCGCACATGGGCGTCGACCCGCGCACGGGGTCGGGCGGGGGTGACAGTGAGGTGCCTGTGCTAAAGGCGCTCGTGCGCGGACTGGTGCAGAACACGGCGTTCCTGCAGCCGGATGGGTCGTACAAGCAGGTCATGGGTCCTTCGGTGAGAAATGGATGCAGGGTGTGGACGTGGGGAATGATCGCTGACATCCGTGTAGATTGTGAAGATCCATCCGAGCTCATCGCTTGCCGATAAAAAGGTGCCAGTTATCATTTACGACGAATTGGTAAGTTCAATGCTTGCTCTCCTCCTTGCTTGCGTGCTGAATGCGGTAAATGCATAGATATACACCACACAGGTCTACGCCCGCGGCGTGTCGGCGGTGCCGCGGAGCTTCATTGCGGAGGTGCCGGTCTTCCAGCAGCGCACTGGTTGAACGGCCGTCGCACCTCCCTTCAATGATGCTGTTTGCCGTTTTTGTTCACATGTAATTGCTATCACCGGATACCGCGAGCGCTCTCCCGCCACTGCTACATATTACGAGGATCAAATACAGGATGAATGGATTCGCAACGTCACCGCGGTAGACGACTGCAAACAACGATTTTCGTGTTCGTAGTAGAGCGACTGTGCGGCCATCCGACAATTTTGTTGACAGGCTCTGCGACATGTCTCGCATCTACGTCGATGTCTACCTGTAATTGTGCATGCTCTAGGACTGCTGATACTTCGCAGGATTGCTTGATTCTGCTGCTTCATCTAGGGCTAACTTTCGTGACAGCCAAGGAGGTAGTAAAGGAAGGTGACAATGCGAATGTTAAGCCGCCGACTTCCGTGGACGCAGCCGGAAGCCTCGAATTTTGGTTACCTGCTTCGTCGCCTGCACGATACAATCTGGACGTGCCCTCTCAGCTCCCCTCGACGAGTTACGTCGCGATGTATAGGACCTTTCCGGGGCATCCATGGTATTTTCGACTAGCTCATGTAACCGATATTCAAAGTTCAATATGCAACAGCGTTTGTTTCGCCATATGTTTGGAGGGTACCTTCTCGAGCACTGCTTCATAACGAAATCCTCTCGTTCATGCATCACTCATAGCAATAATTGTTACGAGGCAGTACGCTGCAATACGTCCGATTTGCCCGGGATACACTCCACTCATAATGCCAGTAGTGCCCCGGTCGAGACCGGCTGTAGTCCGGGTGTGCGTAGCGTCGATCTAAATGCCGGGGACCTGAGTCCGCACTAAGCCTGATTGAGCGTGCCGCCCTCACTTTGACAAGCTTTGTGACAGGATCGCGCCGGTGCATGTGGACCTTCGTCACCCCATCTTCCGGCCAAAAGTTGGCATCATGATCGGGGCAGCCTACCGTGCGCTCGCGGCCGCTCCGGGAGCGTTGCGCAGGTCAGGACTCAGAATGAGTCGAGGGCCACGTCTCGCTGCCGTCGATAGGCAGCGCAGTCGACTCCGAGACTTGAGTCGAGTTAGGCCTATGCCAGTCTCCCCTAGGCACTGGCAGACGTACCGATGAGCAAGCTCAACGGACGGCCTATGCCTCGGCACCGCGGAGAACCGTCAGTGGATGATGCAATGCGTGCTTGCCTTGGCATTCCGACGAAACTCCTGCGCATGATGCATATGCACGGCCGGTGCGGCTTGTTTAACGTTACAGCTGCTCAGGAAACGAATAGGAGGCCGTGTTATGATCGCCTCGTGCTTGAGAGCCGTTGAGGCTTTCTTTACCGCGTGGGGCCGAATAAACATCTGGCGGTCGGTGTGGCTTTCACCAGCGTTGTCGGAGCCCTGCGCCATAAAGCTACTATATTTGGGTGTGTAGATGCGTGTTTTCTGTAAGGCTCCGCATGTAAACGAAAGCTCACGCCGTCAGCCAACGCGAGCGATCGGAGAAACTGTCTATTTTAGAACATACATACTGCTACTTGCAAAGACTATTCAAGTTGAGCGCTCCGTATCCACGGTGGAATCCGAACGATCGGGCACCGCATCGAGTTCGTGAAATAGACGTTATTTGCAGTGGGGGTGCGCCCGTTGGAGTAGTTCAATATTGCGAGTGGAGCAATACCAGATCCTGTAGATTTCAGCCTGTTCACAGTGCGAGAGGCCCACGCGATGGCTCCATGTAATACAAGCGCCGGCACCACCTGAGCTGGTACAAACCCGCTGCAAATAACCTCTAATGGACGACTGTCACTGCATACCTGCTTACCATTGATTTAAGAACAGCTATAAACATACTTGATAAGTACTACAGAGCGCTCCGTATCCGCGGTGGAGTCCGAACGGGTCGGGCACTGCATCGAGTTCGCGAGATGAACCACTGACCAATCAAGAAGGCTGGCCGCGGGTGGATCTAGGTACGCGGCCGTTTAATGAGGGACACTCGCGTGTGGCAGAGATCAGCGACGAGGTCGCCGCGCCGTTTGCCTGGGGTCGCCCGGCGCGTCGTCAGCGCTCCGCGTGCGGCCAGAGTCAGGAGAAGTCAGGACACGCTGCGGAGGCGAGGATAGACTGCGTCAACTCGCGGCAAGAGGCATGCTGGAGAAGGTGCGAGAAGGGATACGAGTACAGGCGGCCGCAGTGCCGTGTGTGCAGTTGGCAGGAGTTAGATACGCAAGATAGACGCCTGTGAGCGGCGCACGATCAGCGACGCGTGAGAGCTGCAGAGTAGAGAGTGGGAAACGTACGATTCTCGGGTGCGGTCTGGTAATGAAAGGGGTTCTGTAAGTGCAGCAAGGATGTTCGGAAGGGTCCAGAATGGCGTAGCCATATGGATGAGGAGGAGTGGATGCTTGTGGGCGCCTTTAAGGTATGCCTGCCAAGCCGAGAAGAGACGGATTGCGGGGAACAAGCGCCGCGGACCGTGGGGGCCGTGGACCTCCGCGCTACGTAAAACCTTCTCGTCAGCGCACTTTCCCATCCGGAAGCTGCTCCCTGTCACCCCACGCCCGCTCGCCGGCGAAGTCGGTCTTCGACCATCGGCGCAAAAAGCGTACAGGCGATGCAGGGCAGGCTGTTCAGCATGGAGGTGGAGGCGGAGGCGGAAAGCACGGGGCAGGGACTCGGCAGAGGAAGAAGAATGAGACGACAATCTGATTAGATGAGATGGAGTGCATGGACGGAGGAGGCGAGAGGGCGACGCCGGCTCGCCGCGTAATTGGCTTTTATAAGGATGGGCTGCTTTCCCCTGGCCTGCTCCTTGCCCGTCACGGTCCTCGTCCCCTCCCTCCTTCCCTCCCGCTATTTATCTTGCGGCCCCGCTGCTTAGCAGCTCCCTTCGCCATCCCAACCACCATGGCGGCCAGTTCGTCCACACATTCCCCGGACATCAACGAGAAGCAGTCCGCCCCCTCTCAGGCGGAGGAGCCCGCCGTTAACCAACCCGCTCCCACCAAGAAGGGCTTCTTCAAGCGGAAGAGTGCAAAGGTCGAAGATGATGCCTCGCTCGCAGAAAAGGAGTCCCAGGACGCCGTCGTCCCTGCTGCTGCTCCCCCGGCAGGAAACCAGCTCCAGCCCGTCTCATTCCTAGAACTCTTCAGGTCAGTCCATCCCCTTCCCCACGCGTCCACTCCCGCCAACCTGTTCTCTCAGGTTCTCAACACGGAGAGAAATTGCTTTGGACATTCTGGGGTTGTTTGCAGCAGCGTGTGCCGGTGCTGCTCAGGTACGTTGTCAACCAACCGTACTGCGCGTAACCTCTCACAATTGGCCCTCATAGCCTCTCATGAGTTTGCTCTTCGGTCGTCTCACCCAGGATTTCGTGACCTTCGGTACCACCCTCAAGGAAGCCCAGGATCCTTCAAATCCCGACCTTCAGGCTTCGGCAGCGGCCTCACTTCCTGGCTCCGCAGCTGCGTTCAAAACTTCGGCCGCCCTCAATGCTTCCTACCTCGTTTACATCGGTGCGTCTCCTCTCCGCGGATGTCGTTTCCTTTTCCCTGATCACTATTTAGGTATCGGCATGTTCGTTTGCACTTACACTTACATGGTTATTTGGGTCTACACCGGTGAGGTGAACGCCAAGCGGATCCGCGAGCGCTATCTCCGGGCTATCCTCCGTCAAGATATTGCGTATTTCGACAACGTTGGAGCCGGCGAAGTGGCTACGCGTATTCAGACCGACACTCGTAAGCACTCACTCCTGCCTCTCAGATGTATGCATTCTAATGGTCTCTTTTAGACCTGGTGCAACAGGGCATCTCTGAGAAGGTTGCGCTTTGCGTCAACTTCCTCGCTGCCTTCGTTACGGGTTTCGTACTTGCTTATGTCCGCTCCTGGCGCCTTGCCCTCGCGATGTCGTCCATCCTTCCCTGCATCGCCATCGCTGGTGGAGTCATGAACAAGTTCATCTCGGCATACATGCAAATCTCCCTTCAGCACGTCGCCGAGGGTGGTAGTTTGGCCGAAGAGGTCATCTCGACCGTCCGTACCGCGCAGGCATTCGGCACTCAGCGTATCCTCGCGGACCTGTACGACGTGCGTGTAGACAAGAGCCGTGCAGTCGACCTCAAGGCTGCGGTCTGGCATGGCGCCGGTCTCTCGTTCTTCTTCTTCGTCATCTACGGCGCGTACGGCCTTGCCTTCAACTTTGGTACAACGCTCATTAATGAGGGACACGGTAAGAGTGCTGCTACGCATATCAGCGACCGTCAGCTCACAGGTTCATTTAGCAAACCCTGGACAAATCGTTAACGTAATCTTCGCGATCCTTATCGGTTCCTTCTCTCTCGCTTTGCTTGCCCCCGAAATGCAAGGTACGTAGTTGCTGCACTTTGTTTGGCTCGGTCGTTAACGAGACCGACCGCATATAGCCGTCACTCAGGCTCGCGGTGCTGCTGCCAAGCTCTACGAAACCATCGACCGCGTTCCTCTCATCGACTCCGCTTCAACCGAGGGCCTGAAACCTGAGAAGTGCGTCGGCGAGATCACGCTCGAGAACATCGACTTCAACTACCCCTCCCGCCCGGGTGTTCCCATTGTCAAGGACCTGTCTATCACCTTCCCCGCCGGTAAGACTACTGCGCTCGTCGGCGCGTCTGGGTCCGGAAAGTCCACCGTCATCTCCCTTGTCGAGCGGTTCTATGATCCTCTCCAGGGTGTGGTCAAGCTCGATGGCACTGACCTCAAGACGCTCAACGTCAAGTGGCTCCGCTCGCAGATCGGCCTTGTCTCACAGGAGCCCACTCTCTTCGCGACCACAATCGCGGGGAACGTCGCCCACGGTCTCATTAGCACACCCTTCGAACACGCTTCTGAGGAAGAGAAGATGAAGCTTATCAAGGAAGCATGTGTGAAGGCGAACGCGGACGGTTTCATTAGCAAGCTCCCTCTCGGCTACGACACCTTGGTCGGTGAGCGCGGCTTCCTTCTCTCTGGTGGTCAGAAGCAGCGTATCGCGATCGCCCGTGCGATCGTCTCGGACCCCCGCATCCTTCTCCTCGACGAAGCGACGTCCGCTCTGGACACGCAGAGCGAGGGTATCGTGCAGAACGCGCTCGACAAGGCCGCAGCCGGCCGCACCACGATCACGATCGCGCATCGTCTCTCGACGATCAAGGACGCGGACTGCATCTACGTCATGGGCAACGGTGTCATTCTCGAGCACGGCACCCACAACGAGCTGCTTCAGGACGAGAACGGCCCATACGCGCGCCTCGTGCAGGCACAGAAGCTCCGGGACGCACGGGAGAAGCAGATCTCCGACGACGACAGCGACACCGCCGCTTCGGCCGAGAACGAGAAGGAGGACATGGAGAGGCAGGCCGCCGAGGAGGTGCCCCTGCAGCGCCAGAAGTCCGGCCGCTCGCTCGCCAGCGAGATCCTCGAGCAGCGCCAGGCAGGCGAGAGCAAGGGCAAGGACTACTCCATCCCCGAGATCTTCAAGCGCATGGGCCGCATCAACCGCGACGCGTGGAGGCAGTACATCTTTGGCCTCGTCGCCGCGGTCGCGAACGGCGCGACCTACCCCTGCTACGGTATCATCTTCGCGAAGGGCATTAACGGCTTCTCGGACACGACGAACGCACAACGGCGGTTCGACGGCGACCGGAACGCTCTCTGGTTCTTCATCATCGCGATTCTCTCGATGTTCGCTGTCGGCTTCCAGAACTACCTCTTCGCGAGCTCCGCCGCGGAGCTCACGTCACGCCTGCGCTCGCTCTCCTTCCGCGCCATCCTCCGCCAGGACATCGAGTTCTTCGACAAGGAGGAGAACAACACCGGTCAGCTCACGTCCACGCTCAGCGACAACCCGCAGAAGATCAACGGCCTCGCGGGTATCACGCTCGGCGCTATCGTGCAGAGTGTCTCCACGCTCATCATCGGCTCCATCCTCGGGCTCTCGTTCAACTGGCAGCTCGGCATCGTCGGTATTGCGTGTACGCCCGTGCTCGTGTCCGCTGGTTATATCCGTCTCCGCGTCGTCGTGCTCAAGGACGAGTCCAACAAGAAGGCACACGAAGCGTCCGCACAGCTCGCTTGCGAGGCCGCGGGTGCCATCCGCACCGTCGCGTCGCTCACGCGTGAGGATGACTGCTGCAGGCTCTACAGCGAGTCGCTCGAGGAGCCGCTCCGCCGCTCGAACCGCACTGCCATCTACAGTAACGGCATCTTCTCGCTCTCGCAGTCCATGTCCTTCTGGGTCATTGCCCTCGTCTTCTGGTACGGCTCGATTCTCGTTGCGGACCTCAAGCGCTCCACGTTCCAGTTCTTCATCGGTCTCATGGTGCGTTGCCCGTCATCCTTGACGTGTTTCCGTGCGGATCACTAACATATTATACCATGCAGTCCACAACGTTCTCCGCCATCCAGGCCGGCAACGTGTTCTCGTTTGTGCCCGACATGTCGTCGGCGAAGAGCGCGGCCGCGGACGTCCTGAAGCTGCTGGACTCGAAGCCCGAGATCGACGCCGAGTCCCCCGAGGGCGACGTCCCCACGAACGTCCAGGGCCGCATCCGCTTCGAGAACGTGCACTTCCGCTACCCGACGCGCGCCGGCGTCCGTGTCCTCCGCGACCTCAACCTCTCCGTCGAGCCCGGCACCTACGTTGCGCTCGTCGGCGCGAGTGGCTGCGGTAAGAGTACCACGATCCAGCTTATCGAGCGTTTCTACGACCCCCTCGCTGGTACCGTCTACGTGAGTACTCCAGCTTGAAGCTGTGGGAACGTCAGATGTTGATGTTTATTTGTGACAGCTTGACGAGCAACCGATCACGAAGTACAACGTCGCCGAGTACCGCAAGCACATCGCGCTGGTGTCCCAGGAGCCAACGCTGTACGCCGGTACTGTCCGCTTCAACATTCTTCTTGGTGCTGTCAAGCCCCGGGAAGAGGTCACCCAGGAAGAGATCGAGACTGCCTGTCGGAACGCGAACATTCTTGAGTTCATCCAGTCGCTTCCCGATGGGTTCGACACGGAAGTCGGTGGCAAGGGCTCCCAGCTCTCCGGCGGTCAGAAGCGTGCGTGTCCCCGCTCTTCCCTGTGTCGGTGTTCCATGTCTAACTGACGTGTTCGCTACTAACAGAGCGTATCGCGATCGCCCGTGCGCTTCTCCGGAACCCGAAGGTGCTCCTGCTCGACGAAGCGACGTCTGCGCTCGATTCGAACTCCGAGAAGGTCGTGCAAGAAGCGTTGGATCAGGCCGCGAAGGGCCGCACCACGATCGCGATTGCACACCGTCTCTCGACGATCCAGAACGCGAACTGCATGTACGTCCCCTTCATCTCCGCACTTCCACCCTCCATGTCGGGTGCTGACGTGTTTTGCTCTTTCTAGATACTTCATCAAAGACGGCTCGGTCGCCGAGTCCGGCACGCACGACGAGTTGCTCGCGCTCCGCGGTGGCTACTACGAATACGTACAGCTGCAGGCGCTGAGCAAGAAGTAGACGACGACGACGACGACGAACACGACCTCGGACCCCATCCAACCCCTTTCTCCCAACCCACGCGCGCCCTGCTACTAGATCTTGCCGAGTGCCCCGCGCGACACTCACCACCCACACCCAACACGCACCCACACATGTACGCTTACATTGTCGCCCATAATACCTGCCCGTTCCTGCTTCCCTCCGCCTGCCCCTCCCGCCTGACTCACTCGTCTCCCACTGATGACGCCTTATGATGTCGCCCCCTCTCACGAACACATTTCTCTTGGGCCTGTCGTACGCAGTTTAGTAGCGCATTTGCATTGCGGAGTAATATAAAGTATACCATTACGGATGCCCGGTTCTTCTGCTGGGTCGGGCGTGCCTTTCATCGTGAGGTGAGTCCTCATCTCTTGCTATTTGAGATGAAAGTACGACGTTGTGCATGCTCCGGCGTTTGCGCTAGACATCGAGGACTGCTCGTGGCGCTGGTAACCCGACTGTTCCTTTCACCCATTTGCGGCAAATATTGACGCGGTCCCCCGTCGAGACATGACCGACGTGTGGTAGATGCCCGACTTATCGGCTCGCCCGCTGGTATATCGTATAGGTTGGTCACCCTTCCTTTCTCCCTAGCCACTGGCCATCTCTTCTACGCGCTGCTCGACGATCTGATTATAAATGCACAGACGTCGCAAGACGAACACCATCCACGCTGCTGAGTCAGTTCCAACGTACAAGACGCCGCGGAAGCACCATAGGCACTGCCGCTTCCGAACTTGGTCTGCATTTCGAAATACCACACATCTGTGCCGCCCGGAGTCCGTATAAATGCAGCTCTTGGAAGTAGCAGATGCGACTTCACAAGACCAACGACCTCGACTCCCCTCCCATTCCTCATCGCTATCAGCAGCTTCACATGTCCGAACTTGCCGAACGACCTTTCACCCTCTCCGTGCCCGACGCCGACCTCGCACTCCTCCGCAAGAAGCTGGACCTCATCCGCCTTCCAGACGAGCTCGACGGCGCCGAATGGCACTACGGCGCGCCGCTCGCCGACGTCAAGAGGCTCGTCGCCCGCTGGAAGGACGGCTTCAGCTGGCGCGAGGCCGAGGCGCGCATCAACACCGTGCTCCCCATGTTCACCCGCGACATCGACGTCGACGGCTTCGGGACGCTCAACATCCACTACGTCCACCAGAAGAGCGAGGTGAAGGATGCGATCCCGTTGCTGTGGGTGCACGGCTGTGAGTGTCGCATATCGCCCTTGTCCCTGTCACAACCACGCTGACTGTGTTTGCCCAGGGCCCGGGAACTTCTTGGAGGGCAGGAAGCTCCTGCCTCTCTTGACGTCGAGCTCGCCCGACTATCCCAGCTTCCACGTCGTCATGATCAGTCTTCCCGGGTTTGGGTTCTCGGAAGCACCGAAGAAGCCCGGCTTTGCTGGACGCCAGTACGCAGAGGTACTCTGACTAGCGACCGGACATGCGAGACGCGGCAAGCTTATGTAGCGTGCAGGTGTTCAACAAGTTGATGGTCTCTTTGGGTTATGACGAATATGGTGTGTACTTCGTCGATCGTCACCTATAACCGGATGTTGACTCTTCGGCCACAGTGTACCAGGGTGGCGATTGGGGACATATCGTGAGTCCCTTCGTATTACTACATGTACAAGTCTGTGTTTACCCAGCTCTTCACTTTCAACAGCTTGGGGTTCATGCAGTAAACATTTATGGGCACAAGCACATCAAAGCATGGCTGACCAACCTGCCAGTGTACGTTCAGCTCACCGTTCGCGCCGCCGGCAGATGAGCAGTGGTACATAACTAACATCGCCGCTCCCACTCCCTAGTTACCGTAATCCGACCATATTCTCGAATCCCATCTACTATCTTGAGATGCTCGCACTGCCTGTCACAACCCTCTTCAACGACCAAGCACGCGCCGACTATGAGAAGACGCAGCAATGGTACAAGACAGGCACGGGCTATTGGGCCGAGCAGGCCACCGAGCCGCAGACGATCGGGTACAGCCTCGCGGACTCTCCGGTCGGGCTCCTCGCCTGGATCTACGAAAAGCTCGTGACCTGGACCGACAAGTACCCCTGGACAGACGATGAAGGTACGTAACATCCACCGGCCCAAGCAAAATTATTCTATTAACGTAGCGCGGTTGCGGCCACTGCAGTCCTCGAGTGGATCTCGGTCTACTGGTTCTCGCGTGCGGGCCCCGCCGCGGCGAGCAGGATCTACTACGAGATGACTGGCGGGTACGAGCACGACTACTGGAAGGACACCAAGTGGACGTCTGTCCCGCTGGGTGCGTCTTACTTCCCTGCCGAGCTCACCCACCCGCCCAATTCGTAAGTCTGTCATGACGCGTCCCCACGATGTCCGTCCACTCACCGTCGTTTTCTCGCTTATAGCTGGTTGAACATGCTCGGAAAGGTAGTCTTCGAGTCCACGCACGACAAGGGTGGGCACTTCGCTGCTTATGAAGAGCCGGACTTGCTGGCGGGGGACCTGCGTAAGATGTTTGCTAAGGGTGGTCCTGCCTTCGGCGTCGTCCCCGGGAAGAGCGGATACAATTGACCGTCACAAATCTGGTGATATAGCGCAGTATGCATCGACGAATACTGGTGCGACTGGAGAACATCTGTCAGTCGTAACATAGACTGTTTTAGATACCTGGTGCTCTTTTCAAACACACGCTTGACACTGCTATTCGACAGCCGTAGTGCAACGCATAAGATGGTGTCTAGGATACGACTGCGTACCGGAGCACATTGTTCTTGCGCGAAAATCAAAGTCGAGTGAGGACTGTAGTGGTGTTCAATGGCACGAGAAGTACGGGTGAGACAGATGCATAAGACAAACGCATGCGCAACGGTGCACCGCGCGCTCCATACGATTCTCAAGCATATGGTGAACAAAAATACAACCTAAAGAGCCTCTGGAAGGCGATGGCACTAGTATAGAGCGCGGGGATCGACAAAAAGAAGCCAATCGAGGTCGTCTGTGGACCGTCAGTCTTGTGGTCTTAACGCTCATGCGGCGGTTTCTCTTTTCCGAAATTTCTGTAGTTGATGACGCTCTTTGGACGGTCACTTCTGCTCCAAAACAATGCCATGACAGACGAATCAATTGCAACCCGCTCCCTATAGAACAAGCACTTCAGTGTGTTCCGATTCTTCAAGAATCGGTTATCATAGGCTCGAAATTCCCCTCAGGGGCTCTTAAATCTGTACCGAATTCCCACGCTCGGCCCGTTCCTCCGCCATGCCGAGCGGTCCGGTTTGCACTCTCTCGACTCCTCTCCGGATGCCACAATAGAACGATCGGAGTCTTTACCGCTAGTTTATAAGGATAGGCGTACATGTACATTAGCGGATCCAAGGGAATGCTTTCAAATTACCTGAGCCTGCGGCGAGGGTAACTCTGCGACTCAAAATTCAGCCCTCGTCCCACCCGGTTCTTCCCGTCATTGTCCGCGTCACCCCGACGACCCAGCAACACCTCATTGCATCTCGCGGTTATCTTGTAGGGCGCGTCGCGCATCGCTTGTAGAGCGCGTCGCAATCTGGGGACGACGAAGCCACTGAGGCATCATACTCCTGGGGTAGGCTATTTATCTGCTTCAAACATGCCTGTGAGTCGATCTCATCAATCCAGAATGTTCTCGAGCGTGTTCCAAAGTGCACTGCGTTCGAGCTTTGTATGATAGACTTCTGAAGGCGGAAGAACATCAAAAGGCACGAGAACTGTCGGGAATAAGAGCTTAGCGCTGGGTATGCAGCGAACATGGTTTGTAGAGTCCCCTTGTGCGCCTCCGCTCCCTTGAAAGATAGAGCACATCAGAATAAGTATGCTCGATATCATTCAGAGCACGCTACATTGTTATCTTCAAAGTCTCGGAGGGAGGCTACATCAGGCTCAGGTCAGTGCCGACGCTGAGTCGGCGCTTCTGGTTTGATTTACTTTCTATAAGCCTATCGCGCCGGTGGCTTCACTTTCCCCCATACTTATTTGGACTGTAGATGCAAACCGCTACCCACACTACCCGCCAGGTCTTCTCAAGTCGTCGACGCTCTATGAAAGGCCTACTATGTTGCGAGCAGCTAGGAAAGAAGAATCGGATCTGGAGCGGTGCTACCCGTGTGGTGAGGCCGGTGAGGGTAGAGAGAGGAGAGCGGCGGTTTAGGCGGTTGTGCTTCTAGGGTTGTCGGCCCGGGACACGGGCCGGTACCTGGGCAGTGAGCGCCAAGAGCGGCCCGTCATCCGTCGAGGTTCGAGTTGCTGAAGCGCGTCTGTACAAAGAGTTTCGCCAGTGGACGTTCATTGCATCCCTACCAGTCTCCATCACCTACCAAGCTTGTTGGCTGCACCAAGTCTGCACTCCATGTGTCTGTGAATCTGCTTTCTTATGGCGGACATCGACGACGTCGGACGCTTCTGCGTTTATGATGCTCCCATGGCTCTCAACTCTGACTTTACGTCTACCAATGGGCTTGACCCTAGGACTGCCCACACCCGAAATCGCCGGCACTTTCAAGATTTAAGCAAGTCTATTGTAGGGCCTATACCTATGGATGTCTTTTTTGAGCGAGCAGTAGGACAAGCGGCGTCGGTCAGCGACAGAAGTATGCTGTTATCCGCAACGAACGCGTTCAAGTCAGTGCCGTCGACGGCCAACAGGCCAGAAGAGATATATGAGCCTTTGGTGCGTAGCGTCCCTGCTTATACGACGTGGCTTCAACGACGTGTTGCATCGCAGATAATTGCACTCAACAGACGCACGAAGTACAAGTCGCGTTGTCCCGGCTTCGTCTTCGAGAATACTGCTCGGCGTAGCCCCCATCCCAAACTCCCCGGGTATGCTAAACCACATATATCATGTGTTAGCAGACGTAACGTTGAGAACGTACGACGATTGAGCCGTCGCTCTCGTTCGGAACTTGGCTATGCGGAGCTTATCATTCAAGTTGCTCCCGACGCCGCTCATGACGTGTTCACCGATCCCCCGCCTGACCTCGAGGTTGAACATCGCGCGTCCTTCGACTTTATTCCCCCAAAAGACCACCAACAAGAGCGACACGAGGCTGAAGACGCATTTGGGCTCCACATCGCTTTCATAGTCGAGATCTTTGCACGTCAGCATCGCAACCACTGTCACTCGATATCCATGGCTGGCTCGCGAGCTCGACTTTTCCGCTGGGACCGTGCTGGCTGTATTGTCTCCGAATCTTTCGACATCCGAGACCGTCCCGACTATCTCTGCGAATTCCTCTGGCGGTTCTCGCAAACATCCGACTCTTTGCGCGGCCATGACTGCACAGTTATGCCTGCCACTCCGGAGGAGGAGGTACTCTTCAGAGACGCCGTCAAGGAGTACGTTCGTTCTCAACTAGAGATCGACGGAGAGGCTCTAGATCGGGCAGTCAGTCAACATTACTCTCCAGGGCGTGTCGCTGTGGTGAAGGTGCACCCTCATCGACGACCCCTGTCGCAGAACAATGTATGGTATTTCATCATATCTCGGCCCGTGGTAACGCCCCTCACACTCACCGGCCGAGGCACACGGGGCTATTGGGCGGTGGAGTCTACTACCTCTCAGGTAGTATTCTTGAAGGACACTTGGCGGATCGAATCCGATGGAGGCGTTGAAGGCGACTTGTTAGACCATTTCAAGGAGCTCGGAGTGCGTAATGTGCCAGCCGTTGTGACATATGGCGATGTGCCCGACTATATTCCAAACGAACGCCGGAACAGTGAGTGTCCATACACTCTTCGCGCAAAGAGCTTTGCTGAGCATACACAGTTACAATCTGGCAGACCACATATACGGCTGGGTCGGCGCTTAAGCGCTGGACTTGTCGCATTGCGGGCCAGCCTATCTCCGTAACAGATGTACAACGCTACCGTCTGGTCTTGGGCACCGTCGGGTACGGGATATCCACCATCAAGGGTACGGAAGAATTACTGCATGCGACGTACGATGCATTTACAGGTGCGTAAGCTACTTTCGGACCTTAAACAGATGACTTAGTGATCGTAAACGCAGCCATGAGAGACGCACACGCAAAGGACTCGCGTATTCACCGAGACATCTCTGTCGGCAACATCATACTGGTCAAAGAGCCCGGGCAAGATATTCGCCGGGGATATCTCATCGACTGGGAGGCGTCCAGTGTCATCGATGCCACTGGGGAGTCCTTGCAACCGGGACGCGCTGTATGTGCTTTGGCATCCCGCCTATCTCTCATGCTGATCACAATTATAGGGGACGTGGCATTTCATGTCATGGCGGATGCTGGACAGAGTGCATGCGAACAGCAAACATACCTTCCTGGATGACATGGAGTCCCTCGTCCATCTGGTGCTGTACTGCGCGCTCCTTTACTTACCCCACACCCTAGAGAAGGAGGAGCTCTTGCAGGCATTCCACGATTACTTCGAGGAATTTGTCGGCGTTCCTTCTGGACCCGCTCACGGCGGCGACCTGAAGTTTAGGACCGCGCACGACAGAGGCCTGATCAGGGCAGCTCGGTTCGGTAGCGTGTCGCTCGCGGATTGGCTCACTACGATGCTGGAGATGCAGTGCCCGCCCGGATGGAGGACGGAAGGATACAACTACGGAGAACGCTGGACGCCCGAAGACGTCGACGCGTTCTGGTTAGAGTTCCTGGACTCGCACGCTCTGGAGCGAGACAACCGGGTAGTCCATGATGTCACACGGGCGCAACGCTACGACTTTGACGAGCTGTCGGTAGCGCCGCCGACTCCACCTCCGACGTTGGCTCCGGCAGCGACACGCAAACGCGCCGCGGCAGAACGCGACCTCCCGGAAGGCGAATCCGATTCGAAGCGCCGACGGTCTATGCGTCTGCGCAATGCCGCGCCGCCCGAATCCCCATCTAGCCGCTCTTCTCGAGTGCGCCGACAGGTTCCACAAGCATGATGTGACGCATAAGATAGGGCTGAAGTCCCAGATGCGAGACTGGCGCGCCCCCCGAGCCAGATGTCAATAATAATGTTCATGGGGAAGAATCAACGATGTTTGTACGATGCCACTATATCGGCACGACCTGTGTAGCTCTAAGCTCTCGCTGATACTAGTCTTTTTGCACCGGCTATTTCACTTACTTCATCATGAATGCTTGAAATCATATACTCATTTGTTCCGGTACACCCAGCAGCATCGAGGAAATCTCAATACAGAATATACATAAGCACGACGACCCTTCAAGTGGGACTTGTAGCAGGTTGCCAGCACCGTCAGCAGGTACGAGGGTCTGGAGCTGTACACCCGCGTCCTCCAGGCCTGCATCGCCGCGCGAAACTGTCCATAATAACGAGTACTTTATTACAATGGTCTAACGTTCTGATGATAATTAGAAGCGGACCATAGACGTATGCTATGTACGTAGGCACACTGTCCATCATCCTGTCACCGAAGGCAACGCGACTTTCATAGTCTCATCGTCGACCCTCCGACGTCGCGTCCCTCGCCATAGCGCCGTAGTCGACCGTGCTGGTCGCAGCTACTGTCTAGTACCGTGCTCCTTTCCAGAAGTCGACGCGACCCGTCCAGCGCCAGCTCCTACGTCCACAGTCCGGTCCGCCGCCCCATGCGACGCTGGATTTCGAGGCTGCCGCGGGCCCAGCCACTGACAGTCTGCACTTCGAGTCGGGTATGGCTTCCGGGAGGTCGCGTAGAGTAGCAGAATACTTGCACGTAGTCGCCGACGTGGGGGTTTTGTTGTGGTGGGACGAGCGAACAGACCAATCGAGGTCACTTGCGCGCTCAACGGCGACCGCGACCGCGACCTCGACTTCTGAGTCCCGCCGCGCGCTGAGCAGCGGCCGAGGACCTTTTGGGCGCGGACAGGCGCGGACAGGCGCGGACGCGAATGCTCGAATAGTTCGGTGGCAGGCGCGTGTGGCCCCGGGCCGCGGCCCGTGAGCGCTGCGACCCTCGGCCCGTCGTCGTCCGCCAAGGTTCGAGTTGAAGTTGCGGTCATTCGTACATGCACAAAGAGTTTCCCTGCTTGCCTATGCTCCTCTCGGTCACCACAGCCTACCAGTCTTGTTGACCACACCAGCACCCTATGTGTCTCTGAACATATCATGTCGGACGTCGAAGATGTCGGACGCTTCTGCGTTTACGATGCCCCCATGGCCCTCAGCTCCGACTTGTTGTCAACGGATGGCCTCGACCCTAGGACTGCCCGCGCCCGAAATCGCCGGCATTTTCAAAACTTACGCAAGTCAATCGTAGGACCCATACCTTTGTCCGTCTTCTTTGAGCGGGCATTAGGCGGGGCGGCTTCGGACGACAGGAATGTGCTGTTATCCGCAACAAACGCGTTCAGGTCGGTGCCGTCCACGGCCAACACGCCGGAGGAGATATGCGAGCCTTTGGTGCGTAGCGTACTGGCTTTTATGACGCAATTGAATAACATGACGCCCCAGATAATTGCCCTCAACAAACAGACGAAGTACAAGTCTCGCTGTCCCGGTTTCGTCTTCGAGGACACCGCTCGGCGTAGCTCCCATCCCAAACTTCCCGGGTATGCCAAACCACATATATCATGCATCAGCAAGCGTAATGTCGAGAATGTGCGACGGCTGGACCGTCACTCTCGCTCAGAACTTGGCTATGCTGAGCTTATCATTCAAGTTGCTCCCAACGCCGCTCACGACTTGTTCACCGATCCCCCACACGACCTCGAGGTGGAACATCGCGCGTCCTTCGATTTCGTTTCCCCAAAGGACGATCAGCAACTGCAGCAGGAGGCTGAAGAAGCATTCGGGCTTCACATTGCTTTCATAGTCGAGATATTCGCCCGTCAACATCGCAACCACTGCCACTCGATCTCCATGGCTGGCTCGCAGGCTCGACTGTATCGCTGGGACCGTGCTGGCTGCGTTGTTTCCGAAGCTTTCGACATTCGCGAGCATCCCGAACCACTCTGCGAATTCTTGTGGCGCTTTTCGCAAACATCCGACTCTTTGCGCGGCCATGACTGCACTGTCATCCCGGCTTCTTTGGAGCAGGAGGTACGCTTTAGGGATGCTGTCAAGGACCACGTTCGCTCCCAACTAGATATCGATGGCGAAGCTCTCGATCGCGCAGTCAGTCAACATTACTCTCCAGGGCGCGCCGCTCTGGTGAAGGTGCACCCTCACGGAAAACCCCTCTTGAACACCAATTTTTGGGTATTCATAATCTCCCGACCCGTCGTAACGCCGCTCTCGCTCGTCGGCCGAGGCACACGAGGCTATTGGGCGGTCAATATTACAACATCCCGTGTAGTATTCTTGAAAGACACCTGGCGGATCGAGTCCAATGGAGGCTTCGAAGGGGACTTGTTAAGCCATCTGAACCGCCTAGGTGTGCGCAATGTGCCAGCGGTTGTGACATACGGGGATGTGCCAGACTACGTCCCCAACGAACACCATAGTCGTAAGTGTTCATGCCCTACGCATAAGTGCTTTTCTGAACATACACAGTCACGATCTGGCAGACTACGTATACCGCCGGTGCGGCGCTGAAGCGCTGGGCGTGTCGCATTCCGGATCATCCTTTGTCCGTGACAGATGTACAACGCTACCGCCTGGTCTTGGGCACCGTCGGGTACGGACTATCCACCATCAAGGGTACGGAAGAATTACTGCATGCGACGTACGATGCATTTATAGGTACGTAGGTTGTTACTCGGTCACAGTGGCTCGGACTCATCTAGACGTAGCCATGAGAGACGCACGCTCAAAGGACTCGCGCATCCACCGAGACATTTCTGTCGGCAACATCGTATTGGTCAAAGAGCCCGGCCAAGACATTCGCAGGGGATATCTTATCGACTGGGAGGCGTCCATCAGCGTCGATGCCGCTGGAGAGTCCATGCATCCGGGGCGCGCTGTACGTCCTTTTTCAGTATATATATTACCTCTTTCCGCGTGCTAATTATATGTCCAGGGAACATGGTACTTCATGTCGTGGCGGATGCTAGACAGAGTGCATGCGAATAGCAAACATACGTTCCTAGATGACATGGAATCCCTCATCCATCTGGTGCTATACTGCGCACTGCTCTACTTGCCCCATGCATTCGACAAGGAGGCTATCTTGCAGACATTCCACAAGTACTTTGAGCACTCGAGCGGTGTTCCGCCGGGACCCACTCACGGGGGCGATTTGAAGTACACGACCGCTCACGACAGAGACCTCATCAGGACAGCTCATTTCGGGAGCGCGTCGCTCACGGAGTGGCTCACCACGATGCTGGAAATCCAGTGCCCGCCTGGATGGGACACCAAAGGGTACAACTACGGGGAGCACTGGACACCTGAATACATCGACGCGTTCTGGTCCAAATTCCTACGCACGCACATCCTTGAGCGAGATAACCGTGTCGTCCACGACGTCACGAGGGAGCAACGTTACGACTTTGACGAGTTATCGGTAACGCCGCCGACTGCACCCTTGGCCCCGGCCCCGGCACCGACACGCAAGCGTTCCGCCACAGAACGCGACCTCTTGGGAGGCGAGCCCGACGGGAAGCGCCGACGATCTATGCGTCTGCGCAATGCTGCCCCGCCCGAGCCCCCACCCAGCCGCAGTCACCCCGCCCCACCGTCTTCGGACGGCCCTCGTCGGAGCCAGCGTATCAAGACTATCCAGGAACGTGCAGATGAATCAGAGCCTGCACATGCGGGGGCTTTGAAACCTCTCCCAGGAGCTCGACGCGCGGTGAGAGGTCGGGGTCGCTCGCATAAATGACTGCAAGATGATCTGTCCCTTCGTTTCTTCGTTTCTCCATGCCGACTGCGGGCGTCCCGTTGGACTGTGAACCCATGGACCGTAAATGCGACCCCCGCACGATTTCGGGCACGATTTTGGCTGGACGCTCCGCCAAAAAGAGCCCGTCGCCGCTTGCTGCGACCCGGGACGTTTACAGTCCCATCGTGGGAAATTCACAGTCCACCGGCCCTCGGCCCTCCCTCCCTCTCCTCCGCGCGCACGCTTGCTAGTAACGTTTTGAATAATGATGTAGTAGCCATTCTTTTGGTTCGTAGATGCAATGTTTTGTCCTTTTCTCGAGGGAGTAGGACATTTCAATTCGGCCACAAATGTTTTGTGTGAAGTCCCATACCTAAAACACGCAAGTGGAAGGGTGCACGGTAAGCTGCTAGTATGCTAAATTCGACAAATGTGGTGTGGCGGGCCTGATGTCAACAATGCGAGAGCAAACGGGCACACCGTCTCAACCTGCAAATGTACAAATCATCGCGAAACGATGAATATATCAATATCCAGCACGAGAAGCACAAGCAAATCAGATAGACGGAGACAGACGCGGCGATACACCGCACGCGCCATACAATTTTGAAAGCATACCGTAAACGGAAGCACAGCGACAGAGCATCTAGACGGCGATGAACGAAAACATTGAGCGGGGATGAACGAACTAAGGAGCCAATCGAGGTCACTTGCGCACTCGACCGCGACCTCGTCCCCGACCTCTCGTAGAGGCCCGAGCAGCGGCCGAGGAACTTGTTGCTGCGGGCGCGGCCGCCCGTGTGGTGGCGGTCGTTCGTGTAGTGGGCACAGGCAACCGCCCGGCGCGATCTTGTATGACCTTGATGCGTTCGCTTCGCCTTGGGCCATCTGTAGTACGCGGTGGGGCCGCGCCGGGCGAAGGAGCGAGCACGCCTTGTAGGCGAACAGACCGTCGGCGTTTCGAGTCGTGCTCGCCTTCTGGGAGGTCCCTTTCTGCGGCAGAACGCTTGCGTGTCAGCGCTGGCGTGGCCACCGGCGTCGGGGGTGCAGTCGGCGCCGTCACCGACAGCTCGTCATAGTCGTAGCGTTGCACCTTCGTGACGTCGTGGACAACCCGGTCGTCGCGTTCCAGGGTGTGCGTGCGGAGGAACTCGGACCAGAACGCATCGACGTGTTCGGGTGTCCAGCATTTCCCGTAGTTATATCCTTCCGTCCTCCACCCGGGCGGGCACTGCATCTCCAGCATTGTAGTGAGCCACTCCGCGAGCGATGCGCTACCGAATTGGGCTTCCCTGATGAGGCCTCTATCGTGCGCGGTCCTGCACTTCAAGTCACCGCCGTGGGCAGGTCCAGGTGGGACGCCGCCCATGGCCTCGAAGTACTCGTGGAATGCCTGGAGGAGCGCCTCCTTCTCGAGAGCATGGGATAAGTAGAGGAGGGCACAGTAAAGTACCAGATGGACGAGGGACTCCATGTCATCCAGGAAGGTATGTTTGCTGTTCGCATGCACTCTGTCTAGCATCCGCCATGACATGAAATGCCACGTCCCCTATAATTGTGATCAGCATGAGAGATAGGCGGGATGCCAAAGCACATACAGCGCGTCCCGGTTGCAAGGACTCTCCAGTGGCATCGATGACACTGGACGCCTCCCAGTCGATGAGATATCCCCGGCGAATATCTTGCCCGGGCTCTTTGACCAGTATGATGTTGCCGACAGAGATGTCTCGGTGAATACGCGAGTCCTTGGCGTGTGCGTCTCTCATGGCTGCGTTTACGATCACTAAGTCATCTGTTTAAGGTCCGAAAGTAGCTTACGCACCTGTAAATGCATCGTACGTCGCATGCAATAATTCTTCCGTACCCTTGATGGTGGATATCCCGTACCCAACAGTGCCCAAGACCAGACGATAGCGCTGTACATCTGTCACAGAGATAGGCTGGCCCGCAATGCGACATGCCCAGCGCCTCAGCGCCGCACCGGCGGTATGTGTAGTCTGCCAGATTGTGACTGCATATGCTAAGGAAAGCCTTTCATGCGCAGAGTATATAGACACTCACCATTATGGCGTTCGTTGGGTATGTAGTCTGGCACATCCCCGTATGTCACAACCTCTGGCACGTTACGCACACCTAGGTCGTCAAAATGGGCTAGCAAGTCGCCTTCAACGCCTCCGTCGGATTCGACCCGCCAAGTGTCTTTCAGGAAGACTACACGAGACGTTCTATAATTGACCGCCCAGTAGCCTCGTGTGCCTCGGCCGGTGAGCGAGAGCGGCGTTACCACCGGCCTAGAAACTACGAAAAGCCAAGTATTGGTCTCCGAGAGGGGTTGTCGGTGAGGGTGCACCTTGACTAGAATAGCACGCCCTGGGCAGTAATGTTGACTGACTGCTCGATCAAGAGCCTCACCATCGATTCCTAGCTGGGATCGAACATAGTCCTTGATGGCATCTCTAAAACGTAGCTCCATCTCCAATGTAGCCGGCATGACAGTGCGGTCATGACCGCGCATAGCGTCGGTCGTCCGCGAGAACCGCCACAGGAATTCGCAGAGTATTTCGGGATGCTCGCGAATATCGAAAGCTTCGGACACGATACAACCAGCACGGTCCCAGCGATACAGTCGAGCCCGCGAGCCAGCCACGGAGATCGAGTGGCAGTGGTTGCGGTGTTGACGGGCGAAGATCTCGACTATGAAAGCAACGTGAAGTCCGAATGCATCTTCAGCCTCCTGTCGTATTTGACGTTCGCCTTTCGGGGGAACGAAATCGAAGGACGCGCGCTGCTCCACCTCGAGGTCGGGCGGAGGGTCGGTGAACAAGTCATGAGCGGCGTCGGGGGTTGCTTGAATGATAAGCTCCGCATAGCCAAGTTCCGAGCGAGAGCGACGGTCCAATCGCCGCACGTTCTCGGCGTTACGTCTGCTGACACATGATATATGGGGTTTGGCATAACCAGGATGTTTGGGGTGGGAGCTACGCCGAGCGGTGTTCTCGAAGACGAAGCCGGGACAACGAGACTTGTACTTCGTCTGTTTGTTGAGGGCGACTATCTGAGCGCCATAGGTCACTGAATCACGTCAAACAAGCCAGGATGTTACATACCAAAGGCTCGTATATCTCCTCCGGCGTGTTGGCCGTAGACGGCACCGACTTGAACGCGTTCGTTGAGGATAACAGCACATCCCTGTCGTCCGAAATCGCGTTCCCTAAAGCCCGCTCAAAGAAGACGTCGAAAGGTATGGGCCCTACGATTGACTTGCGCAATGTTTGGAGATGCCGGCGATTTCGGGCGTGGGCAGTCCTCGGGTCAAGCCCATCGGTAGACGAGAGGTTGGAGCCCAAAGCCATGGGAGCATCATAAACACAGAAGCGTCCGACGTTGTCGACGTTTGACATAGCGTATTTAGAGACACACAGGCGTGGTCAACAAGATGAGCAAGCTGTGGTGACTGAGAGGATCATGGTCAACGTTCAACGTTCAAGCAGCGAAACTCTTTGTGCGCCGCAACTGCGAATTCGAACCTCCTCGGACGACCACGGGCCGCGGCCCGTTATAAGCGCTCGCACCAGCGCTTAGCGCTGACCCACTGGAACGCGCCGTTGCGCCCGCCAGTTGTCTCCCCTAGGCAGACGGGGGTGACGATCACACCAACCTGCCAGTGCCACCAGCTGCCACCGAGTCCTTGCGTCCGTGACGGCGCCTGGCATGAAATTTCGATAAAGGTGAACTGTCACGAATGAAATATCCGTCGCGACCCAGCTACAGAGCGTGCGCTTGAATACCCGCTGCCGGCACCGGGCCCGGGCCCTACTACTGGTACCTCTACGACCTCTGACCTACTAGCACCGTTCCGACGCCACACCTCTACTTAGGGCTGCTTTCGCTAGGATGCGCATTACAGTAAGCTGTATGACCGCTTCTCCGGGTGCCATCTGGCCTCTGCAAGTGTTGCGTTAGTGGACTAGCCCGTGGACACGGCGATGTTGCCAGCTGACCTAAGATTTGCTAGTGGAGCGTCGGGGCTTTTTGGTGGGCCTAGCGTCGACGGAGGTCGACTTGCCCTTGGACTTCGTCCCACCTTGAGCGTCGTTGGTGGAGGTATCAGGCGGGGGATAGGGTCCATCGAAGAGAAACGGCGTGTATAGGCCTTCGATCTTAGCGGGCGGATGGATCGTTAAGTTGTGGACGGGGCCGGATAGTCCAACAGTCGCCCCCGGCGTTTGGGGAACCGGGGTGGTCGAACCAGGAGTGTCTGCCACCGCAAGCCAAGGTCCAACGTCCGGCGATGGTGGTGAGACTCGTCCGGTAGGGTCGCGTGGTGCGCGCCATAGCTCTAAAGTTGGGTCCGCAGTGGAGCTGCTTGCGTGCGGTGCTGCCGTCGCAGATGTCAAATCCGTCGTGGAAGCATCGTAGGGGCTGTAGGCGCAGGGTATAGTGGGCTGGAACGCGATTCCTAGCGCGCCACGGGGCGCTGTCTTTGCGAAGCGAGCGCCGTTCGCTTTGATGTGGTCTGTGCGGTCCTCGCGGGGAAGATTCGAGCCGTATTTAGTGAAGAAGGCATCCCAGAACGTTTTGAAAGAAGCCGGGGTCCAGCCGTCGGCGTGAACGGCGGGGGCTGGAGGTTTCGGGGGGTTATAGCGGTGCAGGTTGATTTCGCCTCGAACGAATTCCAGCCATTTCCTGATCGGCCTGCTGCCCTCAGTCCAAGGAAGGGACCCCGTGTATGCGCCCTCACGAAGATCCGCGGATTTGACCATGCCACCACCCGCACGTGTTCCATTCTTGATGGTGCTGAAATCGAATATCAAGCCAAGCAGACGAAGGAGTTCGTTCACTTCGATGAGGTGTGGGAGGTAAAGGAGTGCACAATACAAGACGACATAGTATATGGACTCCATGTCGTCTTGTATCGTGTGCGGTGCGTCCTCCTTTTCGAGTATGTCGAGAGAAGCGAACTGCCAATACATCTGCAACGTGAATCTGAGCAAGCGTTCCGTCGCATTGGCAAAACAAAACGTGAGATACTCACCGATGCATCGCGGCGGCGAGTCTTTTCTCTTTTTGCGGAGGGGTCGAACGATAGCTCCCAGTCAACGAGGTAGCCCTTGCGCGGCTCCTCAGTGGGCGGTGAACCGGTGGGCGGTGAACCGTCATGATACAGGATGATGTTCCCCGGCGTTATGTCGCAATGAAGACGATTAGTGATACCATATGCATCGTGTAGAGCTATCGGCGCGGAACGGGTGATACTGAGCATTAGCGTTTGTCATGTTTGGCGTTAATATGAGTACTGACCAATAAAGGCGTCGTGTACGCCATGGAGCAGCTCATCCGTTCCTCTGAACTTTGTGAGAGGGTACCCGGCGAACTGCAGGACTAGGCGGTATCGTATCCGGCGAAAAATCACAGCACTGAGCACCTTCGGGTCGCCGCATACCCATGACGCGCTTAGAAACTTTTGCGTCCTTGTCGTTTGCCGGCAGCCTGTCGCTCGTGAGATGACTTGAGTTACTGTACTTTTACAGAAAGAGTGGAGCCGCTTACCGTCGTCGATGTAAATGATGTCGTCTTCAGCGTCCCTTGTAATGAGGACCGATGGCACGTCGCCCTCGTATTCAACAGGAGGGATGTTCGGAACGTTGCGAGATTGCAAGTCTTTCATAATCGAACCCTCGGTCTTGTCCGAGGTCTGCCTCCAGGTGTCCTTCAGGAAGACGACCTTCCTCGCCGCGCGATCGACTGCCCAATACGTCCGGGTAGCGCGGCCAGCCTGGGAAATGGGTGCGACGATCGGCCGGGAGACAAGGTACTGATAGGACAGGCCTTCATCGGACTTTCGACGAACGGAGACGGAAGTGACACAAGAGACGGAGTAGTGTTCTTTGAGGGCTTTTTCCAAGTCATCGGAAGAGGCTAGAGGAAGTTGTTTCTTGATGTGCTCCTTGATGAGGGATTCGAACAAATTGGCGTCCTCGGCCGTAGCGGGCTCAACGGTCAAATCGTAGCCGCGCTCGGAGTCTGAGACGTGGGAGAAGCACCAGAGGAATCTGCACAGGTGCTCTGGGTTCTTGTGGATGTCGAAGCCTTTTGAAACGACGGCGCCGGCACGGTCCCATCGTATCAGGCGCACGCGCGTACCGGCCATGCTGAGCGAGTATACGCACTGACGAAATTGTCGCATGCCGACCTCGGAAGCGTACGCCACGTTTTGTCCGAAACTCTCCTGTAACTCGGGAAGGTCTGCTGCAGCTGAGTCTCCAAACACGAAGGAACGCTTGCGGAGTGTGTCATCCGCCGTCTTCCAATGAGGATCACAGAAGAAATCTGACTCCTTACGCAACTTGATCTCGAAGAAGGTCGCGACAAGGCCCATGTCAGTCCGGGACCGCAGCGAAGTTTCGCTATCGCTCGCCTTGACTGCTTCGAGATGATCGTCCTTGTAGCAGCATACATCGGGCTTCTTGCCGCCAATGACGCCACCCGACGTGTCTGGGTGGTTCGACGTGTCGCGAAAGGTGAAACCGGGGCAGCGAGAGCCTCGCTCGTGGCCAGGAGTTGTGTCGGCATTAAGTGCTTTGATCTGGCGGTGTAGCAGTGGATGTTAGGACGAAACCGTAGTGACAGCGGTGCGCGTACCAGTGGAGCATATATGTCGGTTTCCTTCGTAATCTTGTCCGATTTCTTCGGAACACGGCTGAACGCGCTCTTGGGCGAGGGCATATCCTTGAACGAGATCGTGTCGGCGGAGAGGAACTCCCGTAGGAATTCCTCTACGGGCATTGGCCCTAACATGCGACCTTTCATCTCTTCACCGAGGCGCAGATTCCGACTCTTGGCGGTCTTGTCTTCGAACCCGAACGTCTGCGCGCTGGTCTCCGTGCGAGTGATGGGCGTATTCCAGGCGCCAGTTCCAGCTCCCTTCTTGCGTAATTTGTGGCCTGCGGCAGAAGCTTGGGAGGTTTGGGAGGCTTGGATAGGTGGGGGAGTCGGAGAAGCATATTTGGTACTCTGTGAGACGTCGACAAGGAAGGCTGCAGCTTCGCCGACGTTCTAAGAAAAAGGTCCTCGTCAGGAGTCGTGTGGTAAGAGGCTGAAGTCTGCATACCCATGCGTCTTCACCTCCGCCTTCGCTGGTGTGGATGAGGGGCTGTTCCGGAGGGGAATCCGCCATGTTGGATGAGTACGGGGTGTTGCGGCGGGGAAGGGTACGAGGTCACGCTGTAATGGGGGGAGGGGGAGGGGGAGGGGGCGGCGGATACGAGGTGCTGCACGGAGAACATGGGGCGAGACCATGCAACGCCATGAATTAGAGCAATCATGGGGATGCATCGCGGATACCGATCCCACGCAGATCTCACAAAAAGAGGACGGCACGAGTCAGGGATGTGCAATGAATTAACAAGTTGGTATGGGAGTTCTACCATACGCGGCGGGCGCTTGCATCCACAGCGCGATACACCACCAAACAACGACGGCCTGCCCTTCAGACGCTTCAGGCAATGTCGAGCCACACTGTCGCGCAAGACTCACCCGTGTACTTTGCAGAACAATACGGGCGGCGATGTCGCCACACCGGCACGGCATCTATGTCTTCCGCCTTTTGTTACCCCTGCCACCCTCCAACGCGTCCGCCTCGCGTTTCGTCTTCTTCCCCGCCGCGCGCATGTATTCCTTACGTTTCTCCTTGTCCTTCTCGCTCTTCTTCGCCTCCTCTGTCGCCACCTTCTTCCGATGCACGGTGCGACGCTCTTCCTGCTTCTCACGCCGTCGCGCCACCTGATCCTTCCGCAGCGCGCGCACCTGCTGCAACAATGCCATCGCCTTCTTCTCCTCCGGCTCCAGGACGACCGCGCGCTTTTGCATGTACGTCGGGCGGTGCGCCGCCTTCATGACCTTCGGCTTCGACGCGTACGGCAGCGCGGCCTGCAACTTCTTCGGCACCCTGAGCGGGTTGAACCGGCGCGGGGGCCGATTGACCGGTTTGTATATCGAGTTGACATCCGTGGGTGCGCTGAGGCCTTGTTCGCGCCGCACTTGGCCCGTCAGCCGCATGCCTTGCCAATGCTCCTTATCGGAGAGGAGCAGCGAGGTCACCGGGTTGTAGAACTTGCGCGGCTGGATGGAGTACCACGCACGCAGGAACACGATGTCTGGGGCGTGCACCGTCAGCTGCGATGCGCGTTGGACGAGAATGGGATAGTACACATACCGCTCATCAGGATCTTGTCCTCGAACGCCGCACGGAAGGCCCCGTCTGGCTTGGGCTGCGCCTTCTTGATCTGGCCACGGATACCAGACACGGTGCGGATGTTCGCACCCTCAAACTTGGCGACCTCGAGCGCGCTGCTGAACATGTCCTTGATGAATGCCGTGTTCTTGAAGATCTTGTACGGCACACCCGTAAGCTTAAGCTTCTTCACAATCCGCGTCGACCGGTCGATGTCGAGCACCACGCCCGTCGCGCTGACCCGGAACCCAGGCGCCTCCCGCCCGAGTGCGTTGAACGCGCAGAAGCCCGTGTTCGGGAGCGCAGCGGGCCCGTAGAACGTCGCGTAGCAGTGCATGTGCTCTGGCGTGTACTTGAGCATGCGCATCCGGATCGAGTGGTCGTCGAGCGAGTAGATCGGCACCGTCTGGAACCGCCGCCAGCCAAGGGAGAAGATGAGCGGATCGTTCGTCTTGAGCGTCCGCGCGAACCACCGGTGCCGCTTGATGCGCACTTGCACGTACCCGAAGCGTTCCTCCGCGGGCAAGAGCCCGCCGACGACGATCGGATATGAGGGGTCGAAGTTCTCGACCATCTCCGCGGGCACGTCTGTGAGCTCCATCCGGATGTACGTCCCGGGCCGGTGGCCCTCGATGAGAGCACGCGCCTCGGGATCGACGCCCTCGAATTCGGCGCGGTTAAGCTGCTGCTGCTGAGCCATGGCGTCCTTGATCTCCGTGTAGAAGTCGGCCTTGGCCGCGTCGGGCTCGTCGTATTGCTCGTCGAACTTGCGCTTCAGCTCCGCCTTCTTCGCAGCGAGCGTCGCCGCGTCTTTGCCGCCCTCGCCCTCGCCGTCCTCGTCGCCAGCTTGTGAGCCGTCCGCGCCCTCCTCGTCCTCGTATGGCTCCCCGTTCTCGTCGACGCCTTCCGCAGGCTGTGACGACGACCCCGTGATGAAGAGGTCGCGGATCGAGTCCAGGAGCTCCTCGTCCTCCCACGCCTTCAGGTCGTCCAGGTTGACTGGCTCCTTGGTCTGGTCGAGCTCCTCCTCCGTCTTCGCAGGTGCGCTGTTGGCGACGGTGAAGAAGTCGTCGTCGTCCATGGACGGACCCTGAGACGAAGGCTCGCTAGCCCTCATCTGGCCCAAGATCGCGTCGGGTGACGCAGTAGAATGATAGATGAGTTTCACCCAATCCCTACGCTTCCTCGAACGATTTGAGTCCTCGAACGCGGTCCGCGCCTTCTCGCTGAGGTTGGCCTTCCACCGGGGCACGTCCTCGTCTTCAGATGCCTCCTCCTCGAGCCCGTCATCACTCGGTACGTCCACGGCCTCGTCGCCGTCAAAGCGGACGAATCTTCGCGACGGCCCCGGGTCGTCCTCGTCGTCCTCTCCACCCATGTCCGAGTCGCTATCTGCGTAATCGACGTCGCAACGCTTCCGATTTTGAGATGAGAGGCCCTGCATTGCCCGCCGTACATTCCGCGGCGCCGCGCGACCGTGGTCTTCTGCTGCATCCTCATCGTCGTCCTCGAAGCCGTCGTCTGAGAACTCGTCCCCATCCTCCGAGCCGAGGTCCTCCTCATCGCTAAGCGCATCCTCATCCTCCTCGCTAGAACCTTCGTCCTCGTCCGACCCATCCTCGTCGTCGTCAGAGGGAAGCCGACTAGGACCAGCCTCCACGGAGAGCGGCTGGGAGGACGACCCGAACAGCCTGATTTGACTTTTCGCCACCTGGTCGTCGAGGGTGCTGTTGACGCCCTGGAGGTCCAGAACCATCTGCTCGCCTTCGCCCGGGTCTATAGAGCAGGCTCAGCACAACGTACAGTAGGAAGCATAGATATAGCGCACTCACTTTCCATCCCACCCTTCGTGAAGTTACCCGGCACGTTAATGTAGACAGCATCCTTGTCGTAAATGACGCCGCCGACATCACTCATGGGTGCGTGAATGAGGAGCTTCTTCTTCTCACTGAGCTTCCTCCGCTTCTCCGAAGCGGCATCTGGAAGCGGACAAGGGTCACCGAGAATCTGAACGCTCTTCACCTCGAGGTCTCCAACACCAGGAACGTGTACCTTGGTGCCCTGACGGTAATTCGTGCCACGGAGGTAGCCGTAGACGGTGACGGTCCGGTCGCACTTGCCCCCGGACTGTCGGACCTCCTCTCGAGGAGTGAGATCCTCGAAGCGGTCCGCGAGCATGTACGGATGTGTGTTGCGGAATACGAGGGGGCGGAACTTCATCACGGAGATGAAGCGGGACAGGTTGAGGATCTCGGCGTCGGGGTAGCGGCCGTTCAGGACGCCGGAGAGGTAGAATAGCTTGGCTCCTTGGTAGATCTCCGTCCAGAAGCGTTTCTTCAAGGTCTTCTTCGTGTCCTTCAACGTAGCGGCCTTCTTGATGAGGTCGAGGTGGGTGAGTACTCCGATGACCTTCGGGAACCCATGCGACTGCAAGATGTTAAGGAACTCGAAGGTTTCCTGTACGAGTATGAGCGCGGAGCTGAGGACCAGGGAACAACTACACACCATCTCGAAACCGTACGAGCCGTCAATCATGAGTAGGACGAGGTCCGCAATCTTCCCGACGTCGATCATGGAGTTAAGGTCGTTGTTGCACTCGATGAATGTGAGACGCTTCTTCTTCCCGCTGACGACGGTGACGGGCCCGTGAATGTGGTTGAGGGTTTGCTTGGTGTACCGCCGAATGAGAGACTTCATGAGGGTGGTCTTGCCGACGCCGGGAGGGCCAACCACGGCGATAATGACGGGCGGCGGCTGGTCATCAGGCGTGCGGTCGACGAGCGGGACATGGAGACGTGTCTGGTCGCGCTCTGCAGTGCGCCGACCTTGTTTGTCTGCTCTCCTGCCAGATTTGGGCGCAAAAGCCTGTAGTCGAAGGAGTAAGTGAGTGCGGCGGGAGGAGAACGTCCAGCGAGGGCTGCGGGATGTGTTTTGCGGAACGTGTCACGGAACATGTTCTGGGCCCTGGGTGATAGAGTGCGGCACATCTCTCATCGCCAAAGCACGCAAGTTCAGAAATGCTGGGACAAGTGCCTTCACGCGTCGCTGAACTTGAAGTGCACTCGAAGTGCACCCTTAGTAGGTCTGATCAGTGTAACATCCTCCACAACCAGGTTCCTTGGACGGCACGCCGATGAGAGTAGCGGGCACGATGCGTACAACGTTGGCTACAGCGGCAGCGACCACAATGTGCCCAGCGTACACTGAGGTCAAGGTGTGAGGCGCGAGCGCGCTACTCACCTCACCGTAGGCAGCGAGCACCATGCCATACATCGCACGATATAGATCCACCGCTAGTCACCTCTGTCACTCGATCAAGTTGCCAGAAAGCGAAACATGTGCCGGAACGTGTTCTGCGGGATAGTTGGGAGGGTTTGACGTACCTTTTCGTTGAAGCCGTGCTGCTTCTCCTTTCCCTTGCCCTTGGACGCCTTCTTTTTCTCCGCCTTCGCACCCGACTGCGATGGTCTGTGCGCCTTGTTTGCCTGCGAATCCATGGGACGAGAGACTCGAGAGTGAAAGCCTCAGAGAGGGAGGAAACGGGCGAGCACGTTTTCAATTTGGCGAGACGATCGGGCGGGGCGACCCAAGGGCGGGCGCTCTCGAAAATTACGCGCGCTGATATTAGGCGCTGGGCGATGCGAGCACGTGACGGACGCGTTCGTGTTGAAGGGCCGCGGGCGCTTGCGGCTCGAACCACGGCTCGCTCGTCTCAGCCTCTCCCCCTCATCCGCTCCTCCTCTTTACATACTCCGGCGACACCTCGCGGAAGAGCGACCATGTCGAGGCGTGCCGCAGCTCTTGATTTCAGCATCCGCTACGACGAGCTCGAGCAGCAGCGCGTCCAGCTCGAACACAACCTACAGCACACCGACCTCTCTCTCCATCTCTCGTCTTCGCCAGACGACTACTCGGACGTCGAATACCCGAGGCACAACTCTGTCAACTCTCCACCCTACTCTGCCTTTGCATCGTTTGATCATCGCTCAGGCGACGACTTCGACCCTAACGAACAGAGCAGATTCCAAGCGTGGTCATATCACACCGCCGACGCCGAGGAGGGAGTCCACACATACGCCGCGGAGTCCCTGTCTACTGCAGCGCATCATGCGAGCGCCCTCACTATCAGCGCTGGTCTGGGAGGTGGTCGGGGAGGAAGGAGAGACATTAGCCTTAGCGGGGCAGAGTACGACCCGGAGAGGCCATTACACGGCATCGTGGCTGGCATTACTGGCCGTCTCAAGGGATTTGACGCCAATTCCACAAAATCGAGACAAATTGTCAGTCCTTTTCTCTGAATTCTGCGTCGCCTGAGTTTACATGTTTCTCTCTCTCTTAGACGGCCAGTGCTGCGGACTTCGATCCTCTGATCGTCGACGACACGGCCGAGCTTGATCGCGTTCTCCAGTCCGGACATGCGCGTCAAGCCAACATCCGCGCTGCCCGCTCAACCTCATCTTCATCCAGCTCTGACACAACGGAGCCTCTTTCGCCCCAGCCACAATATGAGTCAAGACCAAGGCTCTCGGACGCACTTAGCCACATTGGCTTCTCTCCCAAGCGCCCAAGGAGTGCGCAGGGACTCCCTTCTCCACGCATGGCGAGCCTCACTATGCCTAACCGAAGTCCAACGCCCGACCGCGGCTCTCTATCTCGCCATTTGCCACGCGCAGCATCTCCTAACGCGCTTCAAGCCTCGACTCCAAGAATACAACGCCGCATGAATCAGTCGCTCTCTTACGCTCAGCCGAGTTTTTCTCAGAGCCCACTCGAGCCGGAGGTCAATGTGCAACCCGCAACTCCATCGCTAAGGGAGCGCGACCAGTCGTCCAAGTTCACCAACCTTGCCCGAGGTCTCGCGCGCGAAATCGAAGAAGAGGCTGACGCGGTGTTGCGAGGCAGTCCCCAGCACGAGGCGACTCCCAAGGCTTATCACCATAGTACATACGCCTCAAGGCCAAAACGACAAGCACGGAGTCCATTCCAGGAAAAGGCTAGCGAAAGGCCAGAGAGGAGTGGTCATCTCGCGACGCCCTTCAGGCAGCGCGTGCATCTTCCAGACGTGACTGGTCTCACATCGGCGATTGCGTCCCCTTCCAAAATCGACGTGGAGTTCTATGGCTACGATCCGAAGGAGACGACCGAACATGAAGGTACGTGCTACACTTCCTCCAACTCATACGGATTACTGACTTGTTCCGAAAGCTCGCCTGATAGCCACTCTAAGCGTCGTTCAGAACAAGCTTTCACACCTGGAGGCCGAGAACAGCGTTTCCCGACGGCGCGTACGCGAGCTGGAACACGAGCTCGAGGCGTGCAAGAAAGAGGTCGCACGCGAGCGTACTCGGATCCTGGAGCACGAACAAAGCGTTTTGCATGCTGAGGCACCCGCCGCGGGCTCTCGCCAATCTCGCGCCCAACAACAGCAACAACAGCGGCAGGCGCAGGAAGACGAAGCTGATCTTGCCGGTGCGGAAGCCCGGTACAAGTCGGCCGTAGAAGAGAAGAAAGGTAGATCTATATTAGCTGCCCAGCATGGCATTTACTTATGTTCGTTGCAGCGCTGGAAGCCTTGATCAGCACTCTGCGGACGCACCTCTCGCGCCTAACCGCTGAGCTTTCTGATCACAAGAAGCTCCTTCTGGAACTCCGGGCCCTGCGCGATTCCGACGCTCGTACTCTTGCGGAGAAGGGCAAGCAGGTGGATCAGCTTCGGCAAGAGGTCGAACGCTTGGCGGGCGAGGTCGAGGTGCTGCGCGGCGTTGTTGAAGAGGGTCTGAAGGAGCGGCGGGGCTTCCGCGAGCAGTCGGTGAGCCATGAGCAAGAGACACGGACCGAGACCGCAGATGTCAGCAGCGAAGAGGAGTCGTCATCCGCGGAGTCTACCCAGATGCAAGAGCCGCAGGGTACACAGCAGCAAGAACGCACCGCAGCCCGAGCTCCGTCACCACTTGCGGAGGAGAGCGAAGACGAGGAGTCAATCGCATCATCTAGCCGTCGTTCGCCGACGCCGTCTCCTAGGAGGAAGCCCGCTGCGGCAGACAGGACGATGCGGACCGATCACGCGACGCTTGCATCGTCTCAGGTCCCTAGTCTCAGTGTGTCCAGGCCGTTCTTGGACACCGAAGAAGTGAGCCGCATCACGCAGGAGATCGAAGAGCGCCGCTCCGAACGCTCTGCCTCTATGCACTCGCGTTCAAGCGAGCAGTCTCGGTCCCGGTCACAAGAGGACTCGCGGAGCAGGCTCGTCAACGAGGGAAGGGCGTCTCGCCCAGTCTCACCATCGATGGCGTTCGACCAGGATGCGTCTGTTTTCGCTCAAGATGCACACCCCGACCGGTTCCCCCGCGCACCCGCAGAGAGCAGCCGGCCGTCATCCCCACGAGCTGGGGCGTCCCAAGCGCAACCTCGACCTGCCGCGCCGACACCCGCAGCCGCTCTCCGCGACGGCCGTTCGAAGCGCCGCACGCAGACCGAGCCCGCTGCGGGTGAGCCTGAGACACCGTTCCCGCAGATTCGCGGGACGCGTCTCGAGCGCCTGTTCTTCTCCGCCCCAGACCATAATGCGCAGACGTGCACAATGTGCCATCGGAGGCGGCGGAGACGGTCTGATGTCGAGCACGCAGAAACGTGGTTGAACGAACGGGAGCGGGCACAGGGGAGGGATAAGCGAGAGGCGCATGCGGAGGATGAGGACGAAGGCTACGCGGAGGGTCCCGAGGACATGCATGGGCGCAGGGAGCAGCAGGCGAGGGGCGCGAGGGACCGGCAAGACGAGCGGGTTCCGCCACAGACCGTGCTGGCACGGGTACTGAGGGAGCTCGAGGATGACTTTACGCATTATAAGAGGTTAGTCAAGTTCTGTCCAAAAACTTTCTTGAAAGTTGCTAACCCCGTCCGAACAGCATTTATGTCGAGCTTGCGGACCAGTACAAAGACATGGATCCAGTGTCAAACGTTGTGAAGCGCAACGTGCTCGCGGACCACCTGCGCGAAGTCATTGATATCCTAGAACAGAAGGTATGTCCGATGCACTGTCCAGCTGGATGCCTCTTCTGATATACGTGTACGCAGGGTAACCAGATCGCCTCCCTCTACGACCTCCTCACCTTCAAAGACAAGCCCGCCGGCGAGTCCGCCGTGCCGCAGCAGCCCACAGTGAAGCGGATGCCCGCCACTGGGCCCGCGTTCGGCCGCGCCCAGGCCCGCAGATACCCCAGCTCATAGCCCCTCCCGCGCGACGCCCTACCTTTTCTCCTGTTCCCGTATATTTATCCACGTGCGGACTCGACTGACGCCACCTGAGCTACCTGATTGATCCCTTCCTTGCGCACTTCACTGTAGATTGGCCGCACAGCACGCACAGCATACATTTTGTATCATACTGTACTCTACCGCGCTACCGTAATGCGTCGCATCCACCACGCTTTGGGGCCTGAGCGCTGATTTCGTACCGGCATAGGTGTGAATGTGTTGAGGCATCGTGTTGCTAGCTCCACGCAAGGTGAGTGAATGACCGGTCTCGCCAGCGACCGCCAGGCACTACGGAAGCCCTCATGACTTCTCTATGTAGCTTAGATCACCACATGTACGTGCATCCCCATGAACCCCATCGACATTATGCTTGACTGAATGTCCGTTCTGCAGGTCTTGTGCTTGCCGTGGTGGGCTAAGCGAAACATCATGGGGTTGCTTCTCAAGCAAGTTCCCCAAGTAGGATGCGAAAATGGCCCTCGAAACTCACGCGCCCCGCTTGGGAGCCTTTTGCGGAACCGCAAAGAGTCCTTAGCGGTTAAGCACGGGGCAACTCCACCGCCGGAGAACTATTGTGGGACGACACGTTCACGCTGAACGCGTCTACTTGGCACTGTGCTTCCCTCGCACTCTGTCCACCTGAGCGCCGAAATGTCGTTATCAGAAGAGCGAGCTTCTTGCGCCACGTTATAAGGCCACGCTCGGTGCTCAGGCCTCAGGTCTCTCAGACCACATTGACCCACACGGAAGCCTACGATGGCCGACTCTGCAACATACGACATCATCGTCGCCGGCGGTACGTGCTTCGCTCGCACGGCGTTGCGCCGAAGCACACTCGCTGACGGCTCGTTCAGGCGGCACCGCTGGTTGTGTTCTCGCTGGACGTCTTGCGGCCGCGGATCCGTCGCTCAGCATCCTCGTGATAGAAGCCGGACCGACCACGCGCGAGGACCCCTTGCATACGCAGCCCGCGCGATACTTGCACCACCTCCGCCCGGAGAGCGAGACGGTGAAGTTCCACGTCGGCCGGGAGAGCGCCGCGCTGGGTGGACGCGCGCCCGTCGTGCCCTGCGGACAATGTCTCGGCGGAGGCTCGAGTGTGAATTGTGCGTGCTTAAAGTCCGGAGGACCTGCCTCGGTATTGCTGCTGATATCGCTTCTTTTAGTCGCGATGTACACACGCGCGGCGGCTTCCGACTACGACGATTGGGCTACCGTGTACGGGAACAAGGGGTGGAGCGCAGCTGACCTGCTGCCCCTGCTTCGCAAGGTTCGACTGCAGCGCTAATTTCGCTTCGCGCTCGGTGGCAATCATTGATTTGCTTGCTTGTACAGTGCGAGACGTACCAGCTGCACCCGGACAAGCCTACCCACGGCTACTCGGGACCTCTGAAGGTGTCCTACGGCGGCTTCAGCAGTGAAGTTGGCGAGGAGTTCCTGAACGTTGCTGCGCAATACGACAAGACCCGGGGCTTAACTGACGACGTCAACAATTTGTATGACTGCAACAAGTATGGGGTAAGTACTCCGTTAGTCGAGGTATCACGCAGCCTGATTGTTCATCGATGCAGAAATGGCAAAAGTATGTAGTAAAAGTCCCGACGCAAATACTGGCGCCCCGGCTGATCCCACATTTGCACACCCAGGTGGATTGACGCGAAGACCGGAACACGCTCGGATGTTCCACACAATTACATATACCCCCAGAGCGCGAACACCAATCTCAACATCCTCACGGGTCACCACGTGAAGCAGGTCATCCTCAAGTATGCCCTCCCTGCGATGGTATATGTTCGGTTAGCTGATGATACGCTCGCAGAGACGGAGTGGCCGTCGGCGTTCAATACATTCCCAATACCCGCTTCCATCCTGACGCCAAAATAGAGGTGCTCACTGCGCTTGCTCGCCGGCTGGTCGTACTGTCCGCTGGCGCGTTTGGCTCGCCGGCCATCCTGGAACGGTCTGGGGTGGGGTCTGGCGAGACCTTGGACAAGGTCGGCGTGAAGCAGGTCGTTGATTTGCCCGGTGTCGGCGAGAGTTACCAAGGTGGGTGTTCATAATGACACACGTGCATAATGAACGATCTATTGACTGCTCATGGCAGACCACCAGCTGATCCTTCCTCCGTACATTTCTGCCACCACCGTGAACACACTCGATGCCATAACCGAGAACGATGAAGCGGAGATCAAAAGTGAGGGCTTCTTTCCATCCACCTGACCCTTCGTGACACCTTTCTTGAGAGTGGACCAAGCAGTGGAAAGAGAACGGCAGCGGCTTGCTTGCTACCAAGTTCGTCCGCTCCATACCTTGCCCCTAGTCTCACGTCATTCATATACTGACGTACATCAGTGGATTGGAGGCTGGTATCAAAATTCGCCCATCAAGGAAGGATTTGGATGTCATCGGCGACGAGTTTCGCAAGAGGTGGCTCGACTACTATGCCCCGGCTCCCGACAAGCCTGTACTATGGATCGCCACGCTGTCCGTGTACGTATTCGCTTCTTACGACGACGTCGACAGAGAGGACTAATAGCATGTGACAGCTTAACGGGAGACCGTCCTGCTTCTGCGACCATCGGAGGGAAGTACTGGAGCGTTGGGTGGTACCTCGAGCATCCCACGTCAATCGGATTCGTCCACATTACCTCTGCGAATGACGTCGAGGCGACCTCAGACTTTCATCCGGGATTCCTTGATAGGTACGCACCTATGCTTCAAGCCTTTGCTTTGTGATTCAGGCCTGACCGAGCGAGTTCAGCCCGGAGGATATGGCGCTGCATAAGTGGGGTTATAAGCGCACCCGCGAGTACGCGCGGCGCTTGCCATCGTACCGCGGAGAAGTTGAAGGGCGTCATCCCGCCTTCCATCCTACAAGCAAAGTGGCGGCTGGAGCGCGTGATGGCCCGGTCCCCATATTATCGCCTGACCTGGAGTACAGCGCGGAGGACGACCGCGCCCTCGAGGATTACATACGGCAGGTTGTTGCAACCACTTGGCACTCGGTAAGTCGTCGTTGGGCATTGTGTGTCAGCTGAGTCTCAAACACTTTCACTACGCGCAGATAGGGACGTGCGCGATGAAGAAGCGGGAAGACGGTGGCGTCGTGGATTCACGCCTGAACGTGTATGGAGTGGAGAACCTGAAGGTCGCTGGTAAGCATATTTTCTTGAGTGATCCGTAGGTTTCTCAAGCCCTTTGTGGTCGGTAGACCTATCGATTTGTCCCGGAAACGTCGCAGCGGTGAGTGAGGGCTCCGAGAAGGGATTCCTACGGGACGAACTTGTGGCTGACAAGCCACAATATAGAACACGTACTCGACGGCGGTCTTGATCGGCGAGAAAGCGGCAGTGATTGTTGCGCAAGAGCTCGGTATCTCGATGGAGGATGCAGGCCCTCTCGCTATGCGCGCACGCCTCTGAAGCTGCTAGTAGGCTGAGTACAACGATTGATCAATCCAATGTCTCATCATGATCGGAGCTTGTATTTGGCTTGTATCATGCACACTCAGCGACATACAGATCATTCGGACTTATATAACGGACCCTTGTACCAGATCTAACCTGATCTGACGCGCCTAGATCCGTCACAAGACAGAACAAGGCTGCCGTCGCGCTCAGCTTTCCCCAATATCGGTATCATTCAGTGGCGGCGCACGCAGTCGTTCCAAGGTCGATCTCAGGACGTGCCAGCCGTCATTCCTCTTTGCTCTACAACTTCTCAGCTATGGCTGACCTCGACGATGTTGAACGCTTCTGCGTTTATGATGCCCCCATGGCCCTCAACTCTGACTTCTTGTCAACGGATGGCCTCGACCCTAGGACTGGCCGCTCCCGAAATCGCCGGCATTTTCGAAAAATACGCAAGTCAATAGTAGGGCCTATACCTTTGTCCGTCTTCTTTGAGCGGGCATTAGGCGGGGCGGCTTCGGACGACAGGAATATGCTGTTATCCGCGACAAACGCGTTCAATTCGGTGCCGTCCACGGCCAACACGCCGGAGGAGATATACGAGCCTTTGGTGTGTGGCATCCTGGCTTGTATGACGCGATTGAATAACATGACGCCCTAGATAATTGCCCTCAACAAACAGACGAAGTACAAGTCTCGCTGTCCCGGTTTCGTCTTCGAGAACACCGCTCGGCGTAGCTCGCATCCCAAACACCCCGGGTATGCCAAACCCCATATATCATGCGTTAGCAGACGTAACGTCCAGAACGTGCGGCGGTTGGACCGTCACTCTCGCTCGGAACTCGGCTATGCTGAGCTTATCATTCAAGTCACCCCCGACGCCACTCATGACTTGTTTACCGACCCTCCGCCCGACCTCGAGGTGGAACATCGCGGATCCTTCGATTGCGTCTCCGCAAATGACGATCAGCAATTACAACAGGAGGTAGAAGACGCATTCGGGCTTCACATTGCTTTCATAGTCGAGATCTTCGCCCGTCAACATCGCAACCACTGCCACTCGATTTCCATGGCTGGCTCGCGGGCCCGACTGTATCGCTGGGACCGTGCTGGCTGCGTTGTTTCTGAAGCTTTCGACATCCGACAACATCCCGAGCCACTCTGCGAATTCTTGTGGCGCTTTTCGCGAACATCCGACTCTTTGCGCGGCCATGACTGCACAGTCATGCAGGCCACCTTGAAGGAGGAGGTACTCTTCAGAGATGCCGTCAAGGAGTACGTTCGATCCCAACTAGACATTGATGGAGAGGCTCTCGATCGCGCAGTCAGTCAACATTACTGCCCAGGGCGCGCCGCTCTGGTTAAGGTGCACCCTCACGGACATCCCGTCTCGGAGACCAATGTTTGGCTATTCATAATCTCTCGTCCCGTGGTATCGCCGCTCTCGCTCACCGGCCGAGGCACACGAGGTTATTGGGCGGTCGATTGCATTACCTCTCAGGTAGTATTCTTGAAGGACACCTGGCGGATCGAATCCAGTGGAGGCTTCGAAGGGGACTTGTTAGGCCATCTGAACGACCTAGGGGTGCGTAATGTGCCAGAAGTTGTGACATACGGCGATGTGCCAGACTACATACCAAAAGAACGCCGCGATGGTGAGTGTCTGCATACTCTATACGTGAAGGGCTTTGCTGAGCATACGCAGCCACAATCTGGCAAACAACATATACTGCCGGGGAGGCGCTGAGGCGCTGGGCATGTCGCATTGCGGGCCAACCTATCTCTGTGAGAGATTTACAGCGCTATCGTCTAGTCTTGGGCACCGTCGGATACGGGATATCCACCATCACGGGTACGGAAGAACTACTGCATGCGACGTACGATGCATTCACAGGTGCGTAGGCTACTTTCGGACCTTGAGCAGATGACTTAGACTGATCATCAACGCAGCCATGAGAGACGCACACGCGAAGGACTCGCGTATCCACCGAGACATCTCTGTCGGCAACATCATACTGGTCAAAGAGCCCGGCCAAGAAATTCGCCGGGGATATCTTATCGACTGGGAGGCGTCCATCAGCGTCGATTCCGCTGGGGATGCTATGCAACCGGGGCGGGCTGTATGTGTTCTTAGCATATCTCCTGCCCTTTCCGCGTGCTGACATATCCGCAGGGGACGTGGCATTTCATGTCGTGGCGGATGCTAGACAGAGTGCATGCCAATAGCAAGCATACTTTCCTGGACGACATGGAAGCCCTCGTCCATCTGGTGCTATACTGCGCACTGCTCTACTTACACCACTCCTTCGACAAGAAGGCTCTTTTGCAGACCCTCCACGAGTACTTCGAGCTCTCGTGCGGTGCTCCCCCAGGAACTGCTCATGGGGGCGATTTGAAGTATACGACCGCTCACGACAGAGACCTCATCAGGGCAGCTCAGTTCGGGAGCGCGTCGCTTTCGGAGTGGCTCACCACGATGCTGGAAACTCAGTGCCCGCCCGAATGGAATACCGAGGGATACAACTACGGGGAGCGCTGGACACCCGAATGCATTGACGCGTTCTGGTCTGAGTTTCTCAACACGCACACCCTGGAACACGACAATCGTGATGTCCACGACGTCACAAGGGAGCACCGCTACGACTTCGACGAGCTGTCTGTGACGCCGTCGACTGCACCCCCGACGCCGAGGATAGCTCCAAAACGCAAGCGTCCCGCCGCCGAACGCAAGCGACCCGCAGGCGAGCCCGACCCGAAGCGCAGACAGTCTATGCGTCTGCGCAATGACGCCCCGCCCGGCGAGTCCCCGATCAACGCCCAATCCTCTTCAAATGGCTCTCGTCGGAGTCAGCGTATCAAGACTATGCAAGAACGTGTCCAGGTACCTACAACTGCGCGCACAATTGCCTCGAACCCTCGCCCAGGACCTCGACGAGCGGTGAAAAATCGGGGGCGGGGTCGGCTGCGCGGATGACCAAGTTCAAATTGTACCGATTCTTCGTTCGCTTCTTTATTCCTTATTTACTATCCGGTCGTGTCTGTTTTGTTCTGCCGCATTTCGCCCCGACCTCAGTCCACTATCCCTACTCTTGATATCGCTTCGATAGAATGTCAAAGAGTGCCCGCTCGACAGTAGTGCACGTGTGGCGAACCGTGGACGCTGCTGTCCGCTTTACTATCGCGTTCGCTTTGGCCTGTTATAGTGAATGCTCGTTCTTCTTGTTCTGGAGAGAAGACTCCTTACACATAGCAGTTGGGTCCCGGAGCAGCACAAAATGGCAAAATCCACGGCTTCATTTTTACTGCGCAAGTAACAGGCGGAGAAACACGAGACCGACGGAATGAGTCTCCGTTAACCCTCCCTACGACTACCTCATTGGCACTGCTAAGTCGTCAGCATATCAAAACAGAGCTACCGTCAAAGGACTAGTACACACCTGGTAGTAGTACGGAGGCGATACCGCCTTGCAGGTGAAGGGACTGGCGCAGACGGTGGGACCAGTGTAGCCGGTACCTAAACCAATCAAAGTCAGTCAGTTCCTCGTCAAAAACAGCAGTACAAATATATGTACGCACCACCGCACTGTCCGTACTGGCTCGCAAGAGGCCCGGTCGCGCTGCTCGTCGGGCTCGCGACAGGCGTGCTGGCCGGGGCGGTGGTTGGCGGGACCGTGGGCGCAATGGTGGGGGACGAAACTGGGGGCGCAGGGGCTGCCGCGCCGGAGCCGATAGCGGTCGTGATTGGCCCGTTCTCGATGAACACGCCGCTGATGTACCAGTCCTCGGGTGCGGGCGTGTTGACGATGCGGAGCACGCCGACGTGGAAGTCCTCGGAGTTGGTCGAGGTGGATGCAGGGATGTTGGCCGCGACCCTCACGAGCGGGTCGCCGCCCGTGGAGGCCCAGAGGCCGACGGTGCCCGCGGAGAACTGACGAGGTTATCAACAACACGATTACGCAGAGTTACAGAAGAGGACCATAGACGTACATCAATGTCGTATGCGAAGTTGTACCAAGTCCCGGGGACAAACGCCGTGCTCCACTTGGGCTGGCCTCCAACGTGCCATTCGAGGTCAGTCGGGTTGGGCGCGACACCGTACTTAAGCTACGACCAATCGTAAGCCAAAATGCTATGCACGCTAAGCTAAGAAGAGAGCCTCACCTCCGTGAAGTGAGATTCGAAGAAGAGGATCTGGTGCTCCAGGGTAGACTAGAAGACTCAGCGGGTAAGCATATGCAGCGCGACAGAGAGCCAGCAGGTGACGAACGTCGGGAAGGTTGGTGTCGGGGTGCGAGATCGAGAAGTGGTAGAACAAGTTCCCCTGGCCGAGGTTTGCCGTCGTCTGCGGGATGAGTTCCGCACTATGTACAGCGTCAGACGGTATGCCCGTCGACCGCCATAAGATGAGCGTGCTCACCGCTCCATTTGCGAGTTCCATGTCGCGGTAGAGTCAATGGTCACCCGGAGCCCGTGTGTCTCAGCCGTGTCCGCGGGGTTCTTGAAGCTTGGGTCGAGCGCGAGGTAGTGTGATGTGGGCTGAGTGCCGTGGATGTACTGCACAGGAAGACGTCAGTTTACTGGAAGAAATACTAACAGTCATGTACTGGTACCCATTGGTATGTCCCGACCTGGCTTGCCCAGGACCCTGCGAACGTAATGAACAACCATGCAGCCCGTGGTGCTTGCCAGCATGCTCACACTTGTCAAAGTCGGCGACCGTGCTGAAGGCATTAAAGGATCCTGTGTGACAATAGCGTTAAGTGCTTTGCAATATGCACTACCCCACATCCTCGTACTCACCATCCCAAAGTTTGGTCCCCGCGCGAGCGGCACCAAAGAACAGCAGAGTCGAAAAAATAGCCTGAGAGATCATTTTGCCTCGAGTGAGCACGTTCGGAGAGCAGTTGCTACCACGTACGACCGAGTCGGCGAGTCCGTATATATACGACGTCGCGGATAATAACGAGCGGGGCACGACGCCATCGCACGTCCGTCCGACGCCTGCGAAGATTGGCCGTCGTACGTGCGGGGAAAAACGTCGGGGGCAGTGGAGGCGGAGAAAATGAGCCGCATGATCACGGCCGCCAAGTGTGCATGAAACGATGCGCGACAGCGCAGTGTCGCGCAACTCAGTCCACGGGGGCGCGTTCGGCAGAATCATGGATATATCGAAGTGATTAAACTGGTACAGAGGTTATGTCTTCCGGGGTATGGACGCGTCGCCGCCGCCCTATAGAGCACAAGAATCGTGAAAACGTGGGTCAACTGAAGGGATAAGTTAGGCGTGCGCGCATGCGCGGGAGTTCGTCGTGAATCTCTAGCGCGCAGCCGCATCATACAGGTCGTCGCGGTCGTGATCATGTCGGCCTCGCAAACATCCAGGACGTCAGCCAGGACTTCGGCTGCTGCACCTGCTCGGCTTCTTCCTCCTCGCGCTCCTTGACGTCCTCTGCTGCGTCCTCTTCCTCGGCGATGGCCACGCTGTAGACCGCCTCCTGCACGGAGATGACCTTCGAACCCGAGCTGTGGCTGGAGTAATGTGGCAGCATCGGGGGCGGGTCAACCACAGAAAGCATGGATCGGGAGACGCGGCTGCCCCGTGGGGGGCTGCTACTTCGCATCCCGAGCTCGTAATCCATAGATGCGGCGCGGTTTCGGCGACGTGACTCCGACGGCCGGAAGAGCGAGGCAGCTGGAGGGCGACTCCGAGAGTCTGACTCCGACCCAATAGACATGGACCGGAATGCCGAAGACGACGTGACGTCGAACGTACTTGGTCGCTGGATACCGAGGTGCAAGCCCGGCGCGCTGTGGTTTGATTTTCGGCGTTTTGACTGACGTCGGGGCATCGGCGCGATCTCGATCTCCTCCTTGTCAATAGACTCGACCCGGGAGGCGATTGCGGGGGGCAGCTGGATGTCCTCTGTTCCATCCACGCGCCTGAAGTAGCTCGGGTGAAGAGACTCTTCTTCTTCAACGCTGCCGAAGCTCGTAGCGAAGGCGATAGACAAGTCGGTCTCGATGTAGTCCTCTTCCCTCCAGGCGCCGAGCCGTCCAGCCCCAGGTTGGGTCGTGAGCGACATGCGCATGTTCACGGTGTCGTCGAGGTTGAGGATGCCGAGCGGATCTCGGGGAAGCCAGAGGACGTTGTCGATGTCCCGTGTGAAGTACGGGTTTGCGTAGGTATGGCTGGTAGACGACTCGTCCTCCCAGGCGGGATGAGGTGGGTGTCGGGAGACAACAGCGGTACTGGCAGGAGGCTCCTCGGGGGCGACAGGCCGGACTTCGTCGTCGGCGCTGGTCTCTCTCCAGAGCGGCAGTGGAAGACCAGGAGGAGAGGAGTCGGGTTCATTGGCACTGCGCGGCGAAGTCGGATTCAGCGGCTGCATGGAGTCCGTCCTGCGCGCGGGCCCAAACGGATTCGCCCCGCGCCGCTGTGTCCGCTTTGGCCGACTCGCAATCGTCGCGTACGGGAAACTTAACTTCAAGGGGAACTTCCAGGACCAGACATCTACGCGAGTGTCCTCTAGCTTCCTGATCTCGCTCTGGAGCGCTTCGTCACACGGCTGTGCCTCGTCGATCAGATCCTCCGTCGCGTTGCCTGTGCCGCAGACAACCTGGGCCTCCAAAATGTCATCACGCTCGAACCGCGCACGGCAGAGGCGAGTGAGGCTAAGGTGGGTCAGTTATTCCGTTCAAGCGATGACACAAGAGGTGAATACGCACAACATCTTGTAGGCGGCGGTGAAGATAATGAGCACGCCCGACAAGCCAACGTTGACGGTCTTCTTATTTACGACCATGTACGCGAGGAAGACGACCTAAAAGCCCTCAGTTCAGTATACGCATTTCAAGAAGTTGTCGTGACGGCAATATACCTGTGAGAGCATCAAACCTGCGAAGGACGTGCGTGAGTTCAAGCGACGATCCGTCTTTGATCTGGTTGACATACCGTCCAGAGAATAGCGGACCATACGGATAAGCAAAGTTTGGCCATTGCCCTCATAGTTCTTCGCATAAACGTGGAGTAGCTGATACCCACCTCAGCAACTTGTATGCATTCTATACACATTAAGGGTGCGTACCTGATTTTTGACGAGAGCTGCAAATTGCGCGTCAGAGCACCGATGAAAGCAGAAACCAAAGGAAATGCTTACTAGCTTCCACACAGAAATATATAAATGCGAACGGGATGACGAGCGGATTGAGGACAGCGAAGACGAGCAAGATATGGATGACGAGAACGTGATTCGGGAGCCAGTCTGTACTGCTGTCAGCAAGCGAGGAAGTATGGTGAGACCCATCATAACGCACAGTAATAATTATAAGTGCGGGGTCGAATACCCATCGCCCGTTTGCGTGGCGTTACTTGGCGCCTTGTCGTTGGATACATGATGAGAGGCAGCTATCGGAAGGTCAGAACATGCATCTCTACTCCCGATACTATACACGTACTCCAACTGTGATTAGCCATGGGATGATTAGCGCAAGGCCAAACGAACGAAAAGCATAAGGCTTACAAAGTGCAATTTCTAAACCGCCGTGGATAGCCATCGTGAAGATAACTATTCGGGCCGAGTCAATATCACTCTCCGAATGACTGGTTGGCATTACTCACACCATCCAACATAAAAGGGTCCGGCGACCGGGAAGCTCTGCGAGATGACCTCGGCCACTTTCGGGGCGGTCGCGTTTTCGAAGGATACCAAGAACGATTGCAGGGCAACCGTACCGACGCAGAAAAATACGAGAACGTTCACCACGAGGAATTTGTAGTATCGTGTCATGATGCGGTCGTGCAGAGAGGACAAGGTTGCGATGGTATGGGCCCGTTTCGCGATGAGGACTGAAGCAAGTTTGTGTCAGTGGTCCAGTCGGGGCTGCGAGCTACTCACGAAGTATCAGAGGTATCAACAGCGAAAGAAGAGCGACGAGAAGTGTGGGCAGGAAGGATTGCAACAATTCTTCTTCCCATTGGTGTTTCTGGAGATAGTCCATCTGCACACAATAGACGGTGTCAGAATGGACGCCATGGGAATACGCATAGAGTGCATACCAGTCCGGGGACGAAGGTACTGAGGTTCTGAATGTTGACGAGACCGACGAAAATCGTCACGGGGAAGACCCAGAACAGCGTGAATGCCCTGCGAAGTCGGCTGCAATTAGCATGATTCGCGTCAGTTGTAAGATGAACATACCACACGCCCAGCTCCACCACCCAATCCTTGACGAACTGCAGGGCTGTGAGATGGCGAAACACGCAGGATTGCAAGCATGCTTACCTCTGCCCTGAACGTAGGTTTCATAAGCCTCTTCCAGTCCAAGTCTTCAAACGAAGGCGCCATAACGACGAGACATTGCAGTGGGTTCTCCGGGTGTACTGCGAGGTACTTACACGCCCGCCGTGCGTCCGCCGGGTCGACGAAAGTGACAAAGGCAGTCGGCATCGCTTCGAAGTCTGACAGCGCCATCGACCGCTTCTCGATGATCATGTTCGTCACGATCTGCAGCTTCGCCGTGTAATAGTCGATCGCCGGAACCGTCTTGCCGCGAAAGATAGAGGACAGATGGATGAGGGGTTGGTATGCATCAAGCGTGCTCCGCGGAAGGCTAAGCAAGGCGTCCCAAACGGTCTTTTCATCTGAGGACTTGGACTTCTCGGGACTGGGAGGGTGGGTAGACTCGAGGTCAGGGCACTTCCGCGCTCGAAATGTTCGCCACCCGGACGTAACGCTAGCGTTGGAGACAACGCCGGCGCCAGGCGCGGGAAGAAACGGCTTGAGAGTGCGCACGAGCAGCTCGGTTCTGTCTTCGCCCTCAGGTGCGTCCTCTTCGCTTTGAGCCACTGCTTCCACGTCCAGCCCGCCTGCAACAGACATCCTCTTGGCCGCAACAGACATGCGCCGGGCAGCCTTCCGTAGGACACCGACGTCTTGCTTGTTGGACAGAGCAAGCTCTACGCTGGCTAGTGCCTTGCGCGCAAGCTTGATATGCGCGGTTTCCAGGAGGCGAAGAATCTCCTCCCTCCGCTCCAGGAGCGAGGCAAGATCGTTCATCTTCCGGACGATCATAACGCGGTCGATCGCTGGGACGTCGTGGCCTTCGGAGCTGGCTTCATGCGACGAAGAAGAGCGCGCTGTGTCTAGCGGAGCACCACTTTGGTCGGACGTTCGTACTTTGTGGACTTGAGAAGGTAGCCGGCGAGCCCGGTTGAACAAGTAAACGAAGATCTTGTTGAGGAAGCCGGGTTGAGTGGAGGAGGTGATACCTATCGCCGGCCGTGCCACGCCACGCGACAGATAATATTCAAAGTACTCCTTGAGGTCCTTCTCTGTCCTCAGCCCATGTGGAATGTTGGTCACCATAACGGTCCGCAAGCGTAAACCCCGCGTGCTGTGGTCTTCGTCCAGAGGCGCTAGCGAGTGGAAGGGATACTGAGGATGGGGGTGCGGGTCGTATTGAGCACGTTCCTTGGCAGAGGTTTCCGAGGCGGCTTGGTTCGCAGCGGCGAGGATATTCTGCGCGCGGAAGCGGAAAGCCCCACGACAGATCCAGAACAAGGTGCCGAACCAGGTGAACGTGATCCAGAACATGAGGATGATGTGAACCCATAGCAAAGAGAGGCCCTTTTCCGTAGATACCAGCGAGGATATGGAAGCGCGGGTCATGGACTTCGGCGAGACTGATCCGTCGGAGAAGGTAACATGAATGGGGAACAAGATGGGCAAAGTCGTCAGAGTCTGCAAGAGGGCGAACCAGAAGCAACCGCGTAGGAAGCGTGTGTAAAGTGTAGCATCCACGCCGCGAAGCTTGTTCATACGGTCCTCGGGGAACTTGAGGACGGGCTTGATCCATCCTAGAGGCCATCCGCGGGGATGAGGTGGGGAAGGGCGCCTACGTAAACTCAGTGATTGCAACATAGATTTCTAGCAGCACACTCACTTGGCCCATGACCTGCCCTGGTATAGGCTGGACGCGAGTTAGCGACTGGGCGACATAGCAGGAACGAGTCGGGGTTTAATCCGCCGAACCGCCCACTGCACGACTAATTGCACTCACTATCCAAACTCCCAAGACTCTACGCTGCCCAAGCCTTCGCCAGTGGGCACTTTGCCGCGCCGCTTCCTTTTCATAAACTCATGTGCGCTGATGGTTATGAGGAATATCACTCCCGCGACCACGGACTGGTTGATGAGACCGCTGCGGAGTCGGAAGGCATTGCCGTGTATGTAAGTGCCAGGGTGTGGGAGCGCTGAAGTGGCCGCTGAACGCCAACGCACCTGTAGTCCTTCGAAAACGGCCTGTTCTGTATCGTAGCCATTGACCGCCGCCGTGCATGAACAACGGGGACGACGCCAGCAAGCCTCGGGAGCACAAGGTGGGAGAGAGGTGGCGAGCGGGATGCTTCCAAGCCGCATGCCCGCTTCTTTGCCCGCACTGATATTCCACCTGCTATATTTCTGGCGCCACAATGGGCTGACCTCTCTTGGATACCGGCCCGGCTCGCCCCCACCCAAACCGAACCGGTTCGGTTGACAATGTAGACGCCCGTCCCCGCCCGAGCTGCACGGCGCCGTCCTCGAGCTCAGCAACTCTCACCATGTCTCTCTTGCGCTCTTGTCAGCGGGCTGTACAGCGGCCAACCCTGGCTAGGGCGACCGTCGCTGCTGCCAGGACGTATGCTACCGACTCCAATATCCCTCAGGCGGCGGAACAGAAGCAGGACTCCGAGATCGCTGAAGCCCCTCCGCGAGATGTTGTCACTGCAGACCTCGTCAGCGGCGCGCCCAGTATGTCTGCTCTGCTCTAGGTCAGACTGCAGGCATATTAACACCCACTTGTGCAGAGGAGCTGCGCCATCGCGCGGTAAGGATCTTCCAGCCCACCCGTAGCACCACCCAGAGCGGACCCGGCAAGTCCAACCGTTGGCGGATTGATTGGGACATTCTCCCCGGTGGAGGTCGTTGGGAGAACCCCCTCATGGGATGGGCTAGCTCGTACGTTTTGCGCTCCTGCGTCTAATGGCATGTGCTAACCTCTCGTGTAGCGCGGATTACATGCAAGGCACTCGCTTGTCCTTCAAGACGAAGGAGGACGCCATTCACTTTGCGGAGAAGCAGGGTACGTCGCTCGAGCTCCTCCGGTTTAATTATCTTGTTCACTTGTTTACCATTCAGGTTGGGACTACTACATGTACGTGACCGAGAGAAACGACGACAGCGCAATACAACTAACCTTCCTTGCAGCGGCCCTACTGAGATCAACCGCATTCCTCCCAAGAACTACTCGGAGAACTTCTTGTACAAGCCTAGCCAGCTCCGTATTATCCGCACGAAGTAGACGTTATACAGTTCTCTCCACGCCCTCGCCACGCTGCAACCTGCAGAGTCCTGTCGCCTCATTGCATCCGTGACCTATGACTGTCCGTCAATTCACATTCAAGCAAGCGGGATACGATGGTATACAGACGACGCATAGTCCGTTAGCAATACAACATCCGACAGCTCACAGCAAGGAAAGTGTCCAGATCTTCAAAAGCAGGCCACCAATCCTGTCCCGGTCCGGCCCCGCTCAGCTGAATCCAATGATGCGGCTCTTGGGCCGCAAGCTCATCACAGGCGCTCTCGGCTTCTTCGCCGTCACCTCCTTCTCCTCCCCGTCCGACTCCTCGTCGCTATCGCCCACGGCCACAACATGCCGCACAGGCATCGGCCGGAATGGCGGTGGCGGTGGTGGTGGCGGAGGCGGGGGTGGCGACTGCACGTCGATTGGAGATGGCTCTGACGGCTCTGCAGCCTCCTGTTCCTGCGCCGTGAGCGGTACGCGCAGCGACATCGAGTACTCCGAGAGCTGCTTGATGACGTCTACGTCGAGGTCGACGTTGAAGAGGTCGAAGATATACCGCCGCACGGGCAGCTTGTACTTCTGCGACGAGATCGTGTGCAGCGCACGGTAGAACATGCTTGGCGAGCTGAAGATGTGCCGGTACTCGGGCTTGCTCTTCATCCTGAGTTGCATACATTCAGTAGGGCTTCAATGGAGACCCGAGGACGACATACTTCGTTAGTGAACGAGAGGCAGCGTTCGCAATGACGGTGTTTGCGAGGTTGTAGATCGCGGTCATGACTTCCATTTCCTCGTCGCTCTCTGGAGGCGCTAGGCGGCTGTCGTCCACGGCCTCACTTGCCACACAGTCCCAGTGTGGTATCTGACACTTAAGTGTGAACAACGTACACCCAAACAAAGCGCACAACTCTACTTACTGAGACAAACTTATCGACATCAACTGGGACGCAGAGCCCAGTCGGCAAGCCCAAGGGAGACAGTGTTGCTTCCCAGTGATAGTCGTCCAGAATTTCTGCGCCTTGAGGGGTGGACGAGATCAACCCCAGCACGAAGAAACATGTTCTGCCAAACATACTCAGCCGATATCAAATACACCGCGGAAGGAAACACATACCCTCGCACAGACAGCACCAGCGACTGCTCCGCAATCTCCAAAATTGCTGGGATGATCTCTTCCTCTTCGAGGAACGGCAGCCCGCGCTCCGTAGCACCGATGTTGCCCTGAAGCATCGTCAGAAGCTGTAACAGTACTATGAGCACAAACACTTACGACTGCCCACAGCACGCTCTTGAGCTTGAGGATGACTTCCGAATCCTCGCTCTCCAGGCCGTGCCGCCGGATGAAGTGTGCGAACTCCGCAAAGTGACCCTTCTCCTGCAATACCTCGCAGCCGAGCTCCGTCTTCGCCATCACCCCGTAGAAGTGTGGAGGCACGATGCCCTCGAACGCCCTGGACAGCCGCATGAGGAAACTAGACTACAACGTCTGAGCGAGGGACGACTCACAGGACATCATCGTCGTCTTCATCGCTGGCGTTCTGGCTGAACGCCTTCGCGAGGAAGACCTCGATGTGCACAACGTAGTGCAGGTTTCGTTCCTAACGAACGCGGCCCGTCAGTTTCGCCCTATCATGACCTAAACCTGTGTTACTGACGTTTAACCACGACTCCATCTCCCGGTCGATGTAACCCGCAGCGTACAAGAAGCGGAAACCTGTAGGTGTCGATGTGAACCTGAATATCGTTCAGCAAACTAGTAAGTCGTATTTCCTGAGACGTGCTACTCACTTCAGAAGTAGCGGGTGCCCGACCTCCCCAAGATGATCCAAGGTCGGCTGCATTTCAACCACTGTCTGCAGCACATCGGTTGACTCGCACGCTTCCTCCAGGAACCGCACTGCGAGCTCGCGCACTTCCGGCGCGGGGTCGTACAGTTGCGTCAGAAGCAGTCGGAGCATCCACGCATTGGCTGTTTGGCTGCCACGGATGAGGCTGCCGAGGTAGTTTGTGGCATAGTGTCGAATGTGCTACATGACCGTGTTGTTTAACACTGCAGAAATAGCGAAAGATCATCAGAGGCATACCTTGTAAACCGATGTCAAGGCCTTCGACAATACGATGCGCGAGTGGCCGTCGCTACGGATAATCATTTATGAGTACACTTGAACTCGCACGAAACAGTCCACTTACATGCTGTAATCCAAGTTCTCGATGATACCCTTGGTGAGGTCCTCCCTACTTCGCAGCTCGGTAAGGTGATAGAACGCTGTAAACAGCTTGAACTTCTCCAGAAGCCTAGAGGAAACGTTAGTCTTCGCTACACACGTCTTCACATATGAGTTACATACTCGATGCCCTCCTTCCGCTTGCTCATAGTGCCGAACATCTCGAAGTAGCCCGAGGTGAGTGTCTCCTGCACCCTTTTCTTGGAGAAAATCGGATCCGGGACCGGTGTTGGCGTCATCTGAATACTCTTTGGTCGGTGTATGCGCAACGAAACATCGAAATAGACCCACCGGATCGAGCTGGGCGAAGCTCTTGACCAGCTGGCCTAGAAACTCGTCCTCTTGCAAGAAACGGATTCCATCCGAGCTCGCCATGAGTGCATTCAGCAGAGCGCATCCTAGCCGAACCCAGCGGTGATTGGACTGCAAGGAACCGTGAGCATTTCCCAGGTAGTCCCGAGACCAGACCAACGCACCTTCGTGTTCGGGAGGTCGGCGAAGCGATGGTTGAACGGATGAAAGAACGACATGAGCTTGCGGATGTATCGTGACGCCCTGATCGCTTCCTCCATACGCTTCGCATTGTGCAGCGGGCCATCGATCAGGTCCTGCAGCGTCTCAAAGTTCCACTTCGTGTGGTCCTTCGTGAACATCACCTGCGTCTCCGGTAGGAGTGTCTGGAACGTCTTGTCGTCCATCTGCATGCTCTGCTTCAACTTCGTCTGCTCGACCTGTCGTTGCCCGCGCCGCAAGGCATCCTCGATCGAATTTGCCCTGTTGCAAGAACCTTGAGTACTACTATTCATCATGCGATCCGTCAGCCATACCTTGGACGAGTGTCCCCCTTCACGGCAGGTTCTGATCTTGACTGATAGCGGTTGAAACTGTCAATGGCGGACAGCGCTGAGGACCCTACTATCCTGTGCTCGTTTTCGTCGTAGTCTGACGCTAGGCTGAACACGCGTGGAAGCGCCTGCGAAGATCCCAGTTACGATCTGCGTTGCATCCTTGTGGACGGGGCCGCGCACCTGGATTTTAGCTGCTATAGACAGCGGGAGAACGCGGTTGGCCTTCTGCAGGATTTCTGCCATGAGCAACGTCGCTTTCCGCGACAGCGCCGACCCCACGCTCGACTCCTCGAACATGGACGTGAGCGCCTGTCTACCAGCGTGAGTTTCTGCATCGCAGTGGCCGTTGAAACGGGAAACACTCACATCCAGCAACCCGGCTTTTGAGAATACCAATATGAGTAGTGCGATGTACTGGTCGGTCAACTTGAGGGTATCTTGTTGATGATGACGGTGGGGTATTTGGGGTGGCTGAGCCAGGTCGGCGCTTTGTCTGGACTTGCGATACGCTAGTGAGCAGTTAGAATCGAGAAGTCCAGGATCGCGCCGAGGGCCACTTACTCGTCAAACGCCTTCCATCAATGAACGCTCGATGCCATTCAGGCGGCTTGATGTTCAGTAAGTCGAAGAACATGTCTAGGATAACTTCCTGCACACGGGATGAGATTAGAGGCACTATATGCAGTCGGTTCACCCAGACTAACCCGCGTTTCTAGCGACGGTATTCGGAGACAGTCAATGACCGCGCGAATGGCCATCATATCATTGATACAGCAGTACATCAGTCCTGTGAGGTGTTTCAGTCAATATAGCTAGCAGTGGTTAAAAAGAATATACGTACCACTCCAAGTCCGAAGCATAGACGACACGATGCGAGTGCACCCCTTGATCTTCTCGTTGTGCTCGAAGCCTCTGCCATACGCATCGGTGATGCCTGACAGGGCAATCTATAAACAGATAAGCGGTGAGTCCTACGAGAGAGCACAAGAGAGGTACCTCAAGATCCGTGCCAGGATGCAGGTAAGCCCTCGTCTTCGGCGAGTCAACGATGTGCAGGAACGCGGCAGACAGCAAGGGTGCCATCTCCATAGGGCCTTCCGAGAGTGCATGCAGCAGCACTCGAATGCCCCCAGTCCGTGCCATCAACTCGATATCAATAAGCACTGGTTATGGCGTCAGACTTCACGTAGCTTGTGGACAAGACAGATGGACTAACGGATTTCTGTAAGCGTCTGGACACAAATTGGTTTAAACGGATCCTCGGGATATTCCGCAACGGCGATGAGTGCGCGCATGACCGCATCAGAGAGCGGCACTGTCCCGGACCCAATCGCAGAGCGGGACGAATGACGCTCTGAGCCGATGTCCACCACGGTTCGGATAAGCTTGATGACCTGTTCTTTCTCGACTGTGTGCTTGTTGTCGCGGGAGAGTGACCTATATTACTAGATTAACACCGCAGAAAACAAAAGATGTATCGAGGACGCACTTTACGATGTACCAGTCGAGGTTCTGCTCCCCGAGGCGCCTCACCGAGTGAGAGTCGACGAGCGTGTGCCGAATGAGTCTGTAAGCAGTAGCTCGGGCTTGTTTAGTCGCTTTATCTCCAAGAGAGGGTAGTACACTAAAGAGCGTTTCAACTACAAGCAGCGACGGATGATGGCACAGGCAGACTGACGCATGTACAACTTCTCCAACGTCCAACTCGTAGCGGACGCGCAAATTCCGTTGCAAAAGGGTGATCAGCTTTGCCATGTTTTCTATTCGCGCGCGGCTTAACTCCGCATCGGTTGCCGTAGCGGGGTTCGGCAATGTGGAGGTGGACGGGGATGTTGACGGAGACGCCGCGGATGAGTTAGGATGGCTGTATGAATGTTGCCTAGATAAAAGCAGCAGGGACTTGATAGCGCTATTGGCCTGGTGCATCGCGGAGCGAAAGTCATCTCTTTCCGAGCCTTCCTTCCAGCCTGGAGTCGATTGCAGCGGCTGGCCGGTGAACTTTCGCTTGCCACTCCCGGTCGTGTCGATGCTCCGCTTACGCGTGCCACGACCAGAAACTGTATAATGTCAGTACTGCTGTCCGGGGCGGACATATATATACCCACCAGACTCCATAGACTTCTGTATGACCTGCATCTTCTTCTTTGCGGTTGCAAGCTCCGATTCGACTTGGCTCCGCAGCGCGTCCTTCAGGAGGAATGAGATGACAGGATAATATGGGTATGCGTGTATTCTCTGTGACTATAGCCATTCGGGACGCGAATGCAGGCGGCGAACACGGCATCATATCCCCCCTTGATGACTTGGATGCGCGTCCAATGGACTGCCCCAGCGAATATGATGATCGTAATCACGAAGAATGCAGTCGCGTGGAGATGGCAAAAGAAGACGTGCTCGAACACATTCTCTTTTACTACCGTCATTCAGAACGCGAAACATAGAGCATAAGCACGGCACTTTATGCTTCCTTGATGGCCCATGCGTGCGTGTAGCAGTAGAGGTCGACCGCCGTCGCGGACAATGATCATAATCACAGAGAACACAGTCGCGTGCGCACTCACATTCAGTTCCATCTGCAGCAAGTTCTCCGCGCCCTCCTTGATGCGCTTCTCCACTTTCAACTGGTCTGAGAGAAACAAGAGCTGTGCGCGAAGCTTTCCAGATCAGCCTCTCCCGTTTCGTCCAGTACAGCCATGCGGACGGCTTACTTGCGACTCTCTGTCTGCATCCGGGGCCAGAGTTGATTCCGAAGTCGACCAGGATTGTGTAGGCAGGCTCTGTCCGGTGGTCGGTGTCGCAGTGCCATTGGAGGTCCCGCCATCAGTAGAAGTGGGTATCGAAAGACTGCCATGGCTGCTATGTTCGGAGACGGCTGCAGGCATACTTCCTGATCATCCAAAGGCCACAGCAGAGAAGACAAGGTTCGAGAAGACACAGAGACGCAACAGATATCCCCAGAAGCCTAGATGCTTAGTAGTACATTCAGGAGAGTAGAGACTAGGGCAACTTGAGATGTCGGTGCAGAGTGGTGGCAGGTACTAAGACGCGTTTATGCCGAGGTGCCGATATGACCGGCCACGTGGATTCTGATCGAGATCGACAATTATGTATGCTTATGGGCGTCTATTCCTCCCATCCTTTGCTGCTCCGCTCTCATGTCTGCCTCGAGCACGTCTACGCGAGTGTCCGTTTATTCTGCTCGAGGCACCCTGCACAGAGTTGCGCAGACGCAGGGAATACCCCAACCTTCTTACCGAGTAAATCGTCGTGAATAACCCATGTGTAGCTGGGGAGGCCTCAAATTCACGTCGTCCAGCTTTGCTCACCCGACTCGTTGCTTTCGTCCAGTCATACCTGCTAGCTTAGCTGAGTCCTCTTCCTTCGTTTTGATTCCACACATCTGTCTTGAAGTACATCTGTCTTGAAGTACATCTGGGCTTGCTAACTTTCGCTACCAACAGGTGATCAGGCGGCTATGGCTCTCTCGCCGGCGCGCTCCTTGGTATACTCGACTCCCTCACTACTTGCTTCCGCTTTCACGCCATTCTTGCCCCTAGGAAGCTTTGGAAGCTCGTATCTACTAGCTACGACGCTGCATCCTCCATGTGGACACTAGCCCATCGATTGGAGCGAACACCACCTCCGTATCGGCCGCCTGGTGAAATGGCATCGCGTCCAGGTTCGACCCCTGCGGTGGTCATTTTGCTGCTGCTTCAGCAGGATTACCAACCTAGCCACACACGGAGGCCGCAAAATCGTTCCAGGTGAGTATAATTTGCACCTATGCCGCGGCCATCACTGTGGCTGACTGCAAGCGAGCTTTGCTAGTGGTGACGACGATCATAGTCGAGCCACCCACTGCAAAGTTACCGCACCAGGCAGAAGAGCAAGGAAGCCGTGCCGAATTGGCTGCTTCAATGCTTGTCGTAGAACATATTTCAGAAAACACACCATCAGCCGTTGGGTGGTGGAGTTCCTGGTTCACTACTGGAAGCCTATTACACGTACCTTCGCTACTCCGTTCTTGCCCACAATCGACACTCGCGCTCGGTGTAGATACACGCTCCTTGTGTGACCTACAAGCACCGTCGTAGACCCTGTTGAATAAATATTCGCAAGAAAACCCGCACAAGAAAGGGGAGCGCGACACGACGCACGTGATGGACGCGTAGCGGCGGGCGCTTAGCGCGCAATGGTGAACCCGGCCACATCCCGCCACCGCGTCTCTCTCTGCGACCACCACCTCCTCGTCCTCGGCACAGCGCAGATCTCGCCGAGTGGCCCTGTACACCATATCATTACCCTCGCTGCCCTCTCATACTCCCGAGCTCGCCCCCGCGTTGTAACAGCTTCGATTACCCGCAAGAGCCGCACTAGCCGCACCAGTACGTCGCGCGTACCTCGCTCTCTATCCATGTTGACCACAATGCCGAACGCAGCCTGCCCCACTCCTAACGAATAGACATGAACGTGAACGACAGTCTCAACCACCCTTCAGTACCTTTCTCCGACGCCGCCATCCCTCCTCGCGCACCGAGTCGCGCTGGCTACCGCAGGCCAACGATTCCTCGCACTATCAGCTCTGACGACCTTCTCCCCGAGATACCCTCCCTCAACACTCTCAAGTCTCAACCTATGATCACATTCCCGTCCTCTGGCTCAAGCGACAGTGACTCGGACGAAGAAGACGATTTCAAACCACTCGCTGTCGCCCTCCCGCCTCTCTACCCACCCCACTCCCCAACCTCGTCAACATCCAGCTCCGACCTCGACTCGCCCTCTTCTTCTTCAGAGGAAGACCTACACTACTTCTCTGACGAGCCTTCCTTTGACGATTTCCCTCTTCCACCCCATGCACAAGAAGATTATACCCCACTCGCGCCTGAACCACTACCCGCTCTCCCCACGGACATCCATACCCTGCCCTCGCATCCGACGCTCTTTCATCACGGTCTTTCGCGTAGCGCCCTCGCCACATGTCGCGAGTTCTGGGACCGCCGCTTCCGCATCTGGCATTCCTGGCGCGCTCAGGTCGAACACATCGACGCCGTCCAGGCGGAGTACCTCCGCGAGGGTCTCCGGGCGAGCCTCCGATTCCCCGAGCCCCCAGTTCTGCCTCGCACCCGTACCCTTCCCAGTCAAGGAGCAAACGGGATCAACCATGCCATAGCGGCGGCCGCCCGACGCGCCCGCGTGCAAGCATGCAGCCCGTACGCGCCCGTTTTCCCGAGGATGGGCGACCTCGCGGCGCTGCGGGACCCATACTGCGACTGGCCGGATCGTGCGTTCATATACCATCCAACGTACTCGATCTCCAAGACGCTGTTCGAACACGACATGCTCGAGCGCGCTAGGGCGCGCGCTGGCAGGATTTATGCGCTCGATTCTCCGGCGTCGGTGTACAGCCAGGACGGTGCAAGCCCGCAGCAGGAAGTCGACAGCGCGCCGAAGCTGTGGGAGGTCGACTGGCGTGCGCGCTGGCAGATCCTCATCAGCCGACAGCAGTATCCGCCCCAACCTTTCCCGCACCCTCCCCAGCAGGACGAGTCCCCCGTTTACGCCTGGTCAGGCCCTTCTTCCTCCGACGTCTCCATCCCCCCCATGCAGGAGGAGGAACTGGGCCCGTTCATGTGGCAGACGGCGGACGACACGCCGACTCTGGTGCCGTTCGAGAGCCCATCTACGCAGGACGCGGGTGCTGATGTGCATTCGCCTATGGCCGTACAGGGATGGCGTGTAGCGCAGCTGGAGGATGCAGCGACGCCCGTGGTGCGGCTCCCCGGACGTGCAGCAACAGGCGCAAGATCACTCGCGGAGGAACTCGCGGACGTCATGGCGGCCGGCGGGGACGCGGAGAGCGCGTGCGAGGAGCCGCCGCCGCGACCGGCGTCGCCCTCTCCGCGTTTCTTCTTCCACGACATCGAGGACGACGAGGTAGACGAGGACGAGGCGGACGGAGATCTCGGCGTGCGCATTAGGCCCGCGTTAGGCGGGGGGCTCGTCCGCGTCAGTGTACGACCGGTGTCGTGCTGAGCGAGGCGCGGGCGCAGACACGGACGAGGGGCAGCGAGGGTACCATGATTGTATGTATTACCATAGTAGTTGTAGTAGTCGTAGTTATAGTCCACCGTACTTGTACATAGTGCCGTGTTGTCTCTGTATAGTGTGTGTATGTGTATAATCACGCCTCTTCGATTAATGTTACTACCAGCAGCGGTTGGTCAGAATAGTGTTCCATAAGCTCACTAGAACCAGCGGGCTTGCACTAGCGCTTCTTTACTCAATTCTCAGTAAGTTCGACGTTGCCTCTGACTACCATCTAACCTTTCCGCACTTTAGTTGGCCTCGAACACTTGCGTGCTGTTACGTCTTTTGATTCTTCTTGCAACGTATCGAATAAGTATCTAGTCTGGGGAAGGCGGGGCCGCCGGCGATACAGTGGGCGCGACCGTACGCGTAGTGCGACTTCGAACCAGGCTCAGCTCCTGCAGCCACTGCGACACTTTTCTGCGGGTCGATCGACCTGCGGACCGCCCCCACAAACGCGTCGCTCTCTACATCAAAAATAAGGTGCTGTTATACTTGAGCACTACGCCATGCTGCATGCTCATGATGCCAAACGGGCAACACGCCCGTGAGCCACTCGGGCGCCTTGTAATTATCCCTTCCGTGCGGATTCGGATTTGTTCTATGTAAGTGAGCCACTCGGCGGTCGTCAATGTCTCACTGCTGATCAGTGCATGCAGATCTGGCAGAAATACAACGGTGCCAATAATACCAGGTGGGTAAACAGACCGTCCGACGCTACCTGGCCAGGTTTTCAAGTTCGAAACTGCGTGGCGCACCTGTCCTGCACTCCGGAAACAGCACAAGAGCGCGGCCGCGTATAAATGCACCATGGTCGTCGCTGTCGAAATATCATCACACATTCACCCTCAAGACGCAGCGCGTCTTCTACTCTCATCAGGAAAAACCTCCCGCCGGAATTCCTGGAAAAACCGCGATAATTCTGCGTTTTATGCGAGATTATTCCGTTTACAAGATTACAGCATTTTATGCAAGAAACAAAAGTCCCCCCCTTGTAAAGTAGCGAATTACCCCGTTTTACGGCAGTTTACAACGGATTCCTGGCAAGGCTCCAGCGCATTTTCTGGCATATTATGGTACTTTCCCTCATATCACACATACAGGTATCGGAGGCTTCACAGTCATATATTGAAGGTAGAACGACGGAATACATGAGCACGATACTATCTCTACCGACGAATACCGGCGCACTCAAAACCCATCCTGTCCCCATACCCCATGACGAAGGTGCACTGCCGTCGCCACCGGAAGAGCAATTGGCTGCGCATGTAGCTCTACAAGCAGCAATGAGTTGAAGGAGTAGAGACTGGAGGCAGGCGCGGTGGACGTACCTGACAATGGGCGAGCGGACAATCACCATGACGCAGGCGGTTGCAGGCGATGACTGCAGAGCAACATCGAGTCAATGTATGCAAAGTCATGAGGGCGAGCACCACAAACCTGTTGTCCAAGTAAGGGGTCCGAATGGGGCACCACGAGGGCGATGTACCTGCACCAGCAGTAACTAGTAATACGGTCAATGTAGGAGACATACGGGAGACAGATAGCAAGTTCCACGCGCACCATCTCCGCCGTATAGTCGCGCGTCACCTTGCGCTCGCGCCATCGCCGGAAGTCCAACGCTTGCGCGCGCTCGACGTCCGCGAACATACACCTCACAGTGCACGTCCTGCAGCGCGTCCACGAGCACCCCCACGATCTCCTTGAGGAGGCGCATCCTGGGAGAACGGGACGCACACGAGCTGGTCGAGGAAGCACGGGTAGGCGTGCACCACGCAGATGAAAGGCGCCGGTGCCGGCTGCAGTGAGGAAGAGATTATGTACGCCCAAGACTTACCTGTAAAGAGCAGCAGTGGCGGCGAACGAGGGCGCACAAGCGCAATGAGCATCCTCCAGATACACCACGACTGTGGTTCATTTGCCCCACGTAAAGATACGATAGCCAATGACATGATTCAACTCACCGGCCTGGCCGTACCCGCCACGTCACTAGCTACTCCTCAGACGGAGTACCTTCGTCGTGAGCCGTGAGCCGGGGTCCCATGGGACCAACAGGGGAGCACACGGCAGAGGTCAAATCGGAACTCATCGCAGAATAGACAACCTTAGGGGAGTACTCGAATGGGGGAGGAAACGACGTGGAGGAGGATGATGAGGACGAAGGAAAGCGTGATGTGGGCACTTTGGCGCCTGTGCACTGGGGCGTTCGGCAATGTCCGACCCTGTCTTTTCAGCGTCTACAGACTTAGGGCCGGCTTCGCGAGACTTCGATGCGCGTCCCGTAGCTGTCTCTCAGCCTCTGTCTCTTACTACGTACTCGCTGGCTCTCTTGGCTGCCTTAGGCCTTCTGACCACCCGTATATCCTCGCTCGTGAGCTCTCTCGACTGCTGTGTGACATCGCGCGTGACGCGCCCTGCCTCTGCCCCGCCTACGTCGCCCTGGTCTCTTTGTGGTCTGGCATCATCCTTGTCTGTTTGAAGTCGGCCTCATACAGCCTCATACGCATCCAGGGATCGCGCGAGCACCTCCATCGACCACCGGTCAATGCCTTCTGGATGATCGCGTTTGGCGCGAGCCACAGCGGCACGGTTGAGCCCATGCACCCGGCATCCGAGGTGCACGCCGAACTTCGAGTCGCCTAGGCTGTGCGCGAACTGCGCGGACGCGCGGACTGGCGCGACGGACCACAGGCTGACGTCGTGGAGTGTGCCGTGGCCCTCGGGGGACACGGCGGTCGTCTTGAGGATTGTGAGATCCGAGATGCGCACCAGAACCACGTCGAGAGTTCGCAGATGCACAGTCCGCTAATGGGTCAAAATACGGCCTGATATGGGAAACACCAGTAAGTGCTTCATGTAGCTATCTGGACTAGTCTTCAACTTCCATTAGTCGGCCGTGTGTGGCGAGATTTGTATATTGATGTAGCATACATTCAAAAACTTCCTTTCGCCACGATGCCGACCCCGCTGTCTCCGCTGTCCGGGTATACTATGCATAGTATAGTCTGCCGCAAGCTCACCCCGGAGACGGGCCTATGCACCCACCGTGCTTGCCCGCTGAGGACCCAGGTGTACCAAGTGCACTGAGAGTTGTATCGACGCTGAACGGTGCAGTCACGCGGCAGTGAACGACCCGGACGGACAGGTCATAAACTGGCGAATTGCGCCATAAAATGACAGAAAGCATGTGTTTGGGGTGGGGGTGTTCATAATCCAGCATCTTACAGCGTTTTACGGAGTAAAGTACAGGAAATACGCGACATTCCCGGTAATTCGGGCGGGAGGTTTTTCCTGATGCTACCTCCACCCGCCCACTACTATTCTTACTCACACCGTCATGACCGCCGGCAGCAGGATTCCCGAAGAGCTCATCGACGTAATCCTCCAGCAGGTCCTCACCCTCCCTTCTTCGACCTTCATCAACTGGTCCGACGAGCACACGTATATCTCTACCCCCGCGTCCACCGTACCGGACTTCCTACTCGTCAACAAGGCCTGGGCGCGCATCGGCCGCGCTCACCTCTACGAGGGCATCATTCTTCGCCGCAACCAGCAGGCGATGGCACTAAACCGGACTCTCAAGGATGACGCGGAGAAGGCCAGATGCCTCGGGGCCTCAGGTCCCACTCTCGCCTCGCACATCCGCAGGCTCCGCATCGACAAGATACAGTGCAAGGCGATAGAGGAGATTTTGCAGGCCGCCACGAACGTAGAGGCCTTCCATCTCCATACTGAAGTGCCTTCGGGTGCGGGCTCGATCGACTGGTTCGGTGCGTTCAAGCATATATCGCCGCAGCGAGTGTACCTCCACCTCAGGGAGAGGGAATTCCGCATGGATTCGTACAAAAACCAAGAGCTGCTTACCGATGCGGTCGAGAGTGTCCTTGCTCCCAAGCCAGACGGAGGCATGAGTTCGGCCGTTTGGGGAAAAGTTGTGCGTCGTCGAGAAGTTCTTTATCTGTCGTGCTGCGCTAACCACTGTTGCGACAGAGAGAGGTCCATAGGAAGCGTTACCGGTACACGACGTCGCGCTATGCTCTCCCAGAGGGGGAAACGCAAATCACTCGTCGCGACGTAGACCTGTGCGTGCAGCCCGTGCCCACCTGCTTCACAACCGCGTAATCTCACAACACCCCATAGCTCGAACGCCTGCGTGCCAAGTCTCAGAAAGGAGGAGCATTGGCCGATGGTGACCGATTTTCCGCCGGCCGAACGCCTTCCGGCCTCGGTGTGGAGTCACATCTTCAGTTTTTCTATGCTAGGCCACGGATTGGGCGAGTGGAATAAAGAGGAGGGCCCTCGCTGCCGGAAGGTCTGGCTTTCAGGACGTCCTGACATCAGGTTGCTCCTAGTAAGCAAATGGTTCAAGGTGAGATCTAGAGGCCTTGCGATCCGCATGTGTGCTCTCTTCTGATATCGATTGACACATGACAGGGAATGGCCGAACCCCTACTCTACAGCGAGCCGACACTCGATAGCGACCGTGCGGTCCAGCTCTTTGGCGAAAACTTATACCAAAGACCAGAGCTCGCCAAGCACGTTCGCACGCTCATGATCCCCTCGGAGCATACTACTGGTGACGAGCCTCCAAGCGGCGCGAGGACGAACAACGGCTTCAGGCCGATTCCTTGGGCCTTACCAAACCTCCGGACCAGTGAAGGCGTTCTGTTTGCCTCCATCTCGCCCCAGAGGCAGCTAATGCTGCATAGCCCGCCGCTATCGCTGGTGACCTTGCGGCTCGAGTGTCGTGGCAGACACGACTGCGGCTACCGTTGCCTTCAGCAGTGTGTAGAGGGGCGGTTCTGTCTAGACGGCAGTTTCTTCAACAGCCTCCCTCATCTCGAGCATCTCGACATATGTGGATGCATCGTGCGGGGGCCACAAGACACCCTGTCCGTATTGGAGGCATTGCCCCGTCTCAAGAGTCTCCGTCTCTGTCTAGAGGACGGCGAGAACTGGGCAGTCCAATGTCTCTCCGTGATGCGGTACGTGGTATTCAATGATCCAACATTCTTCCCTTTCGTAACTTACTACCCACTCCGTTCAGACTACGTGCTCTTGAGACATTGCTTCTGAAAATGTACTATTTCCGCAACAATGCGCCGCGTGTCGTTGAATTCCTCAAGAAGCACGGCCACAAGTTCAAACGCATTGAGCTCACGGGCTCGCTTCGCCCGGAGGGCTGGGACCTACCCTTGCTCGATCACTGTCCCAATGTCAGGTCACTCAAGATCGACGCATACCCTTATGTGACGCCCGAAGTGATGAGGTGCCCTCGGCCGCACCATCATCTTAAGTACCTTTCGATTTCCAGTCCACCCGACCAGTACGAGCCCCGGTCAGTCACGGTAGAACAGACGATTGGACACGACTGACCTGCTACATCCGTATAGCCACAAACACAAGAAAGTAGACGCATGGGAACGCGTTCTTCTCGACATAGATTTCGAACCGTTCATCGTGCTGGAAGAGCTTAGGCTGGGTACCCCTGCCTCATTCGGGGAAACCGGTATCATATGGCCAGACAGCGAGTGCGTTCAAGTCTTTTACAGTGGGGCTCATATGCATGGAAGAAACTGACCGTGTGCTGTTTCTAAAGGGCCACTGCCAAGGGGAGCCCCTGGCCTGACCTGGTAGCCAAACTGAAGCAGCGGTGCCCGACCATGTCCATCTCAAAGGAAGGAAACATCAAGTGGGCCAGGGCCGTCACACTGAAGACGAAGGTCTCGAAGAAGACGAAGGTCCCGAAAGAGACGAAGGTCCCGAAAGAGACGAAGGTCCCAATGAAGACGAAGGTTTGAAGGCCAGGCCTGTCGCAGACCTCAAGGAGTGGCCATCTGTGGACTTAGCTGTACATCTCGACGCGCGAAAATACGGTACCGGTAGCTCGTTGCTTGCAATTAAGACGCAGGAATAATGGAACGCATACAGTCTGATCTGCTTTCGGAGTCTGATATGTCAGGCAGCGATTCCTGTACGGACCGTTTATCAGTGAATACTACACAGCATGGTATCGTCCTCGCACACTCACCGATGACGCCGCAAGCGGCGCGTGCGCCGGCATTTCCTGTTTTGAGCGACTCGTCGTCCCCACCTCTCCCGAGGTCGTCGGTACCCTAGTGTGTCGCTTTCAGCACCGTGCTCATCACGTCGAAGCACTACACATTCCAGACATACCGCGTGAACAACGACTGCGCGCCTTTATATTCGAAGATCTATGTTAGACTAGACCTCGACGATATAATTCTGATTGCGCAACGCACCCAACGATGCTCAGCGGCCCATTCAGGGAGATGAAAGTGTCCTCGAATGAGAAGGTCGCCACGCCCTTAGAGTCGCTCTCGATGTTTCCCAAGTCGCCCGCATGTCGGTTTTTGTCGGTGGGTGCACCGTGGGTCCGGCTGAACGGGTTAAAGTGCGGGCCTGCGGAAAGGCAGCCGTTGCTCAAGTCACCCGAAGCACTATACAACACGTCAATTAAGCATACGCCCGCTACTCGCCGTAGGAATTGGTCGCGTACTGTATATGGAACCCGCGCTGGGCGGAGGGGTCCAGGTTCTTGAGTTCGCCGGACACGGTGACTGGTGCGGTAGGCTCTGTCTGCGTGAATGTGACCGTGCCGCTCACTTGCTCGCCCTTCAGCACCGTCACCGCCTGCGGAAGCCATCCCATCCGTTCATTTCACGCGCAAGATACAAAGGAAATCCGGCCGACCTTGGAGATGATGGGGGGCGGGAGGATCTCATCGTCCAGTGTCGCGCGCCTCGGGAGGAGCAGCCAGATGAGGAACACCACGATGAGTGTGAACGAAGCGGTGATGGCGAAGCGAGGCTGCCTCGACTGGCGAGCAGGGGAGAGATCCATAGCAAGCAGTGGTCGAGAGCGCAGAATCGCAAGGTCGGGTAGTCCGCTCGTCGTCGTCCACAGCAGAAATGCCTCAGCGCAGACGCTGCTGAGAAATGGACTCACCGGCCATTCACACACTTCCGGCATCGTCCTCCAATGGCATCCTTAGGACCACGCTATCGCACCTTTTAGTCAGAAATGATGTGCGGAAGATCGTTCCCAACGCCATCGCCATCGTTGTCGACGCCGCTGACCCGCGCGCACGCCGGGGCGCGTGCGAGGACAGGCGAGGACGTCGCGTCAACGTCGCGTTCAGCTCATAGGCTATAGCACATGCGGCGAATGCCGAGCGCCCAGGCACAGTACTAATTAACAGCCTCCAGGAGCGTTGCCGCCAAATCTCAGAAATCGCTCTCTCCAGAGATCCAAGTCCCTGAAGTTTTCAGGATCTGAACCACCATGACCGTGTGCAGGTGAGATTGAAATACTGCCCGACAAACGGAGCGAACTGCTGGTTTTCAGGGGCGCAACAACGCGACCACCCATATGATGCTCCCGGCGGCCCGCACTCGATGGCAGGGGTCGAAGGACGGTCAGTCCACCAGTCAGCTGAACGCATAGCGCGAAGGAGATATTCCGACGCTGACGAGTATAAGAATCGCGTTAGGAGGTTCAACGACTTCGCGGATTCACCCCCAGGCCCCTGATCCTCGTCATGGTGCCCTCAGTTAGTCTTGCGTTTGCATGTGCGACCCTCGCCTGCCTTGCATCCGTCCTACCGGCTGGCGCAGCACCTACGATCGATTCGTCGAGGCATATATTCAACTGGGACCGCACAAAATATGTATACGCCTTCGGAGACTCGTATACCTTCGTGCAAGGTACCGAAGGCCTCACCACCTTCAGGTTCGCCCCGCCAGGTCGTGTACGTTGCGACACGCCTATTGACTGACCTGTTGACCCAACGCATGCGCAGCTTCATAGGCGATGCATTCAACTTCTCCTTCACGCCACAAGAACTGCTGGGGGATGAAATTGTGCCCAAGAGTGTAAGCCGTCCGAGTCGGAGTCTCCGAGTCTGTGGAGGCGATACTCAATTTTTGTTTACTTATGCATGGACCTTTAGAGCAGCTCAGACGGATCCAGCTGGGTAAAACGCTCTGTGATCATGAAACATAAGTGCTATTGGACTCACCGCTTTTCGCCACTATTTCTTCGCAGACTGAGTTCCTCACCGGTTGTTTCGAAGGGAAGCCTTCGGACTGCGCACCCCATCAACTTTGGAACTTCGCCTTTGCCGGAGCAGACGTCGACAAGGCCTTGTAGGTATTCTCACGTATCTGTGGATAATGCCCTTATAATGCCCGTCCTGCACAGGCTCCCATTGCACCACAACTTCACTGTTGACCTGGTCGACGAAGTCAAGCAATGGGTGCAATTTGCGTCCCATGTCGTGCCCCACCCCGCCGCAGAAACATTAGTTGCATGGTGGATCGGAATCAACGACACTGGGGACACGCTCAACCGAAACGTACGAGCTACATCTCGCTCACCGATCACCCGCTTATGCATGTATCTCCCAGCTCACGGAGACAGAATTCAGGGCCTTCTGGGAGCAAGAGATGCAATCCCTCTTTGGCGCTGTCGTACGTCCCAGCCCACGCATGCTCGCCGCTTATTCGTCTCCCGAATTCTGAATCGTACCCGTTCTAGCAAAACGCGTACGACCACGACCTGCGCGGGACCTACCTCTTCTTCAACGTCCCGCCGCTGGACCGCTCCCCAGACCACCTCGACACCGCAGTCGCGCCCAAATACGCGCAGAACATCCTCGACTACAACGCCGCGCTCGCCGCGCACACCGCCGCCTTCGCGCGCGCGCACCCGGAGGTGACCGTGCTCTCGTTCGACGCGCACGCGTGGTTCAGCCGCGTGCTCGACACGCCCGCGCAGCACGGGTTCACGAACATCACCGGGTTCTGCGAGTGTACGGACCCGGGCTTCTTCTGGTTCAGTGCGTATATTTGGTGGGGTTGAGATGCATACAGTCACTTACTTGCGTTGCATCGCGTCTAGATACCGGTCACCCCACCGAACACGTCCATCGCCTACTCGCTGGCGCGATCGAAAAGCAGCTGAGAGCTGCGTCTCATTAAAGTGGCGCCACGGCGGGCTTTGCATGGATGTTACGATAACAATACGGCGGCGGAGGGCGCGGGGGCATACACGTAACATGATGCGATTCTGAAGGGGGTAACGGGTTTTCGGCGGGGTCCAGAAGGGGGTATCCAGCATATAACGCCATGCTTTAACATGCATTCATGAGCGTATGGGTGATAAAATATGTACAAACTGAACAGTACCGTAGGATCACCACTGATAGCGCGAGAGTTGAGCAGAGAAGGGGGACGAAAGCGGAAGAAGGAAGTGCCCTTTGGGGATCGACAGACGGGGTAAAGGAGTGGCAGGGGCATCAGTGGTGATTATGCTGCGAGGCCATGGCAGATAGGGAACAAGGGCGACAAAAACAATACGATATAACACGGACGCGGCGCGAATAAAAAGAACTCCAGACGGAGGGTGTCCATAAGACAGAAGAAGCAAACAAAGCGCTATCCCGTGCAGCGCGATCCAAATCAGAAGAATAGATACGTAGTAACGAACACTCCGAGCGCGATGATGATGACCACCTGTAATGGGACACCCTCCGGCGGCGCGACCTCGCTGCCGACGTAGCTGCTAACATCCGTCTGCGCGTCGTAGGCTGTGCGGCCGTCGTCGTCGTAAGCGGTTGAACGCCCACCGTAAGTCGTACGCCCATCGTAGGTGCTGCTCCCATCGTCTGAGAGAGGCGCACGTCGCCGGCTGCGCAGCTCTGTCGGAGGCGTGATCGTAGTAGGGACCGTGCTCGGCTCCGGCATGGAGGCGATGAGCTGTCGCAAGCGCTCGATTTCCGCCTGTGCCTCTTCAAGTTTCTTGACCAGCTCGGGGTTAGGTTCAGGCAGCGGCGCAGCCCGAGTGGGGGGAGACGGAGGCGGTGAAACATGGGGAGGGGGTGCGTGCACACTGACGTTGACGATACCCACGCCATCATCCGTCTGGGGCTCCTCCACTGGGGGCTCAGGGGGGTGGACAGCGACATTGGGCGGAGGGGTAGAGGGCGCATCGTGGTGAACCTCCTCTTGCTGGGGTGGCTGGATCGTGCTCTCCTCACCACCGCTAGGCTCGCGCGTTGCGTGGCCATTAGTGGCAGGATATTGGCGGACAGTTGCATAGTTCTGGGAAGGTGATATGTCAGGGAAGGCCACACGAAGGAAACCATGCCACTCACATCTTGTCCCGGGACATTCAGTAGCGAGCTCATGTTGGCATGAGACTCGTCCTCCTCCGGAACAGTTTGGCCCTCCGGTGGCAGGTAGACCACTCTGACCTTCTGCGAGTGGACCTCATCGCCATCGACGTTCCACTGCAATCGCGACGTCAACAGCAATTCTAAGGCAAAGCAGGATATGACATACGATGTCCTGCAGCGGCAGGCTCTCCTTCTCGGGGGTGATGACGGTGCTCTGAATGAGGAACTTGTCCTTGCATTTGGTGTTGATTGGGAGGTCTTCCTTCATTGCTTGCAGCATAACTGCAGATGCCCATCGTAAACCTACCGCAGTCTCGCAAATAGTAGAGAGAGACGCACCTGCAACCTCAACAGTCTCTCCAGGCTCGACTCTCCCTGAGTTCGGCCTTACGCAGTAGAGCTATGTACGTGTCCGCGCTCAGCCTGCGCATCCTGCACTCGAGACCGCGCCACGCTTACCTTGGGGGCGGTCGTCTTGACCTTGAACGCAACCGGTTGCGCATTGTGGTTGGTGATTTGCAGCGTCCGCTTGACGGACTGAGTGAAGGGCCCTGGAGCAACAGCAAAGCGAACCGAACATGGTGAGCCGGTCAATCGCCAGCCTGCGCGCGCACAGAGAACGAGATCGACGCACTGTTGAACCCCAAGACGCTGCTGGGGTTGAGCGAAACCGACATTTTGGGCGTGCGGCAGGCGGGGGCGGGCGAGGGACGTGGGGGAGGAGAGATAGGACGAGAGCGAGCGAGGCGTGTGTGTGATGACGGTGGAGAGCAGCGCGGGGCGCTAGACGCCCTTTAGAGCGGAGTCCCAGTCTTCCAGCCGGCTGGCCTCCGCGTGCCCCAGGACGGTGCGGGTCTGCGCCAGTGCCGCGAGCTTCTGTACAGCTTACTCAGATGAACTGCCGTTCGTGCGCCGCCTCAGAGAGCAGGAGATAATGCAAAGCATGCGTGAAGAGCCAGCGAGGCCCGCGCGCGCTGGCCACGCAGTGTTCTCCAGGCATGCGATGATGCCTGCGCGCACCGCATACTGCGGTAATGAAGGAAGTATCAAGCGTACAGTTCGCAGCCTCGCCCTCTTCATATACGTCGAGACGGAAATGTGCCGCAGCGTTGATGTGGTATTACTATGTACTATGGTGCGCAAGCGCTGATAACGGAGACACACAAAGCGAACGCGACAACGAGCAGGGAGCGATTAGCGATGTTGTATGTAAGGAAGGACAGAGGTAGGCGTATAGAGAACAAACCCAGGACGTGTAAGTAACTTTCCTCCGAGACGTATGGTATGCATGATGACCGATGGAACAATGTAGATGTAGGTGTAGATGATGGGCAATGAGCGTGGCGGTTTACGACGGGCTGACAGGCATGTGGGTGCCGTCGTACGAGAAGCCTACAAGCCAGGGAGTATCAGATATTTTGTATCGAGACAGGTGGCGGTGGATGGGAACGTACCTGCGAACTGGGCTTGGACGGTCTGTGACAGTTGCGATCCCTCGACAACACTGTCCATGGGAGCCTCGGTCGTGAAGACGGTGTCGAAGTTGGATACATCCTGCCCAACAACGTGATGATCAGCGGGAGTATCACCGGCAGTGATGCAATGGAAGCTTACAACAGGGCTCGAGACACTCGGCTTGAAAGGCGGCTGGATCTTCTTCTGCACCAACTTCTGGAAGTCGATGTGCTTTGCAAAGAACGGGTGCGATTTGATCTCCTCGGCCCCGTTAACGCCAAGGCGCTGCGTGGGGTCGCGGGTGAGAAGGCCAGTGAGGATGCTGCGCGCTTCGACGCCAATATCGTCGCCGAAGACGAGTGGGTCGTGCAGGATTTTCTGGTACATAGTGTCCGTGTTCTCTGCATGCATGCGTCAGTAAGGAGTATTACGTGACAGGGAAGTTCTTACCATCATAGAAGGGTGGCAGGCCAGACAACATCTCGTACAGAAGCACGCCGAGCGTCCACCAGTCGATGGTCTTGTCTGCGACACAGTCAGTATGATGCTCCTGGTGATACCAGTATCAAACTTACTGTAACCCTGTCCACAAAGGATCTCCGGCGCCAAGTACTCGGGCGTCCCGCAGAACGTGTTGGTCTTGTCCGAGTCCTTCATGTTGAGCTTGCACAGGCCGAAATCACAAAGAGCGATGTGGCCCGTGTAGTCAAGCAAGATGTTCTCGGGCTTCAGGTCGCTGATATCACATTATTAGTCCAAATTCACCAGCCCCGCGTATGTTCTCGACTTACCGGTACACGACGTCCAGCTCGTGGAGATGCTCAAGAGCAAGAAGTAGTTCTGCGCTGTAGAACCGCGACCGTACTTCGTTGAACCTCTGCTCCCGCTGCAGGTGGTGGAAGAGCTCTCCGCCGTTGACGAAACTATGCATGACGTCAGCACCTCCTAACTCAACATTGCAAGTATTACTTACGCGAGCACAAGGTAGAGCTTCTGCTCCGACTGGAAGCTAAACTTCAGGGGCACGATGAAAGGGTTGTTCACGCGCGCGAGCACTAGGCGCTCGGCCAGGGTATGTGTAATCTCGCCGCGCTGGACAATGTATTGCTTGCGGATCGTCTTCAGCGCGTAGATACGGGAGGTATCGCGCTTCCGGACTTGCATGACCTGTATAACCGTGTGTGAACCAGCGAACTGCGCGAACGATCGACCATACACACCTTCCCGAAGCTTCCCTTTCCGATGACAGTGATCAGCTCGAAGTCGTCAATGGTAAGGGATTGGCCCTGCGAAGCATTGCGTGAGGGTCATTCATAGCAGCAGTTCCGGATGGCACATACGCTGCTGGGCTTGAACGCCACACCGATCTGGATCCTTCCCGCGCCGCCCGCAAGGTCATACCACTGGTCTTGCGACGACGAGTCATCGAAGTCGGGCATGAACCGCACGCCGCCTAGGAACATATCGTTTCCCATGTCGTCCGCGATGCCATCCCCACCGCGCTTCGGCTCCTCCGTCCGCAGGTAGCATTGGATGGAGATCTCGGAATGACGCGACACATCGCTACCGCCCTCACTCAGCCGCGCATTCTCGTCCAAGCATAGATATGTACTCACAAGGTCGTCTCATACATGTACAGCGGCTTGCCGAGGTCGCCGCCCAGCGGGGTGATCAGCACCTGGTTCACCTCGAACTCCATGACGAGGTACGGCAACCACCAGCACTGCGTCCGCTGCACGCTGTCCCGGTTGCTCTTGCGGTTCGCGAGCCGGTGCTGCGTCACGCTCGATGGCGACACGCTCGCGGCCACCTTCGCCTGCTGCGAGGACAGCGCGGCCTGCACCGCGGGCGGGGGCGCGGCGCCCCCCGGTAGCACGAGGCCCTCCGCCCATAGCACACGAATCGCAAGCAGCCCGGACTGCAGCTTCCCGCTCGGGTTGCCTGGAGTCGGCGTCGTCGAACGCGCGTCCATGTCCTGGATGGACAGCCCGTTAGCGGCCTGCTTCGACTTGCTCTTGCCCAGCTTCCAAGACATCCTGGCGACCTGAGTGGAACTAGAGGTGTGCTGCTACGGTCGGGGAGATGCAAAGCCTGCTTTGCGCCCTGTCAATGGGTTGGGGGGTGGGGGATGTGGGGGAAGGAAGGAAGAAGTGGTGAAGATCTGTACGTCCACTGACGCCCATACATAATATTCGGATGGGAATGAATTCGTCTGTTCCGCGGCCATCTTAGTCAGGGCGGCCGACAACAAAGGTTCCGCGGAACATTTCGATTATGTATTATACAGTAGTGTGCTCTACATTACAGTCCGACAACGATGGAAAGCTAGCAACGTAGTATGATACAAGGTAGGTTTGAGTGCATAGGAGGCTAGCGTGTAGGTAGGCGATTGGTGACCGGCAAAGAGGCCGTTCAAGTCTAGGCCGTCGGCTCTTCGTTGACATGAAGACGCGAAACATGTGTTGGCATGGATAGACGTAACGATGTGCAAAAATGTTCACGCCGTAGCCGTTTGCTCCATGGATCATGACCCGGAGTTCAAGGTCCAGGGAGCGAACACAAGTGGCTCCTGCCTCAAACAGTGGATGCCCCCTGAGTTATGCCTATGACCCATCCCTGCAAGAGCTCCTAGTGGTTAGAACAAGGGTATGGATAGACGCACTGTTGGCTTGGACGCACGGGGAGTGGAAGCTGGGAGCTATTCGCGAAATATCCCATCTAGTCCGCGTTGAGATTCGCGAGTAGTCTCTTCCGGCTCTCTGCCTCAGCCTTCGCAATCCGGGCGAACGAGTTGGCGCCGCGGCCCAGGAGAGCCTTGCGCATGCGCATATCCTCGTTCGCGCGGACGTGTGCGGCAAGCGCAGCTTGGTTATGCGTGACCCGCTTCTTCGACTCCTTGAAGGGTCCGACAGTCTTCGCCTTCAGACCAATGCCAAGCCGGTCGGACTTGAGCACGGTGGCGATCGGAGTGAGAAGGGCGGTGGGATTGTGGGAGGCGGCCGAGGAAGTGGGGTGGGAGGCCATGCTGGTGCCCGCAAGAACCTCTAAATCGTCGTCGTCCGAGTCGGAAAGTGTCAGGTCCACCACTTCGACCTTCCGGACTTCGCGGATGTCGTCGCTCCCATCGAGTGCGATCTCCCGCTCTTCGGTCTTGACAGAATATTGAGGGTCATCTAGCACCGTCCTGGCTGGCTTCTTCTCCCTCGCTTTCTGCAGTCGCGTCCGCCTCGCCGCCCCCGCCCCGAGCGCCTCGCCTTCACTCCAGCCGCTCTGCTGCAACATCGTGAAACCTCTGTTGGAGGGGCCAATGTGGAGAAAGACGGGTGGAACGAAGGGCTGATCCTTACGCTCCGGCGGTGGCTCCCTGGAGAGGATGTCCGCTAGAGTAGGCGCAGGCACACGAGGAGACGCAGGCTCGGAAAGGACGACTCGGCTGTTAAACCAGTCGTTCCTAGTGCGCAATGGCGGAACAGAAGGAGCCACAGGTATTGTAGAGGCCTGTGTCTGTACGGCGGGTGGTGGGACGACACTGGTGTGTCCAGGAGGATGTAATGGTGGTTGTGGATCGGCCGCGGGCGCGCTCGAAGCACGACGGAGAGACCTGTACCAATCGCTGACGTCGGTGGTGTGTGGAGAATCTACTTCGCAAGGGAGTGAGGATGATGCGCTGCCTATCATGTTGTTCACTTCGTCATAAGACACGATGGCGGGCACGAAACGGGGTGGATTCTGTATGCGCCGCCTTGCACCAAATGTCGACTCCGTGATCCATGGGTCTTCCTCTCCCTTCTCTGAGGTTTCTTCTATGTTCTCTTCGTCCTTGGGTTTGGGTGGGTCATAGTGAGAATAAATGTAGTGCGTGACGGTGGCCATCAGTAGTCGTGAATTGAGCGCAAGAGTGAAAGTCGACCGCCGCCAAAGTGCCCGAACAGGACCCCGATTTCCGCGGGTTTCGGCGGTGAGAACGCAATGTAACTGGTGTCCAGACCGGCGTGTATAGCCAGAGAGCGTGGATATGAAGAGAGCGAGAGAGAAAGACAAATGGTGAGGGAGATATCGCTCGCGCGAGTTGGAGGTCTTCAGGAGAGAAGGTGCGTGCCGTTGTGAAAGCGCTGTAAGCGTGCTCGGTATTTGCCGATAACGAGCGCCACATTCGCGAGGGGCAACGCGCTCCCTGAGCCTGAGCCAGAGTCGCACCTCCTTCGTTCTCTACGCTCACCACACGAGGTGCTCTTGGACGTTCTTGTCTCTATCTTGATCTGTGCTACACTGGAATGGTAATCATGGATCAACAAAACGGCGAAAACGATGTTGTCATGCGTGTCTGGGCCCTCCTTTCTGAGATGTCAGAATCGCTCAGCGCAAACCGGACAACTTCGGTCAATATTCACGGCCTTGCTGACGGCGTTAAGGTCGGTGATTACACAGGAGCTCTGCCTTATAGAAAAGCTAAGTTATATACAGGCTCAAGCGATCCATTCACAAACAGGCTTTGTGTTGCGTCGGTGAGTGCAGTATTAGGAGGGCGACATTCCACGAGCTTGACGGTACGTCAGATTCAACTTAGACAAGTCAAAAGGTACGATTCAAAGGCATGTAGCTGAAACCCACGCTCATATCGCGTAATGGTAGAGGTCTATGAAGCCGAGCTAGAACGCATGAATGCCGCCATGTCCGCAGAGAACCAGACCCTGCTGAACGATAACCGACAACTCAGCACACTCATCCGCGAGTACGAGCAGACCTTGGAGAAGGCGATGGAGAAATTCCGTGCACATGCTGTGCGTCGTTTATGGTCTTGTTCTTCACCGCGCTGAACAAAGGCTCCCGCAGCATGAAGTGCAACAACGCGAACTCGCGCTCATGCGCCAGTACGAAAAGGTCATCATCGAACGCGAGACCGAAGCAGTCAAGGCGTCGCTCGTCGTGAACAACGCGCGCTCAGAAAGCCTCGTACGCGTCAGTCGCCTTTTACGCACCGTGCTCCGCAAGATGGGCGGGGAGGATATCCAAGCGTACGAAGCTTATGCGCAGGCGCGCGCACGAGCTGCCAGAGCTTCGCAGTCGAGGGAAGCTTCGGGTTCCATGGCCGCCGGATCCTCTTCGGATCCACAGCAGGAAGACAAGGGGAAGCAGCGCGAGGAAGATGCCCAGGATGATGAACTCCTCCCAGTCTCAGACATAGATCGCCTCTTGAGCGAGGAGGAGGATTCGGAGAGGCGCGTCGCCGCAGCGGAATGGTCCCTTGAGCGCGAAGTCGAATTGGCTCGCCTAGAGCGGGAGAACGAAGAGCTCCGTGCACTCGTCAACGGGCTGCTCCCACCTAACGCGCCTACAACTCGCCCTGGAACAATCGCACCGCCGGGAGTAATCCCGCCCCCGCATATACCCCCACCACATATACCCCCGCCCCAAGAAGCCTCGCCGCCCCAAGGAGATCAATTCGGTGGCTCTGAGGATCAAACACCAGACCAGCAGTCGGAAGAGCCATCACCACCTCGTATTCAGCAACGGTCTGTGGGCCCATATGGGACCTACAAGGCTCCGTCACCACCACGCGCTGAATGATATCTTTCAACGATGTGAGTCTAGCCTATGTGGTGGTATACTCTTCTCACTCAGCGACATGTTGACAGCATCGTAGTTATACCGTCCCAGCTAGTCGTGAAGACATGTATATATTGGTATAGGATGCATCAAGTTCTTGACTCGACGAACCCCCACTCTGTGATATCCTCTTATGCATGGGTTGCCAACCGTTCACTATCGAGCTGAGTGATTGACAATTCCCACCTAGCGTCTTGTTCTTCACGAGCATTTTAAGCACCGAGGATTGATGATGATTGTAAACAGCGACGGACCCGCTTGCGGGGAGGTGATATTGATACACTAGTAGGTATAGGGTGCGTGAAAGTTCTTGACATCGACGTGACGAAGGCGAGCAAATGCAAGGCGGCGACGGAACGAGCACGGTAAACAAGATACAGAGAACATTAACTTACACCCAGACGGCACGGACGCGCGTAAACCAAGAAGACATGTACAGAGGGGGGTCAGGCAGGTCAGGGTATCCTTGGCGCAATCAGCCACGCCGTATGTCACCATGCAGCTCTAGCGTGGGTCGAGACTTCGTGGGCCAGGGGCCGAGCGCCGCATGCTACGAGGCAGAGGGCTCGCCCCAGACGCTCTTCACGGTCTCGCACTTCACCTCGGCGACGTACATCCGCAGCCACTGCACCATCTCCTTGCTGATCTGGTGACAGCGCGTGAGGTCCATCGACTCGAGGCGGACGGGGCGGCCGACGGCCAGGGACGAGGACGACACAGCGGGCGCAGAGGGCTGGTGCGCGAGGATATACGCGGTCGCCGCGAAGGCGGATGCGGAGGAAGACGATGACGACGAGGCCACGGGGCGCTGGCTTGAAGCAGAGGCGCTCGACATGGACACGACGGGTCGCGAGGCTGGGGCCGGATCGTGCTGCGCGGCCTGGCGAGGGAATGCACGCGAGTGCGGGGGCAGCCGGGACTCGACGATCGAGCGCAGCGTCTCCCAATCGATGGACGTACAGCCCTCGAGCGAGAGCGTTGCGAGCTTCGGGCAAACCCACGTCTGCGAGACGGGAGGCGTGGCGAAATTCTGCGGATGGACACACGCTCGTCAGTCATCCCAACTCCGCTCCGTGCTTCGCGAGCGGCACTCACCCGCATCAGGTTCGGCGTCACGTCCTCGACGTCGACGAGCTCCAGCGAATTCAGTGCAGGAAGCCGCGGCAGGAGCCGCGCAAAGCGCAGTTCGTTGAGGAAGCACGACTCGATCCGCAGGTGGCGTAGGGGGAGCACGGTCAGGGACTGCTTCCTTAGGGACTCGAGGATCGGCGAGACGTTGTCGAGATAGCACAGTTCGATCCGTTCGAGCGCCGGGAAGGACAGCAGGCTGAACATGGTGCGCGTGCGCAGGTTGCCGGAGTAGTAGAACGAGGCTCTGCGCAGGCGTGGAAGGTGGATCGTCCTCGTGTCCGATACGCGTGCCAAAGCGTAGTCGTCCTGCTCAGTGGACGAATCCGAGATGAGCGGGGCGCAGCTCTCCGGGTCCACGTCGGACATATTCCGCAGAACCAGCTCTTCGAGCAGTGGACACGACCGCAGCGTCTTCAGGATGACATCGGCGGACGGTGAGAACCCGTTCCAGTACCCGCCCAGCTTCAGCACACGCAGATTGCTGAGTAATGAGAGGTCCCAGTTGAAGTTGAAGGACGTGAACGAGGTCGACCGGAGACGCGGCATGTGGCGCTCGAAAAGCGGGAGCGGTGGCGTCGAGTAGTGGTCCTCTTGCATCGAGTGCGCGACCCGAATTGATAGCACCTCCAGCAGTGGTGCCTGCTCCTTGCATCGAGTGAGTGCAATGTGAGCCTGTGGTCGACTGGGTACGGTGAGGTGGAACGTCTTCCAGCGCCATATTGCAGGTTGGATGAGGTCCATCGCCGTTATGATGTTCTCCGTAGAGACCGTACCATGTTCCATGCGCGGGCTGAAATCGAGGCTAATGTAGAGCGGGGCCGTCTTCGAGCGGTCGAGCTTGAGGAGAGCGCGGTCAACAGAACGGTGCGTACCCATTGCGATCCGCGTCCAGAGCATCGGGGTGTGGATCGCCACCTCCCGCCAGTACTGGCAGACGAGCATAAGGTTTGACAGCGTAATGGAGTCCTCCTCTTCCCCGTCTAGCACAGCAATCGTGAAGATGGACGAGAGCAGGTCATTCGGCACACGCTGGACGGGGGACTGCAGACGAACCGCTTGCTCTAGCCGCGCCTCCAGCCGGTCCCTCTCGCTGAGCAGCGTCGCCATCTTCGACTCCAGCGAGTGCAGCGCCTCGCGCAGGTGCGGTATCGACAGATTCGCCGCAGATCTTCGTGGGCTCGCTGGCCACGGCGCGCGCGGGAGAGGTGGGGGCATCGCGCTAGACGCGGATGGGCGGGAGAAGGGAAGGGTGGTCTTGTCCGAGTACCCGGCGGCGCTTGCGAGGGTCGGGGTGTCGCACATGTCGTATGGTGGCGGCTCGGAGTACTCGGACGTCCAGGACATCGTCGTCGGCGCGCGCGCCAGGGGGGACTCAAGCGCCGCGTACGCCATCGCAGAGGGGTGAAGCTTGGGGGTGGGGTGGAGGAGGGGGGTGCGCTGCATAATATACCGTCTGGCACGCGCCGGAAGCTACCCGAACGCGCCTGGGCTGCAGTCGCGCGGCGGAAGCGTCAGCGGCGTGCGATCCCGAAGACAATCGGTCGGTTTCCAATACTCGTTGCGTCGAACACGGTGCTGTAGCCGGATGCGCGAGACACAAAGCAGAGAAGGGAGGCAGGGGGCGCGGGCGCTGCTCTGCGGGCACCGGCGCGTGTCAGCGCTGGCTCGGACAAGGCTGCCCAACGGAGTTTGGGACGCTCGGGCGGTACACACACCTCGTCGGGGCCACTAGGGCGGGCTCAGGCGCACTAGCGAGAATCAGGCGGGCGACGGCGGGCGGGGTGGAGGGCAGACGGCTCAAAAGACGCAGCGCGCGATCTGACATTGATAAAGCGTTTTCTGGCCCGAAAGGATGATGGACGAGGCACGAGGCGGGCTGCATGTCTGCTCGAGCGGTACGAAGAGTTGTGGGTGACCTGCAACGTGGGACGTCGAATAGCAGCCTCAGACACGAGGGAGGGAACGAGGCCGCGACGCGAGGCGGATGCCCGCGCTCAAACGCTCGCTTCGCCCCTCACACGGTTCACTTTCTCCTGCCCCCCTCCTTATTCCCCTTATCGCCTCTCCCGGTTCCCCCACCATCAGAAGCGAGGCCGCTGCGACGAATGGGCTTCATTGCACTCTATCCGGCCATACATCTTTCTCCCCGACAAATCATCCTCGAGGCCCGCCGCGCAATATCCCGTCCCACGCCTATCCACCCACAATTAACTCTATCTGGATTCGGCCGTCGTCTATTCAGGGCACTCGCGCTCTAAGGCGTCCGCCCGTTTGTTGTCTTCTTGTCTGTAGAGGAAGAACTGGTACAGAACCTGCGAGGAGTCATATATCAGCACGATCCCACGAGGTTTCAGCCGACAACAACGCTTACGAAGAGATCCAGGAAAACAGTCAATGCGCTTCCTGCCGTATGTCGCCCAGCAAAAGGTGTCCGATCAGTCGTGTTGTTGAACTATACCCGGGAGATACACGCACCGGCAATCCACGGCGCGTTGGCCGCAAGATGTTTTATGTTCAACGAGGCCGCGAGGATAGACAGGAAGTACGTGGTGTTGCCCGAGATGGAGTATACGAATAGGAAGGGCGACAGCCCTTCGCACCTCGTGTCCAAGTTCTTGACTGTCCGACGAAGATTTTGAGTCCCTGTGCCCTGACGCGCTATGAACGCCACGCACCTATCTGCGGCACCCGCGCTCCGACTGTTTCCGCAAAGGTCAGCGTCGAGCATCTCCGTTCAGCGCGCGCACTTACGGAAGAGGGCTGCACTAATCCACCCCAGGACCTGGCTGCGCCATTCGATGACTTCTTCGGGCTTCGAACGAGGGCTGTCCCTGTGGACGTGCTTATCCACGGCCCAGGCGGCCACGCCCACGGCGAAGACGAACAGGAGGGCGCTTGCAAATTTGAGGGTGTCCTTCGACATTGACCTCCTCGCAGGGACCTCGGAGCCCGTACCCCCCGGTAGGAGCGGACTTGCCTCCCCGTACAGGGCAGCCGTCTCCGGCTCATCGGAAAGTAGCAGCCTCGCGGTGCGGCGCGCCTTCTTCCACCGGTAGTAGTAGATTTGTGTGAGTAGGATCACGTCGCAGACGGAGTACTGCGTGGCCAATGGAAAAAACTTCAGTCATCTCGTATGACGTACCGGGACACCAGAAATGCCTCACATAGCTCCCGAGGATAACGATGGTAGGGATCAGGTTAGCCATGACGGCCCCGGTCAAGTTGCATATGTCGCCGATCAGCCATACGGTTACAAAGCTGACGCTGAGCCCCTCGCCCGACTGCTTTCTGTAGTTCTCGAGAATCTGCGGAGAGTAGACCACCAGCCTGGGGGATCCGCATCAGCCTTCAGATTAGATCCTCGTTGATGTCCGAAACTCACCAGCACGCAATAGAAACCCATCCCAGCTACAGCAGTATCCGAGCCATTCGTTAAGTCAGCACTTGTCTTGGAGGCCTTCTTCCGTGGATGCGTACAAAGTTACTGAGCTCCTGATTACCCTCGTTGAACATCCTCAGAAGGCAAGCCAGTCAAGCCTAAGACTAGTAGAACGTTGTTCTTCCCGCAAGTTTAAACAATCAGCAAGTTCCGTCGAACTTGTTTGCAGGGAGTTGAAGGTGTTCAGATCCAAAGAGCTGTTCGCCGAAGATTTTCGCTCTTTCTCTTGCTTCTTCAACCTGCGTTCCCACGCCTCTTCTTGAAGTTCCTGCGAGCTTGCAGAAGACTATCATATGTCCCACTAATATGATAGTGGCGGATATCGACTTTCTTTTCTATTGGCGTCGAGGGTCGAGCCCGATGATAGGCAATATAACGCCAACGTCAAGGGGAATATTGGTCGACCGTCGTATGTAGGTACTAACCTGGCCGGAGAAGGGGGCGGCGGTCGCAGTGGTGGTGGGCCTACTAAGCGAAGATTCTTCATTCTTAAGACGGTAAAATGCCCGCAAGAATCATACGACATGTGAACATTGCCGCAGAAAGTTAGAGGAAGCCTATAGCTGGGCGACAATGAGGAGACCATGATAAAGGTATGGCGGCCTGACACTAGCAGAAAATTCAAAGGGTGTGCGGGGGTAAGCAAGCACTCATGGCACGTGGCGTACGACCCGGCGAATGCCGAGCGAAGCCGTCACGGCTCGGCCAGTCGTCAGTGCTCAAACTCGTCCTCCGCGCCCTTGCCATAATTCGCGGCTCGACGTCTGCTCTCTCGCTATCACTATGAACCCTCAGGACGCTTGGAAAAGACTCTCGCAGCAGCTGCAGCGCGCCAGCTCCAGTGGAGGCGGTGGAGGTCGGCTGCCCGTCAAGGGTTTCTTCACGGGCACGGGTTTGCTTCTAGCACTCGTCGGCGGTGGTGTTGCTTTGAACGCCAGTCTGTTCAACGGTGCGCCTGCTTTCACTTGAATATGTGAACGCGAGTGTCTGAAGGGTTTGTGCGCGTGAAGTTGACGGTGGTCACCGTGCCATCAAGTACACCAGGTAAGTAATGTATCAGTCCTCGTCTCGTTCCTCTTCTGAAGCGGACGACCTGCTCCATAGGCTCAATGGCGTGAAAGAAGAAGTCTACCCTGAAGGAACCCATCTCATGGTATGCAAGCAGCATGCGCTTGTAACTTCCGTGTTCTGATGTCCTCTTAGGTTCCCTGGTTCGAGACCCCCATCGTCTACGACATTCGTGCGAAGCCGCGCAGCATTGCATCGTTGACCGGCACCAAGGGTACGTGAGATATCTTCAGCTACGCGACGTGATGCACGGCTCAGCTTCTGCCTGTCGCACACGATAGATTTGCAAATGGTCAACATTACGTGCCGTGTACTGTCAAGGCCCAATATCCCCGCTCTGCCTACCATTTACCGGGAGCTGGGAACTGACTATGATGAGCGTGTGCTGCCATCCATCGTCAACGAGGTCCTGAAGAGCGTAGTCGCGCAATTCAACGCGAGCCAAATCATCACTCAGCGTGAACAGGTGGGTAGTGCTTATGCATGGCCGTTCTCCGATCCGGTGCACTTACATGCTGGACCCCTCTTCCGTGCCGACTTGATATAGGTTTCAAGACTGGTCCGCGAGAACCTGACGCGCCGCGCGCTGCGTTTCAACATCGTTCTCGATGACGTCTCGATCACCCACGTCGCCTTCTCGCCTGAGTTCACACATGCCGTCGAGGCGAAGCAGGTACGTGCTCGGTCTAGGCCACTTACGCGGAATCCCACCTCACGTCTCCGCAGGTTGCGCAACAAACTGCCTTCCGTGCAGCCTTCCTGGTCGACCAAGCAATCCAGGAGAAGCAGGTGCGTGGTGGCGTCCTTGTCATGCGGCCTGAGCACGCCTTGATCGCTGCACACCCCGCAGTCTATTATCGTTCGGGCCCAGGGTGAGGCGCGAAGTGCGGAGCTCATTGGCGAAGCTGTTCGTCAGAACAAGGGCTTCCTGCAGCTCCGGAGGCTGGAGGCGGCCCGGGACATCGCCACACTATTGGCTGCATCGGACAACCGTGTGATGCTGGACTCGCAGAGTCTTCTGTTGAACGGTACGAAGCATGTCGTAATGTTCGTGCGTGCACGTTCTGACCTTATCCACAGTGACGGAGGATGCGGCTGACCTGCTCAATTTTGGCAAAAAGTAATACGGTCCCCGTGTATCGTTTCGCATGTGCGCGCTGTCGATTCCATTCCTGTTCCTTGGCCTGCTTAGCTTCTCACCCGCGTGCATACCCCATGACGTGCTACATGGGAAAGACCGCATTATGCGCACCTGCTCTAGACCAAGACGCCGCTATCGCCGAGTGTTGCGGATCTCATCTTGCGCACACTCGCAGCTCGCGATCGAGGTAGGTCCGCGAGTCGCGAGCTGTGGCTTTGTGCGGCGTAACACGAGCACGTGACTTTCACTTTCGAGGACGCGTCGTGAATTCCCTGGACGCGTTTCTCTTTCCGCCCACATCATCCTCACGGTCTACGGCCATCGTACACTTTCCCATATGCTGCGACACAAAAGCACATCCCGCGCGTCGTCTTACCTTGCCGAAGATGCTGAAGAGGGTATCACTGAACGTGTCGAAGATCCCAGTGACTCTGAGGACACGCAGCCGCGCAAGAAAGTGAGATGGGATGGAAACGTTGACACTCCAGACGAAGAGGAGACGGAAGAATCGTCAACCACTAATGTGGTTGAGAAGGTGAGCAACGACCAGTATCAAAACTTCGAACCAGGCTCAGCGGTCTCGTAGATCTGCCTGGCGGCCTCTTGTCAATCGTATGTGCGTTTTGATTAAACCTCTGCGTAGTGATGTCGACCTATGATGCAGTGGGCGTGTTGCATGCGCATACTATGACCCAGTGAGACGCACGGTGTTCATCTTCGAGGATACGCCAGAAAATCAGCACTTCGACTTGACTAAAACATGTAAGCACCATGTCTGCGAGCGAAGCTGGGCTTGACGCTGACGCGCATATATGCAGTCCTTGAGCAAACATGCCCTGACGTTGTCCTTACGAGCTCAAAAGCAGACGACAACTTCATGGATGTATGCCGAGATCATAGTGAAGCGTCCGCATTTCATCAACAAGGCGCATATACTCACTTCAAAGTGCAGTGGATGGCTCGGGAGGCACCTTCCAAGTGCGCCCTCAAAAGGACTTCCTCCCGCTCAAGGGCCGCGACCGCCTGCTCTCTCTTCGTCTTCTCTCGGAACTACCCATCATGCAAGGTAGCGAGAGCGACAACCTGTCCGAACTCGGCTCAGCGTCGGAGCCGCGGAACGCGTACGACTTTATGCGTCGACGCAGGGAGATTGGAGGAGATCCGACCCTGCAGAAATGGAATGCTTCTGTTCGGCTGGCGAACTTCGCCTCGGTGGAGAGCTCTCCGTTGTGTGTACGTGGATATACAACTGCATTACGTACCTGCGGAAACCGAATGGCCCTTTTACAGCTCGGGTCCATCGGGGCCCTATTGGACTACCTCGCTCGTACACGCGCTGTTGCTGAGCTCGACGACGAAGGGGTTGGCGGGCTGGAAGTGCTCAACATCGAACTTTTGCCCCTCCTCGACGTCATGCAGATCAACGCGGACGCCCTCTTTTCCCTGCAGATATTCGAGGACGAAAACCACGCCTCCATCCACTCGGACAAGACCAAGGAGGGGCTGTCGCTTTTCGGCATACTCAACAACACGAAGACTACGCTCGGCCGGGCCCTCATGCGCGAGTGGTTCCTTCGTCCTTCTATGTCCTTAGCTATCATCAACGCTCGTCATGATGCCGTGGAGTGCTTCACACGCGCTGATAATATCATCACGGCAACGGCCATGCATGGGCATATACAAGGCACGAAAAACGTACCAAGGATCATCACCACTATGCGATCAGGCAAAGCAAAGGTGTCGGATTGGCAAAGCATTGTCAAGGTATGTATATCTCCGTACCTTCTAGACTACTCGCATTAATATCCATCTAGTTCGCCTTTCATGCGCTGTTGCTACGAGACTCGTGTGCGGAACTCAACTACGCTGGTGGCGTCGATATAGTCCGCAAGGTAAGACTGTCTATCCCCCTCTGCGTCGCATCGAAATAAGCATTTTGCTCTAGTTGCTTGAAGTGCTAGATGTGGCCAGTTTTAGGGAGCTTGGGAATACTGTGAATGAGACGGTATGTGAAAGTGTGCTCTATACCTGCGAGGTTTGCCCATCCTACTATCCGCAGATTGACTGGGAAGAGAGCACGAATGCCGCGCGCGTTTGCGTTCGACCCCATATCGACGAGGAGCTTGACAACCTCAAGCATATATACCACGGGATCGACGCAGTACTTGTGCGTGTAGCGAGGAGTATTTGTTTGTGTAGTCTCCGTCTGAACGACGCAACGAACTACAGTCCAAAGTTGCGACACAAATTTCCGCAACGGTTCCTCTGGATTACGCTTCGTCGCTGAACGTGGTGTACTTTCCGCAGCTCGGTGAGTAGATGTTCGCTCCGACTTATAGCGTCGCTTATGACCTCGTTGAAGGGTTCCTGGTCTGCGTGCCTATGCAGGACGAATGGCGGGGCGATGCGGGGATCACAGTACTTGACGGATGGAGCTTTCAGGTATACAGATTGCACATATCTCTTAGTCCGCGCTGACACGATGATAGTTCTGCTCGGAGTAAGTTGGACTGTCCGTTGGTGGGAGGTTCATGACCTATACCCATAAACAGTTCGCACGTCTACTTCAAGTCGCAAGAAATGCAAGGTACGTCTTATGAGTGTTTCGGTGGCCTTTCAAAAGCTCAAGGCGCACTAGACATGGATATGCACATCGGTGACCTGCATCCAGCCATCGTAGGCAAGCTCGCGTGCAGCCCGCCGTGAGGATGACTTCGTTATTAAACACCTTCACAGATCGTGAGATAGAGATCGTGCAAGCCTTACAGGAGAAGGTTTTGGCGTACACTTCACATATCGCTCGTGCCTGCGATATTTGCGCAGAGCTTGACTGCCTCCTGTCCTTTGCCGCGGCATCGCGCGACCAAGACTATCGTAGGCCACAAATGACAGACCAAAACGTGATAGACATCAAACAAGGCCGGTGAGTAGATCCCGCTACCTAGAACCGTTCGTTTGCGCTTATGCATGTTTGCATTAGACATCCCCTTCAAGAGCTCGTAGTTGATACATTTGTGCCGAATGACGCATTTCTCTTAGGCGGCTCAGGCATAGGCGTCGAGACCGAAGTCCACGTTGAAGAAAACAATAGTGAAGAACTACACGAAGACAGGCACTGTTTGAAGAACAGCATCATAGTATGCACTGGCGCGAATGCCTGTGGCAAGGTGACATTTATTAGAAATCTTTCGTTGTTCCCGGTTGACATTTGATGCATTAGAGCATATACTTGAAGCAGGTCCGTACACACCGCTTCTCCAACCGTGACGCGCATATATATTGACGTCTCGCAGATTGCACTGATACAATACATGGCCCAGGTGAGTGCTATGGGTTCACGCCAAAATTCCACGGTAATAAATCGTCGTCCATAGATTGGATGGTCAAAGAATTCGTTCACTGCGCCTCTACATGTGCTGACACTTGAGCTAGCTTTATTCCCGCGGAGTCCGCGACTTTGGGTGTCGTCGATAAAAGTGAATCATCTCTGCTCCGTGGTCGGAATATGGCGTTTACTGACATTCATGGAGTCTTCACGCGGATCCAGACACGCGAGTCTGTCTCCAAAGTATGCACTCATGCGTTGGATTGTCTACACAACATTCAATTTTGCCATCCTAGGTCCAGTCTGCCTTCATGATCGACTTGAACCAGGTCTCGCTTTCTCTGCGCAACTGCACAGCACGCTCCCTGATCATACTCGACGAGTTTGGCAAGGGTACTCTTCCTGCAGGCTCGTGCTTATGTTCGTTTACTAACATTTAGCTTGCTGACGTCTCCTCTGGCTCTCTGTCTTTCTGTTCGTGGTCTGCCGGGCTCTGCACACATCTAGACGGCTCTGGGCTTTTCTGTGGGGTCTTGAAATATCTACTGGAAAGCGGCACCTCCTGTCCGAAGGTCATCGCTACGACGCACTTTCACGAGATCTTTCATAACGACCTTCTGAACCCGCACAAGCTGCCTATCACCTTCCTACACATGCAGGTCCTGCTCGCGTCCTCGGGTACCAACGCTGGTGTACTCGGGGAACATACACTGGAGGGCAGCGATGACGAGGATGCGACGCGACTTGCCCCCAGCGACAAGATCACCTACCTATACAAGTGAGCATTTTATCGCCATCCTGAATCACCGCAGAACGCCATAATGTTTCTTCCAGAGTAGCGAATGGGTACTCGCTCCATTCTCATGCCATCACTTGCGCGGAGATCTTCGGCGTACCTCGGCGAGTGATTGCCCGAGCCAGATACGCAAGGTCAGCCGACGCTTTCTTCGCATCTGGTACATTAGTTGATAAGTTATAAAGCGAACTCCTCGCGAAACACGAGCTTTGCCAGCTTCTGGACGAGGCCATGTCGGACACCGAACGCCATGAGCTCGAGGAGGCGGAGGAAGTTTGTCGCAAGTTCCTGGCGTGGGATCTCTCGAGGGAGCGAGACGGCGAGTGCAAAACGTCTTTGAGAGACGAGTTGGTGGAGGTTCTTGGACGATGTGATTGAGAACCTCGGCCGGCATGTGGAATACTCCAGATCAGTCTTTCTGAGCCCTAGCACTGTAGTGACAGGTGCACGCGGCGATGTATGTCATCTCAGTCGAACCGGAGTACCGTATCATTTCATCGAGACTAACGGTCGCAAATGCTGCGATAGCTATTTTGAGTGAGCTACTAGTCCACGCCGTTTGGAATAACACAACGGCACAACTACGTATCACGATGACACCAAACAGCAAAGTCCCTGGATTATACGAGTGTACAGTGGCAGTGTACGAGGAGGCGAACTATGGTATCGTCCGATAGAGGCTAGGTGAAAAACGCGGCACACAACGTGCCAGTACGACGATCGTCCGTATGCGTATGTCCGTAGCAAGTCCGAGAGTGTCCAAAGCGACGTCACTGTCCAGTATCTGTCGCGAACGGCATGCAGACTGCCCTCTACGACGCCGTGGTGGCGTTGTAGATGACGGGCACGTATGTCAGGCTCATCGCTGACCCGAGGGGCGTCTACGGATTCAATTCAATCGTCAGCTCTGCGCATCAGAAACGCGCCCCCTGCGCGAGGCACAGGGGAGAGGGGAAAGGGCGTCGACGTACATCAGTCTCGCAGCCCGCCCACTCCTCGAGCACCGCGAGCTGCACGGTCTTGTCGCTCGCCGTCTGCGGGCTGCCAAACCCGCCGGGGGCCTTCGAGAAGTCGGGCATGGTCAGCTGCGCGGGCGCGGGGTTCTTCGGATACGGCACCGCTGCAACATCGGAGCCATTAGTCCTAAGCGGAACAATTGTCGCGGCGAGGTGTCAGGGTGCTCACCGGGGTAGTTGGGGAAGTCGAATCGTCCGAAGAAGTGGCCGCCCATGAAGACGTCCATCGGGGCGAGCGAGGCGGGCACGTCCGTGACGAGCCACACGGAGAACGCGTATGTGGAGCGGCAGTAGTCCGCGCTCGGGAGGTAGGAAAAGTCGAACGACTCGCCGGGCGCGATGTGCGCGCCCGCGGCGGGCTGCTCGATCTGGCCGTGCGTGGGGTCGGTATCTGTCCGCTGGACGGGGGCGGGGACGGCGCGAGTTGCGGCGAGCGCGAACGTCGTCGCGAGCATCGAGAGGAGGGTGAACTTCATTGTCGGAAGGGTGGTGGTGTGGCGTGGGTGGCGGCGATTAGGCTGCTATATGCTTGGTGAATCAGGCGGGAAGGGGGAGGAGGAAGTGGTAGGGGTGGCGGGGAGGAAGCCGATGAGGAGAGAGCATGCCTCGCGCGCGGGGACCTTTATACGCGCGGGATGTTGCCTTATTTACCTTGCTTCTTCCGCTCGCTCGCGTATTCCTTGGGGAAGATCAACGTCCGGAGGCCAGACGTACGACTTTACATCAGGAACCTCGGTCACCCCAGGCAAGGAATGAACCGTGCACAGCATCTGACCGTGGGTTCGCGGAACAGCTAACTTACAGGAGCATATGGACGTTTGTGCCGGGGCGTTTCTGTGGGCCGTGCCCGAGCCTGCGCCGTTCAGCCGACTCCATCAGGCCAGGCCCTGTATGACAATGATGAGTGTCGAAGGCCATCTAGAGAAGAAGGAGCGAGTGGAGTACACGCAAGACGGTCAGCATGAGAACGAGTACCGGGGCGGCCCGGGTACTGCCACTATCGAGCCCTCCCCAGACTGAGACCAGACATCGAGAAGAACGCTGCAGTTCGACTCAGGATCCATGCCCGCTTCCAGGTACATACCATCGCGCAGTCTCACCAATGCCGACCTGTGGTGCTGAAACATGTATGAGCTCCCGAGCAATACACATGTCTGCGCTCATGAGCGGGAAAGGTGTGTTAATACCAGAACGGATTGCGATGAAATAAGGAGACTCACGGCGAAGGGGCTTTACAATTTTAAAGCAAAGGCTCCTTATTCCAATACACCTGCCATCTCACGTAGGCGGTTTCTAGCCTCAACTCTAACCGCGACCACGGGGTCAGACATGCTGCATCTCTCATATAGCACCCGAAGAAGCCCGGAGGTCGGCATACGAAAACGTCCACGATGCGAATATGACAGCTAAAACAAACTACATTGCACAAACCGAATACCAAACGAAGGCCTACGTGAAGTAGTTGAGCGGGTTCTTCTTCTTGCTCTGCACTGTTGATCAAAAGTTAATCAGCATTCTGTCGACACAATGGAAAGTATTGCTCACCCTCCGCGATGCCACTCAAGAAGTGCTCATGGCTGAGCTTCGTCGCGCCTTCCCTCAGCGCGATCATACCGGCCTCGACACAAACGGCCTTCAACTGGGCACCGTTGAACTCGTCGGTACTGCGCGCGAGCTCCTCGAAGTTCACGTCCGACGCGACCGTCATCTTTCGCGAGTGGATCTCCAAGATGCGGGCGCGCGCGGTCTCGTTGGGCAGCGGAAATTCGATCTTCCTGTCAAGACGCCCTGATCGAAGGAGCGCGGGGTCGAGGATGTCGATACGATTGGTGGCAGCGATGACCTGTTTGGAAAGTAATAGAGATAGGCCGCCAGTAAGAACACCGGAGCTCGCGCCGGACACGTAAGGCGACGCACCTTGATTCGCTCGTCGCTGCTGAACCCGTCTAGTTGGTTCAAAAGTTCGAGCATCGTGCGCTGTACTTCACGATCACCGCTCTTCTCGGAGTCGAACCGCTTCGTGCCGATGGCGTCCAACTCGTCAATGAAGATGATGGCTGGCGCCTTCTCCTTCGCGAGCTCGAACGCGTCGCGAACGAGTTTCGCGCCGTCACCGATGAACATTTGGACAAGTGAAGGACCAGCGAGCTTGAGGTAGCACGCCTTCGTTTGTGCGGCACATGCTCGGGCCATGAGCGTCTTGCCGGTACCTAGTAGCAGGTGAGCTTTTGAGGTAACTGTATGACAGGATGACTTACCTGGAGGGCCGTACATCAAGCAACCCTTTGGCGGCTTGATGCCGAGCGTCCTGAATTTGTCCGCTTGCTCCATAGGCAGGACGATAGCCTCTACGAGCTCCTCGATCTGCTTCTCCAGACCACCGATGTCGGTGTACGTCTCCGTCGGCCGCTCGTCCACCTCCATGGCCTTCACGCGGGAATCGAATTCCGCGGGAAGGGTGTCAAGCACGAGGTACGAATCCTTGTTCACGCCGACGAGGTCACCAGGCTTCAGCTTGTCGGCAGGGACGAGACCAATCATAGGGAGGAACACTGTTTGTCGTGTTGAGGTCTTGATGACTGCGCACTTCCCCTTCCGCATCGAATCCAGGTCGCGGTTGCCACCGTCCTCTTCGCCTTCTGGGTCGACGTCCAAAATCTACAAACGCTCAGTATACGGACGGCTACTAAGGAGCAGGCATACACACCTCGACGACGTTCCCGACCAGGTATGGCAGAACCTTGTTCTGCTTGATCTTCTCCCCATTCTCGCGAATCTTCTCCTTCATGACATTCTGCTCGTGCTGCAGACGCAGCGTCTCCGAGCGCATGACCTATGAGACCACAACTCTGGTCAACATATCCCTTGGAACTTGCGCCTTTGTGTGTTACGCACCTTGAGGTCGTTGTCAATCAGGCGTATCCTCGTGAGGATCTCGTCCGAGGAGAGAGCCATAATGTCCTCCGGGATGTCCTCCCAAGTCTCCTCCGCGGGCCGTTCTGAAGTCCCGTCCATGGACACATCTTGGGCTCCTGAGGTTGATGCAGAGGGCGCGGTGTTGTCCGACTTCTCATTGTTGCTCGCAGGCGGGTTCGGCGGTGGTGCTGAAGACATGGTGGTGGTCCGGTCGAACAGGGATGTGTGCTACAAGTTCGCGCGCGCGGTGCTGGGTAATCCTACGCGTACGCGTCGTCGTGACGGTGACTCTGATTACGCGTTTCTGTCACCGTCACAGAGTCACGCCGCAAGCGCTCAACCCCGACACACCGCAAGGTCCCCTCGTCGCCGTCGTTCATCGCGCAACACAACATCCATGGATATTATCGTTTCTTCGAGATGCACGCGTCGGGTTGAGAACACATCCTGTGGCGTGCCGTTAACGCGGCTTGGTGAGCATCAACGCGCTCTGAGAGAGGGAAGGAACGCGCCATATGGCGTGGGTGGACTCCATATTTGCCATGGGCGACTTCGCTGACGCACGCGGTACCCTGATCCCACCTCTTCTTGGTCCGGCCCACGATCAGCAGCACCTGAGCATCGATATCGCCCACGATGCGGGTACCCCCAGGTTTCCCCGTGTCTGTTCTCGGGCTTGCGGCCCAGGTCCCCCTCCAATCCTCCCTGAACACCACCAGCATGGCTACCCCCAACTTCGCTTTCGCGGAGGGGGCGAACATTTTCTCCCCAAAGGATCTCGTCGGACTGCCGAGGGCTGGTACGGGTGTTGCAAACGCTGCGGGAGATCTCGTGTTTGTTCCGGTGAGCCAGTATTCGCTCAAGGACAAGAAGTGAGTCCATTTGCTCTCTACGTCGGACGCGCCGCTGGAATCTGTGCGCAGGAACTCCAAGTCGATCCATGTTGCTGCAGTCGAGAGCACCATCTTGCCGTTGGAGATCCCGCTGACCAGCGGCGGAGAAGCCTTCTGGCTCGACGATCGCACCCTCGCGCATGCCGTAGCCGAGGGCTCCGACAAGGACAAAGTCATCAGCCTCTATGCCATCTCTCTCAAGGTCGAGACAAGCATCGCGACGCTCCCCGACTCTCCGATCCTCATTGGTAAATTCCCTACGGAGACGGCCACCAACTTCCGCTACTCAGCCAAGGCCGGCATACTCGTGTTTTCTGACTTGGTGCACGAAGACGGCGACTTGAAGAAGGTCAAAGAGAACGATGAGGCTTGGGAGAACCGCGGTGACAACGCGTTCGTCTACGACGACACGTTCGCGCGTCATTGGGACACTTGGGTTGGACCCAAACGGTCGTCTCTGTTCAGCGTCAAGTTGGGCAAGGGATTCTCTGGAAAGTGGGCTCTCGGAGACGACTTCGTCAACCTGCTCAAAGGCACTGGTCATGTAGGGTTTACCGCAGTCAACGTTATATATGCGCTGACCCCGTGTCTCAGCACGCGCCTGTCGAGCCCTTCGGCGGCACGGACGATTTCGATGTTTCTGACAGCCAAGTGATCTACACCGCGAAGGACCCCAAGCTGCCGCCCGCGTGGCACACCAAGCAGAACGTATGTATATTCAATCGCGAGCTCAAACGCCCAGAGCTCAGTCCTGTCACCAACAGATCTACCTCGTGGATATAAACGGCAAATCTGCGCCCAAGGAGCTCACCTCTGGCAAGCAGGGAGCTACGCACGCGCCGGTGTTCAACACTGCAGGCGACAAGGCCGCATGGACTGAGCTCGATCAAGATGGCCACGAGTCCGACAGGTACGCTTGCATGTAGACACGTCGCATATATGCACTCAATTTCGTACAGGGCGAAGCTGGTGCTCTACGACCTCAAGAAGGAGGTCCGGTTCACGATCACCCAGGGCTGGGACCGCTCCGTCGGCTCGATCGCGGTATGTATGCGGGTATATGCCCCTAAAACTCCAGGACTGATCACCCGTGCAGTTTGCCCACGACGACAAGACTATCTTCATCACTGCCGGCGACATCGCGCGTGTCAAGATCTTCTCCTTGCCCGTCCCCGACACGCCGTCAGCCAGCACGACCGACCCGAAGCTCCCCGCAATCTACAGCAGCCCACGCGAGATCACGTCGAGCGGTGCAGCTTCCGGCGTCCAGCCTCTTTCAAACGGCCGCCTGGTCTTCACTCGCTCATCGATGACGTCGCCGAATGACGTTTTCGTGCTGCGAGAATTGAACGAGAGCGGGAAGCCGAAGGTTGATCAGCTCACGAACTTCGCGGCTGCTGGCTTGAAGGGCAAGAGCCTCGCCGCGGGGAAGGACTTCTTTTTCGAGGGTGCCGAGGGCAAGAAGATCCACGGCTGGGTCATCAAGCCCCCTGGCTTTAAGGAGGGCGAGAAGAAGAAGTGGCCGATCCTGTTGGCGATCCACGGTGGTGCGTGTATTGAAGGTTTATCTGGTCCTATTACTGATAATATTGTCAGGTCCTGAGGGTGCTTGGGAAGACCAGTGGTCGAACAGGTGGAACCTGAACAGTCAGTCCTTAACTGTAACATGGTTAGAGTTGTGGATACTGACTTTCTGGCTAGTCTTCGCGCAGCAGGGATACTTCGTCGTTGCGATCAACCCGACTGGCTCTACCTCGTTCGGTCAAGAGCTCACCAACGCCATCAAGGAGGACTGGGGAGGCAAGCCGTTCGTCGGTGAGTGCCTCTAGTGTAGTTTAGTCCCACCCGAATTTCGCCTAAACAGACGTCGTAGATTTGCAGAAGGGCTGGAAATACGTCCTCGATAACTTCCCCGAGGTAAGCGCGATGCGGAGTGAACCCGTGGGCCTCATTCTCACTCAGCGTTCAGGTCGACCCCGACCGCGCTGTTGCCGCCGGCGCCAGCTACGGCGGTTACGCGATCAAGTAAGTCTATTTGTTGGGCAGCGGCGCGATATTGCGAGCCTGACGATCGTCCAGCTGGATCCAGGGTCATCCTGAGTTTGGTTTCAACTTCAAGGCTCTGGTTTGCCACGATGGGGTACGTCAAAGCCCTTAGTCTTTACACGGCGGGCTCCGCATATTCATCTTGCATGTAGGCCTTCGGCGCCCAGTACCACGGCTACTCCACCGACGAGCTCTTCTTCGTGAGTCTTCCGACATACGTCGCATCGTTCCACTACTGAAGCTATCGTTCGCAGTTCAACTACGAATGGGGAGGACGCCCGTGGGAGCCCCGCGCGCAGGAGGTCATCAAAAAGTAGGCCCTTTCCTCCGAGCCGGAGCGCCGCACGCTCACTATATCCGCCCCACCCGTCACCAGGTACGATCCAATCAACTTCGTGGACAAGTGGTCCACCCCGATGCTGGTTATCCACGGCAGCAAGGACTACCGCCTTCCTGAGACCGACGGTATCGGCGCGTTCCACGCCCTGCAGCAGTATGTGGCACCGTAGTGTCCTCATGCGAGCCTCTCTGAGTTTTCTGTGCCAAAGGATGGGTATCCCGAGCCGTCTGGTCATCTTCCCGGACGAGAACCACTGGGTCCTGAACCACCAGAACAGGTATGTATCATGTCCCGCTCTGCTGCCCGCACGTTATGACGAAATGGACAGCTTGAAGTGGCACTACGAGGTGTTCCGTTGGCTCGGCAAGTACTCGAAGAGCGACTGAGGCGGCGAATTCGAAGCGAAGCGTGCAGGGCCCAGCCCTCGTGTACAACACTGTCAAACCATCTTGTTGCAGATATGTCAATGTGACTGTTGTGTTGCGTGTGATCCCAACGGCGCGAAGAGTTGCCCTGACGGCGAAGCTGTGTGCTGCGGTAGGTGGTTTAGCTTCTCCATGCAGGGCCGTACGTGGGCCGGGCGTATAAGATTTGGTGGGTAGGTGAGTCGTACCCCGCCCTTCTCTTGAACCTTCATTCAAGCGTAAGCTCCTCGGAACTTCCGGTGATACATTAAAGACTGACCGCCGCTCACAGCTGGCACACGCGGGACGTACTTGAAGTGTACGATGAACGACCAAGAACCCTCGGATACCGGGGACAGAGCATGCGTGCCTGGTTGGAACGGCAATTCAGTAAAGAAGCAGCACGATTTAAGCGAAGCAGCCGAAGAAGACTCTTCTCGCGGGTGGAAGATACCAAACGGTAAGTACATAGCCCATCATAGCGGCATGGCGGCTGACTTGGTCGGGACCAGAGCTCTTTGGTTCAACGATTGCCTCAGACCCAGGCGCTGAAGCTCAGCTGGACAGCTTGAGCGATGTTCACAAGCGCTCTCCTTCGCCCCTTCCGGAGGTGTGGCCTCCTGCAGAGATGAAAATGGATATCGAGTCCTGGGAGATCCCCGCGGCAAGTGGGGGGATGAAACCAGACCGAATACCAGAGACGGGGATTCCTAAGTTGGATAGCGACGTGTTAGACGCCATGAGCAAGCAGGTCGGTGCCCGTTATCACCATATGTGGCTCATCTGTCGAAGCACGGTCACCGAATACCGCCTAGATTCATCCAGATCACCTTGGCCACTCACACTCGGTCTATAGGGGCTCGGAAAGGGGCGCGTCGCATGTGGATCCTCCAGTATGGTTTTTTACCGCTAAGATCGGACGTCGGCGGGCGCTAACACGTTCCTAGTCGGACGTCAACGAGCCTTGCTCTCGCGTCGTTGCTGAGCCTCATGCTTCGACGACACGCCACTATGACGGGTTGCAGGATCGATACGCCAGTAAGTGGACATATCACTGCCTCGATTATCCGTCAGATACTGACCAGGGGCTGCCGCCGCGAGGTGTCGGAGGCGTGTGGCTTCTAGACCCTGCGATCTCCTCCCACACAGGTATGCTTGTTGAAGTGCGCGGCTCAAGAGAGTTCCGCCCTGGCGTTGCCTGGCATGGCGGAGATTACGAGGGCGCCCGTGGGGTCGTTATGTCCGTCCACAACACGGGTGCGGAGAACGAGAGCTTCCCCTCCACGGCGCGCGTCAAGTTTACGAAGCCCCTCGACCCGTCATTCGACACCGTCGCCGTACCAGTATCACTCCTGCGGCCTGTCCAGCCGGACGCTGTGGAGCAGCGCGCGCTCATCGTCGGTGGGGGAAGTAAGGGCCATGCAGCGAAGCTGTTGGAGGAGGTGAGCGAAGGATGGTTCGTTGCCGCGGCGTACGACTATTTCGAGGTCGCTCGTGTAGATTTGGTCAGGTTGCTTGATAACTAGCTCCACGGTTGACGGCGTCTCCCCTCTGCAAATTTACAGCGCGTACGTACTGCACACTAGGAAGATTGACCGGTCCGGCATCGGAGGGGTTCGAAGTAGTTGCGTGATTTCCCGACTCCGTGTGCGACATGAGTGACTGATGATCGCAGATCTTGCATACAGTAAAGGAATCAGGACCTGTGTCTCAGCGACACAGCCTCATGTACACGACACCTATGAATTAGCCGTGCCGAAAGGATACGTTCAGGTTACGGATACGCCGAAGCGCCGTGTCGGAGTTGACAGCCCGTGCGGCCACAATTAATCTGTCCGTTCTGAACCCCGTTCGGCTCGCAAGCCTAGTATCACTCACGGTGTGCCTTCATTATTCTTATACCATCGCACTGCTGAAAGCGATAGCACAATCCAGAAGAGCGTGGACGTGACCTTATTGATCTGGACCCGATTTGAACACCCAAGCAGTGGAAGCACCGCCCGGGGAATAAGCACCTTCAAGCAGTACTATGATATCCCCCTCGACGTCTCCGGTTGGACATCTGCATCATGGGGGCGTCGTCTCACGTCAAGGAGACGGTGCTTCGCTCCTCCGTCGGCGTCTCGTCCAGATTACCTCGGCGCCGGTGAGTTGCCTCGATTGGCCCAGCGGCTCATGCAACTCGGATACTGTACACCGTCTCCTAGTTCGGCACGGTGTCATTCATCAAATTTGCTTTCGGGGACATCTCTTCCGCAGTGGTGCTTGGCCATATTCCGGGGGGAGCGTGACGCTCATCGTCAATGAAGTATAAAATGGGTGCCGGTCTTCTCAGGACGCCCACTCACTCCGTTTTTGCGACACGGCCCCTCTGCTTCGATCACTTCTCCCCCATGCAGACTGCGGTGATCACCTGGGAAGATAGCCCCGGCGTTCTATCCGTTGGGTGAGTCGAAGCCCACATTCGTTGGTCTCCGATTGGAACAAAAGTTGATAGGACGCGCGTCTCGACAGAGGCCGGTCCGCAGTAGATTACGTCTATCACCACAGAGCGCCGCGGACATGCGATAATCCTGTCGTATGTGAAAGCACAAGGCCGTCCGAGCTGTTGCTCAAACTACTCATTCTAGGATCATTTCGTCGAGCAGCGCGAACGTATCAAGCGGATGGTTCTCGACTTCCTCTCTCGTAGCGACTTCAAAGCGGTCAAATGCCCCAAAGATGCCCAGCTACGCACCAAGCTCGCTGCGGAGATCCGCTCATGGACCATGCACGTCGACCCGCGCATGCTAGAGAAGATGCTGGACACGAGCTGCGCCTACGCCGAGACCGCCTTCGGCCACACGTCGTTCGACCACCGCTACTACATCGCGATCTACACCGCATGCATGCTCTACGGCGAGGACCTTGGTGAGCACGATCCCGACGCCGTCACGCAATTCGCCCGCCGCCTCGTCAAGGGCGAGAAGCAGCTCAGCCCAATCTTCGACCGGCTCGCCGACCTCCTCAAGCAGGCGCACCTCTACTGGAGCGACATCGGCGCGGACGCGATCATCACCGGGACCGTGGACGCCCTCACGGCGACCGCGATCGAGTTTGCTACGACGGGACTCCCTGTTGCGCCGTCTGCCCTGCGTTATCCGTACTACCTCCGGACACGCGCTGGAGGAGGACCGCAATACACTCATTTCATCTTCATGCGGAGCTGGCGGGAGAAGGCAGACACGTATCTACAGATCCTTCCGTAAGCGTCAAGATATCTTCGTGTCGTAGTTCACGGCTGACTTGGGTATGCTGGCTTCTTTCTTAGGGAAATCGAGCACTGGACTCTGGGAACGAAGTGAGTATATTACAACTAGTTATATCATCGAAAATGTACTAATATACCCTCAGTGACATGTACGTCGACCTTCGTCTCAAGGGAGTGTGAGCTATCTTTGACACAGCGCCTTAGTTTGTCCTTCTACAAAGAAGAGCTTGCGGGCGAAACGAGCAACTACGTCCATCTGCGCGCAGCTGCCGAGCAAGTCTCACCGTGGGAGGTCCTTCGCGACCTCACTGAAGAAGTTCTTGATACCGCTCGTCGCATTACCGAGATCGTCTCGAGAGACCCTGAACTCGGCGCGCTATGGAACCGGTACCTTCAGGTGGGTCCTCCTATGGTCTCATGAGCAAAAACGGGATCATTGACGGCGTCCGTTACAGTGCTACCTCGAGTTTTCGGTGCGAACGCCAAGATATCGGCTTGCTGATCTTGGACTTGCCTGAACGTGTCCATTCGCGATACCATATCAATCGTGACCCATCATAGACGCTTCAATGTTTAATATGTGTCCAGATTTCAAAAAATTGCCCAAGTACTCCTATACATGACGATACATGCACACTCGGGCCGGATACGAGTACCATACTGTGCTCATTGCACAACGTTGACAACGAATAAATACAAGGAGTTGGTGGTCGGCGCCCGACGACATTGTTTTCTGCTGACCGCGCGGCGGTTCGCACAAAGTATGCCGTTTCCGGAAGGTGAGAAGGTTGAGCCAGACACAAGGGCGTCCGCTGAAGCGACCGAAGCTGTGCACCTTGAACTATATTCCGACAGCCACAGCTTGCAAGCAACCATACTTAATCCACAGGCAGGGAGCTCGGACGTACGAATTGCATCGAGCCTGCACCTTCGATAGGTTGGACACTTGTCATAATCTCCCAGACTCAAGTAAGCAGCTGAAACATAGGTCTAATGCGGCTAGTGGACTTATCTGACACCCCGGCGGGCTTGTCAGACATACCTGGATTCCATGGATACTAGTACCCCGAGTGGCGCGGACAACGGCGCTGTTTTTGCCCTTCTACAGGAAGGAAAACCCTTGTTCGACCATCTTCAGGAGCTGCTGTATCTCAGAAAGTGGAAAGAAGAGCAAATCCTCGCGCAAGAAGAGGGACGCAGGCGTCATGAGCGCATGCTGACGCGTCTCTGCGTACGTCTCGTCGCGCCGTGCAATGTCCCGAAGATGACTGACTCTTTGACATAGTCGAATTGCAGATATACCGCCGGGCAGTGGCTTTGCGGTCACGCCCGCGTTGTCAACGAACTACCAGCGGAGCTTCTGGACGCCATCTTCCGGCTCGCGCTGCCCCCTGACTCCCTTCTCGATCCCACCCCCACCCGCAGTCTTTACTCCCGCTGGTCTCTCGCCAATCGCGCGAAACGTAACCTGACTGAAGTGTGCTGGCGCTGGAGACCCGTTGCCCAAACTATTCTCTACGCGGAGATCTCTCTTCGGGACGCAGATCAAGCTCGCGCGCTGGCGCGGAGCCTGCGAAACTGCCCTAGCCTCGGTCGCCTCGTCAAGAAGCTCATCGTTGACTGCCCCGCCCCTCCAAGCTCCGAAACCTGGGAAGTCAAGAACTCCGTAGTCCTGAACTTGGTCAGCGTTCTCCACGCGTGCAATGCACTCCGCACACTCATCTTCACCGATGTGCTCTTCGTGGAGGAGGGCCCGGATCGCTCGATAAATGCGCTTTCATTTCCTGGACCCCTTACAGACGTGATTGCCGAGCGGGCGGGGACGCTGCGCTGCTTTGAACAGTGGCCACAAGGCGGCGCCAGCGCGCACTTCCAGTTTCCTGTCTCCATCGTCCACTCTTGCGACCGCTTGGTCTGCCTTACGATCAACATCGACCACCAGGCCTCGCAGGAGCACATAGCTCTCCCGTTCCTCGAAGAGCTCAACCTCTCTCGTCAGTACGACGTGGAGCCCGGGGAGCACGCCGACCGCTTCGCATTGTGGTCGATGCCGCGCCTCAAGCGCGTCGTCCTCCCCGTCGCGGCGACGTACCTGTACCACAAGTTCCTGGAGACGCACGGAGCAACGATCACATACCTTGAGTTCCGCGACCACCTGGATTTGCTCAGCGAACCGCGCCGCTATTTCTGCCAATACGTGCATCTGTGTCGCAACCTGCTGCACTTCGTGTTCGACGCGAAGGGCTCCGACTACACCATCGCGAACGAGATACAGCCGCATCCCACGCTCCAGTACATCGACATCTGGGTCAATTCGCCTTCATACGCGGTGCGGACCGCGTTCAAGCGCGTACGGGAATCCCGGGATTTGGCTATTGGAACTCAGTGGAAGAATGTGCGGCTGCTCGATCGTGCGTTGCATTGGGTTACCGAGTTGCCTACTCTGTTTCCTCCGGAAACGCCCGAAGACGAACTGCCTTCTTACCATCGTACTCCTGGATTATCCATAGTGCACACGGACTGGGGCGTCTATAGGAGCGACCTCGACCAATTGCACCCCGATGCACTGCCTCCCAATATGGATGACGGCGAGGATACCGAACTGGGCGACGAGGGGCAGGGCTTGTCAGAGAGCGACGAAGAATCTGAGGAACACAGCTCGGACGAGTTGAGTGTTTTAGATGATGAGGAAAACGACTCGGATCAGGACTACCTCCCAGAGCCTGATATGGCAGACGAAGGAGAATCGGATTTTGAGGACTCTGAGCTGGGATCCGAGTTTTGACAGGTGTACCAAGGCTGCTGGGGAGATTTGGTTTATCTACGTATTTTTTTTTGATTTGTATCAATATCTGTAGACGGTTGGAGGAAGAGTGAAGTTGAAGGGACCTGGCATTGGACCTGGGCGGCATACGACAGCGGGGCGCTTGATTGACGGACGTTGCCGAGGTTTTCAGTAGCGTTCACGCTTTGGTACTCGTTGTTCTCTTACCACGACAGACCACGACTCAGCCCCGCGTACACGAGACGCGTATATCATTCTCGCAAGAAAAGTGGTGGTCGCTCAAGAGCACAAGGGTGCGTACATTCTACCTAGGCCTACTGTGAACACTAGTACGTGATTTGGCAAATGCAACAAGACTCTCCTCGTATCTCATTGTGAGCTCGCAGATAACGAAGGTGAGCACAATGGCGTCCTTGAACGGTTCACCGTTGCGGGAGATGTCGATGTTTATCAATTTCACTGGGGGGCATGGCTGGCGGAGGGCGCCCGCTACGATCCCTCCCGTCTGACAATCGAAGAGCTGAAACGGGCCACCGGCGCGGCATGTCGCGGCCAGTTAGCACCTCAGAAATTCACTTCGCCCGGGAGCAGATGCGCACCTGCCATCTCATGCCCATCGTGCTCAGTATATCCCACTTGTACGTCCTTCCATCTGGAGCCACGAACGTCCTGCTACTAGATGTCCACAGATTAGTGAGCAGTTGCACGGTCAGCATCTCGGTGGCATCCACGAACCCCGTTTGAACGTCCTTGACAAGCCAGTCGTTCACTCGTGTAGTATGCCCTTGGTACGTGGCTTTGTCGTTTCGTCCGTTGGGCATGTACACGCCGACCACATTCTTCTGATCGTCCAGCAGTGTGGTGTTCTGCCGGAAGCCGTAGGGAGTCGTGAGCTCGTATAGGAGCGACCCAGTGGCGCTATCGGTGAGAGCTGCATTTGTAAGACTATTGGATGAGAAGCTGATGTTACGCATTGCAATGGAGCGAGAGTCAGGATGTGGGCTGGTCCACCTACCTCGACGCTCTTTTATATGTATGGTGGACCAGCGCACGAGGAACGCATGGCTTGGGACCAGCTCCGAGTGGCGATCGGCCTGCGGAAGTGTGCATACTCACAGTGCATAGCCATGCGCTCGCAGTGGCACACAACTCTCGTCATCGGGCGCTGGTGTCAACTGAGATCCCTCGACGTACAACCGGTACATTTACATTCTGCTTTACTGCACGATGTTGACTCAATCTCCAAATTTCCGAACATACCGCTCGGTATCTGCAACTGGTTCCACACACAAAAGCAACCTTGCGACGACTCCGAGTACAGGACCGACGCCGAGGAAACTGGGCTTTCTCAGGCATTCCGCCTCGTGGCGTCCGGTTTCGATAGACCGGCGAGTCACCTGTAGATGCACCCTGGTGCTTCTGAACTGGTTAGGATATGTATGTCAGAACTCCCGCTACCTCAGCATCATCCAAATACCACGTGTTTATTCTCGCAGCCCAGCCCCATATGGTTTCTTCCGAGGTGTCATCGGTATGTGCATTCAGTCTACTACTCAATACAGCGAAGTGCTATACACCCACAGTTTGCTCATACAGGCACAGAACCATGGGCCATTCAAACGTATGAACAAAAGAAACGGCACATTCCGGTCAGCAAACATATCGATACATCGATAACAACACCGCCCTCTGCTTCTAGGTCTGTTGCCATCTCGTCGGAACAGTATTCCCGCGAACTGTCTCTAGAGTCAAGCGCGAAGCCTCCGCAGCGGTATTGTGGTACAATTTGGGGTGAACCCTGAGGTGAGGGCGCATTGTCTGACGTACGTCGGTCACAGGAGTACACCAACTATGGACACCCCCGAGAACAGACCACCAGGAGGCTATCGTCGATGCGAACTGTACAGCACTGCGAGTCCATATTGTGGTACGATGCCGCCTATGATGCACCGGCCCCCGCCGACGCCGCGGCGGCGTTCTGCTGACGCCTCGACCGGAGCTCGCAGATGAGGAAGGAAAGCACGATCGCGTCCAATATCGGCAGCCCGTCCTGGACCACTTCGATGTTCAATTTTTTCGTCGAAAACAGCTTCTTGTTGTGCGCGCTCGCGACGAGCTGTCCGGTCTGGCAATCGGAGAGCTGCACTTGTACATCAGTATTCTGCACGAAACATGGGCTCCATACCACGCACCTGCCATCCCTTATTGAACATGCCTCCCTTTTCCCACTTATACGACCTCCCATTCGCAGCTGTGAATGTCCGGCTACTGGAAACGTTTAAGGGAGGGTAAGTCGACGTTCACTGTATGACAGATCAAAATCCACGAACCTCGAGAAGACACTGTTTCTGTGAAGCCATTCCGAAACGCGCATTGTTTGTCCCTGGTATGTGACCTCGTCGTGTATAGCGCCCCGTTGGTGTGCACCAATAACGTTATTTTGCACATCCCGCAGTGTCGTGTGACGACGGAGGCCGAAGGGAGTTGTGAGCTCGAACAGGAGCTGCCCGGTCGTGCTGTCGACGACGGCCGAGTTGGTAAGTTTGTTGGAGGTGAAGCTGACGTTCATGGTGTTTCAAGGAGGCAGTTTGATCTCAATCCTGGTCGAAAACCCCTCTCATATATACGATGTGGCGCAAGCGCAGGTGGAACATAGAGTTGCGGAGTGGCTTTGGGCTGTACCCCTCCCCCTGCGGACTTGGAGCGCGCGGCCATAAACGTCAAAGCGCTGTCCCAAAGCTCCAGGACTCGTGATGGGATGCCGACGTCAGTCGGGATCTTTCGGCGCTACAATCGGTGCGTATACTAAACTATGTGAAGTCTATCCAACTATCTGTGGCTTTCCCAAAGTCCTGTCCCATAGATGTGCTTTATTAGTCAAATTTATGAGTATAATTCAAAGATTTAGTTACGTTCTCAACGACTCACCGGAGCATGCACTCGACTGGGTGGTAAGCATACGGCTTTAACAGATGCACACGCGGAGGTCGAGACTCGGCGCTCCGTGCGGATTCGGATAGGAAGGATTACGTATGTGCGGAGCGTAGCCTCTTGGCAGCGTTGAACTCTGCCCCCTCTACGGCACTCGAAACAAGATGACCGGGATCTCGTAGCGCGTTCTCTGAGTCAAGACGCTCGGCTTCCTCGGTACACTCTTTCGAATAAAGGAATCGAATCGCTCCAGCGAGTCACTCTAGCTTCTAAAAACATCCAACGTGGACGTAAGAGAGCCTCAACACGAGTATCCCTATATCAATACTGTACACATTTTGGAGTTGTCGTGTTTTAAAGACGTTCGGGATATCATAGATATGTTGAGTATCTGGAGGGGAGCGCTCGCTCTCCGGCGGCTGCCGAGGCGTTCAGTAGCGTCTCCCGATTATTGCTGGTTTCACGGCGCTTGTCGCGGGGCCTGACGCGCGAATTTCGCGCCGCGCGCCCGTTTGGAGGGTGTCGACGCGGATCGTCGATAGCTCGCTCATACCTCCATGAAATTCGGTATTTCTTTCAGATTCTGAGTCTCCTGATCAGTGCGGAGGGCACGGTACCAGAATCGGCGCGATATTCGAAGTTTGAGCGAACTCCTCCCCGAGCCCCTCCCCCAGAGCAGAACGAAGATTACTCGCCAGAATCCCAGTTAATACAGCTGAAATTTCGTGATATAGGATCTGTAACAGTCTGCAGAGGGCACAGACATTAAAACAGAGCACGCGAATGGGGAATACTAGCAGCCTCCGCGTCTGTTCTGGCCCGCCTCACCTCCGCTCAGCTACATCCTCTAGAAGAGCTTCGTTCTGACCCTTCCACACAGATAAATGATCCCAGGCTCAATTAAGATGGTAATCAATCGCAAACATACTTTCCCAGCGTCACGGAGATTTTTAAATGCGTACATTAAGGTCTACTTGCATGCGATGACGTGGCGCTCGCATTGCTCTGCTACACCTCCCAATATGGGCGCTGATGCCGCGGATGGGTAGTATATGCAGGTAAGAAACCTAGAGTGATATACAGAAAATATAGACGTTCCTGAATGTGGGAGCAATACTACGTCTGTTCACCCCTCAAGTCAGGGTGAATAGACGATCACGTACATCCCGACAATCACAACCAAACTACCTTCATGCCCTCCTTATGCATCGGTAGTCTCTGTAAAAGTACATTTCAGCGAGAGCAAGGGACGATGTCGCCCGTTGTACTGGTTCTGCTCGAAGGCAGGTCCCCGAGGAGGCCTTCGGTCAACTTTCGTATTTCACGCTGATTTTTGTACCGTGCCCTCCGCACTGATCAGGAGACTCAGAATCTGAAAGAAATACCGAATTTCATGGAGGTATGAGCGAGCTATCGACGATCCGCGTCGACACCCTCCAAACGGGCGCGCGGCGCGAAATTCGCGCGTCAGGCCCCGCGACAAGCGCCGTGAAACCAGCAATAGGGTTTGTACCTCTTGTCCCCATACCACGACCTTGCTATTCCACCACGATACCACCTGACACGTCTAAGATGTCCTTTATCGCTCTGCTTTGCAAAAAGTACATCTGTTTTCACTGTGTTGATTGGCAGAGGCTTGGCTTGCGGGAGAACCCGTGGTAATACACCGAGTAAAGCTCGTGTTGTGTTTGCTCGAGTATCCTGACAAACAAAGGTGGCTGATGAACGTACCAGTTAGTGACCATCCCGATGACCTCTGACCGTCAGCTACTTGCTCCAAGAAGGCGCTTCATAGTCATTGCAAAGCGTACAAGAACTCGCAGACCACAGCTCTCCACAACTACATACTGTATGGCGACAGGCGCCATTCGCGCCCTCGTTTACCCGCTGGCGACGGCTGCTGCCTCGGCGACGCTCTGCTCGCGTCTCGCCAAGAGCTCGCAAACGAGGAAGGAAAGTACGATTGCGTCCAAGATCGGCAGCCCGTCCTGAACCACATCGATGTTCATCTTCTTCTTTGAAAACAACTTCTTGCTGTGCGCGCTCGCAACGAGCTCTCCGGTCTCGCAATCGAAGAGCTGCATAACCGAGCATCAGCATCCCGCCTGATATACTTGCTCTCCGCCACGTACCTGCCATCCCGCTTTCCACATTCCCCCCGTGTCCCACCTGTACGACCTCCCATTCGGTGCTACGAGCGATCGGCTTCTGGGAACGTCAATGGAACGGTGAGTCGACTACTACTGTACGACAGAGCGAAAGGCAGCATACCTCGAAAGTATGCTCTGCTTGGGGAGCCATTCCGACACACGCATCGTTCGACCCTGGTACGTGACCTCGTCGTGGACCATACCTTGCTTGAATTCACCGACTACATTGTTCTGTGCATCCCGTAGTGTCGTGTTATAATGGAGGCTAAAGGGGGTCGAGACCTCGAACAATGTTTTCCCGGTCGCGCTGTCGACGACGGCTGAGTTGGTGAGACCGCTGGAGGTAAAGCTGACGTTCATGGTGTACGAAGGGAGTGGATTGGGCTTCGATACAGGTCGGTTCCTCTCATATATTGCATGCTGGACAAGCGCACATGGAGCGTAGAGTTGTGGAGTGGCTTTGGGCTGTGCCCCGCCACCTGCGGGTCGGAACATCCAGCCACAGACGCTGACTCGTATTCCCACAGCCGCAGAGCTCGTGTTGCGAAGCCGACGTCAGCTAGAATTTCTAGCCGCTGTGAATAAATAGTGCGCATGAAATTTTGGAATCTGCATGGACTCGGACTGTCCGAAAGGCTCCTTCCATCATGGGGCTGTTTCATGAGCATAGTCACCTTTGCGACAATTCTTGGCATGGTTTCCAAATCATCCGGGCTTTTTCGTGCACCAATTGATACTCGGTGCTCCGTACAGTTCAGGCTGGCATATGCACGTACGCGTAGAACGCAGTATCTTGGCACGTTCGAATTCTATCCCCTCTACGACACTTGGAGCCTGAAGGCAACTATGACCCCGCAGCGTGCTCAAGACGCTTGCATGTCCTGGTACGCTCTTTTTGGCGTGTTAGGAGGCTCCAGCTGTTTATTCTAGTTATTAGAAGCTTCACATCCGCGTACTAGAGGTGTTCGAGGGAATGAGTGGGGCGCTTGTTTTACGCCGTTTGCCGAGTTCAGTAGCGCCTCCCGTTTGGGCTCGAGGCTCGCTGCTCTCATCCTCATACCACGACCTTGCTCATTGTTGGATCACAATTATACCGCCTGACACGTATGAAATGCTCTCTTCTGCTCTGGGCGACGTAAATCTATCTTTCAATCTACTGTGTCGACTGACGGAGGCTGCAGGTGTGGTGCGACACCGTCGAGAATTGGCGATATCAGATTGTGCCCGGTGGATGTCTTGGTATATGTGAGCTTCCCCTTTGCCAACGCACTTTTGACCTTCGGTCCCCTCCCCCATCCAAGAGGTTTATTTTGAAGCGTACAAGACTATGTTTACAAATCGCATGACCCCGCGTATATCCCTCTACGCGTTCATATATGTGCTGGCATTCACGGTGACGTCCTCCTCGCGTTTCTTCATCAGCTCGCAAATGACGAAGGAGAGCACGATCACATCCAAAATCGGCAGCACGTCCTGAACCACGTCTATATTCATCTTCTTCGATGAGAACAGCTCCTTGCTGTGTACGCTCGCAACGAGCACCTCTGTCTGACAGTCGAAGAGCTACGGCTGTATGGTTAGACATCATACACCCGCCCTGACCGGTGGACAAAAGTGCTACGCACCTGCCATCCTGCTTTCCACATGCCTCCTGTCTCCCACCTATACGATCTCCTATTCGGTGCTTCGAATGTTCGACTACTAGAAACGTTCAGAGAACGGTGAGTCGTCTGCTATTGTAAATGGAACGAGAGCCAGCATACCTCGACAGCATGCTCTTGGGGAGCCATTCCGACACTCGCATCGTGCGACCCTGGTATGTGACTTCGTCGTGTATGGTACCTTGTTTGTATTCACCGATCACATTGCTCTGTGCATCTTTTAGCGTCGTGTTGTAATGAAGGCCGAAAGGAGTCGAGAGTTCGAACAAGAGTTGGCTGGTCGTACTGTCGACGACAGTCGAGTTGGTGAGGGTGCTGGAGGTGAAGCTGACGTTCATGGTGGTCGACCAACCGAATACAATGAATGGTGGGCTTCTCTTCCTCACATTAAATATCTTGCTGGACGCCGGGCTCACGCGGTAGGAACGTAGGGCTCCGGCGTGGCTTTTTGGCTGCGGCAAATATGCTCAAGTGGAGCATACGTCCATGAAATCACAGTGGTAGAGAAGATGTGAATGAGGTACAACAAGCCATCAGCCGGAATTGCTCGGCACGACGACTCTCAGTGGAGCGACGTCTTCGGGTGAGTGTGTGCACTGGACTTAGTAACTCATTTATATACTCAGTTGCTGGAGCTCACAATTTGCCAGCCTATCCGAATCGACGGGCATTGAATCTGCCAAAACAACTGGTTCGAACACTAGCGTCTAGGAGTATCTCGTCATCTGCAGCCGTGGTCTCGTGCTTTATTGCATACAACTTCTCCAAACTCTATCGCAGGAACCCTTCTCCTTCAAGCGCTGAACCCCAGCTCAGCGAGGCGGTAGCGTGGCGTTCTGAGATGGAACTCCAGGTAGCACTATCGCAGGCACGCCTGTCAGTGCCCGGGTTTGCCTAAATCGGCCTGGTCAAACGCACCTGCATGTATCTGTTCCAAATCCTGGACAGCTCCTCATCATCGGCGGCGATTTTCACCACTCTCCGGGCTGTGTCCGTGACCTCCTCAACTAGCCGGCGGAGGACGGCGTCGGTCGAGGTCTGCTCCGCTGCCGCGCGGAGGTGGATGTAGTTATTGGTCTCCCCGGCAAGCTCTTCCTTGTAGAACGACAGGCTAGAGCGTCCTCGGTTTGTGATATACCAATATCTCATGCAAGGATATTGACTTACATGTCGCTAAAAATAGGATCCAAAGTAAGCATCAAATATACTCGAAGGTAGAGAAAGAAGGCACGTACTTTGCGCCGAGTGTCCAGTGGTCAATCTCACTAACAACGCAATATTAGTCGCCATACGACGCCTAAAGAAGGACGGCTTACGGCAATATCTGAACGTACGACTCCGGAGTCTCGCGCCAGCAGTTCGGAAACACGAAGTGCGTAAACGGCGCGCCGATCCCCGCCCTCAAGCGCAGGTATGTCGGGTAGCGCGTCGCGTGCGGCTTGACTGCCATCCCGCGCGTCGTGCACTCGACATGGTTCGCCGCGAGCGCGTCCAGCGTGCCCGTAATGATGCAGTCTGCCCCAAATTGCGGCCACAGCTCGTGCGCGCGGCGAAGCACGCTCGCGAGACACTCGAACACCGCGTGCGGCTGCGGCTCAGCGCGCACGAACCGCCGCGTGAACTGCATGACCGCGCCGGGGTCGTGCTCGCCGAGGTCGTCCGCGTAGAGCATGCAGACCGTGTAGAGCGCGATGTAGTGCCTGTGCGCAGGGGGCGTGTGTCCATACACGGTCTCGACATAGTTGCAGCTCGCGTCCACGGCTTTGGTGAGGAAGGCCGGCGCGACGTCCGTCTTCCATTCGACGACCTCCTCCGTGAGCGCACGCCGGAGCTCGTGGTCCGTGGCACTCTTTGGGGAGCGGTATTCGCTACGGTCTAGGAGGTCGCGGATGACCTCTTGCATCACGGACACCTAGGCGGGAGGCTCATGAGATGGGGCAGGTAAGGGTAAACAATGTCTACTCACAGGAGAACCGGTGTCGCTGACTGGCTTCGACGCAGCGAGGCCCGAAGAAACATTCGTGTTGGCGTTTTGCATCATCGGTGAATGTGCAGGTGGGTGGCTGAGGGGCTTAGGGGTGAATTGCTAGTACGGTGAGTATGCCTCTGTCTTTATATACCCTTCACCCGGCCACTAATTCTGCCCCCCGACTATAGCCGTACTGCCCACTGCCTATCTGCCGAAAGTACACGACTGCCACTCCACCTCACCCTCGCCACCAAGGCACATTGTCATTCGAAACCATGGCCTAGGCACCTGTACGCTCCGGTAGAGGCGCTTCGGCGCTCAAGTTGTCAGAACCTGCGACTCGTTCCCGGCTGCTGGAAGCAAAAATTACCATTATGGGGCTCGTCAATGCCGAAGATACCGTACGTACCTTTTCATTACAGCATGAACAGAAGCTTGCAAGCGCTGATCGTCTCTCAGCACGAGTGACGCTTCCGATGGGTTGGCATGTCGGACCACGACATCGGTACACGGGACGTCGGAAAAATATGCACCGGCGCCCGACTCATACGGAGAGGCAGTGATTGCGGCGAAGATAGCGGAACTTAACGTACGATAACCATCTCGCCTTCTCTCCTCCATGCACCGGTGACAGCGACTGCCTCGCGAGCATTGCGTCCGCACGAATCCGCCCGGTGAGCAATTTTCCCCTTCTTCTTGGACGGGCGCCACATTCCTGTGATGGCGCTTTCACAGCGTCTCCGAGTCGCATTATCCGCGGAGGCAGTTCGCAACTGGAAATCACCGTCGGCCATAAACCAATACGTACGTCACAACAAGGCAAGCCAATAAACTGGATGGATTATCAAAGGTCCAGACCTCAGGATACCCTGAGGCCGCCATTGCCAAGGAACACGCTGTGCGCGATTACCGAAGCCCCAACTTTGCCCACCGTTTGCTCACTCTGGTCGTCTGCCCACCATATTCAGTCTCGGTGGTGCACTTATCTTTGCCACGCCGCTTCTGGCAACCCTTCACCGCCTTCTGCCAGCGGCTCAATCCAGCATGCCGTCTCCACATCGCACCTCATCAGTCAGACGTTAAAGACGTTGCCCGTTCCGGCGGGTATGAGATCACAAACGTTTCTCAGGTATCTGGATTGTGCTATGAACTGTCTTTTAAGATAATCGTGGTGAGTGAAATGTATTTTCCGCGCAGGTGTGGGTTTCCGTTACTGAACAGGTGACAGAACACAAATTCGGACCAGCAATGAGACGCTCGGTTCGGATGCTCGATTGACATTCTACCGACGCTCAATGCGACTCTCACGACACTTCTCTGCGTGCACCACGGAATCCAGGAAAGCATTCCGAGTTCCATACCCTATATCTCGAAGCGAGAGGTGCAGGACATATGCCCAAAGAGGTAAAGGTACCGCACTGCCGAAGTACGTTCTGCTCTGGGTAGTCATATAGACAGCCGCAACGTTAGAACCAGCATGCCCTGCGCCCTGATTTTCGACACTGTAGCACCGACGGATATCCGCAACATTTGGTGACTCCATTCATACACGGATAGTACAAGGGGGGAAGACGCGTGTAATACTTCTGGTATGTCTATAGTCCACGTTCAACGCCACCATCTCTCATTCCGTCAACCCCAGGTCCGAGAGTCGATACCGGGGCGCCTTGATCTGGAACTCGAGGAAACCCTGCACGCGAAGCCCTGTCAGCGCCCGCTCCCCGGGCAGCACGTAAGGCGCGATCTTACCTGTTTGTAGCCGTGCCACAAGGCAGCGAGCTCCGCATCTTCCGCGGCCAGGCCCTCGATCCGCCGCGTAGTGTCCAGGATCTCATCGGCGAGCTTGCGAAGGATCACGAGCCCCGTTGTCTGCTCCATCGCCGCGCGGATGTGGATGTAGTTGTTCGTTTCCTGCGCCAGCTCTTCCTTGTAGAATGACAGCCTGCAAGGAGTAGCCAGTCAGCACTCCCTGCGCGACAGCACTTTGAGCACATGCGGCGGACGTACAGATCACTAGAAACGTCTTGTAAGGTCTCAGTTTGATATCCAGGACATGTGAACTTACTTTGTAGCCCCGATCCAGTACTCAATCTCACTGCATTATCGACAGCAGTCAGCCCGCCAGTTACCCGGGAAGCGCACAGCGATCACTTACGGAAGCATCTGCACATACGACTCGGCCGTGTCCCGCCATCCGCGCATGAATATGAATGCTACGAATGGCGGGTCGATGCCTGACTTCAGGCGGAGGTAGTCCGGGTAGCGCACCGCTTGAGGCTTCACTGCCAGCCCGCACGTGGTGTACTCGATGTAGAACGCGGTAAGCGCGTCGAGCGTGCCCGCGATGATCGCGCTCGCCCCGACGTCTGTCCAGAGCTCGTGAGCGCCCCTGATCATCTCCGCGAGGCGGTCGAGGACGGGGTCGAGCTGCTGCTCTCTGTTTGCGAAGCGGCGCGGGAACTGTATGAGCGCGTCCAGACAGCGGCCGCCGAGGTCGTCGGCGTAGAGGAAGTATGCGCAGTACCGGGCGACGAAGAAGCGATGCTCCAGGGTCGTGTGCACGTAGGCCGTCTCTATAAAATGACAGCTCGTTTCGTGCACCTGCTCGATGAATGTTGCAGGAAGGTCGAGGCTCCACGCCGCGATCTCCAACGCCATCCTCTCCCGCAGCTCGATATCTTTGGGTGTACTTGGGTCCTCGTAGTTGCACTGCTGGAGGAAATCATGCATGATTGCCTTCATTTCCCGAATTGCTTCGGGTGTGATTGCGGGCTGCGTAGTGTTATGAGCTTGCTGGTCATGGATGAAATAGGTCGACCATACTGGCAATCCGTGGGGACCAGTGACTAGGAGCCTTGAAAAGCCATTACTGTCGTTGCTTCCCCTGTGAATGAAGGTTGTGGTGCATGTTCGAGGGAGATGTAACAGGAAGTACTGACGATAGATGGACATGACCGTCTCTATACGGGAGGGATGTCGGTATGATTGGGGAGCCACCATTGGCGTAGACAAGGAACGGGTTGGCGGGGGAAGGGAGTACTTCTGCGACCATGCTTGAAGATCCTGCAGCTTGCGGTCTGACTGTTTGATACATACACACTCTTTCTTGCCCTGTATTTATACGTCTACGAGGACCGCCGAAATGATGGTCTGGTCCTCTCAAAAATCTCACACCGGGTGGGTGGCGACAAATACTCGCATACGTGTTTTCAGCCTGGCGCTAAAGTCTAGAGCATCAAAACTACCGAGCCGCGCTCCTGCCGAGTGGTAGAAGCCGTAAGTTCCCATCTTACGAGACTCGCTGTATGCGCATAGTAGAAATCGCTCACCGGTAGGCTTCCATAAAGAGAAGCATAAATTAACGCCCGGCTCTGGGTATCACCGTTAGAGGATTACAAGAAGGTTTAGAAGGTTCATCGGCTGCATATTGTTCCGCACAGAGTCCGGAGGTTCGATAAACGCTCAGGTGCGTACGCATAGTGAGTAGAGGTGCACCCGTGCAGACTTACGTATGACCCCGCAAAGGCACAATGGCCGGCGTATCGCTTCAAGTTGCTTGGCAGATATGTGAGAGTCGTGGTGGACTTAACCTACGTAGACAGCACTACGCCGCGAAGTGGACTCAGTACGTATCCACTGACGAAAACGCAGGACGCACCAGTGCTGCAGACATATGGCCTTGGAGCACAGCCCACCTCAGCGTCCTAGATGTTACGGGAAAGGGCACTCGCGTCCGATAGACAGGCCGCCCGGAGCAGTCCACCTCCACCCGGCGCTGTACAGAATGCAGTGTCATCGTCGCTACGCATCATCTCCGCACCTTCCCTTCATTCAAAACGATGCCATCGCCTTCAAACGATGGATGCCGCGGACTTCGCGAAGGCAACATGACACTCACGCGCTGACCTGGTGTCCAGGACACACGGAGCGCCCCGACCGCGCCTGGACTCCAAGCCTTGCTTCGCCAGTTGATTTTCAAGGTGCCGGAATCTATATCCAAAGCAACAGTCCGTGGAGTCGTGGACCCACCGCGCTACGCGTACATCGTTCCACCTGCCAAAGTCACGGTCCTGAAACAAGCGCTCTTGGGAGTCCGCGCTCCGTTATACGCCTCAGCCGCCTACTGGGCCTCCTTATGGATCTCCAAGCCAGGCGGTGCGCTCAACGCTGCAGCGGCCCCAGATATGTCAGCAGCAGTCCACACCGGCAGCGTTAGCTACTAGACACTCACCGTGCTTGACGACGTCGTACAGGAGGAACTGCCCGGACACGAGTCCGGCGGTCATGATCATCCTCGGGCCCAGGCCAGCGAAGAGGCCGCGGAACCCAGCTTGCTGCGCGAGCACCTTCAGACGGTGCGGCATCGACCCCTCTGGGCCATGGCCCTTGTTAATCTGCGAGAGAAGCGTGTCCGCGGGCTACTCGGGGTCAGGAGTATGCCCTAAAGGGAGAGTTGGCATGCGCCGTGGCGAGACACGCACCTGGCTGAGGATGGCAGCCGCGAAACCCGCGATAATCCCGCTCCCGAGCGAGATCCCGAACGCCGCAGGCCCGCTCAGCGTGCGCTTCGTCTCCTCCGACATGTTGCGGAACGCCAGCTCGTGGCAGAACTCGTTCACCGTGAACTGCCCGATGGCGTAGGGGATCTGTCTATGGTCCGAAGGCTGTCATTACAGCGCTCGCGGGCGGCGGAACTGCGGTAGCAGGGTACGTACTTGCAAAGGATAGGCAGGAATCCAGCATACAGCCCTGAGACGCCTTCTTCACGCGCGAGGCGCGCGAATCCCGTCATGAGCCCTGTTGCGTAGTGCCTCTGGGATACGAGCCGAATACGTGTCGCCTCCAGGGGCGTAAGAAGGATGTCAGCGAAGAATCTGGCAAACGCAAGTCAGCTCATTCGGACGCGGCGAACATCGGAGGTTTGCCTACTCTGCCACACTGGACGCGCCGAGGTAGATGGCGGTGCGGTACTTGACAGCGGTGTCCTGGTCACCTGCGATCTGGACAAACTGTTTCTTCCAGAACTCATACCCAGCGAATTTTGCCCCTCCCTAGTGACGTGTGATTACTATGATCAGTAACGAAGACGCGCACAATGCGAGAGAGTAAGATAGAAAGGCCAATACTAGATGGGAGTCCAGATAGGTGCTATAGCAGGTATCTGGCTGTCCAGCCAACGGGGATTTTCGGTTTCCAAACCATTATTAAAAGATGAGAGAATACTTCGGGAGCCAAGCCACCAATTTTCGGAGCTGTGCTGGGCGGCGTTCCACCCTCACATGTAAGAGTGGAACGCCTCACATGCGGCGGCCTCGGCTAACTGGTCTGTCCTCTACTCTCGGGATCCCACCACGTAGTGGAGTACGTACCTGTACGAGGTAGCCTACCGCAGTAGGGCCAAATCCAGTAAGGAGCGCCGCGGGGCCTTCCTGCGCGATGATTCTCCGCCCGCCGGAGAGCAAGGACAGCCGCGCCATCGACGGGTCGACCTGGATGCGCGTCTTCACGACATCGATAGCTGCCGACCGCGCGTTCAGTGGCCATATTCGTCTATGCATAGAGCGTACTTACGTGTCATTCCACCATGAGTAACCCTAAAGATAAGGAAACGCGTATGAGCATGCGCGAGACGTCTCCCTACGAGCCTATAGGACGTACGTGCAACATAGTGCGCCTATTGTGTGATCAGAGGGAGTAAAAATGCGTGATAGCAAAAGAAAAATACACACCTGCGAGAAAGAAGGACGTGTAGTCCTTCGCGGTAAATTGGGGGACCACGAAGGGCGTCCGCGCTTTCGGACTGTCTGCCTCTTTGCTAGACATGATGTTTCTTCTCTGAGGTTCACAACGTCTAGATTTGCAGGTCGGGGAGTTCTGGCGTAACTGCGAAGTAGATGATGGGTGTATTAAGAAGAGCACTGGGCGCGCATGGCGAGCTGAATAGCGTCCGCGTTCGGAGGGAGCAGCTCCGAAGGCGCTCAGCACGCGAGTCGGGCACAGACGGGAAGCGTGTTCGTCCGCCACACTGACGTCATGTTCTACTGAACGCCCGGGATCGATTGGTTCGGGGCATGCCGTTCCTACTTTGCACGAGTGCTTATGCGAGATTTGAAGTTGTATACACGCAATTGTCGACGATATATCGTATGCGTTCTTCGTACATTTCGATGCGGTCTCAGGTCTGAAACGTCCTCTGCAGGTGCAGACGCAGAAACAAGAGCTGCGCTCCGACGGCAGCGCCGCTTCGACGGCATAACAGTCCGAACCCGCTCCGACTCGGAGTCGCAGCAGATGCCGAGTGGAATTAACGGCAGGCAAAGCTCGTACCCAGCGGCGTCTAGATGTGTCCTAAATCTGGTCGGCTTGCTTGCATTCTGTGGGAATATACTAATGTTTTCTGCAATGGAGAACAGTGACATATCTTCGGTATATTAGGACCATTTCTGGCCTCCCCATACGCATGCGCAGATATGAAAAGGAAATAATATAGGCATGCAGAATATCCGGGCGTTCGAAATGTCTGTGATGTGGACATGGCACAGAAACTCCTCGTCTCTGCAAGCCGTAGCATCATTTGAAACGACACAAAGACAACTTGCCTGTCTGGTATTCCACTGATTGTCAACAGAGACTTTAATGGCGTGTAACATAGTTCTTTGTTGGATATACAGTCGACGCATATCAGAAATACAAGCAAGCCAGACTAGTAAATATCTGTATAAGGCCTTTGCCCGTTGTGCTTGTCATTTTTCGAACACGATCAGGATGGGCCAGTCAGGCAAAGGGATGTCACTTGACATTCTCATACGATCAACGTTTAACTGGGCTTTACACGGACGGCGGCCCCCAGTGTCTACGGATGACCGTGTGTTGGAGAAATGCAAGACAAAATGTTCATTAGGGTATAAATAGCTACGAGTAGGAGTTGGTACAACAGTGTCAAGAGCGCGAGAGCAAAAGCATATGTACAGGGGTCTGGTGCGGGTGGGGGATCGTATATGTACATTGGTATGTCCGTGCGCAAGCCCAAGCAAAAATTCAAATATGCGTGAATGCGGAGCAAGGCCCGTCGAAGTGCATTTTGCTGCACTGGCGACCGGCTTTTCTCCCTAGTCATCCGCGGGCGCGACGAGGGTGTGTTGGGATATGGGAGGGCGGAATAGGAGTGAGAGCCATTATTGCTCCTCCTCCTGGATAGCGACGAGCCAACGCGAAAGGCCGTCCTGGTCGACAACACCTTGCATCGCATCCGCGCCCCCCGCGGTCGTCTTCGCCTCCAACGTCCGCCCGCGCTGCTCTTCCTCTGCGGCGGATTCGGAGTCGGACTCCTCCAGAGGCTCCTCCCACCCATGCCACCACCACTCCTCGTCGTCCTCATCCTCCTCCTCGACGGAGCCCTCGCGCTTCTCCTCGTGGAGCACTTCCACCAGCTCCTCCGATGGGTACCGGAACACAACCTGCGGCCGCTCGGTCTTCGGGAATACCACCGACTTGCGCGCCGCCGACTGTGACCGTGCGGAGATTCCACCTTCGAGCGTGCGCGAGGGCGCGCGGTACACGCCGGGCTCTGCGCATGCGTACAGCAGCTTACGTCCGCGCGCGGCATCCGGCTCCGACGGCGACTGCGGGGTATCCGGGTCATCCGAGTCCGAGCTCGAGGAGTCTTCGAAGGCGCTCGGGTTTGCGTAGAACTCGCCGAAACGGACGCGCGTGGTGAACGAGATGCAGCGCGAGTGCACGTGCGCCAGGGAGGGGTCCGCGGACGGCGTTGGACTGGGGTAGTGGGTGTCTTCCGAGTTGTGGCTTACGGCCGCGGACTCGCTGAAGCGACGCCGGAGTGCGCGAGCTTCAGTAGGGCAGGTGGCCTGTAAACAGCCAAAGTCAGTCGCGGCCGGGATATGATTGCGCGTGTGACGTACTGCTTCGTTGAACGCCGTGTTGATCCTTGTCAGCCTGTCCAGCGCTCCCTCCGTGTTCCACGCCGGAATCAGGCCCGTCATACCGGTCCTGAGAACACGCACGCGCACGGCATACTCGTCGACCTCCTGGAGCACCTCGACGCGCTCGCCGCCGTGCACCTGGACCGGCTCGCGCGAGAACGGCGGGGGCAGGAAGCTCGAGGACGGAAACTCGTCTTTGGTGTAGTAGATCCCCGCCTTCGCGTCCTGAGCAGCAGTGCGCCATGTGAGCGGCGGCGCGACGTACTTCTCCACAGGCGCCGGGGTTGATGTGGATGCGCTCGCGGATGTGGTTGTCGAGGTGGAGGCGGACGCGAAAGTGGGGGCGGGAACGGGTGCGGGCGCAGGTGCATGTGCGGCCGCTTGCGCGGCGGCTACACGCGAGCGCACGGGGGACAGCGAGCGGCCGCGCGGCTTCTCGACTTCGAACCGGGGTGCGGGGGATCCGCGCTGGAGATCCTGCGTGACGATTTGGCGGAGCGGCTGGCTCTCCGTTGCGCACGAGCCGCGGGGCGAAACCTCGGTCGCAATCGGCATGTTGGCTATCTGGATGTTGGTATGTATCCTCGGAAGCGTTCTGGAAATCAGGAACAGAAATGCGGGTAGAGCGGTTATCGCTTCTACAGTGCGTCGGGGCAGAAGGTGCACACGAGCTGTCGTGGACGTCGCCTTATAGTCGATGGGGTGCGCGGGGCGGCAGAGGGTGACTACGGCCGCAGAGGGCGCGATCGGTAAATGCGTAATCACTCCCGGACGGGCCCACTCACCTAAGCAGGTCGCTCCGGTGGCTGTGCGCCTGTTTGGGTTGGTGGGATGTGCTAACTCCGAGTGCAGGAGTGTTCGAGAGTAGACTCTCAAGTCGGAGAGACGCAGAGAGGATGAGGGTGGGAGGCAGGGTGTGGCGAAAGCACGAACTGGGAGTGCGAGCCAGCCCCTGCGAGAGGGCTCTATTTGAGTTCAGGTCGCAGTCCGAGGGAAGTAATCGTATGATTAGCGCGTGTGCGTCAGCAGGCGAGGGCGTTCGAACGAGAAGGATGGGAAGGTCTGGGGAAGTGCGGGGTAAGCTCACATGTCCCGCCCTAGCCCAACACTTCTGCCAGGCCGCGGGCCTCGAAACACGCACCAGCCCATTGATCGTGGCACCGAACGCGCACCCCCAACACCCCGCAGCGGCTTCGGCTCCAGTATGTTCTCACCGCAGGCCATCGGCGCGGCAGGAATAGAGCTACGAAGGACGCGTGGAGTGGGCACGCACTGTCTTCGGTGGGAATTGTGCATGATTCGAGGGGGCAACGGGGAACGCCCCAGAAGGCAAAGGCGCACGCGTCCGGCTCGTGCGCCGGACGATCCGAACGGATGTGTCGGCGGTGTGTCAAGGCGGTCGAGGACGACAAGGAAGCCTGGTCAGCTGCAGTTAGCCCCGCAGGCGGTTCCGCCAAATGCCCTAATAAGGCGACGGAGCGCGAGAGCCCGTCTCTTGAGTCCCCGTTACCGGAGCAGGTCCACGTCAACATCAGTCAAACTAAATGAAAACTCAGGCCCGAGAGTCCGAGAGCGTTACCCGAGGAGAACACGGTCCGCAATGGCCTGGGTAAGAAGGCGCTGCGGTCGTACGAGGGCGAGAGCCCGTCCGATGTGGTAGCCATGAGGCTATCCGCCGCTCCGCCCTTGATGCGTACCTACCCCAAAAAGGCATCCCTCCCGAAGACACAATGGTCCCTGGGCTTGGCAGTCATCTCCGCTTAGTCTCGTCACCAGCCGGTATTCGGGGGTCGCGCGGTTTCTTCCAAATCGGGACAGGAAAGACAGAAACCCGCGCAGAGACCCACCTATACCGTCTGGTGGCTTTCGTATAGAGGGGTGGGGGGCTGTCACACCCGGTCACTCTCGCTCCACCTGGACGTGCGCGCGACAACTCTCGACTCTGCAGCCTCCCGCCCTCTGTCGCCGACCTTAGTGTGCTTTCTGCGATAGACCCCCGCGCGCAGTCCCGAACGATATTTCTCAGAGGACAAAACGTGCGCGAGAATATAGGCACCGCTTTGCGAAGCATTCAAAACCTCTCGTCAGTCCGTCTCGAGGCGTGCAGCGAATACGATGGGTATTATATGCACAAATAATCCAAGCCGCCGATTTTCGCTCCTAAATGCGAAATCAGGGTACGCGCGTGGTCTCGCGAGCTGCCTGACATAACCCCGTACTGGTGTGAACCGCGCGGGAAGCATATAGTTGCAAACAACCACGGAGGCCGCCTCATTCTAGCGGGGGCGGGTGCTCGATCGGGACGCGTCGAGGCGCGTTTGACAGGCTGACAGGCTTCGCTGTCGCGCGAGCGTGACAACCCCCCACCCCTCATGTCCGAATTCCACCAGACGGTATAGTTTTTGCTCCTCTCCCTCTGCCTTGTCCCTGTCCCAAAAAGGAGCGATCTAATTATACCGTCTGGTGACGAGACTAATCTCCGCTCTGTCTTCACATCTGAACGAAAGGACTCATCTGGATTCCTGCCGTTCTCCTGGCGGCTATCTACCGTCACAGAACTCCATGTCCGCCACCTACTCAGGCAGCGACGCGGCTCCATCCCAGCACTTCGCCCCAGGAACGCCACATTCTATCCACCACACGCAGCTTCTCCGCGCGTCCCAGCGTCGGATCCTCCAGGTCCGCCACGTCGTCCAGGAAGCCTTCGCGCAGACGCGAGTTCGCGGGTAATGTCGTCTCAGCGTACTTGCGCAGGTGGGTCACCGACAGCAAGAGGAGACCGGATGTCAAAGGGGAGACAGTCGAGGGGGAGGAGTTGCTGACGGCCTTAGAATGCGCTCGGCGATGATGCGATTCCGGATGGGCGATCAGGAGGCGTTCGATGCGCCTAAAGAAACGGGCCATGGTCAGACTGCCGCGACGAATGGAAAGTGGGTGGACGGACCTGACGGTGACCCAGACGCTACCGCGCTTCGCCTTACCGCCGTAGCGCCCACGACCCTTCCCGCCGGACCATAGATTGCGCAGATAGCCCGCAAAGGCGTACACGATCGCGAGCGCGGGCGCGACACCCACGAACGCAAACGTGAGCTCTTGTGATTTGAGCAGCTTGTCGATGCCGGAGAGGGCCTGGTTGATGTCAACCTACGAGGCGAAGCGTCAATGTCCGCACAATCCCCGAAGAATATATAACGGACCTTGGCCTTCTGCACCTGGATGAATAATGATCGAAGGAGAGTACCCTGGACCGCCGACCGTAGAGGGCTCTTGATGTCCTCCTCGTAGATTTGCATCACCGCGGTAAGGTCGCCCATCTGCACCTGCTGTGAGAGAGCGGCGAGCTCCGGTTGGGCGTAGTGCAGTTTCTCCTGCGCTAACGCCAGCGTCATCCGCTCTAGCGACTACCACGGCGTCAGCGCTCAGTACGGTAAAGGGATTGAGGATTTCGCAAACGCACGTCAAGGTCAGCGCGAACGCTCTCCTTCGTCACTATCACCCCATCGTCGTGCCCCGCGCGGACCGTTTTGACGATCCCACGTAAAGGTTCGAGGATCCAGCTCTCCCAGAAGCTTCTTGCAGTGTCGATAGCATCTCTGGCCAGATCCTCTAGGGATGCACGCGATGCATAGGCCGTGCGTATGGCGTACAGCGCCAAAGGGGGTAGGAAGACCAGTTTGGGCCAGAGCAGAGTCAGGCGCGAAGGCCTGCGGAGCTCGCCAGACTTAAGCTCAGCGCTGTGGAGAGAGATGTGCGACGGCAGCGTGACATTCGCTAGCACCGACAGGGACTCCACCACACCCCGCGCGGAAACATCAACACCGACTATATGCGAGGCAGCGTCTTCGTCGTCGATTATGCTCTGCAAAAACGCTGTGAACTCGGAAATTCCAGCCAGCGCTCCGTCGTTATGCTCGTTCACGAGCGCGGAAGAGAGGCGGTCGCGCAACTCCACGAGAGCGCCGAGGACCTCCGCTCGCTCGTCACGGATCCGCGCCAGCTCTCTCCTCTTGAAGGTGCATTCTCCTCGCGCGAGCTCCACAGGAAGTGTCGCAACCTGGGCGCCCGCTCGCGCGACGCCAGAAAGAGTTTGGAAAAACGCGTTGCATACGGAGCTGACGGCCTTGCTCGGAGACGTGGTAAGCGGGAGATCATGGGGTAGGCTGGCGGTTGTTAGCGCGATGCTATAAGGCTGGTGGTGCAAATGCGGAAATAGGGCTAGCGTGAGCGCATTGGGTCGTAGGGTGCCGCTTGAGGGGAAAAGCTGGCGGAGCGATGATGGTTTGAGGACAGAGAGGTGGAAGGGGATATTGTGTGACCTGAGCGTTGAGAGCACGAGTCTGGAGAGGTTGGCTACGCGTAACGGTAGTGCTAACCAAAACCCCGTCAATATGGAGATGACAATGTTTCGGTGTGTTGGACGCACTTTGTAGAAGGTAATACGCGGTATACCTTCGCGACCGCCCAAGCTCACTCCACCATTCCAGCTCTGCCTCAGCTTCGCCAGCTTCGTCCAGGTACGCGGTCAATGCCTGCGCATACAGGCCGAGCGCAACCCTCGCAAGGATTGCACGGCGCAGGGTCTGTTCCTCTCCGTCGGCAGCTTGAGCGGACAATAGCTGCTCGTGGTGCTCCAGTGTCTGCAGCGCGTCGATGCATTCCTTGAGAGACTCTGGAGAAGTGGACTGCTCGAGCTTGACGAACAGCTCGCGTAGATTCTCTTTGGTGCGGGTGGACGCGCTTTCGAGGTGAACCTCCCCGCCTGACGTCGGGAGAGTCGGTGGTAGCGCCTTCTGCGAGAGGTTCGCGACAAGAGGTGCGATGAATGTCGACATGTCCAAGGTTTTATCGAGCTAAGTTCAGTTCATAGTCAGGCAGGGCGCAGGTGAGATAGAAAGTCTGACTGGGTCTACCGTCGTCTTGGACGACGGAGTTCATGCCGCCTCCTGCGTCATAGGCGCATGAGGCGCGCATGCGCGATCATCTTAAAAAGGCAAGTGTTCAAGAATCACTCACCAGCTCGTTGACAAGGGCGCGAGATTAATTGAAGGAGAGCCGGAGGTCGTAGCTGCATTAGAGAGCGAATTTTTGAAGAACTATTGGGAGAGTTGGGGGATTCGATGTGCAGGGGGGAGGGGAATCAATATTTGCGGTCGAGTGAATGGGGAGACTCTGTCTTTTAAACGACGCAGCTTCGGGTTTAATCACGATCGAGGCATCCAGCCCATTTTTGTGCTTCCATATACGTTGGACACATGTCATAATTGATCCTATATGGGGCAGTAATCACCTCTTTCTAAAGATAGAGAAAGCACTCCTTCACGCAACGAACGTGATTGCAAAACATGCTTGATCGCACGGGTGACGAGGTGTCAACGATACTCCCAGAGGCAACCAAAAGCCCCACAGTTCTAGGCATGGTCTCTCCGCCGCAGCTCGGGTGTAGTTTGCAGTACTGGGTCTCACTGTAGTGTGCTGCCCCGCAGTGGTCTCGCTTCTGCCAGTGAAAAACTTGAGTGTGGTCTACTTAGTATTTATTACACTAAACTGGTATACTAGCTCATGAGCGTGCGAAATGAGTGTAGTAGGAGAACAAATCATTTGGAAATAAATTGGGACCTCAAGCCGAAGTGGATCCTGGGCGAGTGTGAAATATAAAGAAGCGCATGAGGTGCATAGGAAGACAGAACTCGATCGTCTACAACCCGAGTAAAAGATCGAGTTGTGGCATCTGCACCAAACCGATGGTGCGCCACAATCCTTCTGGCATCGTTTCTAATCAATGCTCACAGAACCTTAAATGCGTCGGGTACATACCAAACGTGCTTCGCGCGGTCGTAATTGTGCCACACCTGCTGTGTCAGGACCTCATGCTCAAGATGTTGTGTCTCTCGCCAGCTAGTTCACGGGCCACGGCATTCTATGTCATATTGTAGCATGTCATAATCCATACCGCATACACTCCATCCAATGCTATGAATTCTACTACTCGGAGCCTTCGCCTCCGGCTCGTTTTCAAGTTCAGCACTGGAAGACAGCGGGTCCTAAAAATCGCCCATGGTATCGATAATCGAGTCGAATAGCAAAATAAGGCCATAACTCACCGGGAACAGTGTACGTAGAGTCGCCGTAGATGTTGGCGGTGATACCGGGGGTCGTCGCTAAAGAATCTTTGGATAAGTAAAGTTTCGTGAACCAAAGACTTAAGTTGAGCTTACGCGTGTAAGCTCCCGGGAAGGAGACAGTCGCGGGAGACGCGTTGCCTCCGCCGGTGACTTCAAGCTGGGCACAGCTCATCTAAGAAGAGCGATGATGTCAACATATTGTACACAGCGTGCGCAATTAATGAACTCACGAAGAACTGCGCGCCAGGGTAGGAGGTGGCCGAAGACAAAGCTATGCACATACCCAGTCAGGCTCTAGCGGCTGGCGAGGTATGACGCAAGAATTACTTACAAATGGACTCTACGCGAAGGAGGTACTGTCCAGCCTCGATGCAGGACGGGATAGTGACGTTGGCAAATCCGCCGCTGTTGAACAAGTGGTCCGAGCCCCACTGGTGCGTCTGGGGGTTCAGCCCGTCTTCGAAGATCTGCATAGACATAGCGGGCTCAGTGTCGATATCCAAAAGCGGAAGACGGTTCGCTCACCTTGAACCACTTGAGGCCGGACACGTCCGTCTGAGTGGCGTCGGGGATGGAAGCCCTGAGCAGAGCATGAGTACATGCATCAGGTATAAATTGGCTAACCGGTCTACCCACAGGTAAGCAATGACAGGGCCTGATACATGGATTGCATGGTGAGTTTATGTTCCGCATATACGGACGCTCTGACTCACCCTTGTTCGTGGGGTCCAGAGGGTCAGCGGGGTCAGGGCCGATGTAGCCGGCGGACGTGCGGTGGAACTCTGCAGAGACGACGCCTCCAGCGGGGACCGAAGCCACAGCGCTCGAGACGGGTTGAATGAAGCCCGTGTTGCAGATGATGGAGGGGGAGGAGATGTCCGTCACGGGCTGCATGAAAGAGGAAACGCTATCAGAACATGTGCAAGACGATTGAGAGGAGACAATGCCGCACGGTATTGGCGGAGGGAACGCGAACAGCGACGCCATGGCCTTGCTCGACACCGTCTACCGCGATGGCCTGTCAAGACTTGGTCAGTCCGAGATACGACTATGGACGACGACCGACAGAACTTACCGAGAACACTGTCCTGGCGCTGACCGAGCTAGCGGTAAGGACGAGGGCGACGAGAGAGGCGAAGGATGTCTTCATGGCTGAGCGCTGGGTCTGTATCTGCGGCGAGCTGTCACGATGCAGTGAATGACCACGGCCGCGGCGCTGGCTCTCTTATACCGCGGCCCATGTAGAGGTACCTCCGATGTACCGTCGCAGACACTCGGGTCCGTACCTCTCGTGCGGTATGACATCGTTCGCGAACCTCACCTTCGCGGTGACGGCCCGGAGGACTGAAGAGGCGGAAGAAGCCCTTCTTGTCATATGATGGACCGTGGTCCAGGTGGAGCTTTCCTTTTGAGGGATGCGGGCTCTCATCGGACGGCGGGCGAGAAGTAGCGGGACGCCCTTCTTGCACGGCTTGGCGACCGAGCGGTACGGCATGAATCGCGGATCGTAGTTCGAGCGCGATGTCTGACCAGGCGCAAGCCTGCAGGAGGACATGGAGCGAAGTTCTTGCGCGGTACTCCGAGGATTTGGGCGCATGCAAGTGCGGTTGTATCACTCGTGACTGCAGCTTTAGCTTAGAGAAGTTAACGTAACGACCAAACACCAATACAACGCGGAATATTGCGGAACCCCGGCGCTCGCGATACTCTATCCTTTCTCGCTCAACTAAAGACACTGGCTGTACTGCAAGTGAGAGGGATTTCAGCGACACACTTGTGGATGGTCTAACCAAAACCACTCACGTATTGGCTTGACGTGACGCAAGTGAAAGGAGCTTCGCAGGCAGTCGGTCCGCTGTAGCTATTCGCCGGCAGGTCGTCAGTTGACACTCCCCGCACGACTCGTGCTTCGCAGAGGACTTACGTCGCTCCGCCGCACTGGCCGTAGTGCGCAACAGTTCCTGCGGCGCCCGTGGGGGTCGATGCAGGAGTTGATACCGGGGTTATCGGGATGGACGGCGGAGAAGGAGCAGACGTAGACGGGGCGGGGGCGGACGGGCCGTTGCACGAGAACACCGAAGGTCCTAGTGGGAATTCGTTAGTGGAGCGAGACGTCGGGTTCGTCAACCGGGACGCACCAGGGATAGTGTACGACGACAGCTTCTGGTAGATGTTAATCTTGATGCCCGGGTCGGTTCCTAAGGGTTGTGCACCGCATCGTGAGTAGTGCGCTTGGCGGCGCAGAATTCGCTTAACTCACCCGAGTATGCACCAGGGAAGCTGACAGTAGCGGGTTTGGTGCTGCCGCCGCCGGTGATCTGGAGTTGAGCGCACTCCATCTGCAAGGTGGGAGTCACGCTGTCAGCATTAGATCTCGCAGAAATACGCGGAGGTTCGTACGTAGAGTTGAGCACCAGGGTAGCTTGAGGCACCGTGCAGAGCTGCGGTAAACCATCAATAACGATGCGACCACGCGGAACTGTCAACAACCTACCGATCATCTCCACGCGGAGCAGGTACTGGCCAGCTTCGATACAGTTCGGGATGCTGAATGTGACCTTGCCCTTGTTCGCGATCATACGGTCAACGCCCCACACTTGGCTGCTGTCCATTCCGTCCTCCCAGATCTATGCGGCATGTCAGCCAGGAGAAACTTCGGAGGTCGGCAGGATCTTTGCACACCTTGAACCACTGAAGACCAGTGACGGTCATGTCGGTAGCGTTGTTGACTTTCGCGCTAGTGATCTCGTAAGTATACGGCCTAGCTCGAAATACATCACGAACAAAACTAACAGGTAAGCCATAACGGGCCCTAACAGAAGAGTTCGTGAGCGACGTTACAATGCGAATAATTCTGTTAAGCTCACCCTTGTGGCTGGGGTCAACGGGGTCGGCAGAGTCGCTCGGGTCAGCTCCAGCAAGCGCTGCGAGCCCAATATCGTCAGCGAAGTAGTTCACAGGATATAACCACGATATCTTACTGTGGTGGAATTCAGCAGTCACAGGCGAACCAGCCGGCACATTGATGATCGCCTTCGAAATAGGCTGGTGGTAGGGGTTGATGCCGCCGTTGCAGATGACATCGTTGGAGGTCACGTCCGTAATGGGCTATCATGCACCCTCATGAGCAATCGCAGAGTCGTCGGATATACGACAATAGACATACCCCGTCATAGTCCGGGACACGGATTCCGGTGAGGTGCCCTTGATCCACTCCGTTCACGTACAGCTCCTACGGAAGAGAACAGGCATAGGTAAATACCCCCGCAGAAGGCGCCAGAACGCGGATAAACTCACCTGGAAGATGGTGTGCGCGAACGCGGGGCTGGCCAATGCGCAGAGGGCGGCGAGAGAAGCGAAGCCTTTCATGCTGCTCCACGAGTAATGTTTCGATCGAGGACGGCGGACTGTGCTGCGGCCCGTACAGTTCATCTCGACAAGCCTTTATATCTGCAAAGAGTCCTGTCAGGGGCGGTATGTCGCGCGCGAGGATCGCCAAGATGACGTCTCGTGGACATACCTTGTCAGCGCGCCGCCCTTCGTGAATGCGCTGTGCCAGGCACAAACACACGGTATTCTGTCCAGCAACGTGGGGTCGAGCCCATATCCGCCCTCGAGGGAGCGGCGGAGAAACGTGAAGAACGTTCAGCAACGCGCTCGGCAGCGAGGTTGTTGCAGAGCTGTTCCGAAAGGGGTCAGGCGGGGTGGAGTGCGGGGGATGTTCCGATATATATCCTCTTCCTATTCATTGAAGATATCGAGCCAGAAATGCTCAATGGAGCTTACTGTACTGGAGCTTTCGTGAAGTCCGTGGCAGGCCCGGCAGGCTCGACGAAGGAATGAACGGTGCCTGATGTCGTCCCGGGTTGGCATTTGAGTTGTATGCCGAAGCACTCTAAGTCCCCACGGGGTACCCCGCAGGAGGCCTGCTCACGACTAGCGCCTTAGGTTGGAAACGTCAATGTAACAGTTGAACAACGGATGCCGATACAACACAGAATAGCTCAGACCCCTTGTCACGCAAGCTCTCCCTGACCAATTTACAAACACTGGCTGTACTAGAGGTTAAACTATCTCAGTGACTTGGTCACTATGAAGCAGCGGAAAGTACTCACATATTGACCCGAAGCCACGCAAGCGAAAGGAGCCTCGCATGCAGTCGGTCCGCTGTAGCTGTAAGCTCATTTGATCAGTATAGTCACCATGCATACCGCGGCGAGGACTCACGTCAAGCCGCCGCACTGCCCATAGTGGGCCACGGTTCCAGAGGCACTCGTAGGAGACGCCACAGGCGTCGACACGGGGGTCGCAGGGCTGGACGGGGGCGGCGGGATGGCGGCTGTTGTAGAAGGAGCAGGAGCGGGGGCGGAAGAACCGTCGCACGAGAACACCGAAGGTCCTGATCAGAGGTCATCAGGGGAGAGTGACGATAGGTGTGTATGTAGACTGAGACTTACCCGGAATCGTGTACGAGGTCAACTTCTGGTAGATGTTAATCTTGACGCCGGGGTCAGTACCTACGATGCACAAACAGGATTATCAGCGTCTCAACGTTTACGCAGAGGACATGGACTCACCCTTGTAGGCGCCAGGGAAACTGACAGTAGCGGGCTGGGTGCTTCCGCCACCGGTGATTTGGAGCTGAGCGCACTCCATCTGAATTCGGTCATTCTGGATCAACCAATGACTTTTGAGCGCATGCAGAAAAAACATACGTAGAACTGAGCACCCGGGTAGTTCGATGCGCCATGGAGGGCTGCCATCAATTATGAGCGACTAAAGCAGCTACACAAGGTCTTCGAAACTCACCGATCATCTCTACGCGCAGAAGGTACTGGCCGGCTTCGATACAACTCGGGATGCTGAAGGTGACCTTGCCCTTGTTCGCGACCATTCGGTCAGTGCCCCATACTTCGTTGCTGTCCATTCCATCCTCCCAGATCTAGGTGCGGTGTCATTCAGAAGACGTATTCAATGTCGCTCAGCCCATACAGACCTTGAACCATGAAAGACCTGTGACGGTCAAATCGGTAGCGTTGTTGACCTTAGCGCTGAAAATTACTCAGTTCGAAGCACTCTCAGAGGAGTCAGGAAAGCTACGAACAGGTAAGCCATGACCGGCCCTAACGAACGTCGTTTCGGTGAGCCATGGACAGCCGCAAGACGTGTAGTATAGCTTACCCTTGTGACCAGGGTCAACGGGGTCCGCGGGATCGCTCGGGTCGGCCCCATCAAGCGCTATCGGTGGAACGTCACGACCCGTTTGGTTTACTAGACTCGAGGGTGAGGTCTTACTGTGGTGCCATTCCGCAGTGACGGGCGAGCCAGCAGGAACGTTGATAATCGCCTTCGAAATGGGCTGGTAGTACGGGTTGATCCCACCGTTGCAAATGAGGTCGTTTGAGGTCACGTCCGTGATTGGCTAGGACATGATCTTGTAAGCCAGCCATCCAGGTGTGCAGTGTTGAATCATAACGAACATACCCCATCGTAAACGGGGACACGTATTCCCGTGAGATGACCTTGGTCCACTCCGTTCACGTACAGCTCCTATGGAAGAGCGATGGTATTTGTGAGTCCCGCCAGATAAAACAACAGTGCATGGGCAAACTCACCTGAAAAATGGTGTGGGCGAGCGCGTGGCTGGCCAACGCTGACATGGCCACGAGAGAAGTAAAGCTCCTCATATCGCTCTTCAGGTGATGTCTAGGCCGGGGACGATGGTCTATACGCTGCAGTACACATCGTCTGTCCTACCTTTTGTATCGAGAGTTTCCTGTCACGAAGGCGTTGTGCGCGAGTATCGCCGAGATGACGTCCCGAGGACATCCAGTAACGTATTAGGAAGGGCGCCGCGGAGAAAATAGAATGACGTGCTCGGCAGCGAGGTTGTTGCAGACCCTTCGTAAGGAGTCCGGAAGGGCGAATAGTGGGGGATAATCCGATAAATACCCTTTTCCAATTGAGCGATAATCGAGTCGAGGCACGGAGGTTTACTAGCACTTGGCAGTAGACATACATATGTAGCTCGTTGCGCTGGTGCTGCGATACGTTGATGGTCGGACCAGCGTTGAATGTCCGCGAGCGGCGAACGAGCGACGATCAGTCATCAGCAAAAAGGGGATTCTGCGAGGTATGGGTGGGTATTGTCTCCCCTAGGCAGACGAAGGTGTTCTTGTCGAAGGGGAGAGGACGATCACACTATTTAACGAGTAGGATTTAGCGCCGGGAAGAGTGCTCCTTGACCATGAACCACCACCATCGTGGTTTCTTCCCACGGTCTCCGTGCGGACTTATCCTATCAAACTTGGTCGCCACATACCTGGAAACGGGTTTGCTTGAGTTCTCTACGTAGTATAGTTCGATCATAGAGCATGGCGGATGGCGAGGAGAGAGGACCGGTAGAAAGCAGCTCGCTGCGAGCCTCTTCGGAGTGAGGTCCCTCGGGACTTGGTGTTGTTCGCGGGCGATACGGGCGGTGAGACGTGTGGGGATGAATGACTGAGTGTGAGCGCTTCTCCGGGTGATGGCGGAGACTGGTCATGGCTTGGCGCCGATAAGAGCAGGCCAATAGGAACGATCATTGTGTTATCTAAGTGACGCCGGGGAGGGCGGACGAGTGTTTCCCTGAAAGTAGGTACCTGGCGTGGTCGGAATGTGGTGTAGTATGAATAAAATGACTGAAGGGAAGTGGACGGAAGACGAGGATTAGCGCATCCCCCTTTTTTAAACGGAGGGGATGTGCGTTTTCTGCAAACCTGGATGAGGGTTCGCTGAATGATGGACAAATGGACGTGCGTGCGGAGGTAGCGCAACACTAAAAGATCCTAGCCTTTTCAAGACATGCTTAAAAGATCTGGAGGGCAGGCCCTAGGGGGAGGTGACGGAGCTGACAAAATATAAGCAAGCCCTTTACGAAACGTGTTGGAGGGTGTGAGGCGTGGAACTCCTCCGCCAATCTGCGCTGCGCGCTCATCACACTTTCTGTATCCCTGGAACTGAGCCGGCTTCTTCCCAACGTAATATACAACAACTGCGTGCTCGCCAAAGTCTCAGATGCTGAACTGCGCCGGGAAAAGATGACTGGGTGGACCTATAAAGAAGTAAGAATCACTGAAAAGAGAAACGTCTACATTCCTCTTACCGCTGTGATGATGCAGAAAACTGAGAGCCCTCTGGAAGGGAAGAGATCTCTGGACTACATCCCTGTCTATGTCACGCCCCTCCTTTCCATCAAGAATCCTCCCACGCCTGGGTCTCAAACCGCAATGTATGCAACCGCCATCTCTCCACAAGCACCTCTGCGTGTAGGCGACCAAGTCCACCTGCACCTCCTCTGTCTACCGCGCCAGGAGCAGAGTGAGAATCCGGAGGAACGGAGAAGGCTGGCCGCTGTCCCGCTGGAGATATGGGGAAAGATCTTGGGCGAGCGGGAGAGGGATGAGCTGGAGGTTGAGTTCGTGATAAGGAACGACAACGAAGACGCGCAAGTGCGAAGGGTCTTTCTACGAGCAAGGGCGGACTCACGTGGTGCTACGACTCCGACGAGGCCCGACAACGAGCGAGTGCTCCGACGCAAGCAACTCCGCGAAGTGCGAGGGGTTGGGGCGGGCCGGCGAAGACACGCTGAGGAGGATGGAGAACCAGCCGGTCCGCGGGCGCCGACGAATACCCAATCTGAAGCTGACGGAAGCTGTATGACCCACTCGATGACGCCTGGACCGCGTGCCTATCGCGAGAGTGCGCGCGATGGGACCGGAGGTGGACGGACGGGTACCCAACCTCCCGGAGAGTGTAGCGGTGGGCGCCGAGAGCCGAAGACGCCGTTGAGGGAGCAGAGCTGGCGAGGGCCTCTGGAAGTAGAGCTGTGGCCTGGGCGGAGAGCGGAGGCGCCGGGACCGAGCGAGCGTGTCTTTCCGCAGTGGATGGCCCCGAAGGAGCGGAGGCGGCGCAGGAGAAGGGCGGACGTGGGAGCAAGCCCCGGGCGGACCCAGGAAGCGCTGGGTAGGGAACAATCGGACCTGTGTCAGTCTTAGTCGACGCGTAATAAGGTTGTCGCATACCTTTACTCTCTCTCCTTCCCAGCGTGTCGGAAGCTCCTGTAATGCGCCATATAGAGGTACGTCCTGCCCTGTCCCTCATAAGCTATTGAGCCTACGATCGTAGCAAAGGGACCTGCTCTTGGTAGAAACAGTCTGCGCGCGCGTGCGCCCCCGGATGGGCAAGGGAGAGCGAATGAGTGGGACTGAGACCTGTGCAGGATGCTTGAAAACTGAGCGCTCCCCCTTGTCGGTGAGTCGTGGTGGCTAGTGACGGACGAGAAAGAAGCTGATATTGTGACTAAAAGATGCGCTTTACGAGAAGAAACGGACGGCTGAATGGAGCGGTGAGGCCGCCGCGACCTGCTGGCCTGCGGCGTGATGTCGTTTACCGACAAGGCTGAGGGGCGCGCTGTAAGAAGATCAAAGGGCGGCGCCTGGTGTGGGTGGTTGGTGCCGCAAAAAGCTGTATATGGTAATAAAACGCTCGCGCCGCGCGAGCTGGAGGATATTGAACGCGCAAGCAGTTACATTCGACAACCAGGCAGCGGACAGCCATGCCTCTGCAGACGAAATCGTCCTTGTTTTCACCCACACCGAGACAGAGGCGAGCGCAGGGAGGCGGACGGCACCAACCTGGACTCAACGGCCGACTCGTTTTGGACACCCGACGCTTGCTGGCGGAGGCCTTGGACTCTAATGCTGCGCGTGCGGTGCGGCGGGAGGTTGTCAAGCCGAAGCGACGCCGTGCTGAGCTCAGCGCTGCACACTCGCCTAGGTAAACAAGGCTGCGTAATCCTCTCGCGGCCTCCCTCCCCCCTTTTAAAGCTCGGCGACGCTGTGACTTTTCCCCATCCACTCCTAGCTGCACTCCTACCTCGCTCGATGTCGTCCCCTCTCCAGTCGCACCCGGACTCCTCGCCTGACAGCGCTGCTGATGCTGTGGCTGCCCGCTCGCTCTGCCCCTCCCCGGATTACTTCGCGGAGCCGCTCCCGCCTCTTCCCTCCCCAGCCACGTATGAATCAATTCCGTCTCCGCCTCCGAACCCCCCGGTGCTCAGGGCTCGTGCCATGACGCTCTCCACACCCTCGATGGTACGTCTGACGACCTCAGCAGGTCTTATGTGATTGCTGAACTCTCTCTGTGTAGAGCACTGCTACGGTGCGCACCGCAGAGGCAGGTGAGCTCTTTGAGCACGCGGCGGCTCGTGCGCAGGCAATAGCCTCGGGTGGCGCGCATCCCGAGCGACTCCTCGCGGCCACTCCGACCTTCGAGTTCCCCTCTATCGGACCGGGCTATGTTACCCCTCCCCCTCTCCCTGCACCCGCAACCGTGACGGGCCTCCACGCGCATGCGGAGATCGCGACGCCCCAGCCCCGAGGAGCTGCTCCGGTGGCGGCGAGGCTGGCTGAGGTGGCAGCAGTGGCGCAGGAGGCCCAGCCGACTCGCAAGGACAAGAAACGCCAGCGCATCAACACTCCGTCGCCGTCTCCGTCGCCGGCGCCGAGCTCTGTGAGGCAGTCTGGTGCGATCCGTCGCTCAAACCAGATCCTCAGAGGACGGGCTGCCCTCTCGCACAGGCAGTATGCACTTGCGCCATCTGTCTGGATGTCGCCGGGCTCGTCGCACGGTCGTCTTGCTCCCTCGGCAGCGGCCGCGATCTCGGAGGCCCTGCTCCCGACTGTGCAGCCGGTGGCTGGCCCAAGCAGGATCCCAACGCAGCCCGTCGCAGGCCCTAGTCGACTCTCGCAGCCGCGGCGCATGAGGACTGCGGAACAGGCGGCTAGACAGTACAACGGCGCGGGCACCCGCCTCGGAGTCGTCGACGAGTCGATGGCCCCGGAAGAACCGATCTTTGAGGACGACATCGACATCCCCCTTGATCTCACGCCGTCCCCGGGGCTTGAGACGTTCGCCTTTGATCTCCCGCTCCGTCCTCTCGTCGCTGAAAGCGCGCGCTTGCACGAGACGTCCGGCAGAACTGCGACACGCGCGACGGGAGAGGGCAGCAACACCCAGAGCATGACGGACAACGACTGGGATGCCCTCCTCTCGCCGAACGACGACAATGCTTCCCTACCCCCCATCCAACACCAGCACGCTGCCACTGCTACTCCCACTCGGCCCTCAGCGCAGTCGGCTGCTGCACTTGCGGCGGCTGCGTCTTTCCAGAACCAGTCCCAGCCCATTCCGATCCCAGGCCAAGATGGACACGCCCCGGCTGCTGGCTCCGCGCAGGGGACGGCAGCGCAGCTTGTGGCGCACCACGGAATCGTGCCGGGTAACCCTGGGATGGGAGGAGGCATCACGTTCACGCCTCCCCCGCCAGGGGGCTTCCCAGAGGTTCTCTTCTCGGAGCCTGACGGTGTGTTTCTTGGTCTGGCGCGCGCGCGCATCGAGGCACTCACGGCCCCAGCATCAGGCTCTGATGATGACCTCGCGGTCGTCCTCCAAGTCCACAACTCGGGCGCACCTCCGCAGCACGAAGTCCGTGCACTCACGTCTGCTATCACCGCGGCGATCCGCCAGATTACGGGCGGACTCAACCCGCTCGTCATTCCTCCGGAGCGCGACTGGACTCCGAGCAACGACCGACGCGCGAATGCGCCTACGACATGGGCCGTCGTCGGCCTCTCTGCTGAAGAGGTGCGTAGAATCCTCGCCCAGCCAACATGGTCGTCGACAACAGTGTCCTTCCACGTCCGCCTCCCTGTCATCGAGATCGGACGGTTCATGTTCTCGGCGGGAGGCTTCGCCCACGACCACAACGGCAGCGTCCTGAACGCGGTGTTTGCGGTCTTTGTAGGGCCAACGGTCCTCCCCGCTATCTTCGCGCTCGTACAGGCGAACCCGCGCTTTGCGAACGTCGCGCCCGAGGAGGCGGTGCGCACAATCCTTGCCTCTCTTGAGGTACGGGTCTCCACCCTCCAGAATGGAAATCTCACGGCAGCGATCTTCTGCGACTCCCCCACGCAGTCGATCGCACGCTGGAGGGAGTGGCGCGACCTCACAGCGTCGCTCCCTTTCCCGAGCCCGCTCAACTCGACGGGCTTCGCGCGGCGCGCTGTGCCATGCGCGGGCTGCCACGGTGGTGATCACCCAACTCATATGTGCCCGTTCCAGGACGTCCCAGGATGGAACGCCCCACCGCCGGGGACGACGTGGCGCCTCCCAGGTGCGGCTCTCCCTCAAGGAATGGCCGGCCAGCAGCAGCCACCGCCTCCTCCTCCGCCGGGTGGCTCGGCGATGACGCGGACTCGATCGCAGTCGCAGATGCCCCGCCGCAACAACCAGGCGCACCCCTTCGCGGGGCCCAAGCACGACAACTTCAACGGTGGATCGGGCGGCTTCGGCCCTGCGGGTGGAAGGTCGGGCTTCGGGCCTGGTGGTGCTGGTGCGGGCTCGAGCGCCCTCGCGTAGACAGATACGCCTTCCGCGCCTGTGCTTTGTTCTTAGTATAACCTGTGTCTTTGTGTACGACTCCTGATTAACGCGCTATCATATCACTGTAACGCCGTCCCACGCACTCGCGTGTGCACACAAACAAAACTCCGCGGCCGCTGATCGAACCGCATCCCAGGAGCGCGAAGTGTCTCATCTAGATCTGGAAGCTGGGGAAACCCCGATCGCGAGCGCATGCGGAGAGGGCCGCAGGGCCAATCTAAAACCCCTTGAAATTCCAAGCGTGGCTGGGGGTGTATAAGCGAGATAGGCAAGCGCGCAGCGGAGGGAGACACCCGATGAAAGCTGCGTGGCGCGAGTGGGAGTGCGATACGCGCGCTGCAAGAGGATAACGTCTGACATGAACTGTGATTGAACGGGAACTTTGATGTGGTCCAAGCTAAGGATAGAGGGGAGTACGAGGCACAGTGCTCTTGAAGTGCAACCCCTAGTGCGCACGCTGAAAGGAGGACTGCATAGGAGGCAACGCGGCTGATCTCACTAAGGGGCTGAGCCGCTGGGATGGAAGAATTAACCCCTTAAACCGTGTGCGCGAAAGTTGAAGCACACTATGCATCTGACGCGAGCGACGCGTGTGAACGATGTGTGCAGTAACTTCTTGCGGCGCGTGCGAGCAACGAGTGCAGTGACTTTCGCGGCGCGCGCGAGCGACAAGTGTAGTGGCCTCTCAAGGCGCGTTGATGCACTCAAGTCTCCCGTAACGGCCGCTAGGACGTCGGGGTCGATGGGCCGAGAGGACGAGACCCGAGAAGTGTCTTGTGTGAGCGGGGGATTCCGAGTACAATCCCGAGTTCCCTACGACGCGGAAGGCGCGGGGAGGGGCCGAGCGAGCTTTTCGCTCCTGGCCTGTGAGGAAGGGATTGCGCGGACGATACGTGCTATTGCGGGGCGCGACGCGGGGGATCGGGGGAACGGGCTTCGGGAGTAGTACTCACTGTACGCAACGAGACGAGGACGTCGGGGAGGTTGTCGAGAGGGAACTCGCTGGCGCTGTCGAAGTCGCAATCGCAGACGCCGTCGCAATCGCAAACTTGAGCTCTGAAGGGGTAAGAGAAAGTGGATTTCCCGGTGCTCGGGGCCCGCGTATATACAGGAGGGGCCGGAGCCGTACGGGAAGGATAAGAAATGAAAGGTGCACCCGTCGCGCACAGCGCGACGGGCGCGACGATCGGGCCCCTACGGGGGCCGCGCTCTACTGGCCTTGCCTAGGCTGTCGGGGCCGCGCGTACCGCGCGGTGTGATTGGTGGGCGGGGGCGTATGCGCCGCGACCCCCGACGAGCGTATCGGGCGTTTCGTACTGCCCTCGAACCCCGATGCTTGGCGGGGCTTGGCGCTCTCGGTCGGGGCCGCTTATCGCGGTTCGCCTTGCTCGACTCGCGGGTAGCGAATAGGGGTGGTGCGTGGGCGCCCAGGCGGCCTTCTGGGAGGCTCGTGGCCGCGCGGGGCACGCGTCGGGGCCGCGCGGGGCACGCGTCGGGGCGCGGTATCCGACAGGGAGTCCGCGTCGGGGTGGTCTGAGCTCGAGAGCGGTGCCCACACCGCGGCGGGCGGCAGGCGCGGTGAGTGCGCATCAGCGTGCGTGCGGCACGCACAGGATCTTCTTGCGGCGCGCGCGAGAGACGTGTGCAGAAATTTCTCGCGGAGCGCGGGAGCGATGCGTGAAGCAATCCTTTGCGGCGCGCGGGAGCGACACGTGAAGCAATCCTTTGCGGCGCGCGGGAGCGGCAAGTGCAGCAATTCTTCGTGGCGCGTGCGTACGACGCGTACAGGAATTTCGCGCGGTGTGCAAGAGTGCCGTGTGCAGGAATTTCTCGCGGTGCACGAGAGCAATGTGTGCAGTTGTCTCTCGTGACACGCATAAGCGGTGCGTGCAGTAAATTTGCGCAGCGTGTGCGAGCGACGCGCACAGCAATCTCTTGTGGTGCGCGCGAGCGACGCGCACAGTGATTTCTTGCGGCGCGAGTGACTCACGTGATCGCGTCGTGCCCTGACTTATACCCTTGAGCCATGCAACTCTGCTCTAACGCTGCCCCTGATGTTTGCTGCAATAAAGGAGGTCTCTGGCTGCTTTGTGCGTGATACAAGGAAGCGTGTGGTCTCTAGGCTCCCATAGGTAGACTGAATGCTACATAGCCTCAGAAGAGCCGTCCCCTCGCCGTCTTGTTTCCCGCCACCCCCAGAGTTCAAGGCACTGTGAGCAAGCCTTGCGCGCGCGAATCGAGAGGCCTGGACCGCAAGTTCGGAGTTAAGTGCTCGGAGGGGCGGAAGGTGTGCGGCATGAGAGCAGTAGGGCGACTAGTCGCGAACAGTGTGCAGAAGCACGCTAGGAAGTGAAAGAATAACCCCATAACCCATCGGGTGGCGGCGCAGGAAGGGGCGAAGTATAACTGGGGGAGGAGGATGGTGAGAAGAGGCAAGAAGAGTGAGAAGGAAGCCCGGAACAAGCAAACAAGAAGCACATACTGGCATACTAAACGGCATACGAAACGCTACTTGACCAAGAGCGTTCTGTGGTGAGCAACGTCCATGCAAGACTGCGAAGGTGTGGGCGGGGCTGTGGTCCGTCTGTGCCCAAATATACTGCCACCTAGTGGACAGGAAAGCCAGACTGAAGCAAAAAAAAAACGGTGACCTATTGAGGTCTTGACGCACCGTGCCGAGAGGCTGAAGCTCGTGGTAGCGCCACTGTGGACGCGTGTCTCAGTGTCTGCCCAATGCGGTGTCACCTCTGACGTCTAGGATATGATGTCTACTGTAGGAGATAGTTGTGTCCTGCAGGAAAAAACCCCAACTACTGAGCCAAACCAATTACATTCAATACATGAGGAATACGTACAGGAAACGGGACACATGCGCCTCCGTGGTGCTGGAGAGGCTGGCGCTGCTCCTCCCAGGCCTGGCCTTGATGATGGCGCTGCTGAGAATGGCGGGCGGACGCGTCCCCGAGTGGCAGGCGAGCCGAACGCGGACCTGGCAAACGGGGAGCGGCAAGGACAGCGGCGGCGACGCAAAAATCGTACTAAGGCACGAATACGCGTTGCCTCCCTGAACATGAGGGGATATGGGGTGACTGGAGGCGACGGAGTAAGCGAGCGTTGGATGCTAATTAATCAACTTGTCCGAGATGAGAAGATTGGGCTCCTGGCGCTTCAGGAAACGCACCTTACGAGTGAATGCGTAGACCAGCTGAACGAGTTGTTTGGCAGGCACCTCCGCATATACCACTCGGAACTGACGCACCATGCAACTGGGGCAGGAGGCGTGGCGCTTGCTGTCAATAAACGCCTTATTGACCCAGAAAAGTGTGTGGTAACGGATATACAGAAAGGGCGGGCGATGGCCATTAGTTTTCCGTGGTCCACGGGCCGCGAACTCTCTGTGGTCAATGTCTATGGACCGAACTCGTCAGCGGAAAACGCGGTCTTCTGGAGGGACGTGAAGACGCACTGCCCGGCGAGTGTTGACATCCTGTTGGGGGATTTCAACGTAGTAGAGGATGGCATAGATAGGATTCCGGTCCGCGCAGAAACTGGAAATGCACTGCAAGCGCTCCAAGAGCTCTTAGCGGAACTTCGACTAGAGGACGGGTGGCGGATGCAGAATCCGCACACCAAGGCGTTCACTTACATGCAAAAATCGACGGGAAGCCAGTCGAGGCTAGATCGTATCTACGTTGCGAGCGCACTGCACCAAGATGCCGATGAGTGGCGTATTAAAGAGTCAGGGCTGCCAACGGACCATAAACTCACGCTTGTGTCGCTGGCGAATCGAAGTGCCCTGTTCATGGGGAAAGGGCGCTGGTCTATGCCGGCGCATCTCTTGACGGATACGACAATGATCGCCAAGATGCGGGAGCTTGGGCGGAAGCTGGTGGAGGAGATTGCGGGGTGTGGGGAGCGCACGGCTGAAAAGAACCCGCAGATCTTCTACCAGGATTTCAAGTTGGCGCTGACCAAGGCGGCGCGAGATAGGGCTAAGGCGAAGGTACCGAAGCTGCAGAAAAGGCTTGAGAACTTAAGAAATGACCTTGAAAGGACGCTGAATGAGCCTGAAACGGTGGCGGGCTCTGGCCGAGACCAGGCGCAGGTGCAGAGGCATGCGGCGATCATCCAGGAACGAATTGATGCGCTGGAGGTGAAGCTCTTCGTTCACCGCCGGCGGGCGGTTGCATCTAAACACTGGGTACAAAGTGAGACAATGAGCAGGTACTGGACGCGTCCGAACGTGGCGCCGCTCCCGTCTATTGTCATTCCGGAGCTGCGAAGAACGGATGGCGTAGCGGGCCAATATACGTCGAACACGAAACAAATGGCTGAGGTGGCGAGAGCGCACTACGATGGGCTGCAGGACTGTGACCCGCTGGAGGAAGGAGAAATGCATGAAGAATACATTAAAGAGGCGCTGATCCCAGCGGGAGCCCGACTTGAGCCGGAGCAGAAAGCGCACCTGGCAGCGAAGATAACGAGAATGGAAGTAATGGAAGCCATCCAAGCGGCGGCGTGCAGCAAGGCGCCTGGAGTCGATGGGCTCCCGTCGGAAGTCTGGAAAGCATACGCGCAGTGGCACGAAGCGGATGTCAAGAAAGGAAGGGTTGGGGTGGACATAGCACGAGCACTCACTGATGTGTTTAACGACGTTGCTGCGTATGGCCTTGTTGGGACGTCGAGCTTCACGGAAGGATGGATTTGTCCTATATACAAGAAAAAGGACACTAGAGAAATTGTTAACTACAGACCAATTACATTACTGAACTCCGACTATAAGCTCATGACGAAGACACTTGCGAACCGTCTTGCGGAGTGTGCGCCGACGATGATACACCCGGATCAAGCGGGGTTTGTCCCGGGACGAAGAATCTTTGACCACATCCAGCTTAGCAAGCTCATCATAGCGTATACGGAAGCAGAGGAACTTAACGGGGCAATAGTGGCCCTAGACCAAGAAAAAGCGTATGATCGTATTGATCATGAGTACTTGTGGGCGACTCTGCGGCACATGAACTTCCCGGCGCGGTTCATTAACACGGTTAAGCATCTGTATGAACGCGCGGAGAGCTGTGTAATGGTTAACGGTATTAAAAGCCTGAACTTTAGAATCAGACGGGGAGTTAGGCAAGGAGACCCGATGTCATGCTTACTATTTGACTTCGCGATTGAGCCCTTGGCGTGCGCGTTACGCCAGTCGACGCTTAAAGGCATTGTAATTCCTGGAGATACTGAGAGACTGATTGCGACGTTGTTTGCGGATGATACAACGGTTTTCCTTGGAGAAGGCGATGATTACGAGGACGCGCTGGCACCTACGGAGGTTTGGTGTAGAGCGGCGAGGGCAAGGTTCAACCTGGAGAAAACGGAGGTTATCCCTGTCGGATCGCGTGAGTACCGTGATTCAGTGGTGGCCTCGAGAAAGCTCTACCCGGACGCGGTGGCTATACCGGAAAACGTTCACATTGTTGGGGACGGCGAGGCAGTGAGATCGCTCGGAGCATGGATTGGTAACGGAGTTGATGATGTGACGCCGTGGACGACACTGGTAACGACGATGCGTAAGAACATGCAGGGATGGAGTAAGGGGAAACCGACTTTGATTGGCAGGAAGCTGGCTGTGGACCTAGAAATTGGTGGCCGCACCCAGTTTTTGGCCAAGGCGCAGGGAATGCCGAAGTCGGTGGAGTCTGTGATTACGAGGATGGTTGCGGATTTCATTTGGAATGGAGATAAGCACCCACACGTCTCAAGGGATACGTTATATGCCCCTGCGAGTGAAGGGGGCCTCAACGTACTGAATATTGGTGCGAGAAACGATGCAATAGATATCATGAGGCTCAAGGACTATCTGAATATGACGGAAACGAGGCCGAGGTGGGCGCTGGTGGCGGACGCGATATTATCGAAAGCGGTAGCGGCGTCATCAAGCGCCACTGACCCAGGAGCGCGATTAAATGCGTTTCTGCAGAAATGGTCAGTAAGTACGAGGCATAGTAAAGGACTCCCGGCGGACCTACGACGAATGATCCTTGTCGCGAAGAAGTTCGGTGTTTGCTGTGACGTCCGGGTTGCATCGCAAGCTCTTAAAGGAGCGATGCCGGTGTGGTATCATATAGGAGAGGAGAGCGGAAGGTCTATGGCAAACACGAAGGCAGGGAAATGTTTGAGGAAGAACCATGGAGTCAAAACGGTGGCACAGGCGGACCTTGTAACACGGCGACTGAGGCCGGAGGACCCCGACCACGTCCCTAGGCGAGATTGTGAATGCGCAGAGTGTGTGAGCGACCGGATGGAACGAGGGTGTGAAAATCCGCACAAATGTGCGTTGGCGGCGGAGAGGCTGGTGGAGAGGCTGCGCCCGATGTGGAACCTGGCGCAGGACGGGGCGGCAGATGGGCTATCGCTGACCCAGTGTAGAAAAGAGGCAAATGTTGAGGCGCGAGCGAATGACGAGCGCATACTGTTTGAACCGTCGATCACGCAGGACAGCTCGCTGTCCTCGGTCTTTCGTGCTTTCACGAACCCGGTGAGGGCGACGACAGTGGCGGCGCTCAGACCGCCGAGACCCTTCAATGTGGAAGAAGAGGAGGTGGAGGTATTCACTGATGGGTCGTGTATACATAATGGTATGGCAGGAGCGGTGGCGGGGAGTGGTGTGTGGTTCGGAACCGCAGACCCCCGAAACGAGGGCGCGCGAGTCCCGTATGATGCGCAATCAAACCAAACGGCTGAAATCTATGCGGTTACGATGGCAGTAAGAAAAGTACCGCCATTTGCGCCGCTGCACATCGTTAGCGATTCGAAATATGTGGTGGAAGGACTGACAACGTACCTTCCAGCGTGGGAACGTCGTGGATGGATAGGTGTGGCGAATGCTGAAATATTCGGCGATGCAGTGGCGGCGCTTCGGGCGCGGTCGGCGAGAACAACGCTGCGGTGGGTGAAGGGACACGCTGATGTCCAGGGAAACGAAGAGGCGGATAGATTGGCTAGGGCTGGCGCGGAGATGCTTCCTGTGTTTAGGCCGCTGTGCCTCCCGCAGTTCAGGTACCTGAGAAATGGTGCGGCGCTCGCGGGGCTCACGCAGAGTCTTGCGTATAGTGGAGTAAAGAGAGCGGCTGCGGCGCCGGCAAGGAAACAGACACAGCGAAACTTGGGTGAGATAGGGGTGGCTCTGCAGGGTGAATGCGGAGAGCGCCCGCCTGATGCAGCAGTATGGAATGCGCTAAGAAAGGACCCGGTGAGCAAAACTGTGCGCGACTTTGTCTGGAAAGCGATCCATGGTGCGCACCGTGTGGGTGCCTACTGGAAGCATATCCCAGGATATGAAGAGCGGGGTGTTTGCAATGTGTGCGGGGTGGAGGATAGCATGAAGCACATCCTTGTCGAGTGCACGGCGCCGGGACAGGCGCTGGTATGGGGAGTGGTACGGTGTCTGTTCAAAACCAAGGGCATTGCGGTGCCGACGATATCGCTGGGGCTTGCTCTCGGGGCGCACATGTTCGTGGTATTGAATGAGAAGGGCGATGTGGTGGTGGGGAAAACCCGGGGTGCACGAATCATTCTGACTGAAGCAGTACACACCATCTGGGCGCTCCGGTGCGAGCGGGTGGTGGGCTGGGAGGCGACGCCGGAGCGAAGGCATGCCGCACAGGAAGTCCTCAACAGAATTGGAGGCAAGCTTAATAAACGGGTACAAATGGACCAAGGTGCAACAAACGTTCGAACCCATAAGAAGAGGGCGATAGGAAAGGCTAAAGTGTCAGAAACTTGGAGAGGTATCCTCCAGGCGGAGTCTGAAATTCCGGAGGACTGGATGCATTTAACGGGGGTTTTAGTGGGTATCCCGTCCCTTGCAGACCTGCGAGACATGGGCTAGCGGGGTCTGACCGACGGGAGTCCCACACTGTATGGTATAACCATGCGTGCATTAAGCATTTCCCTCGTCGGTGCTGAGGCTACATGCCTTATACTTTGCAATCGCCCGGGACGCGCCGTGCCGGCGCTGGCCCGGCGAGCACCTTAAAAATTAAAAAAGAAAAAAAAAAAGGATTTAGCGCCGGTGTAGGGAAAGACGCCGACCCGATGGTGGGAATCTTCGCTCAGGCTAGGTCTTCGCGTGGTCGCCCAAAGCTCTACATAACGCATATCTCATGTACTTACGACTGGTGTATAAAAATCGATGGCTTTGTAGGTATTCTAAACGAGCAGGAAACAGGAGAAATATCATCAGCGAACTGAGCGCGTTAGTACGAGTACTTATCCTTTGTGTGCCTGAAGTGAAGTCAACCCGGCAACTGCCGGCGCTGGGCTGCGACATTTCGCAACTGAGGCGTCCCTCACCTTCTCGTCCACCGACCAACTCCATCCTTCCCGCTTCCTGTCGTCCACAGGAAGACATTCAAGTCGCCAACGGGAGCAGGATACAGGATCCAACCCCACATCTCGGACGCGACGCGACGCGCCATCACGTGTCTCCAGTCCAAGACCGTGGCGGCATCCTTTCTCGGTCTGAGTCTCCTCCTCCAACCTCCTCTGGCTTTAACTTGAGGGGCCTCCACAATTTACCATGTCAAATGACATACCAACACCGGAGGAGAAGGCCAAGTACGATGCGGCGAAGAAGGAGCTGCTGCAGGCTCTCGCGAAGAAGCGGAATTTGGACAAGCAGCTCGTACGTCGGGCTCAGTTCCCCAGCGAGATAGAAACCTACGCGTCCTAATATTGCTGCAGGCGCTGATAGAAGTCCAAATCTACAATCTTGAGGGCTCCTACTTGACGGAGACTGCTGCACACAGCGGAGGCAACATCATCCATGGCTTCGACGGCTATTTCAAGAACCAGCCCAGCGGCCGGCGGAAATACGAAATCAGCGAGCAGGACCGGATTTTCTCTACAAGCAGCATGACATACAAGAAGGTACGCGGTCATTGTCCTGTACGCGACTGTGATGGATGACCCTCTACAGTCGTTGGAACTGTCAGGCGAAGGAGAAGAGTCAACAGCAACAGGAGACGACCAGTCGCGAATGTCCACCCCTGGCCTGACTACCGTGATCGTGCCCCCTGCGCCAAGGCCAGAGGTGCTCACGGCGGCACAGCAGAAGAAGAACAGGGATAGAGAGTATCAGCGCAAGAAGAGGGCGAGCGCGGCGGCGAACCGGAAACAGGGCGAGACGCCTATCAGCGACGACGAGAGCGTGTCAGGGCGAAAACCGATGAAGAGAGCACGGTTGATGACTGACGAGGATTGATTCGCTGTGGTATGTCTCGTCCATGCAGAGTACGATGTCCACTACCCTGACCGTATCCACAGCTGTACTATTATCCCCTTCGCTCTGCTGTGTTGTATGTATTATACTGTATCATATACCCCTCGTGCATCATACATCTAAAGTACTAAGGAACTTCTTAACGGCAACTTCTTCCATTCCTCCGCCATCCGGGTCGACAGCCTCAATACACCTCGCAACGGCGATCGTTTGCCTAGGATCCTTGCAGTTTACCCACACCCTCCCGTTGATCCCTACCGCAGTCTCAAGTGGAAAGCGAGCACCGAGGAGGGGGAAGAGAAAATGTTTTGGGTCCAGCAGTCTATCAATTGCGGTCAGATGTCGGCGAGGCCAAGGGAGTCAGAGCTGTCCACTCACAGTCTGCACATCTTCAGACTACATTGCACCATAAACCCGCCCTTGAGCTCTCCGAAGCCCTCCGCTTTGCGTGTCTGTGCGTCGAAACACTCCAACTCTGGCTCCATGTCTTTGTGTGCCAATGACACTCGGGCGTAAAGCAATGAACCAACCTAGCAAGGTTATATAAGAGCCATTTGAATTGGGTAATTTCGCGACATACCTTGAGGTTTGGCCGATTCCGTTTTGTTGCGCCCTCGAACGCGAGTCCGTCCAGGGAGGCCATATGCGCCGAACCGATGTCCACCCGCCAGTTCTCACCACTTCGCGAGATGACCACCCCCACTACGGACTCTTGTGGGGCAGGAATGTACTGTCTTGCACCCCTTGAGTAACATGTTCAACTGTGCGACGCGCGCGAGAGTGCTTACCCGCCGCGAGTTCCCTTCTATCCACCATTTGTTGCCTTTTGGGTTGTTCATAACCTTGCCTGCGCGCGTGGAGACGATCGCGGCCTGTCCTTGCGTGGACGATGACTGGAGGAGGCCAGGTCCGAGTTTGAGGTTTACATGCTGAGCGGGCACATGTTCTCCGGGGAGGACGAGGGACATGGTGAGGGTCAAGCGCGAAGGAGTGTACGCGGTGGCGCACGGTGAGCGCTCCTCCTCTTGATCCGCGACCACCACGACCCCTACCTCGTTCTACCACATTCAATCAAACTGTGGTCTGCCGGGCCTCTCACTTTACGCTATGGAGCAGGCTGCACCCAATGGAGTGCATACTCGTCTGACGGCCGATTTTCCTGAGCTCGCAAACCTCTCGTGAGACCCGACCGGCTCTGCGTCCCGTGCGCCCACCTCACCCAGTGATCCTCTTCCCTGCGCAGACGAGAGGATCTGGAAGATCTCCTAGCGGATCCGGCGTACTTCCAGGCTATATTCCACAGCTTGCCGCAAGTGAAACTGCTCTACCAGGGTCAAGCCGACCTAGGGTCCGCAAATGAGACGATCGCGAGTAAGCTCTGAGGTTTGCATAACTAGAGCTTAGGCTTGACACGCGATCAGAGAACAACCTTGCGTATCAGGAAGATCTGTACAGGTTGCGGAGCGAAACACAGGAGGCCTTCGATTCAGCCAAGAGTCTCGAGGCTCGGTGGAAGGAGCTGGAGAAGGAGCAACGCGAGGCTTACCAGGTGCGCTGCCGTCGTCATTCCGCCACCGTTGTTCTATGCTCACCATCCTGCTCGACGACGCGTAGCGCTACGATCCACAATTCCTGCTCATGCGGCTACGGCATGCGACCATCGCGCAGGACGACTTGTCGGAGGCACGCGCGAACGCATTCGTGCAAGGATCTGCATCGGACCCGGACCCCGTCCCGCTCACCGGCAAGGACATCGACGACTTCGTGAAGGAGTTCCGCGAGCTCCGGAAGACATATCACAAGCGGGTGATGTGGGGAGAGCGGTGGGCTGCGGGCGACGTTGCCTGGCGGAACGATTGATCGGAGGCGGGGAAACGATATGCATACGCGCACGTTGGACTTTCTTTGACTGGACGCTTGCTTACGAATTTGTTGTAGCATAGAGTGTAGTATGTGGGATACCCCACTTATACCCCGTAGTGAGTTGGGACCTTTCAGCACGCCCTTCAGATGTTGACGTACCGACGTTTGGCATCTACCACGCCATGGTAATGGTGAGCAATCACCGCTCCAGCTGGACGCACACTGATCATTTGAAGTCGCAGGAGTACGTCGAGGCACACTTCAGGGCAGGCCATCGACATGTCCTGGACTCGACGCATTCCTATGTAAGATAGCCCCACGCACGGGCGAAGGCCTTGCATGATAGACAACCCAGATATCGGTCTCTGAACTGCACTGTAAGTATCACCGCATGTCAGAGGTATCTCGGTCTCCTAGCTATTACCCGGAACGCTCCGCGTGGCGACATGGCATACCAAAGTCGCTTTGGCATGTCCTGAAATGCGGATTATCTCTCTCAAAAGTTCGCCTACAACCCTTCACGTTGATGTTTGCCTCAGATCTTTACGAAACTAAGCAACATCAACACGCTCCTGTGACCTGGCACCTCTCAGCCTCGAACACCCGCGGCGTTGTGCTGCGAACCTCTTGGACGTCCTGCTTCCATTCACGTCGTTACGCAATATTTTTTCGCAGGAACGTGTCTACATTCAAGCTGAGTGCTGTGTAACGCTTTGATACTGCTCCTGAGAGTAGGATACGCGCTCACGCTTTGTCCTAATAGGCGCCGCGCGGCTTATATGCCCTCGTAGCTTTGTCTCGCGTACGCGTCCTTTCGAGAAGCGACATGTATCCAAGCGTGCACCGTGCTTTGGATCCACGCACTGGCCACTGCAACTTGTTGACCTGGTCCGCCCCAATGCTCCGCCGCGCTTTGAAGCCTTTCATTGACCCCCATTGTGCTATGCGTTTCGCATGGCTTTCATGGTCGCCTGCCGCTTTGCCCCTCTCGCTATGTGTCCCTAGCATTTAAGCATGGTCTCTGAGGACTTGTGCTGAACACACAATCCCCTCGTCTGCTCTCGCGTCCTCTCTTGCAAGTTCTCGTCCGACTGAACTTCAATTTTCCTCCTTTCTTCATTTCTTATGCTTATTCCATTCACACCTTATGCACCAGTGGCAAAGCTCGTGCATAACACCTCCCCTCCATCGCATCCCCTTGTCAATGCTTTCCCCGTTAAGATTGTTGGCGGGATTGGCCTCGACATGGACACTCTCAGTACCATGCCGCCCAATCTCGTGAAGAAGAATGTCTCAGAATTCTATTGCGGATTCCCCGAAATCCAGCTCAAAATCTTTGTACGTCCCCCCGGATCGCGCCATAAGGTGTATGTGGCCAGGAGAAATAGTCTCAACGCAGTGCCTTTCTAGTGGCCGGGTTATGAGGTCATCAGCTTCATGGAACGTATTACCATCAAGGGCCAGAGCAGCGGGCAGATTGTCCTTGCTATCACAGCGGCGTTCCAACGATTCATCCAGGTCAGTATTGCAGTAGCGTCGTGAAATCGGGGCTCACCGGATGCACGCAGAGAGCACTCAAGCTTCCGGCCCCGCCGCGTGGTGCAGCCCAATACGCCATCACGCCAAACTCGCTGTTCGCGAAGAAGAACCACATATGGTTCCGTGCCATCCACCACGTTGGAGATGACATCTTCACGCTTGAGCTGGAGTGCAAATGATCGGGGCTCGCGTTTGCGCTGGTCGCACTCCCGTCTCCGACTCATTCTCCCCGGTGTCTGCGCCTGTGTCGTCCACTGCTCTCATCTCCTCCGTCTCCGCCTGTGCTGTTTTACATGTTGCTCTCACGATTCTCTTGTTGTCGCTCGCTCTGTTTCGCTAATGTTCGCTTTCTACACTATGTAGTAAATTAATACCATGTTGTCTTCTCCTACAGCCTCTGTGCCCCAGTTCATTTCGCTTTGATGCGATCTACCGCCACAAAAACCAACTCAAAGCTGCCCTTACGAACGGTGTCATCTCTGGCGAGTGTAATCAAGTATAATTCCCCGTTTTTACAGGCTGAAGATCGGTCCACTTTTGAAGGATTGCATATAGCATGTACTACAAGAGTTCGACTATATAACGGCTTCGTGCAGAGGTTATTTGCCGGCTTCGCACGAACGCCCACCTGTCAGCTGCCGACGCAGTCACGACTAGATCTATGGCAGGTCTTCTCTGTCTGGCCCACCACGCGGTATTCGTCTCTGCGGGCCGTACAGCTGGGCCAAACAGCACGGCTTCTGCAGAGTCCACGCGACTGCCTCGAGGGTGGCAAGCGGTTTGGTGAACGTTACGGATACTAGGCCACGTCCGCAACCGCCATCCTCATCGTCAACTCCTATCTCGAAACTGACTCTCCCCCAGACCTCTCCAGCCACTTCGGCGATCTCTATGGACCTCGCCTCCTCGGAACGAGTGACCTCGTCAGTCACTCCGCACGTCCTGCCTGATGAATCCACCCTCTCCCAGTCACTCTCCATCTCTGAGGACGATGTCGAGAATAGCCGACTACTGCCTCGGCATTTGTCTGTCTGCGAGGAATGCTGGAGGGGGCCCTTTGCCATGCACTTCGGGCTTCCCTTGGTGTCACCGCAGAGCGGACAATGGTACCGGCACTGGCCCGAAGAGATCTCGTACTCGGCCTCGCTCGCAGAATTGGAGTCGCGTGCCGATACAGGTTGCGTATGGTGTCTGTTCCTGCTCAGGATGATGGCTCGACTCGGATGCCGTTACGACCCTGAGCCCGACGATCGTTTGGCCATCATAGTGCGGGGCACTACCGACACGTGGAACGAGGACACAGGTTACAGCCAGCGTCCTTATCAAAGGATAGATATAGAAATCGAGGATTACACTGAGTTTGAAGCACTTGTGCACGCAGAACCAGGTACGCACCTGCAAGTTCAGGCTACGGAGCTACATATGTAGGTTTAAGCATAGCGCTGACTCCAGGCATTATTTATATTATCAGATGACCTCGCCGCATCCTACATCCCTACACGAAGCCCCCTCCGAGACGTAGGATCGCCTAGTGCACTCGCACTCGCAAGACAGAAAATCGACGAGTGCGTTCACGAACACCAGTGCTGTAAAAGCGCGGCGTCCTCCGACCCTCCCCTTCCCACACGTGTCGTGGATTGCGCTAACCCCGCTCGACCGCAACTGGTGTCGACGGCCGGAAGATGCGGCGAATACCTCGCGCTCAGCTACGTGTGGGGCGGGGATCAGGTCCACAAGACCACGAAGAAGAACATATCCGCGTACGAACAAATCATCGCGCCGCCCGATCCTCTTCCTGCGACGATCCGCGACGCCATTCGCGTGACACACATGCTCGGCTTCCGGTGGCTCTGGATCGACAGTCTGTGCATCATCCAAGACTCGGACGAGGACAAGGCGCGCGAACTCGGCCGTATGCACAACATCTACCGATATGCGCACTTGACGATCATGGCGGGCAGCGCGGCGGGAGTCGGCGAGGGTTTTCTCCAGGAACGACCTCCTCCCGATCCCATTGCCCCCGACAACATCATGGCCACTCTGCCCTTCATCTGTCCTCCGCAGCCTGATACCTGCGCAGGGTGTTCGGGAGATCGTTCAGTGGTACAGCGGCCGGTCGGTACGGTGTCCGTCGTGTCGCTTGGCTCCGACATCATCGGCGGGTCCTACAACTATGAGCTGGGGCGCATGTCGACGCGCGCCTGGTGCATGCAAGAGTACCTGATGTCCCCGCGCGCTCTCATTTTCACCCCGACATCGCTCCTATTAAGGTGTCTGACCACGACGCAGGCCGTCGGCGACTCCTTCTGCCACATATACGATGAGCCCCGTATACCCAGATCACTCTTCCTCCCCACACCGGCGCCCGAAGCAGAGCCTAGCTCCGAGGAGTGGAAGGGCATGCACACGGCCTGGATGGCGGTCGTCGAGGACTACACCCGCCGTGCAGCCGGCTTCGAGTCGGACAAGCTTGTCGCGTGCGCCGCGATCGCGGAGCAGTTCCACGGTGCCCTGTGTTGCGAGTACCTCGCCGGCCTGTGGAGGTCGGACGCGCTCCTGGTCCATCTGCTGTGGATGTCTGATACCCAACAGGACGACTCTGACATATGCCGACATACTCGCCCCACGGATTACCGCGCGCCGTCGTGGTCATGGGCAGCGATCGAAGGGCCCATCGTCTCTGAGCAGGGTCACTCCCCAAACACTGTGGACTTCGAAGACCCCAAAACTGTCGCGCTCGCAGAGGTCGTCGAGTGCTGGGTCACACCCACAAATCCCGCGCTTCCCTTCGGTCAAGTGAAGGACGGGTCGCTCAGCCTGCGTGGAACACTGATACCCTGCAATGGCGGACCCGCGAAAATGATTCACGGTAAATGGTACATGCCCCTACCGTCTTTCCAGGAAGCATGGCGCCAGCAGCGGGGACTTGACGACACATTGAGCTTGGATGAAGAAGGCAGCGTCCGTTCGACGGAACCACGGGAAGGCGCGATGTTTGTCATGGACTGCGATGTCGACGAACTGCCCGGGAGCATGTGGCTGGTCCCGTTTGAGTGGTGGTCCAATTCGGACGGTCACCGTTGGGTGCATGGGATTGTCCTCGAGCTCGCTCCTCCTCGGAGTAGCTCAGGGTCTGAATCTCAAAAGATTCGCTTTTGGAGGATTGGATACTTCTTGGACAGAGTGGAGGCAAACTCCGAGCACCCGCTGTGGGATCCGCTGATTCAACGGGCTGCGGAGGACGAAGAACACCTTTGGACGGAGATCGTGATCGTATGAGAGTATAATCCTCGCTACTGGTATATGACTCGGACTCGGGAGAACATGGACACTGCTACAGTATGTGGTCACTGGCACGGCACGCACATATACGCTGTCGGCTAGGGTCCTGCGATATGGACTTCTCAGGGAACCCCGGTGCTCTTATGAATGTAGAGGCATGACCTCGGTTTGTATCCTTAATCAGGTAGTGTCAACATCAAGGCCCAGTCTCTGCTTTTCATGCCGTCGCGGACAAAGGGCTGAATCAGAGAAACGTCAAACCAGAGAGTACACTTACCCTGCTGTACGTACGCGTACTACCAGGCGAATGGGCACCTGGCGGAGAACGCGATCTCACGTGGCGAGCAATCGGGCGCTAAAACACACCCATCCCGAAAATGTCGGAGGCCGCCAATCGAACGCGCGCGCTCTCACCTGCTCTCACTCTCTGCCCTCACTTCACTGCGAGTGGTGACCACAGCGAGAAGTATGTTGATCCCAATCACGAAGGAAATCTCGTATTCAAGAAGTCGACGGCGACTGAGATGAAGTAAGTGTATGGTATCGGGCGGTGCTAGCTCGTACATGCGATATGCGGAGACGCCAACGACGCACAGTCTACCGCACCGGCCTTATGTCGAACCGCATTCGCAATCATAACCCCCTCGGCGCCGGAAGGGAGGCATATGACGTATTTGTGCAATCATTCTTTTTGTGGAACAATGTGCACAGGGCTACATGTGAGTGCGTATGTGCGCATAGACACGTGTCCACACCATATACTCACCTCGGGTCTCCAGCACTCCACCCGCCTCCATCCTCTCGTGGCCAAAGACATGTCTGGAATGCTGGGTTCCGTCTCCACTTCATATGAGAAGCTGATCGCATTCCCCATCCCATCCTATCGCGCTTCTCATGGGCGCCAAAATCGCAAGCATAGAGATCGCGCATTGTTGGCGGACTATGGCGCGTAGTCCTATGTGCGTGTGTTTTCTGCCTGCCTTTGTGCAGTCGTCGGCTAACCAAACCATCAAAACCCCGCCAAGTGTACAACCTATGGAGCCCTATACGACCGCATTGTTGCGGGGTATGTCAACCAGTCCTTACAGCTTACCTCGGAAGCACATCACCGGTCTATATATCTTCGTAGATATCCATCGCGCACGCTGTCACATCGCGGAGCTCGCACGACACCGTCGCAAGTGTGACCCATCCCCGCCGGCCAAGGTTTGAACGGCGCGATGTCTCCGGCACTGCCTGCGTATATAACTCGCATCAGGATAACCAGTGTACATACTTCCGGTGCGCGATTTGTTGTACGACAGCTTCTCCCTGCCAAGCGCCACGCCGCACTTCACCAAACGTCTCTGGTGCCCCCTCGTCAAAACCTCACCGCGTTCGTCCTTGGCCGCTGTTTTCATTACAGACGTAGGCTAACATACATTTGTAGCCGCGTCCGCTGCTGGAGGTATCGAGGATCGTATCGAGGGCGCCAACACGCAAGACTACGCGCGTGACCGCTGCGCCTCGGCCGTCCGGCGCTCATCCACATCATGGCTTTCCTCCATGGCAGTCGCCTTCCCACTTCGTCTGGGCAGCATCGCCGGGTTCGTAGCCTCGCTGCACCGCACAAGAAGCAATTGACGCTTCTCGTCGCGACCGTCCCGTACGCCCTACCGGGCAGGCTCCGCCATGTACTTTGGCTGCGGAGTACGTGCGAGACGTATAGGTATGTGAATTGTGCGCCTGTGCACAGATATGTCTTGCGGTGTAGTACCCTCTGCGCCGCTGCGAAGAACCACAGACCGCTGGAGCTGAGCATAATTGCAATCTTCGCGCGCTCGATCGAGCGTCGTCCATCTGTCATGTTCCAACTCTCTGTGGCAGGTCTTCTCCTTCTGGTCTACCACCGTGTAGCTGTGTGACAACCGCGCAACATTCGTAAGCCGCGTGCGACTGCCTGGAGGGCGGTAATGCAGCGCTTTTTGGGACCGTGTAGAGACTGCCAGTGGGCTACACCTGGGCTCGCCTCCTTGGTCCTCGTCGCCTACACCCATCCCAACCTACCCTCTCCCTTAGACCTCCCGTCCTTCGATCTCTATGGACTTCGCCCTCTCCGAACTGCCCTTCTTCCCTCTGCTCGTCTTGCCCGAGGAATCCACCCTCTCCCAGTTCCCGTTCTTCTCTGAGGATGCTGTTGGAAATACCTTCCTGCCGCCTCGGCCTTCCTCCGTCTGCGATGCATGCTGGGAGGGCCCTCTCGCGATGCGCTTGGGGCTTTCGTTGGTGTCGCCGCGGACCGGACAATCATACCGGCGTTGGCCCAGGACGGCTTCGTACTCTACCACCTTGGCAAAAATGAAGCTCCACGCCGATGCAGGCTGCGTATGGTGTCGATTCGGCCTTCGCCGGGCGGATGGCTGCCGCTACGCCGACGAAAGACTGATCATGACGGTGCACTGTTTCATGGGAGTGTGGCTCCTCGGTCCGGAGGGGACATCAGACAACCAATGGATAAGTCTGAATATCGATGGAGAAGTCGATTTCCGTAACACATATCTGTACACGGCTTTAGGTACGTCTGTATATGGCATACTGGCGATCTTACGCTCGGTGTAGTGAGATAACGGACGGACATTGATAGATGACCCCGCGGAGCCCTACCTTATTGCCCAAAACCTCATGCTAAACATAGAAGCTCCTCGTTCCATGGCCCTCGCAAAACAGCAAATCGACAACTGCATTCATGGACATGAGCGCTGCCAAAGCTCAGCGTCCCCTGCCGGCCCTAGGCTCCTCCCCAAGCGGCTCGTGGATTGCACCGACCCCGCTCGACCACGGCTGTTTTCACCGACCAAAGAACACAGTGGATACGTCGCACTCAGCTACGTGTGGGGCGAAGACCAAGTTCACAAGACCACGACCTCGAACCTATCCACATATGAGCACGGGATCACCCCTTCCCTCCTCCCCGCCACCATCCGCGACGCGATCCGCCTCACGCACATGCTAGGCTTCCGGGCGCTCTGGGTCGATAGTCTCTGCATCATCCAAGATTCAGACGAGGACAAACTGCATGAAATCGGACGCATGCATCACATTTACCGCTATGCCCCTCTGACGATCATTGCTGCAAGCGCGGAGAGAGCCAGCGAGGGCTTTCTTTACAAGCGGCCTCCTCCTGCAGATGATTTCGCTATCCCCTTCATCTGCCCTCCACGTCCGCCGATCTTCCAAGCGGGTCACCGGGATGCCCATCCCCTAACGCAGTCGAAGGTCGGACAAGTGTACCTCTCTTCGGTTCAACGTTGCGAGTCGTTCCGCAGCATGTTTGGCCGCATGGCCACGCGTTCCTGGTGCTTGCAAGAGTACCTCATGTCTCCACGGTCCCTCATCTTCACCCCTAAAGCCGTCCTGTTCAGGTGCTGTACCGCTATGGTGGATGTTCAAGTTGGCCACTCACCCGACATCAGCACGCCGAGTCCCCGGCTACCCGACGCTCTCTTCCTCGCCATCCCTCCCACAGTAGATTCCGGTACCCAGGAGTGGAAGGACATACACAGAGCGTGGAATGAGATTGTGCAGGACTACAGCGAACGCACGGCCGGCGACGAGCTGGACAAGCTCGTCGCGTGCGCTGCGATTGCGGAGTCATTTCACCATGTCCTGGACTCCGACTACCTCGCGGGCTTGTGGCGCTCAGATGCGCTCCTCACCGACCTCCTATGGTCGGTCAGACAGGACCGGCTGTGCACCCGCCCGACAGTGTACCGTGCGCCGTCATGGTCATGGGCATCGGTCGAAGGATCGATCGAGCACTTTCCACCAGAGCTTACGGATCCTGTTAAAGGCTTCCGACATGTGGCGCTTGCGGAAGTCGTGGACTGCCGGGTCACACTCGAAGATCCTATGGTTCGCTTTGGTAGAGTGAGGGATGGCACCCTCGTTCTGCGTGGAACACCAATACCTTGCTGTGGCAAATCCGCCAAGCAAAACAAGCTGGCATCGGCACGATCCTGGAATGTGCCGGTCCCGTCTCTTGAGGAAGCACGGTGTCAACAATGGGGATTTGGCGACTCGCACTCGGATGAAGAAGATGGACTCCACTCGCTCAAACCAACCACCCTCACGACTGTCGATGTCCACGTGGACTGCGATGCCGAGGAACTGCCAGGGAGACTGTGGGTTGTCCCGTTTGTGCGGAGCGAATTTTTCGATCTCAAGACGGTATTGCACAACGGGATGGTCCTCGAACTGGCTCCCCCGTCGAATGACCCAAGATTTGAATGCGAGAATAGGCGTTTTCGGAGGATTGGGCAATTCCAGGATTTAGACTTTCCCTTTGAATCCGATGAGCAATATTACCGAGGCACTAAGCGCGCGGCGCTCGAGCACCTGTGGAATCCGCTAACTCGGGCTGTCCAAAACCGAGACTGCCCCTACCAGATGGACATTGTCATCGTATGAGTGGAACATGGACGGTAGCTTTCGCGCACAACATATGTGGTCAATTTTATCATGTAATACGTACTTCCTGGGAGCCCGCAATGTTCTTATGTATACTTTGTGATCTATGTAGGCCACAAATTCACTTTTAGGCGTTCTAGAGCTTCCCTGGACGTGCATTGTGTACTTTTAAAGTCACCTGCCGTGTCGACATGTTTTCAAGTCTGGGTTCCCAAGGCGTAGAGACCTTTTCTTGGCTAGCACTGTCACTATTGCAGATAGCCTACACGGTAATGCATGGTTTCTGTTGGTCGAGTCTGTGCCGTGACTGCAGTAACCACACATAGACACGTCGCATCTTCTCTCCGTCTTCAGATCATCGCTCCAGCAAGAAGACGCAAATGCAGTTCCGGCAAGCCCGCAATGCAGTAGAGCGCTTCCACTACCTTCTTCATGTTGCCCGTGGAACATAGGAGCAAATCTCGCGTTACGTGGTCGGCAGCAGTTTATCATATGCATGGCCACGGAAAACAGCAAGCGAGCCAAGCTAGTTAAAGATGAACTGCAGGAATGATGGTGAGCGTAAGTACAGCAGCGCAGCATTGAAAGCACTCGCCTGACTATTCCGTCTGTTTCGCATGCGATGCGACAGACGACACCATCCATGGATATGGAACGATGGCGCCAAGGCCCGGTGAGAAGCAAAGGGTGAGAAGCAGATGAAGAAAGAGTGCACTCGAATTTTGACGCGGTATGGCGGCTCAGGCCGAGCAGACCGACGAGGCCCTCCACTGAGTTCGGGATGAGTCGCTGTCCGCCGGCCCCGCGCACTTACATGCTCCGAAAGTGACTTCCGCGCGCGCGACCTTCACAGCGCCGCCCCCAAAGTGTGTCCACTGTCGAGCATTGCGTGCGCCACCGCCTCGCGCGCCGCCTCGACCTTGCGGACGTGCCCCATGGTGCGTTGTTCCGGACGATGTCGAGTCGACCCAACGCCTCGACGATCTGCGCTGGCTTGATACGATGTGGCGCGGGAGCGCGAGACCGGTTGGAGTGGTATTTTGCTTCCACGTCGTCGAGCGGCCGACAGTGTCGACCAAACTCCACTCTGTATATGTACGCAGCAATCTCGACACCCGGGCCTGCCACTAAGAGGTCCCGGAGTATTTTGTGCCGTCTCTCGCCTTCGGACTCTACCTGGTCTATCAGTATACACGAGCGCGGACGTAGTGGGCCGTGAATACCTATTAAAAAACGGCGGCGGCGCATTCGGAGCAGCGAAAGAGCACTTGCCGGGAATTTAGACACGGTTAGCGCAGCTGGCGTACATCGAGCGGCGGGGGCACCTACCGCAAGCGCGGCAGAGGGTGTGCTGCGATGAGCCGAGCCGAGCGTCCAGGAATACACGTGGGCACTGGGCGGAACTGAAGTCCTCCGCCACTAAACAGCCACGTTCACCGTCATCGCATGCAGCCCTGAGTAACGGGCAAAGGTGGTGAGGGTTCCTAGAAGTCCGAATGAGCTGTTAGAACGACCCCGTCGCAGGAGGAGCGCTATGGAGGATATACCTACCCAGATAATCTATTCCGCCAACGGAGCCGGCAGGAGTCGACACAACTTATATATAAGCAGCGAGTGTCATGATAGGTGGTGTGCATTTGCCCTGCTGGTGCATACGAGCAGCTGCTCCGTTCGCGAGGGCATCAGACACGCTCCCAGAGTGCGAGGCCGACGGAATGGAAGCCGGTGCAGCACAACCTAGCGCAACACGCGTGCATCAACAGCGTCGTATCGATCGGACATGTGACATGTACTATAGTATAGGGTGGGGAAGCGTTGACCCGTCTGGGAGATCGAAATACGCACAGATGCACGGCTTGCGGTTTCATGCCGGGTACACCTGCGAAGGCGAGGCTGTCGCTGTAGTTCGCGTTAGTGAGAACTAGTGCTCCCGATGTTATTAGTTATAAGGCGGTATAGCTTACCATTCAGATTTGGCACAAGGTGGCAGACGGGATGCGGTTTGAGGACAGACGGATCCCGGTGGGGAAGTCGCTGCATGTCGAGCGGCACGGCAAGCAGTTTGCGTAAGCAGCCGCGTTATGCGAGCCACGGGTTGCGCACATGTACTAGAGTGCAGTGCAGGATATGTGTGCAGGATCGTAAGTACGATACACTTAGAGGCAGACGGACTAGGAACGCACCTCAGGCTTGTGCAGTCTGCATAGCGCCGACATCCATTCCCGACATGAGACACATGGCTTCTGGGCTGTAGTGGGATCATAGGAGGGATAGCGAAGGATGAGGTAGGCTCGTAAGTGAAGCCAGCACTTTAGATTCAGCAGAGAATGGTCGTTCCTTTAGACAGGGTCGGAGGGAGACGATCGAGCGGAAGACGAGGGAGGTACGTGATCAAGAAAACACGCTTCGGATGCATGGCTGGCTGGTTGTGGGATCGAGGGCGAAACCTAGGGCAAGTATACGTATAGAGCTACTAGTCGAGTCGTTGAGGGAGAGGAAGGAGAAAGTGGTTCAAGGGCGATCGCGTCGACAGATCTTGATCGAGGCGTCAAACATGACGGATCCCGAGAAAGTCGGAAGAGATAATCTAGGCAAGCCTGCCGCCCAGCACCGCGGCCACCGCCGATGCGGACGCTCTCCCTTTCTCCTTTGCTTCTCCCCAAGTTGACTGCAGCGGCGATCGCCTTTCTCTTGACAAGTACTCCAACAATCAGCGTCGCCATCAATGGCTAGCGGCAAACACATGCACCAGTTAGACACCCCCGCTCTCGACATGCTCGGACGCGTAGTTGCCGAACCGAAGACCTGGGGTGGTCTTGCTATCAAAGGCACGAGCCTCGGGGCTTTGCTTGCTAGTCGAAGGTTGCTCGGTTATCGCCATCTGTGTACCGTCCTTTCCGCCCCAATACATGCAGCGTTGCCTTTCCCGTTGTATGCCCACGCGTATGCCGCTGCGAAGAACCAGATAGCGCTCGAGTCGAACACCAGTCCAGTCTTCGCGCTCTCGATCGATTTCCCCCATATGGAGGCAAGATTTGGCGGCTCAACACGAACGAGCATCGCCCACCTGTCAAGTTCCGGCTGCAAATGGCAGGTGTTCTCTGTACGGTAAGCCACACGACCTTCATCACATCGGGCTGTATAGCTGAGCGACAACCGCACAGCATTTGCATGCTGCGTGCGGACTGCTGGAGCCTGCGCTCACATCCTTCGTCGTCGTCGTCGTCGTCGTCGTCGACCGCTTACACCCATCCCAACGTATCCGCTCCCTTAGACCACCCCCTTTTCGAATTCTATGGACTCCACCTTCTCTGGGCTACCCTTCTTCCCTCTGCTCGTCTTGCCTGAGGAATCTACCCTCTGTCAGCTACCCTTCTTCTCTCAGGACAGCGTGGAGAATAGCTACCTACCGCCTCGACCTTCGTCTGTCTGCGAGGCATGCTGGGAGGGCCCCTTCGCCATGCGCTTGGGGCTTCCCCTAGTGTCGCCACGGACCGGACGATATTACCGGCGTTGGCCCGAAGAGATCTCGTACTCTACCACCTTGGCAAAAATGAAGTTTCGTACCGATGCAGGTTGCCTCTGGTGTCGGTTCGTCCTCCGCCGGGCGGCCGGCTACCGCTACTTCGACGAAACGTTGATGGTCACGGTGCGTGGCCGCGAGGGAGTGCGCCGGGGCGGCGGTTCACCGGGGCCAAAACCAGAATTCCAATGGATCTCTGTGGACATCAACAAACAGTCAAAATTCAATGGTGTATACGTGTACACGGGTTTCAGTACGTCGGTGCACGTACTGGCACTTTGAGTTTAGGTATAGTGATAGAACTGATAGATCTCATCAGATGACCCGGCGGAGCCCTTTTTCAAAGTACAAAACCCCATGCTAGACATAGAAGCTCCTCGTGTCCTGGCTCTCGCAAGACAGCTTGCCGACAAATGCGTCCACGGACATGAGGACTGCCAAAGCTCAGTGTCCCTTACTGGCCCTAGGCTCCTCCCCAAGCGACTCGTGGATTGCACCGACCTCGCTCGACCACGGCTGTTCTCACCGACCGAAGAGTACACCGACTACCTCGCGCTCAGCTATGTGTGGGGTGGAGACCAGGCTCACAAGACCACGACCTCGAACCTATCCGCGTACGAACACGGCATCCCCCCTTCACTCCTCCCCGCAACCATCCGCGACGCGATCCGCCTCACGCACTTGCTAGGCTTCTGTGCGCTCTGGGTTGATAGCCTATGCATCGTCCAAGACTCGGATGAGGACAAACATCACGAAATCAGACGAATGCACGATGTCTACCGCTATGCGCATCTAACCATCGTCGCTGCAAGCGCGGAGAGAGCCAACGCGGGCTTTCTCTACAAGCGCCCTCCCCAAGACGGTGACTTCGCTATTCCCTTCATCTGCCCTCCACATCCTCCAGTCTCCCAGGCTGGGTACCAGGACACCAACCATGCGTCGGATGCAGAGTCGCGGATTGGTCAAGTGTACCTCTCTTCGTGTGGACCATGGTTTCTGCGTCCACAGTTGTACCACACCGTGCTCGGACGCATGGCCACGCGTTCCTGGTGCATGCAAGAGTATCTGCTGTCCCCACGGTCCCTCATCGTCACCCCTCGAACCGTCCTCTTCAGGTGCCGTGTCACCATGGAGGCTGTCGGCAACTCACCCGAAGGCATAAACTCCGATCCGCGGCTACCCGACGCCCTCTTCCTCGCCGTCCCGCCTGCAGTGCAGCCCCGTTCCAAGGAGTGGCGGGACATACACGCCGCTTGGCTGCGGATCATACAAAACTACAGCACGCGCACGGCCAGCGACGAGACGGACAAGCTGGTCGCATGCGCTGCGATTGCGGAGCTGTTCCACCGTGCTCTGCGCTCCGACTACCTCGCGGGTTTGTGGCGCACGGACGCGCTCCTGATAGACCTGCTGTGGACTCCGTGGGGCAATAAGCGCAGGGTGTGCGCTCTCCCGACAGCGTACCGTTCCCCGTCATGGTCGTGGGCGGCGGTTGAAGGACCGATCATGCATCTTTCATGGATTACACTCGAAGACCCGCGAAACATTGCACTTGCGGAGATTACGCAATGCTGGGTCACGCTTGAAGATCCTGCGCTTCCCTTCGGGAGAGTGACGGATGGGACACTTGTTCTACACGGAATGCCTGTACCCTGCTGGGGTGGATCCGCTCGCAAACGGGGCTCAGGAGGCTCGACTTGGTGCATGCCACTGCCATCGTTTGAGGAAGCACAGCGCCAGCGATGGGGATTTGGAGGTTTGTGCTCCGACAAACAAGACGAAGCCGACTTGATTTTCGGACAAGGGGCCACCGCAACTGTCTCCATAGACGATTCGGATGTTGATGCACTGCCGGGGAGAATGTGGATTGTCCCGTTCGTGGGGCGCCGCGGCGGCCATGACGGTCGTTGTGAAACTCCCGGTTGGTGCCGCGGGATTGTTCTCGAACTGGCTCCCTCATTAAAGGACTCGGGATCGGACTGTGGAGCGATGCGTTTTCGGAGGATAGGGCATTTCTGGGACAAATTTCCAGCGGTAAAGGACGCAGCGGACTTGGGGCACCCACTATGGGAGCCGCTGACCCGGGCCACGGAGAACGGAGAATGCCCACGGATGGACATTATAATCATGTGAGTTGAGGATGGCGCTGGAAATGTGTCGCTGGACGCACTAGGATTGTGAGGTGGAGCATAGGCAATGACTTTCGCTCATGGCATACTACGCGGTCAGTTTCAGCCATGTTTTGTGTACTTTTTGAGTCCCTGCGACAGTTGTCTTATGATACTTCTTATCTATGTAATCTCACGGATCACTATTGGACGTCGTCGAGCTTCCCCTGACGTGCACTGGCCGATCTGAACGTAAAGTGATATAGAACAAGCCACCAGATGAACGAAAACATATCGCCACCGTACACCATCGTGGTCAACTCAGACCGTCGAGGACGCTTCGGAGAAGCGACACGCGGACACGGGTGCGAAGACGCGTCAGTGCACATCGCCACCTTCGCGCCGAGTTCCCCTGAACACTAGACGTTGTCTGCGCAGCTCACATACGTCTGTTCGGTGTGCAGCACGCTTACCTGCGTCTGTTCGGTGTGCAGCACGCTTACCTGGAGTGTAAAGAGGGCGTTCTGCGACGAATTGAGCCGGGAAGCGGGGATGAGGAAGCGGGGATGAGCTTGAGGTCCGAATCTCTTCCTGTCACCAAACGGCGGACGTTCTGACTTATTGGACGCGTTTATGAATGGCAAGTAGTGGTCGGTCGCGAGGGTCCCTGCAAGTCTATTATCAGAACGACGCCGCATGAAAGGTGGAACGGTGGCGAGACGCACCCGGATTGATTATATTCGTACTTGTCGACCAATAGACAATGTCGAACGGCGCCATGATGCGGGGATGTATGCGATCTGACCTTTTAGGATAGCGAAGACGTCAGGAGCGCTACCGGATTCTGAAGTCGACAAGATGGCCGCCGGTGCAGCGCAGCGAGGGCGCGGTTGATGATAGGTATGGTACGGAACCCGTGTCACGATGAACGCTTGTTACGAGATTCGTGGAAGCAGCATATGGTTGGAGAGGGAGACACGAGCGCAGCAACTTGAGCTACTTGCGTTCATGCACCCGGGAGTCGGGACACCTGTGATCGGGGGGATATTAGTGCATTTCAGGATCGCGTCCGCGCGGGTTGATGCTGCACATACCAACAGAGACGAGGAAGTTTCCCCTGCCGTCCGCGCCCGGCACGCGGTGGCCGAGAGCATACGGTGTGAGGACGTACGGAAGGTCCTTCAAGCCTGGTGTTCGGCATGGAAGACACAAGAGATATATGACACCAATATGCGTTCAAGCGGCAAGAACATCAAGCCCTACAGCCTAGCATGCCCAACTCGACTGAGGCAGAAAGAGTACATTGCGAGAGGATGGCCACGCAGGGAGGTCGTCAAGCGACCTGGACGAGGCAAACGCCTGGACGGCGCTGCGCGTGGTCAAACGGATGGAACACATCAGATGATGCTGACTACGATTGGGTCAAGATACTATAAGGCATACTCAAACGTCCAGCATCGAGGTAGAGGGAGGAAAAGAGTGAGGAGAAGCACCAGTCCAGTGGCCGGGGGATTTAACCTGCGGACACGTGCTGTGGCGCGTCGCGTCGCGTCGGAGATCTGAGATTCGATTCTGCGCCTCCTCCAAGCCCACGCGCTACGGACTGCGGTCCTACGACGTCCCGCAGTCCCTGTCATTGAAAGCGGTGGCCACACTCCGACCGCTAGCGGGTCCCTTACGCCAGGCATGGACTCATGTATTAGCGACCGGAGCGCAGCATGCTGCGCATGCATACTTAAGGACACCCACTGGCACTCCACGCTCAGGCTCTTCCATCACACTCGTATACCACTCGCGCCGCACTCCTTCCGATGCTGATCGCCTTCCTCTCCAACAACCCGCTCAACTCCGTCGTCGTGGACGCGGGCACGGGCCAGCGGCTGTACAACATCTGCACGCCCTATGGCGTGGGCAAGCGCAAGACGACGATCCACGACGCGTGGGGGCGGACGGTCGCGAAGTACAAGCGGCGGTGGGGGCGCGACCAGATCGAGCTCTACGGGATGACGAGGAGCGTCTCGAGCTGGCTGCCCAGCGATAGTCTGTTCACTAGGTAAGTCCGCTGGGCTCGTTTCACGAAAGGCGATGCTGATGTTCTTCGCGACATAGTTCGAAGAGGTTCGTTGCACCGAACGGCAGGATGTATATCTGGAAGAAGCTATGGGGCAAGAGCAAGTTCAAGGTGCGCTCATTCACCCCGCTCTGCCTTCACGTCCGCTGCTCACATATTACCGTCCAGCTCGTCGACAGCCACACGAAACAAGTAGTAGCCAGGTCCCGCTATACCCGATCGAGCCTCTGGTCGTCCAAGCGAATATCCATCGAGGTCGACCCCCAGGTCGTGCCCGTCCTCGACGCCATCGTGCTGTCGTTCATCATCTGCGAGAAGGACAGGAGAGACCAGGAGGAAGCGACCGTGACCTCTTCGGCCGTCATCGTATGACGGACCAGGATATCGATCTCGGTGTAACTTATGGTGCTTCACCTCGCCGCGGACTGGATTGGACGGTGTACGTACTGTATAACAGACATCAGTTTAGTCGTATTTACGATTTCATGTACCAGTACACACATTTGAAGTACAGGGTGTAACAGCACGGCGCCCTGGCGCTCTCGCTTTCCAGCTAGCACCCGCGAACATTGGGCACACCGGCCGAGCTTCTACATCCAACTCCAGGACTCACCTCATCGCAATGAGATCACATACAAAGCCGCAGGCCGCAGTGCACCGTAGAACAGATCCCAGATCTGTCTCACGCCACGAAGCTCTTGCCTGCGGCACGTGACGGTGCCCGAAGACGCGTCGCGTCGCGCGTCTGACTCTGCCAGATCCGCGATGACGCCGTTCTGCGCCTCTCTCTTCACGCCGCTAATCATACCGCCGCACCGCCGCACCGCTGCACCGCTGCACCGCCAGCGCGCCTCACGCACCTCCCGCGCTCCGCCATGCCAGCTCAAGAATAACGGACAATAACGGCCCTCACCGCGGGTTGGCACGGCTACAGATGCGGACGAGTAATTGGGAGCGGCAGGGTCGCGCTCATACACGAACCCGCGCAAGCGAATTTGTTTCGACCTCTCCCGTCCCTCGCCCATCGCACGCCGCCCGCCACCCTGTGCGGTGGTCGTGCGGTCCCGCGCCCAGGAGGCGGTGGCCTCCGTCACTCCCGCGCGTTTCGACCGTCCCCGCTGCCGTCACCATGACCGCAGCGGACGCGGAGCGCGCTGTGGTGCGCCGTTTAAAGGCGCACGACAATGTGCCCCCCGGCCCCGCACCCCCCCTTCGTCCGTCGCCCGTCTATTTCTACTCATTCTTTAACTCCTTCTCGTATTCGTACTCTTCCTACTCCTCCTCTTTTGCATCTACCCTCTCGTTTGCCCTACTACTGCTATCCCAATGGAATTCGACGCCGCCCCGATGGAAGTCGCGTTTCTGACCGACGACCCGCTCGACTCCGTCGTCATCGACGCGCTCTCGGGCGACACGCTCTACACGATCAAGACCTCGCCCAAGCTCGCGTTCGGGAAGCGCACGACGACCGTGTGCGACGCGCAGGGCCGCGCGATCGCGCAGTACAGGCGCCGCTGGGTCCAGGACCAGGTCGAGCTCAACGGCGTCGCGAAGAACGTGAACAGCTGGCTCCCGCGGGACGGCCCGTTCTCGAGGTGAGTTGCTCGCGACTTGGTGCGCGGGGCCAGTGCTGACCGCTAGGATTGCCGCACAGTTCGCGGGGGTTCCTCGCGCCCAACGGACGGACATACGTCTGGAAACGCCTCTGGGGCCAAAGCAGGTTCCAGGTACGTCCCCCTCCCACCTTCCCTCTCACCCAAGCACTCACCCACGACATACAGCTGATCGACCGCCAAACCGATCAAGTCGTCGCCCAATCCGAGGGCGCCTCCCCCACGCGCTGCATGGGCATCGAGTTCCTCTCCGCGGTCGCGCCGATCCTCGACACGCTCGTGCTCTCCTTCATCATCTGCGAGGACGACCGGCGCGACCAGGAGACGCTCCTCGCGCCGACCGCCGTGGACAGCGAGTGAGCGCACCGTGGGATGTGCCCCGACCTCTATCGATATCGTGAATCTTCGCAGCCGCGGCCGTCGAGCCGCAGGCGTAATTATTGGACGGAGCCCTTTAGTATATAGTGTAGACCCTACTATTGTAGCGCAGACCCGTGTCGCATAGTCGTAATCGTAATCTCCGCGTATGTGTATGCATCAGAACACACTAGGACCGACCTCAGCCCCTCGAGCCGCCTCAACGTTAGCAATAGCATGATCACGCAAGTATGGTGTTCAAGAGTCCATAGAGCCTCTAGAGCCCGAGATGTATATCACATAACGAGGATGCTGCATACACAGACGGGGGATGCATGCGAAGAGAGGAAGAGGGGTAGGAAGAGACCAATAATAATACGCGAAACCGCCAATAGTAGGGTGCACAGTACACTACGTTTTGGGCGTCCACGCAGGGACGCCGCGTGGGTCTGTACAAACAGAGAGGAGCAGATTATAGTGAACAGCGAATGGTGAACGGCGGGTGGGGTGTCGGTAGGATGAGAGAGGGAGAGGGGGTGCGGTTGTCGAGGCCGAAGAGCGACAAGTGGGAATGCTGGCGCGCAATGCGCGCAGGTGTATGCGGTCCATGCAGGTGGTTCGAGAAGAATGAGAAGAGACTAGACGCTGATAGTGCAAAGAGAAAAACAGGAGACGAATACAAGTGAGCGCAAACATGCAGCGTACAAAGCGACGACGGGAAATGCAAAACCAGCAAACGGCAAAAGACAACACGTAGACCACAACGAAGAAAGCGACGGCGGCGCAGACGGTCCGGAAAGGAGGTGGTGCTATGGTGCAGGGGTGGTGGCGACAGAAGGCTGGGACCGGCTCGCCCACGCGAACAGCTGGCGGACGTCGCTGCTGGGCGGGGTTTCCGCTGACTGCTTCGGCTCGACGAGAAGACTGAACGCGCGAATGAGCCGTCTGCGCGCGCTCGGGTACATGGGGACACTCACCTCCGCCGATACAAGTCCTGCAGGTCGCCCCGACGCTGAGACTTGTCGAACGCGTCCCGGAGGTAAGCTTGGACCTCAGGGATCTCTTTAAGGTTGTAAGGTACTTGGAAGCGTTGCATATCTGGGCATTGCGCATGAGGGTTGAGTTCAGAGCAAACCGGAAGAGAAGACGCACCTTGGACGATACGCGCGAGCTTGTGGTACTTGTTAAAGTTGATGAGCTTCTTCTCAGGCGCCTTGGGCGACGTCCGATGCGAAGGGTTACCCTCCCGGCAGAACGTCAAGTCCGTCAAGTAGAGCCCTATTTTCAGTAGCGTTAGTGAGTGCTCCCAAATTATGAGAACACAGAGACATACCGAGGAAGGGAACCGCCGGCGGCGCGGTATTCCGCAGCCGCGAGCGGTACTCATGGTAATTCCTCGCGTGATCAGCGAGCTTCCGCAGCGACTCCAACTGGAGCTTGTTCTTCTGCGGCAGACCCTACAATCCGACCCATCAGCACACAGCTCTCCATCCCTTAGCACATCAAACAGCACTCACCACCCACGTCTGATGCAGCCTCGCAATCGTCGACGAGTCCAGCGCAGCCAAAATCGACCGCGGCGTGCTATAGTTCTTCAGCGACACGCACCGGTCCGCAAGCTTGATGAAGAACTTCACGAGCGCCGTGCGCCGCTTCGTGTCCGGCTCGTTCAGGATGCTCTCCGCGACCCAGCCCGTGATCGCCGTGCTGAGCGACGTGAGCGCCTTCACGGACGCCGGCGCGGGGCCCCCAGAGTCGAGCAGCTCCGCGGGCAGGATCGCGCAGTACAGCGTGCACTCCATCGTCGTCAGCTGCCGCGCGAGCTCGAGCGCGTCGAAGTCCGTCACCGCCACGGACGCGAACGCGCCGCTGCGCAGCGCCGCGAACACCGTCTTCGTCAGGATCGGGCGCGGGACCTCGGAGATGGGGCCCGGGAGCACGACGGGCGGGTTGAGCATCATGCCGGCGTCGCGCGTGCGGTCGCGCTCGCCTGTGGAGAGCGAGACGTTCTCGGACGAGTTCATGCGTTGCCGGATGAGCTCGAGGATGCGCTGTGACGGCCCGGGGAACATCACGGAGAGCGCTTCCTTCGTGAAGGAGACGAGCGTAGGCACGATGACGCTGTCGGACGCGTGCCGCCAGTAGCCCTCGACCCAAGTCTTGATGAAGTTCGAGACACGGAGCCGCACGGGCAGACCCTTGCGCTGCTGCCACAAACGGAGGTCGGCATCGCAGAGGCCAGGGGGAGGAAGGATGTTGTAGCGCTCGACGACCGCATCCAGGAGGGCCGCGGGGGTGGTGAACAGGCGGAACGTCATGAAGAACACCGCCGCAAACGGCGGCTCGACGAGAGAGTCGTGGGGCGTCATGCGCTCGACAATGGCTTCCAGCGTAGCACCCACGAGCTGACCATCGCTGTTGTACGCGACGTCCTCCGGAGCGTGATCGTGGGGGAACGTCCAGGGAAGCACGGCAGTCGGGAGCGATCCAGGCACAGGCGGCAACTCGCCGCTCCTCAGCTTCGCCTCGAACGACGCCACGCTTGGCGCCACACTGTGGCCCCGCGCGCTGCCCTCCCATGTCGTCCGGTCATCTTCGGTAGGCGCGTATGACCGCACGGACAGAACATCCGAGCGCAGAGTGTCGATCGAAGGCCGGCCATCGGAAGGCGGCAGAGGAATCGCATCGGCACTGAGGGGCGTAGTAGGCGTCGGGGGCACGCTGTCCTCTGCCTCGCTGTCCAAACGAGGAAGCGCATTGGGCAAACGCGAGGGTGAAGTCGACGGCGAAGGAGGCTCCTCGGTGATCTCGATCTCCTCCATGGTCCGCCTCTTCGCTGTCAACGTGTGTTCCGTCTCCTCCACGCTCTGCGCCTGGATAGTCATGTCCTCCTCGCCCTCCATCCCGTCGCCCACATACGGACTGTGCAGCACCGCGAGACTGCTCGCTCTGCGTATCCGCGGGCCGCTGCTCGCAGACGACGCACGATGTGCGTGCGAGAACTTGCGTGGTGTGTAGGTGCCAGCCTCAGGTGCAAGGAGCCGGAAGACGAATGGTCGCTCGCCCGTTGCACGTTGTAGGCACCGCTTCACCGCCGCGACGCAGTCCGAGCCGGCCTTTAGTGAGTCCGTCGCGCACCGCAGCAACCGCGCCTTCTCCTCCTCCTCGGATGCGCCGTCGGGCGGGGGCTCGGCGAGGGCGCGGACCGAATCCGCGAGCGTGCTTGTTACGCTATAAACGCCCTCCCTCGCCCCACGCAATGCATCCGCCTTCTGTGTTGGGATCTCCGGATGTTGAAGGACGGCCTCGACGATGGCAAGTAACCGGCAAACCATATCAACCACTTCCTTGACGAGTTCGTACATATGCCCCGTACTTGACGCGTGCGAGGTGCGCGAATGCGAATGCGCGTGCCCGATGAACGCTGCGATGGTAGAGAGGAACGCATCGTGTGTCGTGCGAAGCGCGTCAGTGAGCTCGGCGCTCGTCACAGGGCCGAGCGGGAAGACCGGGGTCGCAGGCGCCCCGCTCGAATCGCTCGACGAGAAGGAAGAAGATGAGGAATTGCTGCTGATCGAATCTTGCGCCGCTTTGTGTCCGAGCGCGAAGCTGCTCGCGACACGCCGCGCGGGGGTGGCGAGCTGTTGTTCGGATAGTTTGTGTTGCGCCACGCGCATCGCGCCCGCGCCCGCGGGTAAAGGGGGGTAGTCCGTGCCCATCGCGGCCCGTTTCGAAACCTTCAGGTCCCCAAGGCTCTTCGGGCGCGTCGGTGTACTGGTAGCGGTTATCCGCCTCTGACGCGTCGCGATTCCATTTGAAGACCGGCCGGGTGTTGCGAAATAGTCGTCGCTCGCGTCCTCATCCTGCACCAGTGTACCGGACTCCGAAGACGTGCGCGCGATCCGAGCCCCCGCGGCAGGGAGGTTGACGCCACACTGGACGGCGAGAGCAAGGAACCCGCGAACGTGGGCGAAAAGCGCACCTGCTAGACGTACCATAGTCTGCACCTCTAGCTCCCGCGGTTCCTCCGAGGTGTTATCGTCCGATGCTAGTTTCGCCTGCGAGACCAGCGATGCAAGGTCGGACAAGACGCGTTTCCGCTCCTGCGCTAGTACGCCATATCGTTGCAGTACCGGCGCGTCGCGCGATAGGCATCCAATCGCAGCGAGCAAAGCGCGTACACAGGATATGATACACGCCGTCGCAGGCTGGAAATGTTGTACACGGTTCATCCGAACAGCGTTTTGCAGCAGAGAGAGACCGCGCAGCAGTGGGAGCATGAGTGGGGGACAGTGCATATTGACGCTTGCGCCGAAGGTACTGGCAGCCATTGGGCGTTGGTCGTTCCGAGCGAACGGTGTCTTGCCCTTGCGTGAGGATGTGCTCGTCCACGACGTTGTCGAGGACGTAGACATGTTGTGACTATGTGCTGAGCGGGGTTTCTGGGGGCGGCGAGACGAGGGTCAGCATATTCATATTTGTGCACCGAGGCGGGGCTTCGAAGATGGAAACTGCAATAGAATAGAAGCCAGCTTGAGCGTAACTACGACGTGCAGCCGCATCGGGGGTTCGTGGCGCACCAAGGATCCTGTGATACAGGATCTGCGGCGTTTATGGCAGATGCAGGTGTCCTGAAGATCGCTGAGACACCCCGGTAAATCCGCAGATGACCTCCACGTTCGATAATGTTCATCGTTAGGGCCCGGAGCGAACAGGACCAAAGCCTCGTCGGCCATATCCCGTCGTACCGGAATCGAAGGCAACGGGTTTCGCGGGGACGGCGTCACGATGCCATTCCAAGATGGGCTAGACGCCCCGTAGAAGCGCGTCCCTGCGCGCGTTTGCTACGCGTCGCCCAAATTGAACGACTGCGCCCGCGGCCATCGCGTTTCCTAGCTTCTCGTCCCCGAAGGATGACGCGCCTGCGGATGCTGCCCGAACCGACTGAGCATTACACACGAAAATAACTCACCTTCGCGCTAGGCAACTCCTCCTCTGTCAACAGACCAACCTCGGAGCTGACATAGTTGCTCGGAAACCAGCCCCGGCGTCCGTCTAGCTCTCCATCCCACCAGCCGCTCGTGTCGCGATTGATTACATGGATAACTTGGCCTGCACGGAAGCTGAGGCACGTCACATTTTGCTGTTGCGGCGCGAAGTCGTGCATCGCGAGGACGTATTCTTGTGTGTCGTTGCCCTCGTCCTCCGAGCCGGAGTCCACTGCGTCCCAAGTAGAGTCGATGGCCGTACTGCTTGCAACATAGGCCGCATCGCTTCCAGAGTAGGCCGCAGTATATGCCGACGTAGATGTAGATGGGATAGGATAATGCGCAGCGGGCGTAGCAGAGAGATGTGTCGAGGCTGTAGAGGGCACACGAGACGCGGTAGACATTGCGGAGGAGGCGGAGGCAATAGAGGGACTTCGGAGACGACGCGAGGAGCTTGCTGCGCTGCGAGATGTGGATGGGGTGCGGGGGTCATTGCGCGAAGGTGCTCGGCCCGAAGATGGGTCGGCGAGGGCAACTGAAGTATCGATGCGCAGGTGAGATGCGGGGAATGGCATAGTGCGCGTGTGGTCGCCGGCAGGACCAGAGTAGTGATGATGGTTGCGTTTTGCGTTTGCTTGCGTGTGGATATTAGTTGAGACGTGCGAGGGTAGGAGGTCGAGAGCAGGACGAGAGCGAGGTCGAAGCGAGGATCGGGGCGCACAAAACTAGAGCAGCGAACAGCGAGGGTATGTGGGACGCGGATATCGTGGTGGTAGATGTCGTAAAATATGGAGGCGTGGCGTTTGGATGGACCCCGGGGTGGAGGGGAAGAGCCGGGCGAAGCGAAGCGCGAGGACTCGGGGGGAGGAAGGTGAGGAAGACCGCTGCCGGCAAAGCACTCGGGTCGAGGTCCAAGTTCGGATTCTGTCACGAACGCGTGACCCCCGCGCCAGGCCGACGCGTCGGACGCGTCACATCAGGTCACATCCTAGCAAGGCTAGCATGTGTTCCCCGAGACGGAGCTCGCGTCCACGCCACATCTCTCTCAGCCACAACTTCGCTAACAGACCACGACTCGCTAAGTCTGCCCTTGGTAGTACTGGCGTCGCTGCGACGGAACTCTTTGGCGCCTGGCGCTGCGCTTTGGGCTCCTGGATCGTGGCTCGCGCTTGGCACGCTGGCACATCCTCTTGAACCCCTTCAATCTTCGAATACCATGCTGAACGTCGGCTTCGCAATGCGTATCACTGTGAACCTCTTTCTCTTCCCGGTTAATTAGCATGCATGGACCCTCTCCTTTGGTACGCCACATGTGCGACTCGCGGATGCCACATACGGGGCAAACCAATCATCGCATACCTGCTGTACGTATTCAATCCACCGTTATTGCTACGGCTTTGACCCATAGGTTTCTTCATAACAGGGCAAAACGACATCGTGGATCGTTCCCCTGCCATCAGCGCGCCGAGCATTGACTCATCACCCTCCTCATCACCTAAGCCTTGCTTATGCACACAAATATGTGCCCCGTTCATATGCGGGCTGCAAAGCCACTGAGTAGCTGTCAAATACTGAGCCACCCAACTATCTCGGTCAGGGATACGTCCAGTGGCAGTATTTGACGTCGGATAATTTCTCAGAATTTCGTGGCAAAGCAATACAAGTGAACATCTGTTGTGAGCCCTTACCAGTTGATCAAACAGCATGCGAACCCACAGAACAGGATGTTGCAACATTGAGTCGCCTCGGTTCGTCGTGTTCTTGAACCACACAACACGTCACTGCCACCTAGTGCTAACGTACCGGTGGACACGATATTTTGTGGACCTTATACACAAATCCCCTGCCTCTGAAGGTGTCTGACCTTCAGCTAGTTGCCCTTCCAATCGACCTCAGGTTTGTCGTGGTCACAACGATGTTAGTTAATGGATGTCGATGAGTTCTAAGACCTCGGAATTGCCATATATCGCAGCGGCGAATCGCACGGGTGCTGTACGTATACGCGTATACCTAGTCCGTCTCATCCGCGATCGTAACGCCATCGATTGACCTTATCGTCGCAGGTCAACCTCCCGTTTGCAAACAGAGGTCCAGTCCACTCGTTATCTCTGTCACCCACTTATCTTGGCTGCCCCGCACGCGGGGTAATTTCCAGTATAGGAGTCATTCTATGCCTAGCTGCTTCTCTCCGTACGGCCACCTTGAGCTCTCTGCTTAGGCCCTCAACCCTTCCCTAAGATCTGGGACATAGCGACTCTCAGAGCAAGGGAAGGTCATCGCAAGATCAAGATGTCTTGGCGCCTGAAGAACGCGGTCACCGGACTGCCGCGCTTGACGCTCTTTGGCCGCTCCGTCCTCCTACTCGCCGCAGAGCTCCTCGCAAACGCCGTGTGCTGGATCGTGTGCGGTATTCTCTTCGGGCGTCGCGCAGAGACACGTTCCATCCTCTCGCTTGCACTGCTGGCATGGGTCAGTGCATTGTGTTACTGTCAGCATGTTCAGCGTGTCAATGACGAACTGGTCCTGCTTCCCCTTCGCTATGCGCTGGTCTAGACCATTGGACTTCGACATGGTACGTGCTTTTTCTGGCCTATGTGCGGGGATAGTGAGCGACGCGTGAAGACCGCGACTCGCGGTCAAAAATCCGAGTTTAAAGGGCTATCCTTAGAGACTTCCGTACTTGTCGGATTCACTCTACCGGCCGTCCTTTTAGTAACATGGTTTGAATGTTGTAACTCCTACTAAACTACGCCTTCAGCCCTAGATGCAGATCATATCAGGTACCCCTTCTACCACCGTACGTGCCACGCTAAGCCCTCTCTCACCTTCTGGTTGTTAATCCGCGTCTCGTTCGCTGTTAGGGCCCGCTATTCTCATACAGACCGCCCACCACTGACACTGAGCCCGCCAAAGCGCCATTGACAATGCGACACGAAGCCTCATCAACATGGGACAGCTCCCGGTGACATGCGGCCTCTTCTTCTCTCTCGGCCACAGCACCATCGTGATCGTGGTGGTAAGCCGCCCCGGTCCCCGCGCCTTCCATCCCCTCACGCACACGTAAACGGACCTTTTTGACAGAACGTCGCCATCGCCATCAGCACGGACGTCTACAACCACATCGACGGCGTCGGCGCGGTGGGCGGAATCGTAGGTACGCCGCGCGCCTCCCCCACTTCGCTGCCGTTCGCCGCTCATAAATGCGGCGCTGATGTGCGTCCGTCCAGGCGCCGCCGTCAGCGCAAGCTTCCTGTTCATCGTCGGCCTCGCCAACTCCATCATCCTCTTCCGTGTTCTCCGCAAACGTCGCCGGGTATGTGCAGCGGACGGCTCCGACCCGTCGGACTGTTGACACAAAATCTTCTCGCACTTTATAGTTACACTTGCGGCGCGTAGCGCGCACAAGGACCGGGGAGACGGCGGAAGATGCAGGGGCAGACGAGGACGAGGACCTCAAGGAATCGCACGGGAACACACTCATGATGAAAATCATCGGGCCTGTCGTGACCTTCGTCGACCGGCCGTGGAAGATGTACCCCGTCGGGGTGTTGTTTGGGTTCGGTGAGCCCCCCGTCTGTTGTGACTTGTGTCCCGTCGACTGCGGCTCACACTAAGATGCACCCACAGGGTTCGACACCGCGTCGTCCATCGCGCTCCTCGCCATCTCCGCGATAGCGCAACGCCAGCCCGACGGCCGTCAGATCGCGCCCGGTGATATTGTCGTCCTCCCGGTACGTTTTGAGTTCCTTCAGGAGGTGGCCTCTCGTGTCCGGTTCTGACGTCGACGCACCGTTTCAGTTGTTGTTCACAGTGGGCATGACGCTCATCGACTCGATCGACTCTATCATCATGCTGTACTCGTACGCCGGCTTCCCCGAGCGGGGGTTCGCACTGCTCGAACCCCGGACCCGCGCCCCTACTTTCCCGCGAACTAGGACTCCTCCCGAGGCAGGTCCCGAACGGAACAAGAGCCAGGTCGATGTTGCGGAGGTTGTTCGTGCGGACGTCGACGTCAAGGACCCTCTGGAGCAAGACCCAGAGAAGGTCGGCACGGTGGACGCAGTAGACGCAAGAGCAGATATCAATGAGCCTGTCCATCAGCGTACATTGCGCGTCAAGCACAACGCGGTATCGAACCTTAGCATCCTGCTCACCCTCATGAGCATCATGGTCGCGTTCAGGTTAGCGACCCCAAGAGTTGCGCCGCTGCTCTAGCTAACCATTGTTGCTTGTGCCAGCATTTCCCTCATCACTGTCATGGGTCTGATTGGAGACAATTGCGCCCCTTGTCAAAAAGCGGCCAACGCGGAGGATGGCGGAGGGCTTGCGGGACGCTGGTGGAGAGGCTGGGCGAACGTGAGTCGACGCTTCTTCAGGATGCGCACATCTTCTGACAAAGGCTTGACAGGCCAACGACAAGAGCGGATACATCGGCGCCGCCATCGTCGGCTCGTTCATTGCCGTGGTGTTGGGCTGGTACGGCGCGCGCTTCCTCTACAGAAAGTGGCAAACCCGTCGGGGCCGTGCGGCCACAAAAACAGAACAGTGAGGATATTCACGGTATGATACAACGGGATCCAAGCGCAAGAGACAGCAGCTACAAAAACACTGTATTACAAAGGGCAAAAGCAAATGTATCACATACTGCATTCCACCACGACGCACTTTATGACGGGTCGTCCACCAAATCCGCAGGCGCGAACATGTACCGCACGGTCCTGTCGTTTCTGTAAAACGGCGAATCGGACGCCTCATAGTTCGGCTCCTCCACGCTCCCGCGCACCCTAGCTGCGTGCTCCGTCTCGCGCATAACAATCTTCAGCCGTATGAGCTGGTCTGCCTTATACGGCGCATATACAGGCGCGGGCGGCGCGTGTCCGTGTCCATGGCCGCCTCGAGAATGGGAGTGGTGGGGGTGCGGAGACGACGGCGTGGCGGGGGATGTGTTCGCAGCGGGGTTTTGGGAGAAAGTGATGAGGAGGTCGACGACCGCGTGCGCGATCTCTTCAATGTCCGCAATTTGCACCTGGAACTGCTTCTCCCATTCGCCGGATTTACTGAGCGTCGCGGCGATCTCGTGGCTGGTGTGCTGGTTTGGGCGCTCGGGGGACGTGCCCTGCTCGAACGACTGGAGGAGCGCGGCAAGGTAGAGGCAGCCGACCGCGACCACGTGTGGGGGGTAGGATAGGTTCACGAGGGTGCGGAAACTGAGCGCGAGTGCTATGTTAGCGCGACGGGGCTTGTCTTAACACAGGAGGAGCGTACCTGTCTATTGTCAGACGATATGCCAACTTTGAAAGCTTCTTGGACGCTTTATTTCGCAATCAGTACGCGTGCTATGGGCTGAAGAGAACGGCTCGTACCTCCAAATGCCCGGCTAATCTTGATGATGTAGGGGAAGGGTAATCGGGAGGTGAAGTTGAAGCATATACTCTCGAGCATGAGCCTCTCCACTGCGAGTAGCCTCTGTCGATCGTTCTCCACCGTCTGAATGGGGGTGAGCATACATTATCGGGACATAAAGCAAAGCTGCGCACCGCAGGGTCCATCTCAATTTCCCCTCCCATAGACCTGGCTTTCGCTGCGAGTTCGGGGAAACGGACGGCATACGCCACCATGAGGATATCCCTAGGTTTCTTCAGCGTGTCGTGCATCTTGGAAGACACGAACATAGCACCGAGGGACACGTCCTATGGGCGAGTATTAGTAAACCACCAGGACGCGAGGTATAATATGGAACACGCACATGGTACCCGAAGTCTTTGCGGGGAAAGAAGAGATAGAAGCGGTGATAAAGATTTTGTGCGGTCGCAATGGTCTTCCTCGGGCTGGAATCTGTGGGTAAGCCCCTCCTCGTGAAGACACTGAACACAAGTAGAACTCACAAGCCGATGCCTAACCCGACAGCTTCGATGAAGCCACATGCCTGCTGCCTCGCCTTCTCTTCCTGCGTTATGGAGAGCTTCCCACGTTGCTTGTCCGACAGTTTCTCGACCTCACTGGGAGTGAAGTATGGATGATGGAACTTGAGGTGATTTGCAGGGAGGAGCTGCGGCGGATCCCTGTAATACTGTGCCTCCACTGCAAACATAGCGTATAGTCCAAACTAGACCTTCACGACCAGAGGGAGAGCGAGAGAGAGAGAAGATATGTGCACTTGTATTGTAGTGGAACCGTCTTCGGTCCGCAAGTACAGTGAGGATCGAGAGGAGAGAGGCGTGAGCACAGCGAGAGATTGTATCATAAGTCTCAAGTAAAGGATAATAGAAATCCCAATCATGCCGAATAAGCAAGACCTTACAAGATTTATAGTCCCCTTTGAGCGACTTACTATCAACGTCATTAGTTTATTGCCCTATGAGCGCCTACACACCTTGGCCTCGATCCACACCTCCGCGCTCGCATGGACGCGGACCTCGCTTTCCCCGCCCTCGTAACTGCTAGACTTTTGCTTGCTTTCGCGCCACTCCCAGATGCTTTGAAATACGACCAGCAATTGTCCTCCCCTCTAACGTCCTACTCTCGGTGTGCGCCGGTTCATCACCTGCTGTGTGGTTCCCGTGGCTAACTGGTGTAGTACGCGAGGGCATATACCTGTTCAAACATGGGATTGATCCATACTCCGGAGGGTCATTCAGACATGTAGGTCTCAGCTGTATGTGCTGAAAAGGACGACCTCTGACGCGTACGCAGTCTCCGTTACTGCTATCCCTGTTCTCCACAGTACTGCCGTTAACGCCGTACACGTCGGCAATACTCTGGACGGCCGCGGACTCTGTAGCAGCATGGGCCCTCGTACGAATATGGAGACTCAGGACAGGCGCAAAGAACACGTCAAGAGACAGGCAAATCGCCTCTCTGTGCGCACCTTTCCACACTGCCTATCAAGCGTGAATTTACGAGAACGCCCACAGTTACCTATTGAATCCCTACATCTTCCTCCCTAGTCTTGCATTATCTACCTCGTCAATTGAGAATATGCTCTGTCTACTCGCAATCATGTTTGCATGTCGAGGTGGGTGCTTAATCAAAATATCTCCCCCGATTCGTCCTGAAGGACACCGTGCAGGCCGGGCATCCGCGTCTCTCTTCGCACTCGCGAGCCTAGTGCAGCTGTCTCTTCCCTCAATACTGCTCCTAGCACCTCTCCTGCTCTTGCACATCACACGACCCGTGTCTCGCCTTGCGTTGCCTCGGCCATTTGATGCCCCATTGAAGAAGACAATACCCCTTCTTGCAGAATTCCTTGGCTATACTGCGCTCCTCACCTTTGCATCGACCTTGGTTTGCGGGAACTGGCTGTGGGTAGAAAAGACATGGGGCGCCTCGTGAGTTTCGATGTAACTCGGCGGAAAAGGTTGCTCACGATCGAAATGCAGGCTAACGCTGCCCGACCTTACACCAAATCCGGGACTTTGGTGGTATTTCTTTACGGAGATGTTCGACCACTTCAGGCCGTTCTTCTTGATGGTCTTCTCTGTGAGCACGACTTGGGTACCGACATTCCCGCCCGAGCCTCACCTGCTATCTAACCTAGGTACACCTGCTCATCTATATCGCGCCGATATGTATCAAGTTCCAGTAAGCTGCCACCGCTCGAGACTCGTCCCCTATATACTAATTTGGCCCGCACTAGACACGATCCCCTTTACGCCGCTTTCCTCCTGGTGGGCGTACTGGCGGTGTTCAAGCCGTACCCCACGCTCTCCGACCCGGGACTATTCCTCTCGCTCTTTTCGATCTTCCCCGAGATATACCCATGTCAGCGCAATTGTCCCTTTTATGTGTGCGCTTATCTGACCTGCCCTCATCTAGACCTGCGACATCCGATCGTCACAGCGCTCATCCACCTCCACGCTTCGCTGCTTCTCCCCTTGTTCAACAGCCTATGGCTGCGGCAGGGTACGGGCAATGCCAACTTCTTCTACGCGTCGACGCTTGTGTTCGGCGTGGGCAACGGCGGGGCGTTGCTGGACGCCGTATGGGCAGGGCTGCGGATAGCTATCGGTGAGCTGAAGGAGGGGTACGAGGTTGCACAGGAGTGACGCAGCAATGTCCACGGTGACCTCTCATATATATTGTGATACTATGCGACTGAGCTTCCAGGTGTGCCGAAGACCGGGTGTATCAGACGAGACCATTCTGGCAATGAGCCTGCGTGCCTGCATTCGGCGTCGCGATGATAGGTCGGTTTGTATATAAACTTCCATCTTGTGTATATGATGATCTCGACTACACTGACGACAGTAGATGCACTCATCGACCGGATTGCGCCCGTTGAGGGACATGGTGCCATAAACCATCATACGACGGCTACGGTTGCCGCCGTCGCTGCGTTCTTGCCCCTCCTGTTCTTCTCGCAGATGATGAAAGACAGCACGACGGCGTCCAGGATCGGCACGGCCTGTGGACTGATCTCGAGGGACATACGATCGGACGGCCGAAGGACCGACCGGGCACCGGAAGACTTCGCCACGAGCTGTTGCGTCTGGTCGTCGACGAGCTGGACGTCGCCGAAGCAGGGTGAGTGCCCCGGTTTCAGATCGCAGGAGAACTGTGCAGGCGCACCTCGAACTCGCTCGTGCCCCACTGCTTCTTCCAGACATATGTCCTGCCGTCCGGCGCCACGAATCTCTTCGAGCTACGCCGCGACGTATATGATCAACACCGGTCCTACGTTATGCAGACGAATCGAGTACGCCCACCTCGAGAACACCCCGTCGCTGACGAGCCAGCTGGACACGTCGCGCGTCACCCCATGCAGCTCCACTTCGCCGCGCCCCCAGTGCCGCCTGTACAGCGCGACGGTCTTCCCCGCCGCGTCGCACACCGTCGTGGCGCGCGTCCCCAGCGTGCGCGGCGTGGATATGGTGTACAGCGTCTCGCCCGTCGCTGCGTCGACCACGGCGGAGTTCAGTGGGCTGTTCGAGAGGAAGTCGAGCTGCATCGCGGTGAGGGTTAGTATGCGAATGGGGTGCGCAGCGTTTGCAAAGGGCTCGGCATAAACACTCGCTTCATTTAAATGTACGTGCGCGCTGCGCAGCCGGCTGCGCTCGCACTGCTGCCTTCCTGAGATGATCAGTGCCGCTGCTTCTGCTGCACCCCGGTAAAGGGGAGAGTCGCCACCTGACCATATGCCGCAGGGCCGCCGCAGTTTGTAGCGCATGGTGGACTGACCATGGGAGGAGGTCGATGACTCGAATTCGGGCGCAGTGGTGGCGATGCGGCGCGGGCGAGTCGGTGATGCAGGTGTGAGGAGTCGAGGAGCGCACCTAGAGGTACAAACTGAGTACTGAGCTCTTGTACGGTGTGCCGCCGTCCGCGGTCATGCGATCACGGTTGAAGTGGCCACCAGGGACAGACGTTGCTTCCTCCTGGTCTCTCCTGTCCCTCAGCTCACATAATGAAGCACGTAGCGCGCGCACGGACTTGTGGGCAGAACCACACCACGGCTAAGATCTCAGAACTTCGACGCGACGCGCTAACGTACGGGCTACAGCCCAAGCCCTGTGCGGGGGCGGCCTGTCCGTCTGTGCAACCACCATCGTCTCGAGATCTATCCTCGACAGCAAGAGTGAGCTCAGGGAATCACCCACGAAACGACTATTATCTGGGATGGCTCGTACGGTCTTGTGGTTCAGGGCAAATGAACGAGACGAAAGGCTACACTGCTCTCGCCGCGCGATTTCGAACGCGTCAGCAAGCCCCACTGGCAACCCCTACCGCCCTCGACCGTGAGACTTGGGGACGCTCGCGAAAATCCCACTTGGGATAGTTCCACTTGAACTTCGGCGGGGGAGCCTTCTTGCCGTCAAGGTAGTCCTTACTGATATGCGAGACATCATCAGCACAGCGAATTAACACGTCTGCGAGGAGCGAAATGCGCTGCTTACACCATATAGTAGTAGGACGCATCATAGTACCACGCCGGCTGCGCATCTTTCGGAAGGTCGAAGGCCGACCGCACGGCCTGCAGAACGTGTTCCGGCGGCTCCACGTACTTCTGTACGCGGTGGTTTGAGTAGAGGGTGACGAGCCACACTCCTTCCGGCTGCCCTGCCACCCGGCTGGCCGACGTGAAGATGTACGGAAACCGGGTCTGCAGGCGCAGGAGGTCACCCAGGATCTCCAGACATCCGATGAGGAATTCAGGGTTAGGTTTGTCCTTCGTCTCGTCCTTCGTCTCGTCCTTCGTCTTGTCCCTCTTCTTGTCCTTCTTCTTATCCTTCTTCCTGTCCTTCTTCTTGTCCTTCTTCTCGTCCTTCTTCTCGTCCTTCTCGTCCATCTTGTTCAAGTCTAGTAGCGTTGGCCACCACGGCAGTTCCGAACAAAGGAGCTCAGCTCTGTCAACGACAGTTTCGATAGGCTTGTCGCATATGAACCCGAAGCGCATGAGATGGGGAGGAGGCCAATCTCCGACGAGAATGGTCTGGTACTTGCGCTGTTCATCGTTCAACTCTTCATTTGTCCAAGGTCCAAGTAATCTCTCCTTTGATAGTGAAGGAGGCTTTAGAGGAGGAAGTTATGTCGGGCTAAACATGAACCTTAACTCACAAGGGGTGGCAGTGTCCTTAAGGCTCCAACCGATTAGATTACGATTACTCAAAATGAGTATGTAAACAGTAATCAGTAGTAATCGATTACTAAACAGATTATACTCAGTAGTTAGTGTGTTATACACCCACCGGTGGCGAATTTTCGTTTGAACCCTTGTACAAGCTTTTATCAGTCTCTAACAGCGCCCTATGAGGCACTGCGGAGGTTAATGGCGGCTTGCGCGACTTACAGCAATGTGCAGAAAGATACGGAAAACGCGTTTCGCGCGCAACGGGCGCTAAACGACCCGGACAACCGCGCCGTGCTTTCCGACGGGTGTCCTCGGAACTCGAGTCGCGCGCGAGGGACGCGCGCTTCTTCGCGGTCGCGCGCGCCCTCGCGCGGCGTCCTCGCGTCCGCGCCCGCACCCTGTAGTGCAACACACAACGGCGCCACAACAGGGGATGCGCATGGTAAATATTAAGGAGTTGAGCCATGTGTTTATATAATTTTTGTACTTACAGGGTGAGAAATGAAATGGATTGAAGGTCAAGCAGTTTAGGCCATATGCCGATAACTTCGTTTGAGGACATGAACGTAAACTTGGGAACTATGCTCTCTAATGAGCAAATGTTATGTCCGAATACTACTGTAGAGCATTTACATATGAATACTCGTTCATATGATGGTTTTAAGGGATACCAGGGCCCTAGAGTACCCAAAACATCAAGTGTACTTAGCACGAACGAGGACGCCGCGCGAGGGCGCGCGCGACCGCGAAGAAGCGCGCGTCCCTCGCGCGCGACTCGAGTTCCGAGGACACCCGTCGGAAAGCACGGCGCGGTTGTCCGGGTCGTTTAGCGCCCGTTGCGCGCGAAACGCGTTTTCCGTATCTTTCTGCACATTGCTGTAAATCATGATGGAATGGTCCGTCGGCGCCGCCCCCACGGGCGCTAATGGAGAGGGTACCGGGAAGGAGACCGCCAGAATTGCATACAAGGATCATATGAGTCTGATTTCAGTCCTCAAACCCTCAAAGTGCATAGTGAATGGTTGGTAGATGGGACAAGACTAGGTCAAACCTCCACATCCCGCCCTATATCTCTTCCAAGGCGCGGGTAAGCGCCCACTGCATACATACTGACTACTAATCGATTACACCCCAATAGACCGTGGGGGTAAAGTAATCATAAACAGTATACGGTTCTAATCGATTATAATCAGTAATTACACTAATGGGTTGGAGCCTTAAGTGTCCTCAAAGGCAACTTCGGCTTGGCCTCTGCAGGGACGGACGTTGTGGAGGGCGGGGATGCTGCCTCTGACATATCAGGTATCGACGTATGAGTCCGCGGTCCGAGGATGTGGGCGATGACTACTGCAGGAAGTTGCTTGGTAGACTGGGGCTTGTTGGATTGTGTGAGTACCTGCGAAGACCGTCTCGACGCGTGTCGAGCGCCGGAGAGTCCGTGATGTGATTAGCGACGTGAAGCCGGCAGTAGCCTGAGGAGGATCGGTTCGTTTTCATTCAAGCGCCTAATCTACGGACGTCAAGTAACGGTAGTGAGGTAATGCGGACACGAGCAATTGGCACGTATAGAAGTCCCAGTCAATAAGAGGCGCAGAGCGGTGTCGTCGCGGACCTCAGAGTCAGACGCGCGACGCGACGCGTTCTCAAGCACCGTCACGTGCCGCTGGCAAGAGCTTCGTGGCGTGAGACAGATCTGAGATCTATCTGAGTCTACGCTACACCGCGACCTACCGCCACGACCTATGGCGCTTTCGATGATGTATGCACGGAATCCTAGGAATCGCTGCGACGTAGGTGAGTCTCGGGCGAGTCAGATGTACAAGCTTGAAGGGTACGCCATATGTTCATGCAGTACGCTTGCGGGAAACAGTTCGTGCCAAGGCGTCGTCACTGCTGATACGCCTTTTGCCGTTCTGCTACATAAAATAAACACAACTAAGATGATGTCTCTTATACAGGATGTACACCGTCTTATTCCGTCTGCGGCGAGGTGAGCACCACCAGTTATACCAGTATCCTGGTTTGTCACTGGCAGCGGCCATACGAGGACGGCCCAGGTGGCCACCGTGGCTTCCTCCTGATCTCTTCTGTCCTCCTCACAGATGATGAACGAGAGCAGGACGGCGTCGAGGACTGGCACGACCTGTGGGCCGACCTCGATGGATCTTCACTTGCTATTGTTGAGCAGGCATAGCCGCGTGCGAGATGGCAGTTGGTTTCGAGCGCACATGAACGATATCAGTATACAAAATCACCTCCATCCACGACACTGAACTCCTACCCAAAACCATCCGATTCCGCCCAGTACTGAGCACTACATCGGCCCAGCGTCGTTTCCCTTGGCGTGATGCATCACACTGCGTCAAGTAGGCAGGGTATCAGTCAGTACTGCGGACATTCCTACGAACCATTGGCTATGTTACTTACACCCGTTCATAGTAGGCCTGAGAATAGTACCACATCGGCTGGGCGTCCGCCGGGAGCTCGAAGGCCCACCTGATGGCCCGAAGTGCGCGCTTTGGCAGCTTCACGAACTTCTCGTCCCTGTTCGAGGCGATAGTGAGGAGCCCCACGGCGCCTTCCTTGCTGCCCGCCCGCATGCTGATGATCATCGGGGGATACCGGAACCGGCACTTGTCGAATATGACGTCGTGCAGGATGTCCATGCACGCCATGAAGAAATTCCCCCAGTCCACAGTTTCCTGCTCCGCAATCTCCTCCCAATCCTTCCTGGTCGATCCCAGTTCCTTGGCCCTGGCGGTGATATATTCGAAAGGTTTATCGCAGGGGAAACCAAAGTACACGTGATGGCGCGGAGGCCACTGCTCGTGCCAGTGGGCAGTGATCGGGGTGGCATAGTAACTGCGCTGTTCATCGTTCAAATCTTCGTCTTTCCAAGGTTCCAAGATTCTCTCCTTTAAAGGTAAAGGGGGTGTCAGTTCAAAGAGACGAGGAGATAACATTGCTTCGAAGCCTACCAGAGAGGGTACCGTCCCCAGCGGTAACTTTGTGGACCTCGAAGCGGCCGTCTCTGTCGACATACTAGGCCTGGTGGGTCTCTAGGTAAGTTGTGGAGATATGTAGATGTAGGAAATCGCTTCTGCTGGGTGACGTGGACGAGGTAGAGTCTTGCCGCGTACTCGGAGGCGGTGCTCTTCCGAACGTGGTCTTGCAGACGGGCGCCGGACCCGGACGTGGTGCTTCTCATGCATGGACGTCGCAGCCTTCGCACAACTTTGTTAGTAAAGAGAACCCACCCTTAGTCAAAGTTGTGTTTGCGCGCACGTTCTACTCACGGGTGTCGCTTTCATCTTAGAGTTCAGATGCAGCGCATAAAACCGACGTCCCATGGCATGTCCCCGCAGCCCCCGGCACCCACCGTGGTCAGCACCCACCCACTATGGCAAATAACCACCTGGCCACCCCCGACGTCGAGCTCGCACCCCTGCTTGCGACTATTCCGCCCTCCGCGGAGTCAATGCTCCCGGACATCAACGCTACCCGAGCTTGGTTCGACACCAACCTCATAGCGGGCGCGCACCGCGCACAAGAACCACACCTGCCTCCAGGTACGCGAGACACACACTTATATTATTCCTGCTCAACTCAATATTTCTTGCAGAGACCGCCTACGTCTCGAAGGACCACACGCTGGCCGTCGAGGGCCCAGGGGGCGAGATCTCTGTGCGCAGCTATGTGCCGGTGTCCTCCATGGGCGACGCACGCTTCCCGATGCTGTTCTGGACGCACGGTGGAGGTAGGCGCCATCGTTGTGTTTGTCACAGGGCTGCGCTAAACGTCTGCGTTACAGGTTGGGTCGTCGGTGACCTCGAGTGGGATGACTACTACCTCAAGATCCTCTGTGTCGAGCTGCAGCTCGTGATCGTGAGCCCTGACTACCGGTGAGTGCAATCGCGATCGCACGCTCCGCAAGGCAGTGGGCACATACTCAGAGTCTTCCGGAGACGCGCCCCGGAGTACCCGTTTCCGACGGGAATAAACGATGCGTTCGCGGCATTGAAATGGGCAGGTCTCTATCGCACTGCTGTACGCACCCCTTTTCTAACGTCCTTACAGGCCAAGAAGAATGCCGGTAGCTTCAACGCGGACCTCTCCAAGGGTTTCCTCGTCGGTGGTCCATCCGCCGGCGGGAATTTCGCGGCCATCCTCGCCCATCGCGCCAAGGCCGACCCCGAGTTTTCTCAACACCCGCTGACGGGACAGATCCTGCAGTATCCGGTCACAGTGCACCCGGACGTCGTTCCTGAAGAGTATGGTTACATCCCGCACCTCGATATCACACGCACGCGCTCATCTAGGACGAGCCCAGGTACAAAGAGAACTTCACCGCCTACGGCCAGATGACGGACGTGGTCATCCTCCCCACGCGCTTCATGCACGAGTTCTTCCGTACGTGTTCTCCGTCTTCAATGTCCCCCGGACAATCGTGCTGAACAAGAGCGCAACACGCAGAACTGCTGCAGGCTCCGCCTGCGGACCCGGACGTCTCGCCGCTCCTGCAGCGTTCCTTCGACGGTCTCCCGCCTGCGCTCGTGCAGGTGTGCGGCATGGACCCGCTCCGCGACGATGGACTGCTCTACGCGGAGAAGCTGAAGAAGGCCGGCGTGCCGACAAGACTGCGCGTGTGCGTACCAGCTCTGTGGGGCGTGCCATTCAAGTTGCAGATTGTGGCTCATGAAACTCATGGGGCAGGTATCCGGGCGCTCCGCATGCGTTCCATATCTGTTTCCCGCAGACGAAGATCGCGCAGAGGTTCGAGGCAGAGCTAAAGGACGCGGTGCGTTGGATGCTCGCGGGCGCGCCGAGCGACGGACCGCAAGCGGCGCAGATGTGACCGACATCCCGCAAAACTAATGTCATAGCCGGAACATATATGTTTGGTGATCATTGTTCCTTGGAGTTCTGCAGTCCCTTGGAGTCGTCTGTAGACAGCCCTTGGTCTGGGACGATGTGCTTCTCGACATTACTGACAACTCACCTCCTAGTCCCGATCGTAACTATCAGCATGCGCGACTGTCAGTGCAACGGCTTGCAAGGAGATATAATAGCCGCGCCAGCCTCCCCTCGCCCGCCTCATCTGGTATAGAGGGAGCCCTCGCACTTTCACCGTCCCTGTCGTCCACCGCCACTCCTAGCCGACGCCCACTCACGCCCTACAAGCCACTCAAGCGCAACCACCAGTCCACCACAGCTGCTCCCGTGCAACTCATCAGCCTACCCAAGTCCCTGCGGTGTAAATCGTCAGCTCCTGTAGCTCCTCCGGCGCAACCCTCTCGCTTGGCCAAGCTCCCCCAGCGGTGCAACAAACCAGCTGCCTGTGGGCGACACGCCAACAGGGAAGGGCACATGCTCTCTCAGTGTGCCTCCCGCGATGACTCGCAGTGCGTGGCATAGCGCAGCATGTTTGTGAACGGGTCCTTCTGCTCCACCGCAGTGTGGAAAAGGACGAGATTGCTAGTCTCCTGCCAACTAAGTATACATAGGATAACGAAGATACGGGGATACATCAGAGTCTTGAACTAGCTGACTCAGTGCGCAGTTCTCCCTATTCTCTCTAAGCACAAAGCGTATACCGAAGGGCACCTGCACCGTCGCCCTGTTCAATACTCCATCTCCAAATCCTCCAGTCGATACCTCCTCGCTCGGAAGTGGAACTCGACGTACCCCTGTGTCCATACACGATCAGCGCATTCTCCCTCGTAAGTACCGCCGACACTCACAACGACGTAGCTGCGGCAGATCTTCGCCAGCTGCGGGTCCGCGGCGGTCAGCACCTCCACCTTGCGGATGCTCTCCAGCGTCTCCTCTACGACCTCGCGCAGCACAGAGAGCGGGTCCTTCTGCTCCGCTGCGGCGCGGAGGTGGATGAGGTTGTCGGTTTCGCCGGCCAACGATTCTTTGTAGAACGAAAGTCTGTCGGAGGCACGAGGGGGTAAATAAATAACAGCTTCAAAGGATCGCGGAGACTTACATGTCACTATTGATTTCAGGGTCCAATACACTCGCTGGTCAGCTCGTCTTGCATCAGTGTAATGGGCGGGAAACGCGCACTTGATTGTATCTGTGTAAAATTCGATCTCGCTACGGATCCACGTCAATACACGGGAACGATACGAGGAGAGCGCAGTGCACGTACGGGATGAGCTGCAGATAGAAGAGGTCTTCTGGATCCCGCCAGTCCTTCACGAAGTTGAGCAGTGCATACGCGGCACCGATGCCCGTCTTCATGCGCATGTACGCGGGGTACTTCGTCGCCCCCGGCGCGACCGCCATCCCCTTCCCCGTGGCCTCGACGTACGAGCCGACGAAGAAGTCGAGCGTCGAGACCGCAATCGAGTGCGCGCTCAGGCGCGGGTAGTACGCGTACATGTCTTGCAGGTTCGTGACGAGGCGGTCCAGCGCAGGGTCCCCCAGCGCCTCACGCGCGAGCAGCCGCCGTCCGAACTCTCCGAGCGCGTCGAGGTCGCGCCCGCCGAGGTCGTCGACATATGTGAGGTAGGTCGTGTAGAGTGCGATGATACGCTGGTGTTCGTAGCTCGTGTGTGCGTAGGCGGACTCGGCGATGGTGTAGCAGGTCTCTGCGAGGCCGTGCATGAAGGACGGGCTGAGATCGGCGTTCCAGGAGACGATCTCGGCGGTGACTTCGGCCCTGAGCTTCGCGTTCGCGGGGGTGTGGGGAGGGCGGTAGTTGAGACGCCTCAGGAAGTCCTTCAGGGTGTCTTTGATCTCTGCTATCGCGTCTACGCTCGCGCACAACGGCAGAGGCGAGGGGCATGCATCTTGGATGTAGGGCATAATGAGGCCTGGGACGGGGGGAGAGGGCGTCTTTGCAGAGGGATACGGGCTGTATTAAATGAGAAATGATCAATGATTGTGGAAAGAAAGAATCTCCCGCTCAACTTACGCGGTCTGGTGACCGAGAGATGTACCGCAAACTTCGAGGGTGATGTTTGGACTCCATCGACGACCGTACGGGCGTTTTATACAACGCCGAAAGGCCCTGAGACTGACCGTTAACTCCAGGCACAGAGCAGCGCACGGAGTGAGGTCGAAAATGGTCATACAGCTGTGCGGGGGTGTGTAAGCCATGCATGGTCGAATCCGGCGAATCCCCCCACTAAAATGGAAGAAAGTGTTCAGCGCGCCGGCGGAAGGAGCATTGCGCGGAAGCATGTCAACGTACCTACCCGGGCGTCATGGCAAAATATGCGGAGGATGAACTTTCCTCATGCCATCGTCCTTCGCAACTTGCATTTCCGTCTCGGTTACCTTACGAGGAGCGCGGCCTCGCTGCCGACCATGCATTGTGTCCTGCAGGTGAGTAAACCGTGCCGTACCAGAGAACTCCAGTCACGCAAAGTTCATGCTCTACGCGCCGTAGGCGAACGTTCGAACGTCGCTTCATAGGCGATAGTACCGCTCAAGGCGTCTGAGGTCGACGTGCGCGCTGGCGCTCAATTCCTATCTTCAAGCAAGTATCCGGCCAAGACCGACACATCAGTCGGTGATTCCACATCCTTCCCAGAAGTACGAAGGAGGCATGTTGGTGAAAATTTCGAGGAGAGCATCGAAGCCCTGCGCTTGGTACTACAGCGAGCCAAATAGGGGGAGGAGGGAAGAGGAGGGCAAGGTGATACACCGCCAAATACCTCAAAATATGAGCGCCGACTGAATTGGAACCCCGCGCGGCGTCTGCACTTCGACGCTGCCGGGTCCTTCCTTCCTTTTGCCCGCCATCCGGAGTACCACCACCCATATCCTCTCTCAGGTGAATAAGATTGCGTCTCGGGCGAACGCAATTCCAATTAATACAACCCACGTAGCTGAACGAACCACACTAATGGTCAACGCAAGTCAACCTGACAGCTAGCGTCCATATCTTTTTACTCCAGGTCCAGGACGCCTCGCGGCAGCTCCCATCTCCGGCGTTCATAACGTTCTTCAATTTCGGCGCTCTGTACCGGTCACACACTGCGAACCCTATGCCAGGTACTTGCCGGTGAGCCCTTTCTCAGCCACTCGACAGGTTCTCGGACTCGTCGCGAGGCTGCGGCAGGCCACGATCATTACGGACACACCATAAGGTGCTGTCGATGATAGTGGCGTGGCGAGATGACTGTTGGAGGACACCACAAGGCTCCTGATTAATTCCAGGCTTCAACACGGTGTACCTGGCGCGCCATGTGCACGGCGGTAAGTATGAGGTTCACTACTTTTCGATGACAGCGCTCACAAGAGTACCACAGAGTCCCATTCGAGGAGAGCTGCGCGATGCGTATTCATGAACCGCCCGCCGATACGCCACTTCCCCACATATCTATTCTCGTACCCGCGAATGGTGTATGTTGGAGGATCGACACCGGCCGTGGTAAGCCCGATGACCAACGCCCTTCATGACGCTCAAGCCTGGCGTTCCAATCTACGGACGATTTCTTGGGCGATATTAACGTCGGGTGGGCGCGTACAGCTCATATCAAATTGCACTTCTTCGATGTCAGCGTCCGACCGTGCCGCCCACTCTCACGCCCACTACAAGTAGCGGATGATCCGGCCGCTCTCCTGCCGGTGTGAGCGACTGTGGTTCAGGTCGGACGACTGGCTTGGTCATGAAACCTCCGGGAGTAGGAGGTCCTGTCCTGGGGAACGCGTAAATCTCGGCCTATCGACATGCACCATTCGAGAGCGGACACGACAGGTAGTTTCGCATTTCCGGTGGCGCACACTTGTCAACTTTCATCCGACCTGCGTAGCCCCCCGTGAGTGTGACGACAACCTAAAGAAGCGTGTATTCCGTCATGACATGGATACGGAGCCGAACATGCTCAATCATCTGAGCGGTAAAAATGAGAACCACGAACATGAGTACATTTTCGACAGGATAACGTAACCGATGGCGAGAACAGAGGTCGTTAGCCGCACACGACAGGCCAACACCAGGCACATTCGAAGACACCGAGGCAGCAGGACTAGAGCTCCTGGCAGAACTCGGAGTAGAGTGGAAGGTCGCAGCAGTCACAGTCAACATCCTTGAACACTGTAGACAGTCGCCAAAGCTCGTGGAGAACCTCCCCATGCGTGAAATGATACTTCGCCAACCGGGTTTGCTGTATGACGTCGTTGGGGCATCGGATAATCGAGCCCGCGGCCTTCCGCTCATCGAGGGCAGCCTTCACGACATGTTCGTGGCGAATACCCTTCTGCGCCTTCCTCTTGTACCATCTGCTGTTCTTGAAGGACGGGCAAGTCTCGAGATGCCGCTTCGGTGAGTCCCTCACGCGCGAAAACTGCGACCAATTGCCCTCCGGCGCCGGCGCCGTTTCCTGGCAGAAGAGACACCACAACGGTCCGTGTACGTATTTGAGCATCTTACGTCGAGCGTCGGACCAGCCGCGGGTGTACTCGTACTCCTTTCCGTCGGGCCTGAAGTAGGTGTGCCGTTCGGCGGTGGCGCTCTTCGCAGACCTTCGGCGGGAGGTCGTCTTCTTTCCCGTGCGGGGCATGCGCTTGTGCTTCATGCTGGTCGTCTGCCCCTTTCGTCGCGGTGGTAGCGGCCGCCGAGTAGGAGGAGCAGAAGAGTCGATATCCTCTTCGTAATCTCCATCAACGCCGTCCGAGTCTGTGGTGCCTTCGGTATCACCCTCGAGTTCGGTATTCACGGTATGGTGTCTGCCATGAGATGGTGGCACGGTTGTGGGGAGCGCGCGTCGGGGTGCACGAGGATCGGATGAGGCGCCATGCTTTATGAGATGCCGAGCTTTGATCTTGCTCGTTCGCTCCTTGAGAAGGTCGAAGTAAGTCGTGTCGTGCTTCTCGATATCGGTGACTGGATATTGGAGCTCCATGGGAGGTGGAGTGGGAAGGGTCGAACTCGAGATGTCACTGAGTGAAGACATCGTCTCGTCCGAGTCTACCTCCGCGGACGATTTCCGAGAGGAAATGAGTTGCGCATGTGCAGCCGAGGCACCTACAAGGCGTGATCAGGCGTGGACGGTGCAGGTACTGAACATGGGTGGACGTACTTAGGCCATGGCTGCCATCTGAGAGTGAATGGCGACCAAGTGGTCTCTTGGATGTGAAGTCGCTCGCGGAGGTTCTGCCGTGTCGTTTATCATGCAGAGTACTGCCTGTTACCGACTTAGTAGGTGCGCTGCCGCCGTGTGCGCCACCTCGGACCGCTGGCTGACGACCCTTAGTAGTACCCTGTGGCCGACTGCGGGGCGTGGGGCGCGTCGTGGAAGTACGAGGTGCACTGCCGCGTCTTGAGGTAATACGCGTCGTAGAGCGGGTACGGCGAGCGACCGCGCGTGGCTCCCAATCCGAGTCCGAATCACTTTGGTCATCGCGCCTCCGCGCCTTCTGTCGCCTGCCGTTGTCTTCGGCATGCGAGGACGTACGAGAGCGCTTTCCCAGAAGTAGGGTTGTGTGCGGGAGGTGGGAATCAGAAGGGGCTGCGTTGCGCGTGATACGGTCTGAAGACGTGGTGCGCGCCGGTAGTTGTTCGGGCGCGGATGACAGTTCGCTGGGGGAGATGGAGGGGCTTGGGGGTTGACAGTGGACGCGTGAAAATCGGCCCAGGAGAGACGTGGACACTGATGATCCAACAACGGGGGGCCCGGGCGATTTGTCGGGGAGAGGGAGAGGCGGCTCTGCGATGGAAGAAGGCTCTACAAGGTGAATATCCTCGTTTACCTACGAAGGACTGTGAGCTGAGCGATTTAACTATGAAGGCCTTGTTATGCTTACCAAGTCCTCATACTCCTGCTGGACGCCAGCGAGCCCATCAATATTCCCGACAGAATCGGGCTCTTCATTGAGGTAGGTTAACTCCAATATCAAGTCATGATATTGGTCCTCTTCGTTTTGGGGCATAGTGACGTCGACGCAGGGATACATGTAAGTTGCACAGGGACTCTGTGGAGGGCTGATGAGTGTGGCGACGCATGTAGCGTACCCTTTTATCCCCTCCGTTCGTTCCTTTTCCCATCTGCAAGGCTCACGACTGTAGCAGCAAACGCCGCCCATGTTTGCAACGGCGGCGGCAAGACACTGGTGTGGGCGCAAGCATCGTTTTCGGAATGGTGCACATGAAACTGTATGGGATGCCACAGCCTCAGAAGCGGAATGATGGCTCGAGGCGTCGTGCCAACAAGACTAGAATCCAGCATAGAGGGTGGCGCGGGCGAGCGGTGCGTAGACCTTCCAAAGCAGGCTTTGCGTGTAACCGCAGCCGAGCTGCCATTCAGAGATTTGCGGGAACCGAGGGAAGGTAAGTTCAGGAGGCGGTGCCGGGGCGTGGTGTGGCGGCTGCGCAATGCGCAGATTAACGGGGCGCACCTAAGCCTGAGTTTCTCAGCTTCTTTAAGGAGGTCCCGACATCTGAGTGTACGCGCGTATCGTCATCTACACTTGATGGTCGTCGCACAGTGGGATGGCGACGAAACGATGCGCTATTCAGTGTCTTAGCATGAATATCAGAGGAAGTTCCGCGAGGCCTGCATCAGCTCTTGCGACGGCGGGGCACTGCGCGGAGTGGCGATTTAAAGTGGACAGGTGTGCAGATCTGGGGGAGTACCGTTCCAAGTACAGTTCGTCAGTTTTACGTAGAAGTACGAGTCCAGAAGCAAGGGGTACGTCAGGGGTTCGCGTGGAGGAGACTGTTGTGGTTCGAAACAAACCAGCACCGCATCCGAGTCATACATACCAAATCCAGTCTGTTGACTTGAGCGCCTTCGTGGCGTGGCATCCTCGAGGCCCGCCGTGCCTGGCTTTGTATCTCATAGAATCTGGGCGAGCCTACCACAGCAAGCACACAAAGAACATAGAAGGATATTCGTTATCATGGTAGACCCATGCTCCGATATCTCTCCAGTCATCCGTCGGGCCCAGCGGAAAGAATGAGTTTCACGGTCGGGCTAGATGTCATGAGATGCAAGGCAAATCCTGTGGAGTGTGATTGCATGTCCTCCCACTGGTGATGTCTCAATGTTCAATACTAACACTTGATAGAAGGGATGCATGAGGTCCACGCCGGTACTTGCTTTCACCACGGAACCACCTCCCCGTTGTACCGCAAAAACTTGCCGCTGTCCGCCACGGTCGTGGAGGTGGCAACCTTGATAATCCCCGCGATGCTTTCCTTTGGCTCGAGAGGCGCGCCTTCCCCGCCCAGGTCTGATGGAGGACATTGCGACATGGTGAGCGACTCTTCGTGCCCCTTTAGGATGCGTAACACTCACCGGTCTTGACCCATCCAGGGCAGAGCGTGATAGCGACGAGGTCAGGTCGTTCCAGCTTCAACTTGTATGTCTGTGCAAACAGATAGGATCCCGATGAGCGCAGAATTCGGAAAACGCAATTCGGGACACGTACCAGCATGTTCAGAGCGGTCTTGCTCATGGAATACGAGGCGACCGCTCCGGGGCCGAACGCGTCTGCGCTCGCGATGCTGCCCAGCGTGCTCGTAATGTTCACGATCTTCTTCATCTTGCTTTTGTCGAGGAATGGCACGCACACCTGCGTGAGCAGCGCGGGGCCGACGGTGTTCGTGCGCAAGGTCTCGAGGAGCACCTCTGGGTCGAGCGTGAGCGGCGTGTCCGGCTTGAGCTGCGTTCCCATAAGAGAGCCAACCGACTCAGCAGACGTCACATGGTAGACGGTTCAGCAAAAAAGGTGCTTACGATGCCGGCGTTGTTGACAAGGTAGTCAAGGCCGTTCCCGCCGATGATCGACTCGAGCGCCTTCGGGACTGCCCGCACGCTGTCGAAGTCGGTGACTTCCAGCTGTATGACATGCAGGGCGCCCTTCGCGCTGCTCTTAAGCCCGCTCAGAGCGGCTGCTTTCTCGGGCGTTCGGCACGCTGCGATGACAAGGTTGTCAGGTGAATCGAGAAGCTGCCGAACGAGTTCGAGCCCAATTCCGCGGGATGCTCTAGATGACGGAAGTCTATGAGCCACATAGCTCCAACGATGCAAAGCAAAACATACCCGGTAATGAGCCAGGTGTTCTGGAGTGTAGAAGACGACATGAGATGTTCTCTGAGAAGGTTGCGAGTAGTCGGCGGTGGGAGGATGTTATGACCCTTCTCCTCTCCATGTTGCGCAACTTTATATCCGCGCCAGCCTGCCACTCAAAGCTCTCTTTGACGGCACACTCTCTAGCCCCACCGAGCTCTGCCACGCGTACATGTCCTACATCAGAGGACCCACAGTGCGGACGGCCGGAGATAGCTTTGAGCATAGTCAGACTTAGGTCAGCGTCAAGTCAGCGTCGTGGTTAGGGATCACGCGTCCCGGAGGTAGCGTATACGGTGAGAGGTTGTGTGGTTGAGAGTTTGACCGTATGGTGTGTGGATCGCATTATGGGTCATATACACCAGTTGTGGTGATAGAAACAGGGCACCAAGGACCCATAGGAGCATGAAGTGCGAGCGAGAGGGCCCGCGGCCGGCATGAGCGCTCGTTGAGAAGAAAGCGCCGGGTGCGGGCGCCTCCGAATCGCAAGTTGTAGCAAGTTGTGCAGCGCCCCCGTACGCTGCTCATCATCGCTCACAGCGAGCACGTATCCGAACGCGTCGACCATGGTCGACAACGCGCCCCCAAACAGCACCAGCGGCGGGGGACTTCTCTCAAAACTTCACAAGTTCGCGTACTTCGCCAGCTTCCTCTACGCCTGCATAATTCTGCTGCTCGCTACGCCGTTCTTCCAGCGACAGTGAGAGTCTGTGCTACCTCTCTGAAGTCATTTCACATTCTGAAGCTAGACGGTGCGTACAGTGCGATATACCAACACGCCGTCAGGATACCATGGGGTGCCCAGTTTGACTTGCCGGAGAAGTACGGGCTTGCACGTACGTCATGTTCACATCGGGCCTGCTATATGTGCGCTGACGAGCAAGGATGCAGCGGGGAAGACCCTGAACTTCAAGCTCACGACGCCCGACAATGTGACCATCGGGGCCTGGTTTGTTCTGTCAGAGCCTATCTTCCAGAACCTCCGTGCAGCTTCGTCTACACCGCTCGGGCAACCCTCTGCGCAAGTTGTCCAAGAAGCTCTGCGCACAAACCCCACCATCCTCTACTTCCACGGAAATGCTGCAACGCGAGCTGCACCCATGCGCATCCACCACTACTCCTCGTTCACCTCGCGACTGCGCGCGAACGTCCTTGTCATCGACTACCGGGGCTTCGCCGACAGCGAAGGCATTCCATCTGACACTGGACTCACTGAGGACGCGAAGACAGCATGGCGCTGGCTGCTTGACCAGGGTGCAAAGCCAGAGGACGTTATGCTTGTCGGCCATAGCTTGGGGACGGGCGTGACGACGAGGCTGGCGACGTGGCTTGCGCGCGAGGGCGTCAAGCCGCGCGGCGTAGCGCTACTCGCGCCTTTCACGAATCTAGCGTCTGCCGTGCAAACGTACGATATAGGGGGCTTCCCTCTACTGCAGCCATTGCAGAGCTTTGCCATCGGACGAAGTGAGTCCTCGCATATTCACGATGACGCCGACGCTGACATGAATGTGTTCTGCCGTAGAACTACTCAAGAATCTCATCCACCACGAGTTTGACACGCTCTCTGTGGTCCAGGATATCAACGTGCCCCTGCTTATCGCCCACAGCCAGAACGATCTGGACATCCCGCATTCTCACTCCCGCACCCTGCTCGACGTCCTCCTGGACCCGCATCTGCCCTCTTCTCCTATCTCCTTGCCCGCGACTCCTGATCAGATCTTAGGCTCTGCAGACTACGCCACGTATATCGAGACACAGAAGCTGCGTCGCGAGAAACGCAGCGAGCTCGTGCGAAAGCTCGAGGTGCCGACTTTCGGCGTCATCGAAGAGTTCGATGGGACGGCCGGGAAGGTGGTCTATGTGGAGACGTTCTGGGGCGCGCACAACGACGTGGGCTTGCAAGAGGGCGTGCAAGATATCATCGCGAGCACGTTCCGCCTTGGTGTTCATTTGTAGAGTGTTGTGATCATAATTGTAGAATTGTAGAATTGTGAGTCAGCTTCAATTCTTTCTCTCGTCATTTGTCCGTTTCTGACCGGGCATGTTCGAACTTCAGGATACGCTATACAGGAGAACAACTAATGTATCTATTCGTCACGGTATATTGTATTTATTGGTTGCGGCGGATACCCCCTAGTCACCTATTCGGCTTTCCGTTTCATAAGTATAGCTGTTGTGGGCGTAAGTTGGTCATCTGCAAAAGCTCTTGATTTAACTGGCGCCGCGCGGTGAAGCGGGCCCTGCCATGTACGGCGAGTGGCTTCCGCTGATTTCGAACTCTTCCGCTGACTCCCACATGAATACAGGAACGTCCGAATACGCCCCGACGCCCGCACTGCACGGCACAATCACAACGCCATGATGATGGCCTATCCTAGTCGCCACCGGGGCTTCGGACTTGTCCGCATTGGCGTATCGTGCCGCCGCCCCTCGGACACTCTACCAATGTGACCATAAAGACGCAGGTGTGCCCTGCAGAGCCATCTACCTACTCCCTCGAAACGCATCCCAGCGCCACTATGAACGACTCGGACTGGGACTCCTACCAGGAGCAGCGGTTCGCTCGCCCGCACATGCGCTACAAAGATGGGAGCTCGTCCTCTGATAGCGAAACTCCCTCCCGCTCAGAAAACACTGGTCACGAAGGTGGCGAGGCATGGCAAAGACACCCTCCTCGTGAACATATGCAGGTATGCATGCCCTTACTCCAGCTAACATGGTCCTAACGCGATGCACTTCCACAGAGCACCGTTCCGCCCTCGAATGCACTCGTACCCAGGTATCACCACCACCCCCAAGTCCTGCTGCAAGCCCCCGCCGCCCAGCAGCCCGTCAACATGACCGTGATCGTGAACGTCCTCGACAAGGAGGGCGCCAAGCAAGTCCTCAACTCCCTGCCGGACCTCGTGAAGTCACAAAGCTCTGCCAACAACGGGCAGCGTTTGCTTGCGGCCGGTCCACACGTCGTCATGACTCCTCCGTACTCTGGGGGCCGATCGGTGTGGCGGGCTCCTCCACCACCGCCGCCGTGGATGCATCAGGGCAAACGTGGGTATGACTACGACTACGACTACCAAGGCGCGTATGCGGAAAGTAAGCGCAGGCGCGCTGAGGTCGTCGAGGTGGCCGACGAGGACGAAGAACCCGCCGCCGGAGAGGCTCCTGTTCATGGTGAAGATGTCAAGGATGTGGCGCCGCCGCATGTGCCAAATAGCATGATTCCTGAACAGGCGGACGAATGGCTCCCCGGCGCGAGCGTAAGGCGGCAGACCTCCATAAAGCGCTCGGAGTCCGAGACTGCTCGCCGTCAAGAGCAGGAAGCCGAGATGTACAACAGACGAGGTATGCGGGCTGCCCTTTGGCTACGATCTCTGCAGGACTGATATTAGTCGTGTCTAGTTCATTCCGAGCCTGAGAGCGACCGCATGATGCCGCCACCCACTCCGACACATGCACCTCCAAGTAGGAAGGTGACTCCGGCACCTGTGCAAGACAGAGGCGTCTCCTACGCGCCGCAGGATACGACTGAATCGCGGCCATACCCCGAACCCATGCCCTCTCCACGCTTTGTGCACTACACCTACCCTCCGCCGGCACCGGAGCGTCAGCGCCGAGCGGGGCGTCCCCGTAAAGCACCTCAAGGCCGTCAACGCTCGCGGCCCGTAACCAGGAGCATGCACCTTGGCCCGCCGATGCAGAGACAGCCCGAAGAGGCACCTCTCTCAGGCCCCGCCCCTGCGGTTGATGGGCTGAACGATGCCCAGCAAGCACATTTCGGTTCATTCTACTCACCGCGTTATGCCGCGCCGTCGACTCCTGGGGCTGTCCGCGCGTCCCCGTCTTCTTTCCCTTCCGCCGGGCCTTCTCGGGCGGGTCACAGAAATAATCAGGTGCTCAATCGAGAGCCTGTGAAAGAATATCGGTGCGACGCGAACGGATCGACATCGGGGAACTCGTACTCTTTGGGGCCGGTGGGCGACTGGAGGGGCGCTGGAGCCTGAGGCCTGAGGCAGCGGTTCGGGCTGACGAGGACAGGCACGGTAGTACGGAGTAGAGACGGTTACTACGCGCACCCGAGACTTTTATGAAATTTCCTATGCTTTACATGCGCAAATATGTCCATATATAAATCTAGGCAATCAAAGCGACGAAGGTGAATATCAGACCTTTGGTCTGCTACTAGTAGCTTCGTAAGGCGGCGCCGGCGTCCGATCGTTGCAGCCTTGACCTTGGAACTTCAACTCCCAACCTCGAAGGACGTTCCTGTGTTCCTGGACACGCCAGTGTTCAGGTCTTGCCCACCAGTATTGACGAAAAGCTGGATCAATTAAACCGCGTGGTTATCGCGTGGTGTCGGGCCGACGGCATTGACTCTTTAGGACCCGTCGGCCCTCGGGTGTTTGACACTTGGGGAGGTTCGGCGATTTGTATGCGTAGTACAAGTTGTTTAGATTCTCGTTCGAATCAAGAGCAGGATGATGCTCAGTCGAGGAGATGCTGACAGAAGTGTCCGCTTCAGCAGTAACATATATTGAGAATCGTTAGAACTTTGTTAACAGGTTGCTTCAATGGTTTGAACCCCGTAAGTAGCTTCCCAATTGGCATTGTATGGAGCGGGACTCGACAGAAGCCGTGGGAATCTGGGCGCCAAACCGATCCACTGTATACTAATAATTAACAAGTTTCATGTTCGCCATCGCGGTGACCAACCTCGGACACTCATAGTACTTAGCCAGAGTGAGTATACGGCTCTACTACTGCAAGAAGCAGGTCCTACTCTCATCAGGTGAGTCGTATTTTCCCGGAGAATTTACAGCATGATCAGGGGAGCTCGCGTCTTACTCAACCGGTACCGTAGGCCAGGGTGCGGACGGTCTCGCAGGCGGGCTCGCCTTTTTCGGGGAGCCCACACTCCATATGAGACTTACGGATCACGAGTAAATTATATATGGTTGCGCTTTAACGAGAAAATCGCATCACGGATGCTCCCACTCAGACGAATTGGATGTGTGCTACTGTATCTTACTAAAGGGATGTTCCACTTTGTATATATTATATATCTGTGCCTATGCCAAGCATAGGCTCTCCCGTATCTGAATGGTACAGATCATGTTAGCCCGGCACCGGTGAGATTTTGAGGTGAAGTATTTGGATGTGCATACTAGTACTTGGTACGCTGCTCATATGGCCAGTAGGAGGTGAACATCCTGGTCATACAGTGTGAATGGCGAGGCAGATCCAAAGTATGGGCCGTCTATGTGAGATTGACAGCGGCACGGATGTAGTGATGGTCAAGCAGCATGTAGTGTAGCGTGGCCAGGTCCGCCCGGAGGGCCCTATGTATACACAACACGCCCCAAAAATCACCTTTCTGCTCACCAACCCTTGTAGCTATTGCGGTTCCAATGAGTAAGCGACGGCAGGACTCGATCTCCTCGACGGCGGGCGGAACGGTGCCAAGCGCCGGGCCGAAGGCAGTTAAGACGGGCGCTCCGACGGTGTGGGGTATTCGCGCGCTATAATTTTGGCAGCACTCAGGCTCTTCGCTGTCCACGACGACGACGACGAGAGCTCACTTCACCCCGAGCCGCACATCAAAGGCCATGTTCATTCGTGGTCTTGTTAAGTAGGACATCACAATGTGCGTGCTTCCACTCACATATCTACCTCAGGAGCCGAGTCAGTATTGAACACTGTTTGAAGTTACAGTATACCCGTGCACTTACAAGTGGGTACGCACACGTACGAAGACACGATCATACAGAGGAAGCTCGACGAACAACTACGAAACATGAATTTGGCCGCTGAAAATCCACCCTCTGCTGGAGAGGACACTCCAGCTGCCGTAACTCCCGCATCCATGTCTCGATCACCCTCCGGGACTCTATACAGAAAAGAGCGGTCTTTTCCGACTTGGATTCCGACATCCTTTGGACGCGGTATCATCCGTGACCTCAAGGCGCGGGCACCATACTATGCTAGCGACTGGACCGACGCGTGGAACTACAGAGTGGTGCCCGCCATCGTCCTCATATTCTTCGCGAAGTCAGTTCATACTGCTGTCTTCTCAATGCAAATTTCCTGACAGGCCTTTTTCAGCGTACTACCGGGCATTGCATTCTCTCTGGACCTCATAGAAACCACTCAGCAGTATGGCGTCGCCGAAGTGCTGCTCTCATCCTTCATGGCCGCCTTCATCTTCTCCATCTTTGGAGCGCAACCACTCTGTATCGCTGGCGTCACCGGTCCCATCACTGTGCTTAACAAGACCATCTTCGACATCATAGAGCGTCAGCCCGATTCGCCGGACTACCTCCAGTTCGTTGGCTGGGTATACTTATGGGGTGCGATTTTGCATTGGATCACGGCTGCGTTGAACTGTAGGTTTCCCTGACGCCGGAGATAGGAGACAGTACATGCGCTGACTGCGGAATTAGGGTGCAACTTCCTCAAATACGTCACATTATTCTCCTGCGACACCTTTGGCTTCTATGTCTCCTGGGTCTACCTGCAGTATGGCGTTCAAGTCATTACCAGACAGTTCACCTTAGATGGTGACTCTACATCTTCCGCGACTTTGGACGGCGCCTTCGTTGGCATCGTTCTCGCGCTCCTCATGACAGTCACTGCATTCCTATTCCGCACGCTCTCACAGTCGGCGTACTTCCATCGACACGTCCGTCGCTTCCTCGCAGACTATGGGATGCCGATATCACTGGTCGCGTCTTCCGCAATGGCCTACTGGGGCCGCTTCAATACCGCCAACCCGACTACCTTGCCTATCGGACATGCGTTCATGCCTGCAGGCGACCGTCCATGGCTCGTCCGCTTCTGGGAGCTCGACGGGAAGTGGGTCGGCATCGCGTTCCCTTTCGGCTTCGCGCTCTGGGTTCTGTTCTTCTTCGACCACAACGTCTCGGTACGTCATGTGTCCGTTTTGAAGCTCCGTCAACCCTGATCCATGGATCCCATTCAGTCGTTGATGGCCCAGGGCACGGATTTCCCTCTTCGCAAGCCCCCAGGATTCCACTACGACTTCTTCCTGCTCGGGGTCACCACTTTCATCGCCGGGCTGCTCGGCATCCCCGCGCCCAACGGTTTGATTCCGCAGGCCCCAATCCATACCACCTCCTTACTCGTGATGGGCCATCCCAAGAAACTAGACGTCGAGGGCGGTGCGCGGACTCCTCGACCGCCATCTCCACCGTCTGCGCGAGACGAGAAGCGCAGGACTACAGAAGCCGAGAACGGCGCTATCGCACGCACCAGGTCGCGCATACATGGACCCAGTACCGACGACATGCTGGAGCCGGACCCTACACAAGCTCACGATGGGGAAGGCGATGCTCGCCAACACGAGGTCCCGGTCGCGGCGGTGGAGCAGCGCGTCTCGAACCTAGCGCAAGGATCGCTCTGCCTCATCCTCCTTACCGGACCCTTCCTGCACGTGCTGAGTCTCATCCCGCGAGGCGTCCTAGCTGGGCTGTTGTGAGTTGATATCCGTTTACGATGTCTGATCTTGGGGAACTTATATGTGCGCAGCTGGTATATGGGTTTAGATGCCCTCCAAGGGAACGGAATAACACGCAAGATCCTATACTTCTTCCGCGACAAGGCGCTCACGCCCGCCGACGAGCCTCTTCAGCGAGTCCGAAAGTCTAGAATCTTGCTCTTCGTCGCGGTACAGCTTGTCGGATTCGGCGCCACGATGGCCATCACACAAACCATCGGTGCGTAGATATCCGTCCTGGCAACATCCGCCGGCCACTCATTTGCCATGTATAGCGGCGATCGGGTTCCCTATCATCATCTTCCTCCTCGTGCCGACGAGGATGTGGATCGTTCCCCGGCTACCGTTCACTGCGGAAGAACTCGCTATCTTGGACGGCCCAACAGCGTCGCCATTCGTAAGTGCTCTCCCCTCGTTCGTCTAAGTGCAACTCTGAGTAGCGAGTATCTGAATCCTCAGACGATGGAATCCGTAGGAGGCTCCATGTAGTTCAGAAGGCATGTACATTCAGAACACGCGCATATTCGGCGGAGAACATCGCAGAGGCAGTATATAGAAACCCCTATTTGGCATGATGCGGTGCTGGTTCCTCCGACCATAACAGGCTCCTCCAAACTCGGCAGGACAGGACAGCCGTTCCCATGGCGAGCCCTAGTCCTTCTGAACTGGGGCTCATACGTAATACTGACAAGACTTACCTGGAACGATGATCTTTCAGATTCGCAGTCGTCCACTTCAAGTCGCCACCGACAACAGTGCGCCGCCGTCGCAAGACCTGATGTAACTCACACTACCAGGCTCGTACGATGATTTGTCTCGGTACAGGGCGTCGTTTCGTCGCCATCTCAGTAGGCGAGAAATATCAAGAACAGACGAGAGTACGCGTGTATACTCAAGATGTCGGGTCCTTCCCAAAGTGGCGAGACAGGCATGCAGGTGCGCCACCCCGTCCACGCATCGCGCAGCCGCCAGGCGCCCTGGCGTTGCCTCGTGAACTTACCGTTTCTCGGTTCCCGCAGATCTCTGGATGGCAGCTCGGCCACGGTTTCTCGCAGGCCTGCTTTGGAATGTCTACGCAGCCTTTGCCTCGCGCCACCCTCTGCTCAGTCCTAGCCCTCCTAGTACGATGCCTCGAGCCATCATTCCTGCTTCTGAGGCTGTGGCATCAGTTTCATCTGCGTCATCCCAATCTCGATGTGTACGCCCACACCTCTGTCTTGCAATTGCCGCTTCCTATGCAGGCGGCGTTAGTTGCCCAAAGTGAGGCTTGCGTACGGGAGTGCGTGGAGGGATAAAAGGGTCCGCCACACTGCGTCGCCACATTCACCAGTTCTCTTCATCCCCACTCAGCCGACATGCTTGCAACCCGCGCCATCCACACGCCAGACCGAAGCCAAGAAGAACACTATCAGAAAATGCTGATGATGTATACACATACCCACGAGCAGCCTGAGTCACGCGGTATGGTCAGTGCGCCGACCGAGTATGAGGAGTCGGTAAGCACTTTAGGCGTTGACCACTTAGCTGATCCACTCACTCCTGACTTCCTCGCAGGAGAACGAGGTACTTCACCTTGTCGATCCTTCTTCCCTCTATCGGTTGTCTCTTCCACCTTCATACCCTTCGCCACCTAGCACCGGCGCCGCTATGCTCACCTCTCCTCGGCCGATTCTCGATTTCTCGGTTCCTTCGTCCCGGTCCAACTATCTGTCCCAAGGACCTCTCCCCGATCCCTGAGGCACCACTATCACCGGAAGCATCTCTAACGCGCACCAAACGCAATGCGGCGACTCCCGAATCTACGCCCGTGGACTCCTCTCTGCTACACGGCGATCCTTCGCGTCCATCCTCACATGCTATGGACGATGGCAAACGACAGAAGAGGCGGAGGTATAATGATGAGAACGACTCTGACTCTAGCTCTGGCTCGGATTCGGACTGGGAGCCAGGTGTGGTCGCTCGCCACCGTAACAACGTTTCACCGCGCAAACCTTCGAGATGCAACAATGCTCCTCGCAATTCTGCGTGGCGAGCTACCACGAAAAGTACCGTCAGGGACGGCAAGATATTGCTTCGAGGGACCAGCCGCGGCGGTCGTGCACCCACTGCGGAATCAGACCACGTTTTGCACCCTACTCAATTCGAAGGCAGGCTGCCCTCTGGTGACTTTACTTTTGAGAAGACGCTCCGCTCGGCTAGATTCTCAGGCCACGACATTCCGAGTACGTCTGACCCATGCTAGCATTGCGCCACCGACCCTGAGCATGTCTTGCAGGTGCTGCCTTCGAATATGCAGAGTCCATCTCCTCTCCGCAATCGTCCATGGAGGTAGACGATAGATCACCTCTCTACGATGTATCCAGCTCGACACTCCCCACTCCGCCACCTACCGAGCTCCAATACCCAGACACCGACGTCGAAGTAGAAGCAGATGATACGACTCTCATCCTCCCCGGCGTTCGACGGAGCAAGATAACAGCCCTACTTCGTTTGAAGCAGAGCGCTTCACCGGATCCTGGTACGCCCTACACGGAGATGAGCTCGGATGTTGAGATGGGAGACGACGATGCCGACGGGGCCACGGACTCTGACGGCGACGATGGAGACAACGAAAACGACTCCGACTTTGCGTCGCCGCCCACTCAGGCGCAGCCGCCACGGTTCCGCCGAAAGGCAGAGCCAGCCACCAGGCAGCACAAACACGATCCCCGCGTTGGCAGGAAGACGACCTCTCACCGCAGACGCCATGCGAAGAACCCCGATAGTGCGCGGCGCGGCTACGTCACGCCCAAAGGCGAGGAACGCCAGTACGCGCACCCGACCGACCGTCAACGCAAGCAGCTCAGGGCCGTGCATGGGCCCATCTGGTGCCTCTTCTGCACCAAGACGGCACCGGGGCCAGATGACGATGGGGACTTCTCGCGGGTAAAGGACTCTCCGAAGCGACACCTCCTCAGTTGCAAGCGCTTCCGTGCGAGTCAGTATTACAGGAAGAAGGCGGAGACGGGCATGGACCACGAGCGGATCGTAGAGCGTGCGGTGCGCGAGCAGAAGGCGGCAGGCTCGATCATCCGCTGCCCCAAAAGGGCCGCACAGCAGGCCCGGTTGGCAAAGGAGGGCTTCACGCATGCGAAGGTTCGCGACGAGCTGGAGCGACTGTCGACGGTTTACAGTGACTGCAAATGCTGCGAGTTCCCGCACTTCTCCGAGTTCCGCCAGGAGCGCTAGTCCTACTTCCTGAGCTTAATATTTGCTGGTTCGAGTGTACTTGATGTTGGCGTGCTGTGCACGAGCAACGATTCCTGTTTTCTATGTGTCAAATAAGTCAACTTATGAAATATATGATCATGCCCGAGTTTTTGACGTTCACGTACGAGGGGGAGGGGCTGCACTGGTAATGCGTGAGTGGGAAACGCGATCTGCATGTGTATATAGTCCGATAACATATCCAGGTTTACATCTTGGCTTCACACCCACGCATCACCTTCGCGGCAACCACTCGGCGCGGTGGGCATCCAAACGTATCGGAGCTTCGCCTTCTTTCACAGGTGTAGCAGATAGCTGAGCCGCATGCGCTATCGCCGTCATCGTCTTCCTGTCCCTGCTTTCACTGGCACTCTTCGCTTGCAGCACCTTGGTCGCATAGCGCGAGACCTCAGGGTCGCCCATGTCTCGAGGGGGAAGCGGCGGGCCATCACGGAAAGCGGTGACAGGGTCTAGTTGTCCAAGGGACCGGATCCATTGCCCGACGGCAGCGAGGGACACGCGCACTTCCCAAGACCCTCCCTCCTACGGGTGCGTAAGCACACGCATGCGCGGAGAAAATTCGTTTCATGCTCACAGTAATCGTCCTGCACAGTGCGGCCTGAATGCCGAATGCGAGCATATATCCAGCGGCATGGTCCAAGGCTTGCATAGGGAGTGGACGAGGAGCAAGCGGTTGCGCAGCGCTGTCTCCAGTGAAAGTCGCATAGGCATCCGCCTCCGCAACGTTGAACCCTGTGGCCGTCTGAACCAGAGAATCGAACTGCGCCAGCCATTAGAACTGCGGTTTCTTGTGCGAAAGGAAGGCCCATACCCCGCGCCGGTCTTTCCACGGACCCTCCCAACCGTAAGCACACAGGCTCGCGTACACGATCCCGGGCCGTAGCTTTGCGACGTCCTCTGCGCTGAAGCCCTTCGCAGCGAGACTTCCAGGTCGATAGGCCTGCAAGAACACGTCTGCGTCCTTCGCCAAGGATGTGAACTTCTCGTGATCAACCGTTTCGTTGAGGTCGAGCTGGGCCGTGCGCTTTCCACGAGACGTGTCAACATCGAGGTTGGGGAGCGCAGGCAGCTTGGGCGAGGTGACCCAAAGCACATCCGCGCCGTGTGCTTCAACAACATGAGTAAAGAATGCCAAAGGCCCCGATGCTTCGCGTACCTGCCAGCGTCCGCCCACAGACGGGACCTGCTAGCACACGGGTGAGATCCAACACGCGTATACCTTCCAGCGGTCTTGTGTGGTTGCCCCGCACGTCCCGCTTGGGTGCGTCGCCGATCTTGAAGAGCGCGACGGGAGGCGTATTCGCTAAAGCCTGTCCCTGGGGATGTGCATCCCACTCTTTGAAAGACCGCAGAGCAGTGGCCACCATCCCCTGTTTGGAGGCCTCGGTTTCAAAGTCGACCGAGTTCCACTGGAGCATGGCAGCGGCTATCGAGTTTTTCGACGGCTCGCACTGGAGAATATTCAGAATCCCCTGCTTGTGGCTACACGTCTTCGTCAGCGAAGCCTTGAGTAAGCTGTAGCATGATGCCTACTGGGGGAAATTTGTGTGTATCCTGACATAGTTGTTGTCTTTCGTACAGTACACGCCCGCGAGAGTGTCGAACAGAGCGAATTTCTCGCTCGAATCACCCTCTATTGCGTAGTAGGCTTCGCTCTCTGCGCAGCGATTGGAGGCATATTCAGAACGATATTTCACCGCATCAAGGATGCGTTCGCGGCTTACTAAATTCAAGGGCGGCATGCCGAGCTTCCACAGTGACGGTCTGCTCGACTCTGGTCCTCAATTGGTGGAACTCGGCCGCCGCAAGGCCAGACAAGCCGATCGCCGTCTATGTCCATGTATAGCGTCCAGTAGCTTGCTATGACCATAGTTATGGTGACTTGCCTGAGCAGCAGTGCCGAGAAGAAAGGAAGAGTTCACGACGGGGTCGGGTTGCTCAGTGAGCCGCAGGCGAGAGATGGCATCCGCGGGCAGTCGTAAAGACCGCCAGAGAGCCTCCGCAGGTGCGCGAACAGCAGACATGGTGGAAAGAGAAGAGTCAGAGTAGGCAGCGCCCCTCCTCACGCGGCCGACAGTAGCGATTCCGAGCTATCATGGGCACCGGGTCTAGCGCGGTCCGGTGCTATTCGAGGAGGATGCCTCCCGTCGCTGGGCCGTGGGTACCACCTGGGAGATGTGTCGTCCTTAAGAGTTATCGTTATCACGATGACTGTGAGTGGAACACGACGCTAGAAGAGACATATTTGTGGCTTGAACTGAGTGGATTGACGCAGTCGTCTAGATGTCCTGTGCAACCCGGAGGGATGATCGAGGCGAGCCGGAAAGCCATGAGCCAATTGGCTCTCGGGTGATTACGCATGCATTTGAGCGCCGACGTCGGAGAACGTAACGCTGGCCCTGTACAGACGTCGGAATGCAAAATGGCCGAAACCCCGCGCATACGCCGTATTTGCCCGGTCAACGTTTCCGACGACGACGAACACTTCATCCTCCATAACCTCGATGGTCACAAGCACACTCTCGGCCTCGCTTGGGCGTACTCTTCGGAGCGCTGCGCGCTTTCCTGTACGTCCTCAAATGGCACTGTAAAAGGCCAAGGAGGGTGCTGACGGAACACCATATAGCGCCGCCCTCTGCGGTCATTTGCGACTGCAGTGAACGTCCCCCACCCCCAACTGCAGACGACAACACTACCAAATGGCCTTACGGTAGCGACGGAGGCACACCCGCATGCGCAGACTGCGACGGTGGGCGTGTGGATTGACGCGGGGTCGAGGGCGGAGACGGATGCGACGAACGGCACGGCGCACTTCCTTGAGCACATGGCCTTCAAGGGAACCAACCGCCGCTCCCAGCACCAGCTCGAGCTCTCTGTTGAGAGCCTCGGTGCGCACCTCAACGCGTACACCTCCCGGGAGCAGACGGTCTACTACGCCAAGTGCTTCTCGAAGGACGTGAACACGAGCGTGGATATCATTAGCGATATCCTCCAGAACTCGACCCTCGAGGGTGGTGCGATTGAGCGGGAGCGGGATGTCATCCTCCGCGAGCAGCAGGAGGTCGACAAGCAGATGGAGGAGGTCGTCTTCGACCACTTGCACGCTGTTGCCTTCCAGGGTGCGTGACGTCAACAAGTCCGGGTCTTCTGGTGTATTGACTCTCCCTAGGCCAGCCCCTTGGGCGCACTATCCTCGGCCCCAAGGCTAACATTCTCTCCATCAAGCGGGATGACCTCGTCTCGTACATCAAGACGAACTACACCGCCGACCGCATGGTACTCGTCGGCACTGGCGGCGTCAACCACGAGCAACTGGTGGAGTCCGCCCAGAAGCACTTCGGCACCCTCCCCGTCTCCTCCAACCCCATCCCCCTCGGCCGCCTCTCCCACCCCAAGACGCGCTTCGTCGGCTCCGAGGTGCGCGTGCGAGACGACACCCTGTCGACCGCGCACGTCGCGATCGCCGTCGAGGGTGTCGGCTGGAGCTCGCCCGACTACTTCCCGATGCTGGTCATGCAGAGCATCTTCGGGAACTGGGACCGCTCGCTCGGCGCGTCCGGGCTCATGTCCTCGCGCCTGTCGCACATCATCTCCTCGAACGGCCTCGCGAACAGCTACATGTCGTTCTCAACGAGCTACTCGGACACCGGCCTGTGGGGCATCTACCTCGTCACCGAGAACCTGATGAACATGGACGACATGGCGCACTTCACGCTCAAGGAGTGGACGCGCATGTCGATCGCGCCCACGGACGTCGAGGTCGAGCGCGCCAAGAGCCAGCTCAAGGCGAGCTTGCTCCTCAGCCTCGACGGCACGACCGCCATTGCCGAGGACATTGGCCGCCAGCTCGTCACGAGTGGCCGCCGCATGACCCCCAAGCAGATCGAGTTCGTCGTTGACCAGGTCACCACGGAGGACATCAAGCGGGTAGCGCAGAAGTACCTCTGGGACAAGGACGTGCGTACTCCTTGCCTGTATTCGTTCTACGCATCCATACTCACGCTTCCTTCTACCAGATCGCGATTGCTGCTGTCGGTCCCCTTGACGGCCTCCTGGACTACAACCGTATCCGCTCGGACATGTCCTCGCTGGTCTACTAAGCGCGGCCCCAGGGTGTGCGCTCGGGTTGGACGGACGGTGTCGTGTAGTTATCGTCGTAATGCTAGCCAGCTCCTAGATCCCCGGCAACGGGAGGGTAGACCAAAAGTATCTTCGCTCTGTTGTTTACTTCAAATCAGGGGAGCTGGTTTAATGTCCCCCAGTGCGACGGTCGACTTGCCGAGTCGTCTAGGAAGGCCCCCGGCGCGTCGCCGCCTGGTACGTACCACATAGCTAATTACATCCAGCGTCCAAGGGTAAACTAGAGAGGTATGATGCGGTGCGGCCTGTGGAATATAATGTGCTTGTGAAAACAACAATTCTGAGTTGTGTGTAAGAGATGTACGGAGCATCATCCTGAGACAACTTTCTGGTACCCGCACGAATTATCGTTCGCCGTCGAACCAGTGGCGAGAATACTCGTTGGAGGCACCAGTTGTTTCGGGTCGGAGTGGTCTACAGCGTGGGTGAGCAAAGGTGTCGCGATGTGCATACGACCAGGACGACTGCAATACAGACGACTGCAATACAGGGGTAGATACAGGCATATGGGCAAGACGGTGAGCGACAGTGCATGGTCCATAGCGGGGGACGGCATAAATACGACAACGCAACGAGCACAGGCTACGAGATCCCGGCGGTGGAATGGCCCTTGGATCGGTACTTGACAATCCAGGGGTGTTTCCGCACCTCGGCAAGCGGTATGCGCTTCTCGGGGTCGTATTGAAGCAACTGAGCAGTAACGTGTGAGACGCTTGCATTGGGTACGTAGAGATGCAAGTACTGACCCTCGTGATGACATCGCGCGCCTCCGGAGAGACCTTGGCAGGGATCTTGAGGTCGACGCGTGCGATACGTTTGTACGTGGCTACAAGCGAACGTCAGCGGACATTATTGTGCGTACGGCAGACAGTGCTTACCATTGTAACCGCTAAGGTCCTCAAATGGTGGGGCGCCACAAATGAACTCGTAGGTGAGTACACCCAGTGCCCAGTGGTCGACCTTCTCCGAGTGCTCGCGCCCCTCGACCATCTCCGGAGGGAGGTAGTCGAGCGTCCCGCAGAGCGTCTTGCGGCGGCTGCCCGGTGCGTGCACGCTCCAGCCGAAGTCCGCGATCTTGAGCTCGCCGTTGATGCCCAGGAGCAGGTTCTCCGGCTTGATGTCGCGGTGGATAACGTGTTTCGCATGCAGGTAGCCGAGCGCGTCCGCCATCTGGTCGATGTACCGCGAGGACCGCTTCTCCGTGAACGAGCCGTACTTCGTAAGCTGGCGGTAGAGCTCGCCCTTGCCCGCGAACTCGAGCATGAGGAATATCCGCTTCTCGTCGTGGAAGTACCCGTAGAGGCGCAGGACGTGCGGGTGCCTGAGGTTCTGTTGGATTTCAATTTCGCGTCGGATTTGCTTCTCGACGCGCGACTGCACGATCTCGGACTTGTACAGGCACTTGAGCGCGAGGATGTAGTGGGGCTCCGTCTTCGTCCGGACCATGTATACTCGCCCGAACTTGCCCTTGCCGAGTGGCCGCCCGATGTCGAAGTCAGTGAGATGCCATTCTCTTGTAGGGAGGTATCTGCGGGAATGAGCTGAGCTTTCTATGGTGGGAGGTTGAGCCACTTGTACACTCACGCTGCTACGCTGGAGTCCAGAGCGAGGTCCTCTGCAGCTTGCCCTGTGATCTTCGCCCCTCGTGTCTCGTTCTCAATCTCGAATCCACCATCGTATTTTCCGATATCGATCGTATGTTGCTTTACTGGCGCGGGTCTTGTGGGGGAGGGCGGTCGTGAGGCGTCTTGCTGTGCCTTGCTGGCTATTGACTGTGATGATGCTGCCTTCTGCAGACTTGCGGATGTGGGGAATGGGTTTGGCGCGGCGTATTTCGAGAGGAGCTTCGTGACGTTCGTCTGGCTGGGGTTCTTCTTGTGTTGTGTCGTGGTCGTAGTGGTGGTAGTCGTTGTTCGGGTGGTGTTCTGCTTGGAGGATATCTCGAGGGCGGAGATCTGGCGGGTGAGCTGACCGACGGAGGCCATGTTGGACGGTATCGCAATCGCTTGAGGTCGACGAGGGGCAGGGAGGAGGATGGGGCGACGGAGAGGTCGACGTCGAAAGCGAGAAACGCGGCGAGCGCGAGGTTCGGTTTTGAACAGGCGCGCTTCGCCACAACGCGTAGGTCATGTGACCGAGATCCTCGTGCCGGCCCGAGCTCCGATGTTCCTTAATTTTGGCAGGCGGATTGGCAGGTGCTTTCGCGGCGCGAGTAAGTACTGCCATCCACTCGGACCCACACCACAACCCTGAGCTCGAAAAATCGCGTATTGTCGGGCGCAACACTGGCGGACATTGCAGGAATAACTGAGCGGATACACGAGGCCGGAGGTCGTATACATGCTCATCTATAGTTAGGCAGCCTTAGACTCGGTCGGTCTCACCTGTCGATCCCCGCCTGCTTCTGTCGTTTCACGAAGCCTTCCGTAAATCCGTGATTCCGACCTCTTGCACGGCATCAGAGGTAATATTCACGTCGGTACGTGCAGCGCAGTGGCTCTCTTCCGCGACGCCTTGGCTTGCCGGTGTTCTAGCGACATGACGCGCTGCGAGCCCGCAATTGCGTGATCCAGGGTACCTGAGGCGTACATCATTTTGCGAATATGCGGTGGCTTCAGCGCACTCTCTGCGCCTTCTTCTAGACACCGACCAGCGACCCTCGGCATGCCGCCCTCTCTGCTGGCCCTCAGGTTTCTCCCCTTTCCATGACCGTGCAGCACCTCGAGTCGCCGGCGACGCAGACTCCCCCGCCAGAGACACCCGATCTGAGCCCGCCCTCGCCACCACCATCCCGCCAAGGGAAAAGAAAGTCGTGCGAGGAGCCGAGCGACCCCTTTACCGACCCGCCGTGCAGAGGGAGGGACCGTGTGCGTGCGTGCCGGGCGTCATGCAGTACCGAAGACCCGTTTACCCCCGTCTTCACCGACGATGACGACGTCGAGCCGCCGCCTGGGAAAGGGAAGGGGAAGGAGACACCTGAGGAGGAGGCGCGCTGGCGGAAGTCGTTGAGGGAGCGCAAGCTCATGCTTACGCTGGAGAACTCGGGGAGCGTCGCGCGGGACCATCTTGCCTCGGAGCGGACGTTTCTTGCGTACGTCAGGACGAGCCTCACGATGTCATCTGCGGGAGTTGGTGCGTCGGTTTATCAGCCTAAATTTCCCGATGAAAGGCTATTGACTCACTGACTCTTCTGGTAGGGTTGGTCCAACTCTTCTCCCTGTCGGCCTCGACCGCCCACAAGACGGACTTGGAGCAGTTCGCGCGGCCGCTGGGTGCGGTCATGATAGGCATCGGGCTATTCACGCTCGGCGTCGGCGTGGTGCGCTATTTCCTCGTCCAGAATGCGCTTGTCCGCGGGGTATACCCGGTCGCGCGGGTCAGCACGACCGCACTCTCGTTTTTCGTGCTGGTGATGGTCATCGCGGTGTTCATCGTGATCCTGGCTCGAACATAGACGTTGGTCGAAGGTGTGTGTGCACGGGTATCAAATGTTTTCACAACTGCGGTGTTGACCGTCCACTGTTCCCATAGGTCCACGGCTACCCAAGACTGGATATCTCCTCTGCACACCACATCGTTAGACACTTGCTATGACTGCTATCAATATTACGGAACACTTGCACCGCTCACCTTTCGTCTCTGCGGATATGCTGCGAAGTACACTCGGTTTGCAACTAGTTTTCACTAGAAGCACGACGTCGCAGAATGTAGACTACGGTCCACGCTGCGGCGCAAGCCACAGGTCCAGGTACGCTTCCTCTCGTATACGTCATGCTCAAGATAAGGATTACCGGCTTCACGGATGATAGTCTAGCCTACATCGCCGAGGCCAGGGCTGCTCGTCCCTATTTCTCTTCGTGCAATTGAAGGAGGCGGTAGGTAGGAACAGGACGACTGCTAAATGCTAGCATCCCACCCATGGCGGCACTTAAGTCTCTCCGAGTCAGATGTCCTCGACGTGCCCGACGGCGGTGTCTCAGGTAGCTGCAAACCCAAAGAAGTCTGGTGTTACTAGAGCTGACGCATATCTCAGATATTTTTGCCTTGAAACAGAATACATGCGAGGCCGTCGCGCCCTCGCGAGAGATTCAATTTGAACGGTCCTGATGGAAGTGAGTACGCCGCTAAAGTGCTGAGCGCTTCTGCGTCGGACCCCGCGCTCCGCAAAAGCCGGAGCGCATAGGAACGACTCCTAGCGAACGACAGCGAACGACCGGTTTATACCCTCCGTTCAAGTGCTTGTAAATTCAAGTCACCAGAGTGCGTCCAGATACCCAGCGCAAGCACCAAGCATAGTATATTTTGGATCGGGAGATGCATCTCTCCCGAATTGTGGCGGAAGCCATATGATTGGACGTCGACGGACGATCTGCTCATCCGAGTCCGGATGCGGCTGATCGAGGCAGCACAATTTCTCCTGAGCCCCTCTCGACTGTCCCCAGGTTTGCACAAGACGTTTCCTCTCCGTTCTACTCTCAGACCTAAACGTTGAACGCGTTACTGCATCTGCCACCTCATGCCTCAGTGCGCGGCCACCTCGAGTCTTCGCCAGCAATTTTCATGACGTCAATCAACAGGCGACAGCAGCCACGACCGCAGAAGTGATCGCGCGCCCAGAGCTCTACAGCAATTCGGAGTACCCACTCCCAATAGGCGTCGACGCTCATTCCGATATCCTCACACCACTCCTTCCATCTTGCCACGATGTCGTCGCATCTCGAGCCACCCACAGTCACAATGAGACCGCCGCCCTCCCAGACCCCAGACTTGCCTGTGTCGCCACCTCCCTCCCGGCTCGGACGCGCGGTATCGCCAGATATTTGCCCTCGGGACGAATCAGGAGAGAGGAAGGAGGAGATGGACAGTGCGAGGAGGACAAGGACAGCGTCGGAGGATGCGGGGGAGCGCTGCACGTCGGAGGACCGCGACGGCGAGGGACGGCTGCGGCAGAGGAAGCGGGAGCGGACGAAGCAGCCGCGCTGGCGGAAGTTCGCGGCGGACTGGAAGCTGTGGATGTCCCTGGAGAACTCGGGGAGCGTCGCGCGCGACCACCTCGCGTCCGAGCGGACGTTCCTCGCGTACGCCCGCACGAGTCTTACGATCGCGTCTACGGGAGTCGGTGTGTCAGGCCCCTCACTCCATAACCCTGCATGCACTCACATCGTACGGTGCAGCATTGGTGCAGCTCTTTACGCTGTCGGCGGCGACGACGGACAAGAACCTGGAACGCTTCGCGCGGCCGTTGGGAGCGGTGATGATCATCCTCGGACTGTACACTCTGGTCGTCGGGGTCATCCGCTACTTCATGGTGCAGGACGCGCTCATCCGTGGGGTATATCCCGTCGCGCGCATAAGCGCAGGTCTGCTGTCGTTCATGATGCTCGCGCTCGTGATCGTGGTATTCGTCATTATCCTCATCGCGACTCCGAGGTGACGCGCCAGGCGGGAGGCACCCTGTAGATGATGTTAGTGGTTAGCGGCGCTACCCAACCTACTTACCAGGTTCGTCGAGTAGCGAGTAGAAGGGGCCCGTTGTTTGTTGCGGTACCGGTATATATACCCATACGCCATACTTGATGGATACACGCCATCAATCACGTCTTCTCATGCTAGCCACGTCTTTCCCGTTCACTTACTTACCTAGACAACTTTATTGCAAACTAATGGATCGTCATTGGATCGTCGAACGTGCGCTGTACTCTTGCTCGGGGGTATCGGTTGTTACAAACCTTCTCTTTTGACACGAAAATCGGAGGATCAACGTTGCGACTGGAATCTGCCCATCCTGACTGGGTCATGCCCACCGAGGCACAAGCCCGCTGCGTAAGACAGCTGTTACATGCCATTACAGCTTTCCAGATCGTGCGACGCATGCACCACTGCCTACTCGTACGAGAACTGCTCTACGGGGATCCCATGTTCCTCCTCATATGCGCGCTGCCAGTCCGCAAGCCGGTACAGCAACTTCGCCCATTCGTCCTCGGTCTCCACGCCCTCCAGCCATGTCCTCTCCTGCCCCAGCGCAACCACGCGCTCCCACCCACGACCCAACAACCGCGCCTCCCCGCGCCCATGGCGCCGCCACGCCTCGACGAACTTGCGCCCGTCCTGCGGGAGCGCCCCGACGCGCTTCAAATACTCCACCAAGTCGTCCTGGTAGTCATGGTCCGTCTCCGACGGCGAGATCAGCCGGTGCCCCACATAATACGGGTCGAGCCCCTCCCCAAGCAGCGTCTTCTCGCGCGCCACGAGGTCCGCGAGCATGTCCGCGCGGCTCGGGAGGACGGAGGCGTTCGCGAGCGCGTGCGCGACGAACAGGCTCTGCGCGATGTCCGACGGGCAGTTCGCGACGAGCACGGGCAGGCCGACGAACGCGAGCGCGGTGGGCGGAAGTGCGGGCGCGAGGCTGAAGATGTGCCGGTACAGCGGGAACACGTAGCGCAGGTTGCTGACGAGCGTGAGCGCAGTGGTCGAGTTGAGGGTGGTGGCGGGATCGACTGCGAGCACGGACGAGTGCGGCGCGCTGAGGAAGGGGATGCGGAACTCGTACCCGGTCCCGAGGATGACGGCGTCGACGTCCGCGAGCGCGGTGCCGTCCTCGAAGACGACGGATGTGTCCGTGAAGTGCGAGATGCGCGGCTTGGGGACGACGATAAGCCCAGGGGTGGGCTCGGTCCCGGGGGTGAGCGACTGATAGACCTGCGGACATCAGCAAAAACCCAAACGGCATGGACTGGATTGCGAGGAGTGCGAGCGCTTGTCTAATCGCACGCGCTTGCGATACCACTCCAATCGTGAGTCGGATTGGCAATGCACCGGCGGAATGTGGTGGCTTGCTAGTGGCTTGCCAGCGATTGTGAGATTATGGGTGGCCGAAAAAATACAAATCTAAATATCTACAGTACGTCGATCTGTGCCCGCAGCCTGCTATAAAATCCAGTTGTGACTGGCGCACCCTGGGCACACCTCCAAGAAGTCCATAAGCTACACCCGGGTCTGCGCACGGATGAGCCCAAGCCAAAGGCCATGCGCGCCCGCGTTCTCGAGCGTTATCGGCACCTTACTGTGGCTGAGAGGCACGGAAATCGCTTGAACGGTCGTTGCTGGTGCCTTCCCTTCTGCTTGATCATGCTGTCTCACGGTCCCTGCCTATATCAACCTTCTCTGCGACGTCTCCTGCCTTCTTCAAACCGCTCCCCCTTCCCTCCCCTTCCCTCCCCTCTACGCGTACGCGGTCCGCGCCCAACCCGCTCCGCCAAGGTTTAGCATGTATGCTTCCGCCCTCATACCTCCGGCCTCAGGATTCCACTAGTGTACGCCGTGTTCTAGCTCGTGCTCTCCGCTGGGCTCGGACTTGGACTCCTGCTCTCGGACATGGCCACCGCACTCTCGGGCTGGGTTTTGTGCTTTGGGGGGACTTGTGCTCTTGGGGGACTCGCGCTCTGGGGAACTCGCACTCTGGATTCCTCGGCCACCTTTCGCTCTGAGCCTCTCGGACCGCGCTTTTTCACTATGGACCTCAGGCTCTTGCTGGCACCTCTGGTCCGCACTTGGGTATCTGTTCTCGCGCTCGCCTCCCGTGTCCTCGGCCCCGCGGCTCGAAACATGCAGTTATCGTTGGTGTGGCGGCCTCCGTGCTGAGCTGTGTTCTGTGTGCACGGAGTTCATAGTATGACTAGTACTTCATTCGCTTGTAACACCTCGCTTTGTAGTACCAGCGCTAGAAATATATATGATTTATTCTTTATTCTATACATGTGCGACCGCGCAGCTATTATATGCACATTTGATATAATATGAGCTGCTGGGAATAATCTGCCGAGGCCCGACGCTATGAGGCTTCTGGCATTCCCTCGCAAGCGCATGCAATCGCCCCAAGCGAGCTCGAGCCCCGCAATCCCTTGTCGTGCTCGTCGAGCACATGCGGGCGGATTGCCTACCTTGCCTACATGTCTCTAGTCACCGCACTCGCTTGCAATCCGGGCCGCAGATCGCGGTGGCTTGGGACGGATTGTAAAGTCTCGCAGGCGCTTCCAAGCGTCTAGGCCTTTTGCTGATGGAAACGTAAGATGCGCGCCCGACGCCACAAAGTGTATTGTACGTACCACATGCGCGACCTTGCCAACCTGCAACGCGGCGTCGCGTCCACTCGCCCCGGCACCGACGATAATCACGGTCCGCCCCGTGTACTTCTCCGGGCGGCGGTAGTATATCGAGTGCTGCAGCTCGCGCTGGGGCCGCCCCGCAGGCGTGTTCGCGAGCCAGCCCTCGGTGCCGTTCCACCGCGGGACGTGTGGGTAGTGGTTGTGCCCGTTCGCGACGACGAGGTGGTCAAAGGACCGCTTGAGGACGCGCACGGGCTCCTCGCGCGGGTGCTTCGGGTTGAGCTCGTGCACCTCTATATCCCACTTCCCGCCCTCCGCGTCCCCGATCCAGTTCGCCGCGGTTACGCTGTGGCGCAGGTGGATGTGCGACAGCAGCCCGTAGTGCGCTGCGTAGTCCGCGTGGTACTTCTGCACGTATTCGTGTGAGGGGAAGAGGGGGGTGTATGGCGGGTACGTGAAGTTCGGATAGGTCATTGTCGGATGCGGGGTGTTTGTGTGTAATAGCGGGTACACGGGCGATTCTGGCAGCACCGGTGGCCGCGGCAGCGGCCCTGGGGGGTCGGCCAGCCAGAGCCCGCCGACATCGAGTCGCTGGTCGTATAGTACAACTTCCCAGCCTTCGCGCACCTCTGCGGGTAGGTCGAGTATCGTCTTCAGGATCGCGAGGCCTCCACTTCCGGCGCCTACGATGGCGATAGACTTCGACGGCTGAGACTCGACAGGTACAGCATGGGAGAGGACTGTCTGACCAGCATAGTCGTCGGAGTACCCCTGCGCTAGCACCGCAGCAGGTAATAAGAGAAACGCGAGTCGTGCAGAGGTGAACATCCCAGAGAGCCTGCCAAGGGATCCGGGGAGCAAGGGGGGGACAGAGACAACCTCCTCGAGAGACACTAAGTACTCCCGAACACGCTTAGACATTCGTATGATCCAGCATATCGGCGCGCGCCGTCTGCTCCATCAGCATAGTGTTGTCTGGCAGCTCTAGAGGACATGGGCCCGTTAACGTTCAATGAGTCGAAGGAGTGGTGATATGGCGCAATCTTCTGTAGCCGAATATAGTCAGCTGCCTCGCGCGCTGTCGTATACCGAGGGACTTGCGTAGCATGGAGATTTGAAAACAACGTCCATTCAATTGCTGCAGGACGCGGGCGCAGAGAAGGAGTCAAGGATGGACGGAAAGAGTCAGGATGCGGAGTTGCTAGAGTCATCTATAGCGTATGTACACGGGCGCCTGTTAAAGTGATCCGTTCGGACTCGGAGGAACGCTCTTCTGCTCTCACTCACTCACTCTCTCGCTCTCTTTTTCGGGTTTCCCGGGATGCGCGCACTCGCCGACATTCAAGACACTTGCATAGCGCTCGCAGCTGAATCTCGCTGGCTGGCTACGCATCTCCGAGTCCTCTAGGATACAGACAATTTCTGTTACCGCAGGCTTCATCGATGCTGATAGAACAACACAGAAGTAGCTATGTTCCAGGTCAATTAACCTGACAGTTCGCACGGCAGAGCGACAGAAGGTCTCTTCAAGTGGAACGCGATCGAACGACTCGAACGGGTGCTCATGCTGGCTCATGGCAGCTTGGCCAACTTTCGTCGGCTGCATGAGAAGTAATATCGTCCACTCTGACTGGTCTCTCACCTCACCGTGTCTCGTTTCGCGCACCAGTGGAGGTCTAACATTTATGGCGGCCTCTACGACTGACCGCAGATGCCATCTCGTGCTTACGACTTACGGAACAACTGAACTCGACGTCTCCTCCGTTCTGCTTGGGGCGGGTTCTCAGGGAAGTCACATCCATCCACCGTGGTCATTGCAAATTACTGAATCACATATCGTGAACGCAGACGGCGATCAGGATTCAGCTTGTCTATGTAGTCTTGCGGCATCTGAGTTCCACAAACTGAGTCCGGACCGCTGACCGCTTTCCCCGCGGGACGTGGTTGACCCTGAGGCCTAAGGTCTGAAGTTCGCGCTACACGGCGAAGGTCTCACAAACAGGGGATTCGAACGGAGACTGTGACAGAAGGACTCCGAAGGTGGAAGTTCTTCCAGTGGTTACTCCAGCGAAAAGGACGATGCTCCAATGTGGCTGGGTGCCCACCTCCCGGCGTGGCTACCGCACGAATAATTGGTGGTTATGAGAAGAGCGAGTGGTCTTGCTGTACGATGCAGATACATATGTACTTGCATGGGGATATTTGTTGATCCCCATTTGAAGTAAGTCTTCAACGTGGTGTAGAAAGTCTGTATCTTCGAAGTCCAGAACTTAGACCAAGAGCGCTACAGAGAATGGTGTGCACGTACTATTTTTATAATCCGATATGGTGTAGTGGCTAACATTATCGCCTCTCACGCGATAGCCCGGGGTTCGATTCCCCGTGTCGGAATTGTTTTTGGATCCTTCTCCTTGACTGCTGCTCAAACACCTCGGAGGTAAGGCCCGTATCGACGAGGCTGAACGTCGACGTCTAGGCCGTGGAAGCCGAAGCGGCGTCCATACTTCACAGAAGAGGTATACTTCCCTATACCTCAGGCCTCCGCATCGGTGGGTCGTCCGCTATAAGTCCACTACGCTCCTGCGGTGTAAGGGATCCGGAAGTACGAGAGCGGTCTGCGAAACGGAGAACAGAGCTCGAGGCCCATCTGGAGCACCGTAACGGCGCGTTCTCGTATCTTTCTAGGGTTCTAGTAGTCGAAGTACCTCCTCCAGCGCGGTCCGTGCAACAAACGCGGAAAGAGACGAGCACGTAATTATCCGGGACTGTCTGATCCGTGCACGAATAACACCGCACGCAGAGAGTGTGATTGCGTGTCTTGTACGGATGCGAGCGTCGGTCCCGGGCCGCCCACCATGCATGTTTCATGTGCCGAGAGTTGTGCAAAAGATGGGCAGGTATGTCATGAGCACGACGAGGGGTGGAACCGAAGGACCCCTGACAATAAGTGGGGATGCCTGATGACCATCCGGACAAATTTGGCCATTTTGGAGGGGGTACGCCTGTTGTGGTCCGGACAAATCGACCGTTTGGCGCCCGAAAGCCTGTTGGCCATCCGGACATGGCGGCGGGCCAAAGCCCCTTTAGCGCCCGAGCAGCCGCCCGGCTACCCTTCGGGAGAGCCGGGAGAGGCCGGGCACCCGGCCTGGTGAGGATAAGCGCCCGTCATCCGGACGTTTTGCGCCGATTTGGGGGCCGTATGCCTGTTGCCATCCGGACAAATTTGGGCGCTAAATAGGCCTGTTGGCCGCGGACATTTTGGGCAAAATCCCGGAAGTCCTCAACAGGCCTCCCCTCCCATTGTCAGGGGTCCTGGAACCGACGGTACAACGGCTATGTTAAGTCCGCGAGCGTGTCCCGGCGGTGGGCGCGGTGATGGCAGGCAGCCAGGTACGGGGAAGCAGGGCAGCAGCATATGGCACACTCCACCGCTGACGACGGTCAGAGGGCGCACCTGGAAGGAACAGAAGCGTCCGAGCGAGATCCTCCGGCGGGGAAACCCCATGGGAAGTCAGGCGCCACCGCACGTGACCGTGTTTCTGCCTAGTATGGGCGGGCGGCTCCGCGACGCCGTCTCCGTTCGTGCTTGCCTGCGCCGTCGATGGCCCCCGCCGGTCCGCCCCCGTGCGCAACTCATGATCAGCCCCCGATGATGCCCAGTTCGAAGAGAAACGCGCTCTCGTCATCGAGCAGCCCGTCCCCCTATAAATCCGCGAGCGCAGAGCTCCCCGGTGGCCCGCACACCGTCAGGCGTCGCATCACCGCAAGCATGCTCTGGCGCCGTTCCTCCTCCTGGGCCTTCCCCGCCCTCGTCTCTCTCTGCCTCGTGCTGTTGACATGGCCGGCGACCTTGCGCACGACGGCCTCGGTCACTGCGGATGCGGTCAATCTGGCGGCCAGGGCAGACCCGACGCGCAAGGACAACGGCTTGACTGATGTCGTCCAGTGGGACAACTACACCATCTTCCTCCACGGGCAACGCACGTTCATCCAGTAGGCGTCACTGGGCTGTATGCGCCTCGATCGACATGCTTATCTGTACCACAGCTCTGGAGAGTTCCACACTTTCCGTCTTCCGGTGCCGGACCTCTGGCTCGACATCTTCCAAAAATTTGTCGCCGCGGGTTTGAATGCAGTCAGGTGAGTTCGTCAGAAGCGGAGGGACATATATCTCGCGTGCTAACTCATGCACGACCTGTACAGCATCTACATTCATAGTGTGTCTTCTAGCGTCTTGCCAGAGCGTACATGTTTACTGACAAGATGCTTCTTATATCATAGTGGGCGCGACGAACCCCGCTCCTGGTGTACTCGACTTTGACGACTGGCGTGCCTTGGCACCCATGTACGACGCCGCCAAGCTCGCTGGTATTCTCATTGTACTTCGCCCTGGTATGTCCTTCGTGCGTGTCTCTAGGCCAACGCTGACGCCAACGTCTTCCATGACAGGTCCTTACGTAAGTGACACTTCTCAACATTATTGCAGGCGAATCGGAAGCTTGCACTTGAGCACTTGAGCAATCCGCTATGGCGCAATATGGTACACCTGGGCCTCACTAGAGCACGCAACGACGGATACCAGTGCACGGCCGTTTCCTAAGAAGATCCGAGTAGGAGAGTGCTGGAAGGGAGCGAGACGGGGAAGTTCAGGAACTTCCTCGCCTCACTCGCCTCCTATCAAGCCGCCGCAAGCGAAAAGTCGCCGCCACATCGGATACTCAGCGGGCAGATTCTGCTGCGCGGACTCTCCTGCATCTGCTTCAGCCGCATTCTTGGCTCTACTTTTTCCGCGAACGGAATCCGTTCCCATGAGTTTGATGCTGACCTTGATTTACTTTTGGACAGATCAACGCAGAGACGACCGCCGGAGGTATCGCCCACTGGGCAACCAGCAAGGTTGCGGGCACGCTGCGGACGAACGTGAGCGACTGGAACGCGGCCTACGAGCCGTACATCGACGGCATCATCAAGGAGACCCTGCCGCACCAGGTCACTGCTGGAGGTCCTGTCCTGGGTAAGGTACTCTGTAATCCTCATACCATACATCCGCTAATCTTTGTTTTGTAGCTGTGCAGATCGGTGAGCTGAATGCAGCTAATGAAAGTTACCGACCTGACCACGTTGGGCAGACAACGAATATTCACAGAACCCTGCACCACGGGCTCAGTACTTTGCTAACCTCGAGGCACAGTACCGCGATGGTGGCATCGTTGTCCCTCTGTAAGAGAATCATTCAGTGAAACCCTGCTCGTGGTAGATCCTTACTCGGCTTAGGACGTACAACGACCCCAACGAGGGCCGCAACTTCATCAACGGCACCGGCGCCGTCGACATCTACGGCTTGGTCAGGGTTTTCCCTCGTCCACCTGCTCATGATTCGGAACTGACAGCCCTCGGCGTCATATAGGATGCATACCCCCAGAACTTCGACTGCTCGAACCCGACGCACTGGAGCCCGGTCGTGACCAACTACCACGACTACCACGAGACGAACAACCCCGGCCAGCCATGGTACATGCCCGAGTTCCAGGGCGGCGCGTTCGACCCCTGGGGCGGCCCCGGCTACGAGGCGTGTGGCGTCCTCACGGGCCCCGACTTCCAGGACGTGTTCTACAAGCACAACTGGGCTGCGAACGCCAAGCTGCTCTCTTACTATATGGTATACGGGTGCGTCTCCCTGTCGTCTCTTCCGTGATTATCTACTCATGGTCTTGCAGAGGCACGAGCTGGGCGGCATTCCCGTTCCCTGGGGTGTACACTAGCTACGACTACGGCTCGGCTATCCACGAGACGCGCGGGCTCTCTGCGAAGTTCGACGAGCTTAAGCGACAGGGCCTTTTCCTGCGTTCGTCGCCCGAGTTCCGCAAGACGGACTGGATCGGAGACTCGACGACCGGTGCGCCAGGATTCACCCTCAGCAACAGCGCCGCATTCGCGACGTTCCTCAAGAACCCCGACACCGGCGCTGGGTTCTTCATCACGCGCCAGCTCGATTCGACGTCGACGTAAGTGTCTAAACTCGAGCGCACGATGCAGCCCTGACCCTTGCACAACAGCGCGAGCATCTCCTTCAACATCACCGTCCCCACCTCCAAGGGCACGCTCACGCTCCCCCAGACGACGGCCGGCATCGCGCTCGACGGGCGACAGAGCAAGGTGATCGTCACCGACTACACCTTCGGCGCGCGCGGGTCCGTCCTCTACTCCACCGCCTCCATCTTCTTCGCCGGCACCATCGGCGGGCGCGACGTGCTCTTCCTCTTCGGCGACGCCGACCAGTCGCACGAGGCCGCCCTCACGCTCACCGGCTCCGGGGCGCGCGCGCAGTCCGCCTCCGTCAAGTTCTCCACCTCGCCCTCCGCCGCCGCGCGCGGGATCTCGACCGTGACCGTGCTCGCGGGCAGCACGGGGCTCGTCACGCTCTGGGACTCGGACACGCAGCTCGTGCTCTTCGCGGACCCGACGACCGCCGCGACGTTCTGGGCGCCGCACATCGCGACCAAGTCCGCGGGGACCGTGCCCGGGTTCGAGCACTTCTGGCAGTGGGGCACGAACACGACCGTGCTCGTCGGCGGGCCGTACCTCGTGCGCAACGCGTCGCTCGCCGATGGCGGCCGCACGCTCGCGCTCCGCGGGGACCTCAACGCCTCCGTCCCGCTGACCGTCATCGCCCCCGCGAGTGTGAGTGCGGTGACGTGGAACGGGGCGCGCGTGGAGGGCCTGCGCGCGACGACGAGTGCGCGCGGGCGGGGCGGGTTCCTCAGGGGCCAGCTCGCGGAGCGTGCGGCGGTGCGGGGCGTGCAGGTGCCGAAGCTGAGCGGGTGGCAGTTTGCGGACAGTCTGCCGGAGGTGGCGGGTGGGTTCGACGACTCGGCGTGGGTGGTGGCGGACCATACGAGCACGAACATCTCGCGGAAGCCGTTGTTTGGCGACGGGCGCGTGCTGTTTGGGTGTGATTATGGCTTGTGAGTGTTGGATGTTGTTGTGTGGGGTGGCGTAGGGCTGACTTGCGCGGGGCGGGTAGCTGCGAGAACAACGTGCTGTGGCGCGGGCACTTCAACGCGACTGGCTCTGAGACGTCCGTCAACCTGACTATCAACGGTGGCAGCTGTACGTCTTCTCAACCACGTCTGCCTTGTGTAATATCTTACGCCCTTCATTTCTAGCATTCGCGGCCTCAGTCTGGATCAACGACCAGTTCATCAGCACCGTCTACAACGGCGCGGACCAGATCAACGCTCTGTTCACGTTCCCGGCTGGATCAGTGAAGGCCGGCGAGGACAACGTCGTCACCGTTCTTCAGGACAACATGGGCAACGACGAGGACTCGAATGGTGAGTATTTTGGCACGCGGTCAAGAACGCGCCCTCACATCCACCCACAGAGAAATCCGCGCGTGGCATCCCCGGCTTCAAACTGAACACTGGCAACTTTACAACCTGGAAAGTCCAAGGCAAAGTCGGCGGCTACGAGAAGTAAGCCCCACCCCAGTACGCCCCATCCCCTCTAACCTATCCCCCACCCACAGCTTCCCCGACAAGGTGCGCGGCGTGATGAACGAGGGCGGCCTCTTCGCCGAGCGCGAGGGCTGGCACCTGCCCGGGTTCGACCTCGCCTCGGCGGGCTTCACCGCGCGCGACCTCTCCGCGGGCCTCCCCAGCGGCGGCGCGGGCGTAGGGTTCTTCGTCACGACGTTCGATCTGGACCTGCCCACTGGCACGGACCCGCAGTTCAGCTTCGTGTTCGACGGCGGGGTGGGCAAGACGGGGCAAGCGTACCGTGCGCTGTTGTTTGTGAACGGGTGGAAGTTCGGCAAGGTGCGTGTTTGGCTGTGGTGGAGGGAGGGGTGGGGCTGATGATGTGTGTGTGTGTGTAGCGTGTGGCGAATGTCGGCCCGCAGGCATCGTTCCCGGTTCCCGTTGGTATCGTGGACCCCAATGGCAAGAAGTGAGTGCTATCATCATGCCATGCGTTAACGGTATCTAACAAGTGACCTGTAGCACCGTCGCGGTCGCGCTCTGGGCATTGAACGGCACCGCGGTCACCCCCACTCTGGACCTCGTAGCCGACGCGATCATCGACGGCGGTGTCGGCCACGTCGCGACCAACAACCCGGTGTGGACGTCGCGTTCCTGAGCCGACCTGGTTGAACCTGCGCCCAGTTGAACGAAATGTTAACGATCTTGGAGGAACGGACACCATCCCTGGGCTGTGTGGCCCTCCGGAGGGGTGGTTGTACAATAGTGCTTTCAGGTTGTAAAACGTTGTGTAGTGAATGTAAAAATACATGACCATTGGGTCATCTTCATCGTCTGGTACCTATGTGGCGTGTCGTGGGTCACCACTGACTTGCATTGCCATGGTTGTGGAGGTAGACATCAAGTCCATCAAGCAAAAAGCGTCACCTGAGCGATTCGAACACTCGCGGGCAAAGCCCAACCGCTGGCAGCTGTAATAGCAGGCGATCCCGTTAACCACTCCGGCAAAGTGACGACGCCACAGAGCCCATGACGTAGATCCCCCGTACTCGTGCAACGTCTTTCCCTAAACTTCCACCTGGCCAGCGTCTGTCTCTTGACCGTCAACCACGAGCTCGAAGACATATGCATATTCTGCGTTCATGACTGCCCAGACTCAGTATGGCACTTGGAGCAAGTAGAAGTTGTTTAACCTTATGGCGACCTCAATTGCATGTAGTAAGTTACGGAGAATGATAGCTCCTGACAGTACTATTCACCTGGAGCTGGCAGGACTCAAGCTGCATGCAGGACTCGCATTATATGTTTGGTATGGTCTCAATATGGTTATGATCTCCTCCGTACCAAACTAATGTGCTACCAGTGTATATACAGAGAAGCCTCCATGCGTGGCGAATTGCCAAGCCAGTGAACGCCGTTTTTGTTTGTCCGACAACATCCCATTTGCAACACGGAATCGAGCTGCCCTACAACCTGATCGCCCCTCCTACCTAGCGTCCTCCACACGCACCACACGCGATGAGTTCCCTGTTAGACAAGTCGTGCCATCCAGAATCTCGGTGTTCTTCCGAGAAGCGACACCGCGATCCGCGCGTGGACCTACGAGCTCTCGCATTAGTATCTGCCACACAAAGCAACGACTGTGCCCGAAGGATTCACTCGCTGTCTTCCCCCAATAGGGAGCACGGGCCTCCGGAATGGCTCTTCGCAAATCCATCGCGATCGGTACGTCCACAACACACACTCCGCTCCTGTTTAGCTAAACGCACCCGCTTCTATTACGCGTCCCTTACGTCGTCCGCGACCATCATCTAGCGATACCATCGATCCACGAGTATGGAGACTGTCCTACACATCCTGTCTCCGCATTCATGTCCACGCACCCGGGCCCGGTGCACCCGTAATCGGGTCCATCGACGTCTAGAAAACTCGCCGCTGCAGTATCTCGCAGGCGACCGCGCGAGCCCGCCCTGCTGTGCACGCCCGGCTTCCCTCCGTATCGGCGGGCCCGCATCTCTGCCCTCTACCCCCGCTGATCGTGGAGATCAGGCGCGAGATTGCGTTGCGCTGTGGCGAAATGCAGGATGCGGCATGCCGAACGTCCGGCGGAGTCCCCTTTCTCCCTGGCTGAACGCTGAACGCCGGGCCAGCTTCGACTAACGTACAGTCGTCCGACCGAGGCTACCAGATAGCGTCGCGGTCGTTCCAGCACCACTCTGCTATCTTGACGTACTCGCACGACCAGCTGCAGGTGCTGAGCGGTGCACAGCATACCGCCGACGCGACGGAGATCCCGTTCCCGCTTTCGCCGTGTCGTATCGCAAAGATTGTCGCAGAAGCACCGGCGCGAAGCCCGCCAGTGCCTGTGGCCAATACATCCCCAAGAGGCCGGGCGCGCCCCCTTTGGCAACTGCGATGCCGCGTCCGCGCACGTTGATAGTAGCACGCTCCCAATGTGCACATGCGCGACACATGGGTAGTTACGGTGCGTGGCTCGCCGCATGCATCCCCTCTAGTGTTATACAAATCGCACAATCACAGCGTCGCGCAGATGACGGCACGATAGCGTGCCCTTCGCCAATACAAACCGACACTCCGACAACGGGGCATCTCGCGCGCGAACTACGTAACGCGGCCGTGCACCGCTCTGCTTCCGCTCACAGGTTATCGTGGGGGCGTGCGTGGCGCCCAGCGTCGACGCGCTGCAGAACGCGATGGTGGGCCTTCGTTCGTCGTTATCGCGCAATGCAGCCCGCCCTTCTGACTCCTTGCGTTATCGTAGACGCGTCTTGTGCAGATGTCGCCCTCTTGAAATGCTCACATTGTACAATGGCATGCTGCACGGCGAGCTGCAGTCAAGTAGCCGTACGGAAAGTACGCGTCTAAGTGACGCACAGCTGTTAACGTCGGGCGCTCAACGAACGTTCAATCTTTCTCCCTTCCGTGGGCGCCACAAACGCGTTGGATATCCTCGTCCACCGCTTCCCAGCGTCCTCGGTAATTGCACGCCATACTTGCTCGTGCGCACTCTAGGGCGGACGCCTGATCGCGTGTGCCCCCTTCGACGCCGCCTGCCAACAACTGTCACCGCGCCTTCCGCCTTCTCGTCCTCCCCCAGGTCATCTCCGCACGCAAGTTTCAGGGTGCCCACCCACGCCCACCGACTTCGAGGGTCCCCGGCTACCGCACACCCCCATCACCCGTCCTCTCTATCCCTATACACCGCGAGCGTTCCACGCACCACCCCGTAAAATTAACGAGCACATGCTATGGTGTACACGGACAGCTGCCAGTGCGCCTGCGCAATATACTCGGCCAGCGTCCGGGCGGCGGGCACCCCTCCCTAGGGACCCATGACTGGCGCACACGCCGAGCCGCCACGGCTATTTGGGACCCGCCGCCTGCGCGGGTGACGGCAGCGCGGGTCTGCTGACGCCCCTGCTATGCCGTACGAAGCTCGCGCTGCCGCAGGGGGGTCACAGGGACGGGCGTCCTCTGCTTCCAAGTGTCTCGCGGAGCTTCTTCGAGGAGACCGCATACGCGCGGCTGGCGAAGACAAGATTCAGAAGGCAGGGTGCGAATGATGCGGTCGGGGTCAGATCCTCTTGGGCTTCTGATATTGGGGACGTGGAGGTATATACACACATATGGATGCGGCTAGCTATACAGATACGACGACAGACAACTATGTGGGACGGACGGGGCTCGGACGGACGTGATGGGACATGGAACGTGCGCGTGATGGACGTGCGAGGGTGCAAGAGAAACAGAGCAGGTGTGGCGGACAGCGACAGGAGGAGGGGGCAGGTGGTAGTGGGGTGTGCGTGCGTGTCTATGCTGCGGAGAGCATGAGCGCGTCGGCCTCGCAGGGCGACTGCCCCGGGTGCGGGCATCAACGGGGGAGGGACGCAGCCTCCTAAGAGACGGGCCTAGGGTGGGGGGAATATTGGGCGCGTCGCAGCGCCTGGCGCGCGCGCGAGCGGGCGGGTGGTGGTAGTGGTGTACATATCCGTGGTCCGTGTCAGTGGCCACTGCGGTCGTCGGAGGAATGGTTGGTTGTGGGGGCCCCTCAAGACTGTGGCAGTCGCCGTGCGGCCGCGGCGCGGCACTGGAAGCACTCGTCCTTGACGGTGTCGATGTCTTTCTGCACATCTGGCCCAAAGTTCTGCAGGGCGACACGCGGACACGGTCAGCACCGAATTATGACATACGATGACATAGGCCTCGGGGGAGGACCCGGGTGCAGCGGCGGCGACGGGAATAACGCATTTTCCGACGGACGGGGTCGCGCACTTCCGCCTCCGCGCGCGTCCGCCCCGTACGCGCGCCCGCCGCTGGCGCTGACCCCGGACACCAGCACGATGAGCTCACCTTTATGCACGTCGGGTCGCGGCAGCCGCGCTGGTGGAGGTAGCTGCGCTCGCACTTGGCCGAGTTGCAGTCCATGATCGCGACGACGAGATGGCGCTGGAAATGCTGCAGGGGGTGCGCTCAGCTGACCTGAGCCGCGCGACGCGATGACGGTGGCAAGACATACCCCACACTTGGACCACCGCGTGCCTTCGCTAGAGACGGGTGTCGTGAGCGCGCGATCGGGCAGAGAGGAGTGGGTGCGACATACGCAATTCGGCGACACATTTTGGCAAGATGAGAGGGAGGTAGCGCTGAGAGGAGGTGTGTGCAAGAGAGGTGCCACTGGGTGTGGGCGGGTGTGGCTTGTGCAGGCGCGCGCGGGGTGTACTGGGCAGAGGAGTGTGCGGGCGATGGACGAGGAGTGCGAGGTATTTGTACACGGACGATATGACTGTGGCGCGAGGGCACAAAGGGCGGGCGGGGTGAGTCACAAAGGACGGGGTGATGAAGGGGGCTCCGTGCTTTTATGCGCACGGCACGCGCGGGAAGCGCTCGCGGAGGAGCGATAGCAGGCCGCAAGCTGGGCGCAGGCTGCAGCTGCGACCCGTCTCTCCGTCCGCGTCCGCCATGACTAACGCCTTCCTCGCCCATCCACATCCACATCCACCCAGCACAGCGGGCCTCGGAATCCGAAGCGCAGGGCACCGCTGGGCCGCGCACCCCGCCGCGCTGGTGCGACATTTGGAGCAGCGATCGTGAGATTCGACGCGTCTTCTGGCTCCGACGTACCCACTTATCCTGATCCCCCTCCTTCCTCTTCTCCGGCCAGAAGCGCGCGCGCGCACGCCTAGCCATCCCCGGCATGGCAAGTGATTTTGCCACCACCTGCCGCTTCAGGCGGCACCGCCGAGCACGGTCGCGGGTATCATGTGATGCGCGTTCCCCAAAGCCTTCCTTGCAGCTGCGGCCACGCAGGAGCCCAGTAGAAGCACCGCGCCGCACGGAGGTGTGCGCCTTCGCTGCTTGATGCAGCTGCCCCCGCCCGCGCGGATGACGAATTGCACGCCAGCGATTTCGAATGTTCCTCGAGCCCGAGTCGACGACGCCGCCCGCCTCGCACCGCTTTCGTACGGCTCGCGCGCGCGTCGACGTGCAGCGGGAGGAAGATCGAGCACCGGTGAGTGGCATGCACGATGTATGATGTATGTGTACGTTCCTCCTCCGCCTCGTGCCCGTCCGCATCCGTACGCGCGAACGGCACTAGTCCCAATCGTGCGCCCGGCTGCGGCCAGTGCGGGCGTCATCGCCGGCTCCCAATCTGCCCCCTCCTGGAACTGGTGATGGCCCCGCTGCAAACGTCCACCCATCCACTCGCGATGTCGCCGCATCCACTCGCGATGTCGCCGCGGATGCAATCAGAGGCGCGCAAGAACGCGCATCATATCTCCTCGCTTTATCTGCATCTGCTGCCGGAGCCCGTCTGCCCGCTCGCGTTTTGCGTTCCGTGGCAGAAACCGCGAAGGCGGCGGCCCGCGTGCGCGTCCCAGCTTTGGCAGAACCTAGCGAATGTCACTGTGCAGGTGCTCGTCCTGGCATGAGATGGCGACCGCTTCCTATCCTGTTTTCGCCCGGGTTCCTGGGGCGTGCAACGTGCCGCATGACATGCCGTCTCTCCTTTCAGCCTGAGCGCACCGGCAGCCCAATATACCTGATGTGTACCGCTCGTTGCGCCGACTCCGAGCAGTCTAGCTGTTCATCTTGCGCTGGTAAGAGCCTTGGCCCGGGGCAGACAAAGCTAACCGTAACGCCACGGCACCGCGCGGACGCATTCCATACATTCGCCCGCATCCACACGCCCCGGACCCGGACGCGCTGCTGCTGCGGTGAGTGCATATCGCTATGATGCACGTCGATGCATGTCGTCACTGCTTCCAGCGAATTCAGCTTGCACATTCAGCCCGACATGGTTTCTCGTTCTCCCAGTGCCACCGCCGCCGCGTATCGATGGTGGGGGCCGCCAGCTGCAGACAAGCGCGAATGGAAGGTGCGCTCGGGCGAACTCGGATCTCGCGAAGCTTCCAAGAGGACAATTAACACGGTCCGCCGGCAACCAAGCTGGACCTGCCACTGGCGGATACTCGTACTTATCGTGCCTTCGGGTGGTGGGACGCACACGCACACGGCGCATCGATGGGCGATTGAGCGCGGCGCGTCGTTTTGTGTTCATCGATGGCACATATCACGGCCGGGAGAGGAAAGGAAGGGCGGGAAGGGGCAGCCCGGACGGAGCTGGGGAGGAGCGCGAGATAAGCCCCCGGTGAGCAGAAGGGCCGCACTCGACATTGACTCAGCAGCCGAATGGTTCGAAGTTCGAACAGGGCCCAGCATATGTATCTGCGGATTATCGCTGTGTTGCCGTGTGGTGTGTGCATGACTCTGCGGAGCAGAACTGCTCTCGAGTCTCGGTAGCCTCGCTGGAATTCAGTTCGTGGCGCGCGGATGCCAGCCAGGGAGGGGGCGCAGCCATGGCTGCGACAGAATACAACGTTGCCGTACCTGCCGCCGTGGCAGTACCAGAGTTCAGCCATGTCAACGTCCACTTTCCCCGGATCGCCCTGCCACCGACCACATACGCAGCAACTAGGCTCAGGAAGGCAAGGACCCCCTGCCAGCCGCCCAGCTAAACGGGTGTGGGCGCGGGTGCAGTCACCGCGCAGAAGCCAGCGCTGCACAAAGATGTGAAGAGAGTCTGTGCTGTATGCACGGATCTTCACATTGCACCACATACTGTACACCTGAGGCCGGGTCGCACTGCATAGCAGCGTGCCTGCGTTCTAAACCCGACCGAGAAGCACAAATGTATACCTGTTCCTAGCTGCCGTCTTCCGTACCTGCAGCACCAGCGAGCCGTGCGCAGTGGGGCCGAGCTTGCCCGCTCTAGGCAAGTGCACTCGACCACCACGCACCCAGATGACAGCAGCCCGGCGGCACGGCGTATCACGAATACCGTGCACCGCCAGCAGAGCGCATAGACGGCCACACGGCGAAGCGTCCCATGATTCGACGTCCGTGCGACCGGGGCGCACCCACCTTCTGCGCGTGCGCGCGGGAGTGCACGCGCCCAGGGAGAGAGATCCACGCTGCAGCCCGGCGTCGGCGGACACTGGGGCTGGGGTTTGCGCCCTGGATACTCGCGCGTGGCCACGCTGTGCTGGGGTAGATGCGGTACGGCGTGCTGGGCGAATATACGGTCAGCTGGTGTGCTGGAGAGCAGGGAAGACGCGCGATGACGATGACGGGGGCGGCTTGGGACGACAGCATCAATCCGTGTGTGGATTACGGCAAGCAGGCCCCGGAAGGCTCGACATGGGACCCTGAGCGAACAAACGTATACAAGCTCTGCGCAGCCTCTGGAACTCGAGGACGCCGCGCCCTGGTACCGAAGATGCCTCTGTCACCGCGGCGTCCCGTCCTCGGCACCTTCTCCCGCCACGGCAGCCGGCTTCTCCGGCGCAGGGTCCGCGTCTGCGTCGACTTGGACAACGACGAAGCGCCGCGTGAGCAGGTTGAAGACGCTGCCGAAAATGAGCGCGATCAGCGTGCAGCTCATGATGATGACGTTGTACGGCATGCTGAAGTCCGGCGTGGCCAGGTCCACGAGCATCGCAGGCGTGTATATCCGCCTCGGCCGGTGGCCCAGAGCAAGCGAATTTCCTGTGACAGTCTCGTTCGCGTCTCCAAACGCAAATGGAACCAGAACAGCAGGGGGCAGGTCCCATCCGCGCTGCGCGTCTGGTGGGTGCTCGGTGTAGCGCAGGAACGGCTTGGAGACCTCCACTGAGAGGTGCAACGTTGCGTGTGGCGGGAGGGTGAGCACCGTCTGCAGGAGCGCCGGGCGGGAGTGGGGGATCGGTGGCGTATATGAGAGGATGTTTACGAGATCATCTGTCGAGGACGCGGATATACGTCAGCTGTCAAGCCCTGGCAGCATGGCGCTTCGGAGGGTGAGGCGAGAGTACTGACCACGCGGAGCGCCATCAATATGTGCAGTCAGGGTGTGCAGGTAAAATTGGAGGTGCCAGGGCATGGTCTCAAGATACCCGGCGCTGACCTGAACGGGCAGGTTGTTTGTGACTTGGAGCGTAAGACGCGCCTCGGCTTGGCTAGTGCCCTTGAGGTTTCGGCGCACGGAAATATCAGTGAGCGGCGGCGCGCTCGACGTTCTCGCTGCGGGAGTGTCAGCTATGGTTCTATGATGCCGCCGCGGGGACCTTACGATATTCGAAACGGCTCTCGTCCGGCCATCGCATAGATATATCGAGCGCTTCCTGAGCTGTAGCCAGGTCAGCAAGTCAGGGTTGGCGCGCGAGTAGGATGAGTATCACGTACCCGAGTCGACCGCATACGTCGCAGTGCTGCCGGTCACATCGGTCGGTCCCGGGCTTATCGAGTAGGGCGCCGTGCTGGGCAGCTCCACGCGGACGTTGCTCGCCCGGGCGACCGGGCAGGTCCTCTCGATGCTGCGGTCGAAGACGGAGCGCAGTGACCAATCTGCAACATACCCAGTCAATCTACACGTTTTCCGGATACACCGGAGAGCCCGTTGTGGCCCTTACGGGACGCCACACACAGCGATCCGGTGTTGGATGAATGGCCACAGCCCCCATGCCCGTCACGCCGCGATCTGAGCACGCGGAAGGGCTAGCCGTATCAAGCGAATTCGGGACGCTTACCTCGACGCCCGTCAGGGGAATAGCGGACCGGATCGAAGACGGCTTGGAAGGCGAGGCGCACTTCGACGCCAGCACCCTCTCGGTGACGCACATGCACGCCGAGCCCGTGCCAGTCCGCGTCGAACACCTTGTGCGGGTTTAGCAGGCTCGCGATGCCCGAGAGGGACTTGCACGGTAGGAGCTTGAGGAATGGCGTCAAGTTTTCCGTGCAGACGTGCTCCGAGGGCAGCGACGCATGCCGGAGCCGATGTGGGTGGGTGAAATTGGGTAGGGAACCTTCGGGCTGGAAGGTGAGAGTAGGGGAGGTGGTGCGCTGTTCGTCCAGGTGTCCGAGAGACGCGCAGAAGAGACCGGCAAGCGCGTTTCTCAGTCCCTGCCACCGCTGATCCACTCTGAGGAGGAGTTTCAGTTAGCACACGTGTAATAGAAACACAGCAGGGTACTTACGACGTCGGAACCGTGTCACCCATCCACACCCACAACTCGGCGCCCGTTCCGACTCCCGGTTCATCTGGATATCCCCAATGGTCGTAGTTCCACTTTCCGGCGTTGAGTGTAAGATGAAGCTCCGTTACTGCATGTTCACGAAGTATCTGTCCGAGCGCGAGCGGGAAGAGGGTATAATGCTGCGCTACTTGCCAGCTGCGGAGACGTACCCGGCGGAACAGCAACTGTACGTACCTTCGTCGTCACTCCCCAGAGCTTGTGGGTCTCTAGGCATCGCTCCTTTCAGGAGAGTCGTGAAGGAGAACCGAGCCTGCAGCTTCCCATCTCGAAGTGGATGTAATGTCAAGTCCTCCTCGAACACTTCGCCTTGGGCGGACGCCGCGACAAGATTTAGCACTAGCAGAAAGCACGCTCTCCAGCAGAGGTTCATTGTAATAGCTGAATTTTAAAGCAGCCCAGCAAGCATAGTCCTGAACCAAAGAATGAGAGAGGAAGCAGAGTTGCGCAGACGAGGACATGCAGTAGCGTGCGGCACCAATGATTTGGCAGGCGCGTTAGCGCTGGCTGAAGTCCACGTGTTACGAACACTGCCAGCGTCTATCCTTTTTGGAACTTGGCAAGAAACTCATCGCCAGTACCTACTCTTGCTGCACTTTGACGATCTGGAAAGCTCTGGTATGTCAGTAACTACTTTTTTATAGTGCCAAAATTCTGTGAAAGTGTCTTTCGGGTAGCGGACATCATTTTGGATGTGTTCGATTTTTTCTAAGGCTCGAACAGTGCAAGATGTGCTTCACATCTGAGGCCATCTTGCGCTGAACGTTTGTCGCTCACACCTTGATATCGATGTAAAAACATGGTGTATCTATGTGATATCTGTCAAAATTCTGCGTAGAGCTTCAAAAGCATTTTCTCTCGTTTGACTTGCAGCGCTAATTTCAAATGGTCAGTAGGTTGACCATAGTTGAACGGGATGAGCTTGCTCGCGACCAGAAAATTCAACGTAGAGGCGGTTGAATCCTTGGAGTCCGTTTCGAGAGCGGCTCGGCGCATCATCATCAACGCAGACATCCTGAAGCAAGCCAAAGTTTACGCAGGAGACGTCGTGGGCTTATCTTCTGCAGACTCGCACAAGGTACCGCAGAAGCTCTCAGATGACCGCTCGCGCATGCATGAACCCACTGATTAAGCTTGTTTCTCCCTTCAGGCCTTCGCCGTGGGTGTCGCATGGCCGTCTTCAGAATTGTCCCAGGATGGTACGTGCCCGTGTCCCTGCGCTGCATGTGTGTGAGAAGGAGACATTGTATCGTCCGCTGAATAGCGTTCTACCGCTGACACACAATTACTGAATTTTCAGCTATCCTTGTCTCCCCACCGCTTCTTCTGACCGCTAGGTTGACACCAGGATCAAAAGTCAGCCTCTTCTCCTTGGATGCGCCGAAACTTCCTCCCAGCGTGCCTTCCCTCCGGCAGGCAGCGCTCGCAAAGACCGTTCGTGTCAAGGAAGTCTTCGATGAAAAGAGCACCGCGATAAGCTCTGCTTCCTCTTCTTCCCCGAAGAGCTCGGGTTCTGGAAAGGGTCAACGCAGAGATTGGCTGACTCTCCTGATCCGAGAATTTTTGAGTGCGTTCTCTGCCTCACTATCCCCGACATCTAATCTGATACTACCACCCGCCACGCAGTCGACCTCGGGTACCTCACACCCACACAGACACTCGACGTCGTGTATGAAGGCAAAACACGCAGATTTGCCGTAACTTCTGTACGGGCATACGGCGAAGCAGACGACGACACAGATCTCGCCGCCGGCGTACAAGCCCTCTCCCTAGCAGACGCCCCACCGAAACTATGGACGGTCGGCTGGGAAACAACCGTCGTTCTCGAGGGCGAGAGTTCAAAGACCGCCGCCCCGGACGAAGCAGCAGCCAATGCGGTAAGGCAGGTGCGCATCCGGGTGTGTCCGCGCTGACAATGCATGCACACGACGCAGGCTGCCGGGCATGCCGTCCAACGGGGCGTGAGTGCGGACGCGTACGCCTCTGTGGGAGGGCTCGACAAACAGATCGCGCAAATCCGCGACCTCATTGAGATCCCTCTCACCCGCCCTGAGCTCTTCCGCCAGTTCGGTGCGTCTTGGCGCGTTTTGTTCGTGGCGGCGTCGCGCATATGATCTGACGTCTCTTCTTTTCGATATATCAATACGCCTCTGCCCCCTGCCCTACTCCGGACTGAACCTACGTTCCTCACCGGCGATGTTCTGCACATTGTACGATCGTGGTCACCAGGCCTCAAGCCGCCTCGCGGTGTTCTCCTCCACGGGCCGCCTGGGACAGGAAAAACGCACCTCGCACGCGCGATCGCAGCATCTACCGGGTCGGCAGTGCTCATCGTGAACGGACCAGAGCTATCTTCGGCATACCATGGGGAGACCGAATCGCGCATACGCGATGTCTTTACAGAGGCACGCGCTCGCAGTCCGTGTATCATCGTACTCGACGAGGTCGACGCGATATGCCCACGCCGTGAAGAGGGTCCGGGCGGAGAGGTCGAGAAACGCGTGGTGGCGCAGCTGCTGACGCTCATGGACGGTATGGAAGAAACGGGCAAGGATGGCTCGGAAGGCAAAGTGATGATCGTTGCGACCACAAACAGGCCGAATGCCATCGACCCCGCGTTGCGTCGACCAGGTCGATTTGATAGGGAAATTGAGATTGGTGAGCCCGCCTTGCTCCACCCCGACGTACATGCACTCTCATTGAACTTTCCTGCTCGTTTCGTGTAGGTATTCCTGGCTCGGAGGAACGCTATCAAATCCTAAAGGTCCTTCTCTCGAAGGCCCCACATGCAATCGCAGACGACGAGCTCCGGTCAGTCGCAGCAAAAGCGCACGGCTACGTCGGCGCCGACCTCAGCGCCGTCGTGCGCGAAGCAGGCACCCTCTCCATCAAGCGCTGGCTCGCCTCACAGTCCCCGTCCGAAGCCCCCACCCCCTCCCAATCGACCCCGCAGTTGACGTATGCGGACGTCCTTACAGCGCTCCCGACCGTGCGCCCCTCCGCGCTGCGCTCGCTCTTCCTCGACACCGTGCCGGTGCACTACTCGGACATCGGCGGGCAGGCGCAGACGATCCAGAAGCTGCGAGAGTGCGTGGAGTGGCCGCTCCTGCACCCTGAAGCGTTCGCGCGCCTTGGGGTCCGTGCGCCGCGAGGCGTACTGCTGTACGGCCCGCCGGGATGCAGCAAGACACTCCTCGTACGAGCGTGTGCGACGGAAAGCGGCGTGAACTTCCTTGCGGTGAAGGGTCCCGAGCTGCTCAACAAGTATGTCGGCGAGTCGGAGCGCGCTGTACGGGAGATATTCAGCAAGGCCCGAGGAGCTGCTCCGTCTATCATCTTTTTCGTACGTGTTCAAGTCACTTTTCTATGAATGGACCTTCAGACGCTCAATCCGGACGGTCTAGGACGAGATCGACGCACTCGCGGGCTCTCGCACGTCATCGGATGGCGGCGGTGGCGCCCAGGAGGGTGTGCTGACGAGTCTCCTGAACGAGATGGACGGCGTGCAAGAACTAGTTGGCGTCACTATCGTAGCCGCGACGAACAGGCCAGACGTCATCGTGAGTTTCATGCTCAGAGATCGCGATATAAGTCTAACATCCGCGTAATCATGTAGGACTCAGCATTAATGCGCCCTGGGCGGTTGGACCGTATCCTTTACGTCGGCCCACCCGACTTGGAGGGGCGGGTCGAGATCTTGCGCATCCGCACCCAGAAAATGAGCGTCGAGGAGGGTCTGGACCTCGAACAGATTGCGAGGATGGTCTGTTTCACAATGAGATATCGTGAGGCTCCTTCACTCAATGTTTGCCTTCACACCCCAACAGACGGAAGGATGTTCGGGAGCAGAGATCACGGCCCTCTGCCAGGAGGCTGCACTGCTTACCATGAAAGAGAACATCGACGCGCCCTTCGTAAGTCCTCATTTTCGCACATGTCCTATCGGCGTGATTAGGTGACGAGGTGGCTCATCGTGTTATGACATTCTAGGTTCCGAAGGATGCGTTCGTTAGGGCAGCGCGGAACATCAAGAAACAAATCACGCCAGAGGTCGTGGAGACGTACGTGCAATGGCGAGACAGGAATGGCGTCACCGATGCCTGAGCGTCGCGTTGGCGCGACAGGAAAGCTGTATCTTGCCAACCGGCTCTACCACGACTCACGAGAAAGAAAACATCCGCGGGCCTACCGCAGGACATGACATCGAAGTGTACGTATATATAGAACACCACAGCCCAGTCGTGAAAGCATGTAGCACTACATAAAACTCTATAACACCATCTGTATCGTGAAAGCATCGCAGTCGTCACGCAGCCCAATCAGAAACCCCAAGGTGAGTTTCATACAGCCTCGTCCCCCCGCTTCTCCGCGGAACGCTCCCGTTCTCGCTCCTCCGCCTCATCCGCACTCCTTCGCTTCTCGTCCGAAGCGCCCTTGTCTTCTACGGCCGCACCGTCGCCTGCAGACTCCAAGTCCTTCGCGGCTGCATCGCGTTCGGCCTGCTGCCGCGCCACGACTCTGCTCTTCCGGAGCTCCCAGCCGCCGGACCACCCGAACCATGTGTACCGCGGGACATGCGGTCCACGCGCAAGCAGGACAATCAGGGAGAAGACGGTCCACGCGAGGTTGAGCGAGGCGTCCGGCCGCCAGCCGTGGTCTGTGTAAACCTTAGACCCTACGGCGGTGCCCATCACCTGCCCGATGAAGAGCTGCAGTGGCGATGTCAGTGTACCGCATCGATCGTGCACAGAAGGGAGACACGCACAGAAAGGAGGACAACCGCGTTCAGGCGTGATCGTGCATTCGGCTCGAGGCCGAGCACAGCCGTCGTGATCGAAACCTGCTGCGTCTGCCGGAAGACGTCGAGCCCGATGCAGACGATGACAACGACGGCGACGTTGAGCCCGACCGCCGCCGTTTGGAGCGTGAATGTGAGCGTGAGCATGGAGATCGCGACGAGCGTCGCGGACCATGGCACGAGCCCGTCGATCGTACGCCCGACGAATGGCGCCGTGGCGACGCCCACCATCCCGACGAGGCCGAACAAGCCGATAACAATTCTGACGGGCAATGAGCGGCGACTGCGTGGCATGATGACGGGGGACTTACGTAGAGTAGTTGTACTGCGGCCCACCCAATAGGAACGTGAGCGTGACCCACCAGTTTGTGAAGCACGCGCTGGACGGGATGGTGATGAGGATCGCCTGCACGAGCAGCGGCTCCGTGACCGTGTACTTCGCCATGCTGTAGAGGATGCCAAAGTACGTGATGCCTTTGTTCTTCGCGGGGTAGTCTGGGAGCATGAAGTAGAGCATGACGAGCACGCCGTACTGCACGCCGATCGCGATGAAGTACACAACGCGCCAGGTCACGAATTGCGCGACGACGCCCGCGAGGACCCGAGCGATGAGCACACCGAATAGCAGGCCGGAGAGGACGATGGAGAGCGCAGACGCGCGGCGCTCCGGTGGCGCAAGATCCGCTGCGAGGGGCATCAGGATTTGCGGCGTGACGCTGCCTATGCCGATCAGGAATGACAGCACTTCGAACACGACGAGGTTTTTGGTGATCGCGAGACCTATAGTGAGTGAGGCTGTTGTTGCCGCGAGCAGCAGGAGCAGTTGCCGTCGTCGGACAAGGTCGCCGAGAGGAGTAATGAATAGGAGGCCGATAGCATAGCTGAACGGCGCTGTGAGTATAGTTGTGCGCGCTTTGAAAAAGCTTAACTTACCCAGCCTGAACAAGCGTGGGGATATTGGAGACTTCATGGTATGTTACGCCAAACGACTGGGCGAACTGAACTACGGTAAATTTTTGTTAGTAGCATGGCTACAAGATGACAGAACGTAGCAAAGGTGCGTTGGTTAGGCCTTGACTCCTTCAAATTTCACTACGGATCTACGGTAGCGAGACCTCCATCCGGAGAACGTCCTGGAGGCTGCGGGATGTGTCTCGCGGAACGTGTTCCGGAACATGTTCTGCGTTCTGGGTGACCGAGTGCGACAGACGGTGCTGGATGGCCACAGTGACAGCTACCACATGCCGTGGTGAGCGTACAGCTCAATGCGCTCGGCACGAGCCTGCCACTCAAGTAGTCGAGTACTGTCACTCGGCCAAGCCCCCAGAACGCGGAGCATGAGCCGGAACGTGTTCTGCGGGACAGATTCCTCTCCGAGTCTTGCGCAGCCTGCTCCTAGAACTCATTGCGCTGACCCGGCTCCCATTTTGATACTTTACGGGTCTGGCTGGGGTCTAATGTGGTCTGACAAGGTCTGGTTGGCTCGTGCACACATCTGCGATGTAAGACGACAAAGGCTTCTGTCGCGATGAAGAGGTCCTGCGTGACTGGCGTCTGCAATCCGCAGCTTGAACTAGGGCCCTCTTCGCTCAACTCCAGAGATGCAGAGGCGTCAAAGGATTACAACGTCAGGTTAAACGCCCTGCAGACCGCTTTGAGCGGCGTGACGGAGCGGGACGCCCTTGGAGACCTCTCGGGGGCTTTTGAGGGCGTTATCGTACTCACGATACCGTCCCCAGAGTCCTCAAGCTGGAGTAAATTGTGAAGATTGTGCGAGCCAGAGCGAAAGCGACTGAGGGGAAACTCAGATTGACTTCGATTGCATCTCCCTCCCAATGTGCGTTGAAAGACCCGATACTGGCTCGTCGGGGATGGCAATATAGCAAGAATATGACTCACTGAGCAGCGGTTGGCAATAGTACAGGTTCGACACAACTATAGCAACGTTGATGGTTAGCGGCTCAATGGCTGGACCGATGCATCCACGCACTGAATGTACTGGCAAGCCCGAACGTAACATTCATCGCCAGTCCAAAATGTGCCGGATGTTGTGGGTCATATTGCAGACTCTTCGGGATAGGAAGGAAGCCGAAGTCCTTCGTGCCTCCGACCACGGCGAAGTTGGAAGACGGGTCCTTCTGCGGCTCCGTCCCTGGCGCGGGGGTGGGTGATGGCAGCGTCTCCGAGGAGGACGCTCCATCTGCGTCGCGCTGCGGCTCCTGGGCGTGGACACCAGAGAGAGACATGGCTGAGGCGAGCAGAGTGGTGCACGAAGGACAGGCGTTTGCACGGCCATGATTACTTATGAGTAATGTCGGAAATAGCTCCGTCGAGAACGATCAGTCGGATTCAGCGTGCTCAGCTTCGCGTGCGCTCCGAGGCGGCCAGCCGTTTCCCACATCGCAACTCCGAGCGTCCGAGTGGTGCGTTCGGTCGGACCGGAATTTGCGTATTCCCTTAAAGATCTGTTGAGATGCGCCTGTTGCGCGAGGTTGCATCAACCGTAGCTGTGTATCGAAGACTCTGAACAAGAAGATGATGTGTGGAGACCTCGAGCGAGCCCGCGTGGAAAGCGTGGAAGTGGTTCGGAGTCAAGTCTGCAAACACCCAGATTCGCTGCAAGACCGGGAATGGGTGTCCCCGGCCCGCGACCTCCTGACCCTACCCCGGACGGTCTGTGGCGGCAACATATACCCCGCAACTCCTAGCGGCCATGTTCCAACCCCTCGCCCACCATGACCTCCTTCCAACTGGATAGTCTCTTCAATGTCAAGGGGAAAGTAGTGTTAATCACTGGCGGCAGCCGTGGAATTGGCAAAATGGTGCGTACGGCGCCCTCAGCGCTCACTCTGCGGCCCCCGCTGCATACGCGTGGACACGCTCCTGATGGGCTTCCAAACGACCGCAGATTGCGACTGGGTTCGTCAAGAACGGGGCCAAGGTATGTTGCTATTCCACCGACCACATGTGCCTGTGAAGAACGACGCGTCTGACACGCGACCGGCGGCCGCCAGGTGTATATCTCAGCGCGCTCCGCCAAGGACTGCGCAGAAACGGCCGGCGAGCTCAATGCGCTCGGACCTGGATCATGCGTCGCGCTCCCCGCGGATATGCAGAAGCTCGAGGAGGTCGATAGGCTCGTCAAGGAACTCAGCACGCGCGAGAAGGCGCTACACGTCCTCGTTAACAATGCCGGAGCAGCTTGGGGAGCGACACTCGATGATTATCCCGTACGTCTTCGTCCATTCCCACATCATAAGAGTCCATGTTAGTCTCGCAACCAGACGGTACCGGAGTCTCACAATGGAACGATTCCTATACCGTCTAGTAACGAGACTGGGGAGAGGTTCGAACCTGCAACTTGAGCGAACTAGGTTCAAATGCAACGAAATTACCTTATGCGGACAGATAATTCGTAACATTTGTACATCGTTACGAAATGTTGCACTGTTCCATCACCCGCGACAGACGAATTCACCGAGAACTTCCTCATAAACAAGCCAGGCGCAACCCTCGCTCTTGTTCGTTTCATGCTACGACCTCAGCAGGAGCATGACGGCAGATATGTGTCCGCTCTTCCTCTCCGGCATAATGGGTCGCATTTGAGTAGGGTAGGTACCTGTGCGATCACCCTGGGGGTTCGCAGGTCTGGTCGCCCTCACTATCTACGCGTCATGTATGATCCTGGGTTGCTTCGGTGCCCGCCCAGACACGCCTCAAGGCTGCCGCATCGCTCTGCGCTAGGTCTTCATGGCTCCCTGTTGCTGAGTCTTACGATATCTGGCGCACCAAGAAAAATGGCTTCATAGAAGAGTGCTCGCTAACTTCAAGTTTCTGCAGGATGCAGCCTGGAGCAAGCTCCTTACACTTAACCTCCAACGAGTGTTCACCCTGACACAGAAGTGCCTTCCTCTCTTTCGAGAGGCGGCTGAGCAGGGTGGTCTGGACAACGGTGCATACAGGGACCCTGCCCGCATCATCAATGTAAGAGATACCGCGTTTCGCCTTCATCGATAATATGTTGATTCGTTGAACGCGTTTGGCACAGATCGGCTCGGTGGAGGGCCTCACCGTGCCAGACCACGAGACATACGCTTACTCTGCGTCGAAGGCCGGCCTGCATCACCTCAGCCGGAACCTTGCCGGTCGCCTCGGGTGCGAAGGCATAACTAGCAACACGCTCGCATGCGGTAAGTCTTTCGTTCCGCGGCATGTGTCACATCGCTCATGCGCTACTCCGCGCCGACAGGTCCCTTTGAGAGCAAGAGTCAGTGCTCGATCTGATTCCCTGCGCCGCAAGTTCTTCTAACACTGAGCCCGGCATACAGTGATGGCGCACACGCTGCGTGAACAGGGCGAGATCATCCGCGCGAGCATCCCGCTCGGACGCATCGGCACGCCCGAGGATGTCGCGGGCGCGTGCATTTTCCTCGCAAGCCGCGCCGGCGCGTACGTCAACGGCGCGACTATCCAGGTCGACGGCGGGAGCGTCGTTCGCATGGGCTCCTTGATTCCTTCGAAGCTATAACCTAGCGATTTGCGAGGTAAGTTTCCAAGGCTGGGTTGTTTCGTTTACTTGCTGACGGACACATCCGCAGGACATGACGGTTGGACCAGGCGTCTGGATAACGGCGACGGTCAAGTCGGTGGAGCGGCTGTCCAAAGCGTATCGACTCTGCATTTGGTTGTACCGGTATCATATCGTGAATACGTGTCAAAGCTCAAGATCATGATTCCAATGCTTTCCAAGCAGCAGTGCGCCTCCTGCGCGGCACGATAACTCATCGTGGTCCCTGCGTACCATGCATACTCTTCTAGAGCGTGGCCACTGGACACGTTGCGATTCAGGGCATGATTCAGTGGAGGTGCGACGGTCGGCGACCAAGCACAACGGTCACGTGTTCGACGCGTTCGAGCAATATACGCGTCGCGGTCTCCGCTTCGAGAAGTTTTATTTCACATACTCGACGAAAGCTTGAGCAGTTTGATATATCCTTAAGGGTTTTGAAAAATACGCTGACACGTTCAGTCCTTCTCTACAGGAGAACAGGATACCCATCCGTCCGCCAGGACATGTCCAGGCGTCCTACGCCGACATGGCGGGACGCGCCACCCATACACGTTTCGGAGGTCAAAGCCGCTGATGCGCTAGCGGCGTGTACGTCGGGGCGGGTTTGTGTGGCCTATGACCTGTAGCTCGTACCTTGCCCCCCGTACCTCACTGCTAGACCTGCGAGCAGTAAAGCGCCACTCGCCGCTTGGACGTCGAGCTCAATGGTGAGTCCCCCAGTCAATGTGACCGCTCATTGTGCATCCTAGGCTCCCGGATGGTTTAAAAAGCTGGGAAGTAGAGCGGTAGGTCCCTCAGTCCTCAGCCTTCCCATTCACCTCTCTCGAGCAGCCTCTGCCCGCTCGGTTATCCGTAATTCCTCACCCTCCCCAGTGTTGCTCCTCGCATTTCCCTTATAAGTGTACGATGCCTCCGCAACGTACACAACAACCGAGCCCAGAGGAGCTCATTAAAAAAGGTCCTACCAAGGGCACATGCCCGGAATGTGGCAATACCTACCACAAAGACCTCAGGCGGCATAGGCTGGTGCATCTGCGGCAGGGGTCCGTAATTACTTCCTGCACACTCACAGAGGCTATGCTTACATCTCGTCCAGCCCTATAGAGTGTCCACATTGCGACCAAACATTTTGCCAGAACGTGAACTTAAAAGTCCACATGGACAAGTGGCAGTAAGCGCTTTCGTTCTGTTCTCCATGCCCCCTCATATTACTCACCGCCCGTCGTAGCCTTAAAGTACGGCGCTGGAATTGCAAGTTCTACTATGTCGACGAGACCAACACGCAATCGCGCTGTTCCTCGATATTCGATGACCGCTCGTCACTCACAAGGCACTACAAGAGCAAGCACGGGTATATCCCCAGTTGCAAGGACCAGACGTACGAAGTGGTACAACGGAGCAGTAAACAACAGGTGAAGGACAAGCGCACATTTGCCACCAAGATCGCCACTATCACGAAGAGGAAGGAGCGGGTGCAGCCCAGGCGGAACGATGCGTCGGGTGCGGAGGGCCTGCGGCAGCAGCCGTCTCAGGACAGCTTGCTCGCCGGGTCCGTCGCCCCCGACGCGGTGTTTACGTCGTCACCGGCATCCGCTCCCGCCCCTCCAGCGGCGCGCCGGGCTTCACGCCCATATCCTTCGAAAAACTCATCCTCGTCCAGTTCTTCCCAGAACTCGGATTCATCCTCCCAGCGACCTCTGCGCCCTACCCCGTCACATCAGCCGATCGCCTCCGGGTCTTCAAGCCGCACTACGTCGACGACCAGCTCCCGCCCCCGCGTTTCGACCAACATGCCCGGCCCCGCCATGGTCAGCCCGGCAAGCTCGTACCACAGCGCCATCAATGGGGTGAACGATCTTTTCGGTCCCTACGGCGAACCGGTCTCCTACCCTGGCTCTTATCCCGCATACCCTCAACCGGAAGTACACGGACCCGCGCCCTCGGTCCCCGCCGGGCGGATGTCGACCCAATCCCTCGACATCCAGCCTCTGTTTGCGCGGGACCACTCCTCGACTCGGCCTCATCAGGGCTGGAACCTCGACAACCACGGGTTTGCGCCTTACTCCTATCCGGACATGGGGATGGGCATGAACATGCCAGACTCTTTCGGTGTCCCCAACACACTGGCGTTCGATATGCCCCCGCAAATGTCCCCCATGGGGCTGCCCTACTCCCCGGACACGCAGCGATGGAACTCGCGCGAATCGTCGCCGGCCTCCTCCCCGCCTCCGGCCTCCAGGTCGCGCGGTGGAGAGGCGCAGAACGCCTACGCGTATCGCTACCACAGTAGCAGCGGTAGGCGATGAAAGGTACAGTATTGTGCTCGAGTTATCTTATTTGTATTTGCGGTTTTATTGTGGTTCTTTACATCTGGTCCCGCGGTTTATACGCTGCGCATACGCCATCTTCACCCCGATGCTACCTCATTCTTATTGCTAATATTCGCTCCTGCTCACTCCTGTTGCTTGGGGCTCTTGTTAGCGCTTCGTTGGTTCATAACATACCTCTCGAAGTCGCGCCCTTCTTAATTATAATGACGCCTTGGCCATTGGCCACTCCTGCTCACGTGCACACTGTCCAAAGTTTCAGACCGGTCGCGCTTCACACTACTCTGGGTGATTTAAGGTCAGCGGGAACTCTCACAGTACGCTCAACGACGGCAGTACACCCAGTGCGCCTTCACTTGCCCCGTAGCTTTGGCGGCCGAAGCTATTTTCGTTTACATTTTCCTATAAGTTACATCGTACAGCACGAATAGATAGAGCAAGAGACAGAGGATAGAGTAGGGGGAGGTAACGGGGGCGCATATATCAAGGACAAGTCAGAGAGCCGAGACAGAGAGTGACGGGACAGAAAGGAGATGAGACAGGAAGGGTATACACACTCGTGTTGGGGCGGAGAAGGGAGGTATAGAAGACAAGAGGCATATGGGGGACATCTGCGGGCAAGAACTTGTCAGCGAAGGTTCCGCGAGAAAGCACACTAAAAGGACTGACCTTCGTAACAAGAGCGACATCGCTGATGAACAGCGGCGAACAAGCCGACTAGGCGTTGCTGGAGCCGGGTGCAGCGCCTACGTACTCCTTGATCCCGCGGAGGAGGTAATCCTCGCGCAGCCAGTCTGCCGCAGAGTCGCCCCACCGGAGCTCCGCGTTACGGCGGTCGTACCCGATGCCAGTACCCATGCACTCGCATTGCTGCATTCACGCAGCCTACATCAGCTTCCTGACGCCACAGCTCTGCGAAATTCACATACCGTCTCGTAGACCTCCCAGCGCGCGGTAGCCCAGCCTTGGTCGCCCATGCCATGCGCGTTCTTGAGCGCGTCGAGGGCGGCGAAGAGGCGGCGCAGGTAGCCCGAGCCCCATTCGTACCACATATTATCCTCTGGCCAGCCGCTGTCCTTCCACTCGAGGCCGTCCACGGGCTTTCCATAATCATCGGGTGAAGGAAGCTTCGGTGCCGCAGTGAGGACTGCCCGGAGGGCGTCGACAGCGGGAGACGGTGGCAGCGGTGCAGCAGGACGAACGGGGTAGGAGTTCGCGAAGGCACCGAGGACGCTGGACATGGCGTCCTCACGCTCGCGCTGCTTGCAGAATTGGCCGTCGCCACCGACAGCCCCGTCTCCGGCGTCGATCCTGTCCAGGACGGCGTTGCATTCCTCCCATAACCAGGGGACCAGGCGAGCCTTGATGTCACGGAGCTTGGCTGAGCGGCCGACGTAATCACGTTTGTACGTCGAGATGTCCACTGCGGGCGTGACGCGGTAGTGGGAGGGCTGCTGAAAGGGCTTCTTCGCCTTCTTGCTCGTGAGGTGCGTCTTGTAGAGCTTCCTGAGGCTGCGGGAAAGGTTAGCTGGAGATATGCGTAGCTGCGACGCTGCGACTCACTAGTTGAGGAACCCCTCCGGGCCTCCATGGCGTTCCAACGTCTTGCGTTCGACATCTTGCTCCCTGAACAGGAGCATCGGGCGTCTCGGGTTGTAGACATTCCTAGACTGCGGTCAGCCGGGGGATGCAACGACGATCTCGTCGCAATGCTCACGTTTGTTCCAAGTGCTTGAGCTCGCTCAGGTCCTTCTCGCTGATCCGGTATTGATCCTTTGCGAGGGTCTTGGCAATCTACGAACATGGGAGAGAGACACCAGGCGATTTCATGATCAGTCCGCATACCGAACGACACCCTTCGGTTGTTCTTACCATCTGCCGACCATGGACTCTCAACGGCCATGCAAGCCGGTCATTCCCTGCCCCTGCATCATCATGGGACGCGGGGGGTAGAGGGGCCGCGGTGTCAGCGGCAGCACTGGAAGCGTTGGTGGTGGCGGGGGCAGCGAAGGCGACCTTACGACCTCCCTGCCCTCCACTCGGAGAAACCGATGGTCCGTTCTTACTCCTCGGAGACGAAGCAAGCTTCGCCTGCGTGGAGAGAGAGGACGTCGACTTTGCAGTCGAACGTCCTTGTGCATGATGTCTCGCATTCGTCCGTGCCATGATATCGTGTGCCAATGCCAATGCCAATATTTCGATTTCAACGTTTATAACAGTTTAACAGCCTTTGTCTTTGTCTTTGTTTCGTCTTTACACTGCTGCAGAAGCAGACAGTGTGTGTATCGTAAGGGGGAAGGGGGGCGAGGAGGAGCGGGGGGAGTGTGGGCGAGGAGGATGAGGATAAGGAGGAATGTGGAGGCGAGGTGGATGGCAAGAGTGAGATGGAGGTGGTTGAAGAGAATGGGATATGGATGCGTACGGGGATTGGCAAGGTTGGGCAGCGTCGGGCGCGCAGATGAGAGATGATGATGGGAGGAAGAGGGCGGGTTGCTCGGCTAATCGCGGCGGAACTATTATATAGTGCTTACTTTCCCACGCATTTGTCAGCATCCTCTTCCGTGCTGTCGGGCGCTTCATATCTTATGTCGTCGTTTCAAAAGCCTCTGTCCTAAACAGCGCATACAGTACGAAGTGAAGCATTTGGAACAGACATGAACATCGATATATGTGGTATGTCGACTAGCTCATATGCCTGGCGATCTTCGTTGATTTACTTGATCGAAGGGAAGGGTCATGGGTCAGATATGTTCGGGCATCCACACGGCGTCCGCCCACATTTCGCACTGTACTTCGGAGTCAAGTCCTCGAGCTCGGGATGTCCCTGGATGTATATCTGGCTTAGTTGGACATATGCTGTGTGCGGTTTTCTCAAGTCGTATGCAAGACGCCGTTACTGCGGCTCGCCTCAGCCTGAGCTCCGCACACCGCAGGCAAGTAACGGAGTCGCGACAACTTGCAGCACCGACTCCTCTACACTCCGCACGTCTTGGCCATAGCCCTCTCTAATTTTGTCCCAAAATGTTGGTTTTCGCAGCGTCAGATGACCACATGACGTCTCGCAGCTGCAGCACTCGAGAACGCAGCTGCGGCAACATGTTCATCGCCATGACCCGTCTAAATAACGCTCATTTACCGCGTCCAAGGTGCGCTCCTCCTCCTTCTAGCATTTCATTCTGCGTTTATGAAGCTGCGACGCTGCGACGTTCTCACATGACGCAGACGACAGGACCTGCAGCTCCCGCTGCACTGCCGCAGCAGCTTGTCAATATACCCTTGGGCGCGGATTGCGTCGTGCTGAAACCTTGCATCTACTCTTCTCGTTACCCCCCACTGTCCACATCAAGCACCCCCTAACACAGTCACAACTATGCCAGGCCAAGCCACCAATAATCCCAGCTTGACTGGCGACACCTCTGGAGATCGGGGGCGCGGGGGACGCGGAGGACGCGGCGGCAGAGGCGGGGGACGCAAATACTGGCGGGGCGGGGGAAAACGTGACAACGCGGCGACGCAAGCCGCTGAGCATCACGTCGCACAGCAGGACTCGGGGAACGATGCAAGCACACATAACAACAACAGCAACAACAGCAACAACCACGGACGGGGAGGTGCACCGAACGAGAACGCATGGGCTACCGCAGGACGTGGACGCGGGCGCGGGGTACCTCAGGTCGGTCTGGGGCGCGGGAACGGGAACTTCGGTCATCTCCCTCCGCCGCCAGGCATACCGAATCGGTGGGCGGCGCTTGAGCCGCCGAGCACGCCTGACGACCCCCAAGGCCAAGGACAACAGGCTTTCGACGGACATGGCATACCCACAACGAATGGGAACGGGGTCCAACGCTGGCAGAATGGGGACCGTGACGGCGGCGGAAACCGCGGACGGGGGTGGTTTGGTGGAAGCGCTCAGGCCTCTCGTGGACGCAGCTTCTCCACTACGTCTCCACCTGAAGATACCCGGGGTAGGACCTGGGCCGAGTTCCAGGCTCGAGGCCGCGAATCGAGTATCCCGAGTTGGGGCGGATCTGGCCCCGACACCCCTGGTGAACATCGTGGGCGCGGCCGCGGCGGTTTTGAACGTGGACGTGGCAACTGGGATGGCGGCCGCGGTGGCTGGGATGGCGGTCGCGGCCGTGGAGATCGTGGCCGTGGTACTGGAGAACGTATTCGCGGGGACTGGGGTCGTGGTCGTGGTCGTGGTCGTGGTCATTTCGAGCGCGGTCGCGGTCGGGGAGAAGGCGGAGGCCGTGGGGGATACAACAACACCGACGGACGCTGGAGCAGTTTCAACAACACGCGAAACACTCAGCCCGTCCAGGAGGAGCTGCCCCCACCGCGGGAGATTATGGCGGGCGTGCTCGTACCTGCGCTTCAGCAGCTGACGCCACCCGCTGTCGGGCTCTCGGACAAACCGATTTCATTGGCGGGATTCAAGTGTATCGGATCGTACACTTGGCTCCAGGGCCGGGATCCCGTCATAGTCGTCCCAGGTAGGCACCGTTGGTTCGCCATCTGGACGTTCGATATGCTGGCTCCAAGCAACGCTGACCGCTTCGTGAGGTGCTCCGCGGCAGTGGCAGGACCGCCCTCTTCCCATCCAGGTTCGCTTCGACAGAGGCATCCGCATGCTCGACGAAAACGCGTACCATATGGGCTCTGCGTCATCTCTTGTCCCTCTCTTCCGCGCCGTCGACGCCTTCGACAAAGCTGATGATGAGCAAGGCGCCGGAATCATGGATGCACTCGCGCAGGTCGAGGAAGGCCCCGAAGCTGTCGACTGGCGCGATGTCGACTTTGTCACTGACCGCAACAACCTCCGCAAATTTGCTCGATGGATCCGCACTTCCCGCCTGAATCAAACCTCCCCTTCGCCGGCCGTTGACAGTGGCAGTCTCATCGTCGAGCCTGAAGGGAAAGATGAAGCTGGCCAGACGACGACTCCTGACCACACGAGCCCCGCACCCACGAGCACGACGTTGCCCGATGTCGAATGGGACACCCGACAGGATTTCCGAATCGACTTGCGCCTTGGCGGCGAGAAGACCGTCCTCATGGAACGCTGGGCGATTTGCGCCCGCGAGCACGTCGCGCCCCCCAAGGGCGGCTGTCGCGACAACTTCGTTCGCGAGGCCACCGCGAACGCTCCCGAGTGCGAGAACGGCGGCGGCCACTACCGCATCGTGCAGTATGTAAGTCGAATGGGGGACATTCTCACGCTGTGCCGGGGCGCTGACTCGCGAACATTCCATTGCCTGACATATAGGACCTCGACGGGCTGAATATGGTCGTTCGCTGGGAGGTCGACACCCGTGCCCCCAACTTCTCTGCCAATTCTTCGTCTCCGAACACATCCTCCGAATCTGGCACTGGGCAGCTTCCTAGTGTTCCCCCAACACCGGTCGATATCGAAGAGCTCGCACGCTGGGATGACACTCCTACTAGCGGTGCGGCCGCGTGGGGCGCACCTGAACCTGCAGGTTCTGCTTTTGTTGACATCGATGAACTAGCGAAGTGGGACGACAACACCGTTGACCAGGCCGCCACTTGGGGAGCGGCTCCTGTCCCTACCAATGCTACATCTGCTACATCTCCGATCGGGCAAGACTCTCCCAACAACAACGATAAAAACAACGATTTCGACGCTTTCGCGATCTGGGAGACTCCGGAGGACGACCCAGCCGCAGCCGCAGCCGCCTGGGGTGCCCCTCCGCCACAGCCCTCCAAATCGGCCGCCTCCGCGTGGGGTCCCCCGCCCAGCGAGGGCGGGGCTGCCCATGGTGCGCCTACTTCTACTGGCGGTATAACCAAGCCCGGACCGCCCCAGGAGCTCAAGGTTATCCGCGCGGGCAGACTTCTCCCGCAGAGCGCCGTCGCCGAGCTCGCGACGCGCTCCGCGCAATATGTCGACCGCACTAGCAACGAGGACACGTTCCTCCAGATGTTCCTCACACAGACCCCGCTCAACCTCGTTGCGGTGCATACGCGTGGATCTTTCGATCGCGTCATCCGCCAAGAGCTGGACGCGCCGGAGTTCGCGAAATTCAACGAAGACGCGGACATGATGCACACCGTGCAGCAGCTTGTCGCGTTGCTGCGCCAGGTCCAGGAGCTGGTGAAGGAGTATGGCAAGGGCGCGAAGCTAAGCTTGGTGTGCGAGAAGGGGAATCTTGCGCTGTACAGTCGTGGTGAGGAGGAGGAGGACTGTCTGGTCGCAAGCGAGCTTACTCGGTTCGAAGGATAAAATGTGGACTCACGCATCGTCTTCGCGCGTCAGAATCGCCCCATCTCCCTATCGTTTCCTTTACCTATGCAGTCACCAGTTCCCGCAGTCCCGCTCGATACTCAGTCCTAAATGTACTACGACCACTGCGCTCCACGCTATGATGAACCAAGGCTGAATTTGACCTGCATTCCTAGCTTAAGTGGGAAGCCGCACACCATTCAGAAAAGTGCTTGTTTAAGGTCTTCCAAAACTAATGAGACGAAGAATGGCTTCGTTAAACGGCGCAATATCCATGGGCAGGCGATAAGCGCTAACTTAAGCGTCAATAACCACCGTGACCGTGGCGTACGCCACAAGCCAACTCGGGTTGACTCAAACCATCCACCGCTGTCGGCACTTGGACTTCGTAGCATTCGTTAAGAAGTAGGGACTTTATTGGGGGGTGTTACACATACTGATACTACTCCAGTTCATCCAGGAAAACAACTAGTACTACACTGACTTGTCATCCAAAGACCCTCACCCACTTGTGACGCAACGTGGAAAACTGCGGTACAGCGACAGACAATTTACACGATATCACTACACTCAACGAGCTCGCATACAGATTAGCAGTACGTTCTTGCTCATATCAACTGCACACGTTGAACGCCTGGCGGTTGATCGCCACAGCGACGCTGATACTCTCGGAATGACAACAGAGTTTAGTCCACCTCGGAGATAGATGCACTTCATCCATAACAAGTTACCAGAGCTTATCAACACAATGCAGGAAGTCGCCGTTGTGCGGGTTCCATCGTATCACAGTCCCCATACTCCGCCGACGAAACATGGACCTTCTTCATCTCCTTGATCAGAAACGAACCATGAGACCTTCCTGCCCTCTTCAAACTTTGTCTTTATACCGCCGCTAGGTACCGCGCTTGTACATCGACATGTCCTGATATCGATGGTTTTTCCGCAAATGCCGTCGCGGCTCGACGCGTCGCCCATTCATACCCCAGCCTTCCTCGGAGTATTCTCTCGATCTCTTCCCCGCACTGCGCTCACGCACTTCATTCTAGACGTGCTCTTTCCTGCGATCTTCGCGCCTCTTCCCTCGCGAGATGCTCTCGTTGCACATGCATCGTCATTCTAGACGTCTTGGGCGCAAGCTCGAGGCCGCGAGGCCGCGCTTCGAACTGTCGCAGCTTCCTTGCCATGAACTCGTGAGCAGCGGTTCATGCAGCGTGTGCCATGCAGCACGAGAAGCCAAGTCGTCCCCCTGTTCAATGATCACATTCAGCCCGTTGCGGGATAAACGTCGCTACCAGTACTATGCGCTCCGTTCCAACGTGCCGGAGAAAATGCGGCGGGCCTGCATACATGGGCCCCCTTCGCGCTCCTCCCCTTCCTTCCTGGCCGGAACACAATCTGGCAGCCGGCTCCTTCGAGTGCCATGAGGCTCATATCGCATCATCCGGTCGAGACTTGGTGCGCATATGAAGCCTGCGCCCGCCCATCCGCCGCTCATAGACTGATGGTCGAATGAACTACAGAAGTTGCCTTTCCGGGCGTGGCGCTTAGCCGCAAAACCCCGCCCCTCGGCGTAACTTGGCCATACAACCTCCGAGGCTCTTCCTTGAATCAACGCCCGCTTGTATGCGCGCAGTCCTCTACCTTGTCGTATGAACTTCAATCTGACGGGAGCTCCTCTTTTTGCATCTTGTAACGGGTGGTAGATGGCCACGCACGGCGAGCCGTCAGTCAAGCTCAGCACTCAACAGTCAATTGGCGCCTGAGCCGGTTGATCGATAGGTATATGCGATTACGATCTACTAATGTTCGAAGCGTATATGTAAGCAGGACACGCTAAAAAGACACGATAGGGAAAGACAGTGGCAGAAACACAAACCCAAGCACGATAGAAACCAAGGCGTGCAAAGTTCACGGAATTGAATCAGTACCCAAGGCCTGCGCGAGCCTGCGGAATCATCAAGGTCTTCCCCTTCACCGTCCGTGCAAACCAGCCGCCCACAAGGATACCCCACAGGAAACCCATGTAACCGGCACCGCCAGTCTACATAGGCGAACACGGACGTCAGCGACTAGGCCACCTATTACGACAAACAAAACACGCACCTTTCCGATGGGAATGATGATGAGCTCTGGGCTGCCCTTGTACGCCTTCTTGAGCGGCTTGCCCTCGAGGAAGCTGGTCACGTTCGCGATGATGACCTGCGCGTGCGTGCCTGCCTTCGCAGCCTGCTTCTGCTCCTCCCAGTCGATGATGTCGCCGCCCGCGAACACGCCCGGGTGCCCGGGCACCTCAAGGAACTCGTTCACGCGTACGGTTCCCTTGGCCGTCACGACGTTCTGGCCGAGCGTGGAGATGAAGTCCGTGTTCGGGCGCGCGCCGTACGAAGGGACCTGCAAAGCGGGTGAGCACGCGCATGCAGGTAGAGGGAGTCGAAAGGCGTACTGACCACTAGGTCGGCGTCCGGAATCTTCTTGCCGTTACGCGTCGTGACGCCCACAGTGCCCTCGGGAGGGACGTCAAGCTTGTCCCCAAGGATGAACTCGATGCCTTTGGCGCGTGCGCGGCGCTCGATGTCCTTGCGGAACTTGTCTGGGTAGGTATCGTTGACGAGCAGCTTCTCGCTGTGGACAACAGTGACTTTCTTAGTCTGAATATGTTGTGAGTCTCGCCGCCACCCATATACAATGTTCAGACGAACTGACCGGCCAAGTGTCCTTGATCTCTCCAGCGGTCTCTAACACACCGCGCGCGGCGGGCGTCAGCACACAAATCAGACTCAGGAAGTCAAATACACTTACCAAGTCCAACGGCACCGCCACCCACAATAACCACATGCTTCGCCTTCTCGTACTTGCTCCTCCACGAATTGATGTGCGCGCGCACCTCGTCGTCGTGCTCGGGGAAGTTCAGCGCGCCCGGCCACACGCTGCCCGTCGCGAGCACGAGCGACGCGTACGATATGCGCTCGCCGTTCTCGAGCGCGACCTCCCCGCCCTTCCCGGCCGCGCCCTCAGAGATCGACACGACCTTCCCGATCTTGACCGTCCCGTTCCCGTTGTGGAACAGCTTGTCGTACGGGATGAGCGCGGTGTCCTCGAGCTTGTCCGCGGCCGTGACCGTGAGGCGCGCGCCGGCGACGAGGAAGACGAAGTACGGCCGGTCGTTGATGAGCGTGATGCTGTACTTGGACGCGTCCAGCTTGGCCGACAGCTCGCGTGCCACGGCAGTGCCCACGCTGCCACCACCGACGATCACGACGTTCTTCTTCGACATCTGGGAGGAGTGTAGGCGAGCAAGAGGTAGCGCGAGGGTGGTGCGAAGGAGCTCCGAGGGAAAATAGTTACGCTTTTACCTGGCATGATCGCTCGCTTTTTAACCAGCGCAGCGAGCTGCTTGCCGACCCGAGGTTGCAATCATGGGAGGTTCAGTATTCAGCGGGGCCTGGGGGTGGTAAGCAGAAATGACACATGCACACCCGCATCAGCTTACCCACATGTCAAGCGCCCCCAAAACACCCCTGACTCCGCGACGCGACTTCCGAACTTTTCGGAGTGGCTCGACTTTGGCAAATCGATCCTCCTGTTCACTCCTGACAGCCATGGCCTGGTCTTTGGAGGGATGCCCAGGTACCTGTCAGCAGTATGTGTCAAACCAAGACTCGCAGAGCTGCATGCTGTAAGTCGTTCTCGTGGTATCCATACGACCGTGTTCACCTTCCACCACCAACGCGGTGTAAGGCGCAATCTTGGCATCGCCGCAGCGCGTCAATATCATGGGCATATACACGCGCCTCCCCGACTTCTCGAGGATGCTGATTAAGACGTATCTCCGATCAAGGCAATCCCCCACTAGCATCCCGACATTTCGACACCAGCGGAGCGGTACCAGGCGTAGGCTGTTGACTCAAGCTGCAACAACGTTGCTCGACAGTACTCTCTGGCCGTTGCTGATGTTTCCGGGACCTGAGATACGTGAGTACCGCATGTCTCATCGTCTTAGACGGCCTGTGCTAGCACTTCCTGCGGGAAATTTTAGTAATTCCAGCGCAGCGCGGCTTCGGAAATGATCTTCATTCGTCAGCTTACCGAAACTCACAGTGGGTCCGAGTGCGCCTTGGTCTCTGCACACAGCTATCCTGTAGCGTGAAACCGCGAAGAGGAAATCACGGTCCAAGGCGGCCTCGAATGCCTAAGTCTCGAGCTTGAAGCGGTGCTGCATCGCATCAGTCCTACACCATCTGCTTACTATGGTGGAAGGAGGTTTCATAGTTGCAAAGCATCCAGGCAAGGTGTGTCCAGTTTCTTGAGTTGAGACGTTGGCGCGGGTCACTCGCACGGCGCCCGAGGGAATGGAGGCCCTCCACGAACACATGTGTACACACAAGCACTGTTAAACAATTGTAATACTCATCGTTGCTGAGATAATGATACACTCCGGGATCCCTGGAGAGCAGTAGTACATTCGAGATAGATGTGGTGATGGAGATAGTGTTCTGTGTACTGCAGATAAGCACGCAAAATCGCTAGCGGCGACTGGAGATGCGTGTATTTACCGTTACATCGACGACGAGCCTCCTGCGGCTGATCGGTAGGTGGGCGACGGGATCTTCGGGAACACGCGCTCGCGCCCGGCCTCTGTCTGTAGATAGTCCCGGCTCGGTCCTCGGAGACGGTACTCGTCCTCCAGCCATCGCGCCCCAGGATCGAACCACTCCTCGCGGTGAGGGCTATAAACGATGGCGCATCCGACGCAATCCACATACTGTCATGAACGCATTCGTCATTTTCCCATCCGTGCAGATATGCGGAGACACTTACGGTGTCGTAGACCTCCCAGCGCGCACTCGCCCACCCCGCCTCTTCTAGCCCATGGGCCTTGACCACAGCGGCCACAGCCGCGAACACACGGAGGTGGTACGCGTCGTCCCAGTCGTCTAGCGCTATAAGCGAAGTCCCGATCGGCGTCCTGCCGAAGGGCACGATGCCCTCGACGAATCCGCGCGTGTAGTTGCGCGGCATCCGCGGCGCCGCTGCGAGGGTCGTGCGCAAGGCGTTCATCCAAGGGGACTTCGGGGGAACGTGGGAGGGAGGCGGCCGTGCAGGGTACGTCTCCGCGAATATTGCAGCGCGTTGCATCGCAGTCTCCCAACGCTGGACTCCGAGGCCGCTGCTGTGACCCCTACGCTTCCGGCAGCTCTCCCACCGCTCGAGTTCCTCGGTGAACTCGTTCCAGAACCAGGGCGTCATCGTGTTCTTGATTTGAGCAAGAGCCGGTGAGAGGGGGATGCTCAGGTTTCGCGCCGGGATGGTCTGGTTCGCCTGCGAAGGAACGGGACCTGCGGCCGATTTCCCGATGACATCGCTGCGATATGCATAGGGGAGTTTGAATGATTCCTCGCCGCCGCTATTCTTCCTCGCGTTATGCTTCTTGCGCAACATCTTCAGGCTAGACCAGGTCAGGCCTGTTGGGCGAAGACACGCTGAAGATGCATATACTCACTGATTGATGAACTGGCCCTTTCCCCCGTGGCGCTCCCAAGCCCTGCGCTCCACATCCTGTTCTTGATAAAGTACCATGGTGCGGCTGTCTTCACCATTCTTGGGCAGCGTGCTGCGCGCCCATGTCAGTATACTTGGGGGAACCGTTGATGGTGATGCGGGACATACGGTTTCGTTTCACTCTGGAGGCCTTTGAGGTCGTCATTCGTAAGATGGTACTCCTCACGCGCATTTGTCCGGGTTATCTACGATGATCAACAACAGGTCAGCTACGCGTTACCATGGCTCGTAGAAACGCAACACTTACCGTCCAACCGCCGCCCCGAGCCTGAGGAACATCGTCGACCACTTTGCTCTTCTGTGACTGTGAGGGCTTCGAAAGAGACTCGAAAGGGAGCTTCGACTGCTGTAAACGGGCAGGCGACTTCTTCGACTCAGCAGACGCAGCCCGAATCTTGTCGGTGGTGGCCTTTGCCATGACGGCCCATAAAACTGATATTCCAGTACTAAGTTGTCGAATACACAGAGAGTATCTATGTAAGCCTAGTAAGAGTGGCGATCGTTGCAGTTGCGAGCGACCGTCCTACCACTGTTCTTCAGGTAGACGACGCCGGCGTGGACGGGTGGGAAGGGGGATGGCAACTTGGACGAGCGTGCTTATATATGGCCCGAATCTGCTGCTGATAAATCCGAGACGCGTTCCCACGACCGCGACGCGATGTTTCCCACGGGCGCGTCGCGACGCGTTTTTCCCACGTCTGTGTCGCTGAGGCGCGCGGTCCGTAACGGCTCTGCTCTCACTCACACTTCTTTCACTGCCAGACACCGCGGGCAAAGTTCGATGTTTTGGTCGAAAACATTGGAGAAACATAGAGAATAGCTGAAAAAGTTATTTTAGCTTATTTGGTCGGTAATCATGTTAGAGACATTGGCCAAACTTGCTGTATGTGTTCACACGGTCATGATTATGTTTTGCGTCCCAACATCGAAAAGACATTCTGACTGTTTGTGGGATGTTTTGCACGGAAAACATTGCAGAAAGAATTTTGTATCGTAATATGATGTCCCGTTGTGGACCATGGCCATGACATCAGAATACCATTTATCATTGTTCACGATGTTTTCCTGGTGTTTTGACACCGGCCACCGGGAATACATCGAAAATGTCTTTCAAAAGCTTACCGCAAAACCACTGGGAACACTTTCAAATTGGTTTTACAATGGTCTTCCTGTGTTCGTGACTGAAAACATTGTAATGACATCATTTATGTCTTTCCCGTGTTTTTCAAAGAGAATTTTTGAAGGCACAGTGTTATCATTTTGCATGTCTATCTAATGTTTGCCTCAAGTTACGAGGCCGAATATACTGAAAAGATTATTTCAGGTCTTTCAATGTTTTCATCATGTTTTCGACCAAAACATGCATAGAAAACATCATGTATGTTCCTCACATGTGACGGGAGCCAATCCTGCACAAATCTGCATACAAATCACGGACGATTCAAAGCACAAATCGTAGCTGAATCTAAATTTGATTGGTCCTGTCACAGCTCACGCCGAACGGGACGGCTCAAGCCTTCTGAGCACGCTGTACCGCCGTCAAGGCTGCGACAAGGG